ACGCACCTGACCATAACACGCACATAGTTTTTAGAGGAGGAAAACAAGAAAAAAAAATTCTGAATGAAACAGTGGATGTATCATTTTTGTGCTTCATGCTGTGGCCACAGACATGTGATTTGACAGTGAGTTTGGGGTAGCCCAATGCAAAGATCCTGAGAATCCATGTGGATCTGTGCTTTGTAACCACGTTTTTGCACCATTGCAGCCCCAGGCAACAGTGGGTGCGTGATTTTTTTGGTGCAGGCTGTAGCCATGGACATGCTATGTGATCTGATGGTGAATTTGGGGTGACCCTATGCAAAGATTCTGAGGATCCATGTGGATCCGTGCTTTGTAACCATGTTTTTGCACCATTGCAGCCCTGTTTTTGCATCAGATCATTGCTATGTGATCTGATGGTGAATTTGGGGTGACCCTATGCAAAGATCCTGAGGATCCATGTGGATCCGTGCTTTGTAACCACATTTTTGCACCATTGCAGCCCTGTTTTTGCATCAGATCATTGCTATGTGATCTGATGGTGAATTTGGGGTGACCCTATGCAAAGATCCTGAGGATCCATGTGGATCCGTGCTTTGTAACCACGTTTTTGCACCATTGCAGCCCTGTTTTTGCATCAGATCATTGCTATGTGATCTGATGGTGAATTTGGGGTGACCCAATGCAAAGATCCTGAGGATCCATGTGGATCCGTGCTTTGTAACCACGTTTTAAGTGGGGAGGGAAGGAAAAACATAGAAGGGACAAGGAGCACCGAGAGGGGTGTGCGGAGAAGCAGCTGGCTAAGAATGCAGGAGAGGGGTTTTACCAGAGGGAGGAAAGGAAGGCAAAAGTTCCCCCCACGCACCCACCCAAGCCAGCCAGCTCTCTCTCTCTCTCCCCACCTGCATGTTGCAGCACCGGAGCACGAGACGAATTAGAAGGAAGGACGCTCTGCTTTCCCCTCTGCTTGCCTGGAGGGGAGGGGTTTTCTCTGCTCTTTGTTCCATTTGAGCAAACACAGTAACAAACAGAAGCGGGTGGGCAGTAAGACCCTGAGGCAGAATGCAGGAAAGCAGCAGCTTCCTCTTTTCAAGGCTTCCCTTCTCCGGACGATTGATATTTGCCTGATTTTTGCCTTCACTCGCGCCTGTCGGCTCCAGGGACCACACATTCGCTCAATAACACGCACAGACATTTCCCCTTACTTTTTAGGAGAAAAAATCTGCGTGTTATAGAGGGAAAAATATGGTAATCATGTTCCTATAACATTATTTTAAAAGCACAAACTATGGATCAAGAGGAAACCCCAGATATCCAAACCAGACCTAAGAATTTGACCACCCCCAACAAGAACAAAGAAAGAGATGGCTACCTTAGATTAACAAAACAAAAACAAGACACGCATATGAACCTTGGGTCTAAGGTAAACCCAGGATTTGCTTTGAAGGGAAGGCTAGGCTAGAGCTTACTTTAAATGCAGTGAGATCTCATCTCTTTGAAAATTGAATCTGATGAATCTGACCTCTTCATCTGTAAAATAGGGGAGGAATAACAAGAAATAGGAATATTATTTTTTTTTGCTATCCTTACAAAGTTATTGTGATGCTCAGTAAGATGAGCACCTCTATCCCCTTTTTCAAAGTTTCTCTAGTGTGTGGACATCTTTGCATGTGGGAGGAAGATACATTAAGGGTAACAATGCACTTTCCCCCACCACCTTTGAAAATATTGGTAGAATTTATTGATGAGTGAACTGAAAACCGGTCAAGAGATCCAATGCACAAAGCTTTAGAGAGGAAGGCTAGCCACCATGTTCCAATTGTAAACGCTAAGGTACATCTCAACTGCTCACTGCAGGAGGAAACTACATCTCAACTGCTCACTGCAGGAGGAAACTGTAAGGGAAGAAAAACAACACATTTGTAAATGAGGGCAACCCATGGGAGGGAATGTGCTGGTTTATCCAAGCTCCATTCTGATCACAAGCATCTATTGTGTGCCTGTGCCCCCTTCTTTCTATATTTCAGGTGGTCTTTGCAATGCTGGCAGCCTGAAACTTCTTGACTTGTAAATTGAGAACTTGATCAGGAAATAGCTGAAAGAAAACAAACAAGGACAGCCAGGCCTTCACTGTGCTACTTTCACAGTGGCTATTTTTGTCCAGACATTTTGAAGCCTCCTTATTGTGCAGAGGGAGTGAAAGGGACAGATAAACACACTCTGTATCAGCAAAACCAGCACAACACAACACGTTCAGGATAACAGCACCTGTCAACCAATGATTTTCAAACTCATGTGTGTTTGTGTGCGTGTCTTTATACAAACCAGCCAATGATGGTCAGATCATTTCCATATGAGGCCAGCAACTTTTTCTTTTGCTAAACCCATTAATGGAACTGGAACATGTCAAGTACCTTGCCAAGGTGTATATGTTCATAGATCATTATTTAAAATGCACTCGGGCTAGGAAATGAAACTCTGACTCACTATGACAAAAAGGCTCTAATCCCATTCATCTGATAATACACGACTGGGAGTTAGGCTCTGCTATGCAATAAGAGATAGCATTATCCATAACCTTGACAGAATGCTTTCTACCTTGGCATGAGATGCCTTCTGTAGAAATCACAATTTCCCATTTCCTTCTTCCCTCTTACTCCGCTGCTGTGCTATCTATGACTGCCACAATTGCAATGCTAGACATGCAAGAATCTTGATTTAGTCAAAAGAAGCTCAAAGACTAGAAAAAATTCTGATTCACTAATACTGGGTGCCCCAATCAATAGAGATCACTGCTATAAGGAAGTATTTTTCATGCCCAGTCCCCAGTCCTGCACTAACTCTACAGTATGCCATATAAGGACAGCAATAACACACTTGTCCCATAGTAATGGTTTCTGCATGATTAAGATATTCCAACAAGTGCTGAGCTTCATAAGATAAAGTGACTCAAAATTTCAACTAAGTGAATAAAACCCCAAGCCTTTGTGAAGCATTCTGAAAAATATGCTACGGTCCTGCTGGCTTAGCATCTGGGCTCAGAGGTGCTGTAGTAGTCTAGTGTTGCAAAAGCAGAAAAGAAGTGTCCCTGAGCTTCACGTCCTGTTCTTGAGGTGTCCAAACTACCTGAAGAGAAATGGCATAATACACCTTTCCTCCATGTTTTTACATGCCATTGCTTGAAGCTCTTGAGTCACATTGTACCTGCCTTGGAGACTAACCTCAGCCAGGCTTCTGAACCTGGCTTATCTGCTTGCCTTAATACAACTTAAGTGCAACTTAATACAACACAGCACATATTTAAACGCACTCCAACAGGAGGCAGTAATGGCCACTAACTTGGGTGGCTTTAAGTTTTGGACAAATTCATGGAGGATAAAGCTGTGAATGGTTACTAGCTGTGATGGCTATGCTCTGCCTCCATAGTGGGAGGCAGTAAAGCTTCTGAATAAAAGTTGCTGGAAACTGCAGGAGAGGAGCGTGCTCTTGTGCTTGGGTGCTGCTTGTGGGTTTCCCACGGGCATCTGGTTGGCCACTGTGAGAATAGGATTCTGGATTAGATGTGCCATTGGCCTGATCCAGCAGGCTCTTCTTATGTTTGTTTGAATATGCTTTAGTAACAGTGACTTTGCTAGTTCTTTCTAGTCCTCCTTGAATTTCATAGCTTGGTTTCTTGATCACTTCTCCAAGGAGTGCCCCTCTCTGGGTTATTATTATTATTATTAGCCAAATTCAATGTTAATAGCTTGTTAATCCATTCAATAAATCTGTGTACAGTATTTGAGGGACACAGTTGCAAGTTCCAGCTCATGCTCAAGTTTGCTTCAACAGCACCACACTGTGGCTAGACACATACTAGCAGGTCCTGTTCTGCCATGCTTCCTGAGACAATACTACAAGACGAACAAATCAGAACTTGGAAGTTCTGAGCTAGGAGATATGAGGTCTACCCTACGGATATTATGTTAGTGGAACCATGAGATAATACATCTATTTAATTCCACGAGACTCCGATTTGTTCCCCTGCAAGGACACTTTAAAATATAGGGCATCAAGAAAACACATTCCATTGCTAACTAAGATGTAAAAAGACATTTCTCCTGGCATCAAGATAATATAGGTAAGAGGATAGGGCAGATTTTTTAAATTTTACAGCAAAAAAAAATCCCCTGCTAAGTAATTTGTAGTCTTGGGGTTCAAAAAGCAGAAAAGTAGGTTGACTCCTGTCTTTGAGAATTCCAGAGAAGTCCAGAAACAGCTTGAGTTTCCGCTGGCCCAGGTTGGGGGACCAACAGGGGTATGGTGGCAGTTCTACCATGCAAGGCTGGCTTTCACCCTGGCGATTTGGCACCCTACTAGAGTCCATGGGGTTGGTACCCCGGGGTTTGGGTACAACAGTCCTGGGGTTTGGGAGCTGGAAGGGAGAAACGAGATCTTGTTTTAAGCTGGGATTCTTTCCACCCCCATCTGATTTTGTGCCTCCCCCTCCTTCATTTACAAGTTGCCTTGAGGTTGCCCATCCACAGTTAGCAGCCCATGGTCAGCAGGCATACAAGTCAACTGTTGTCTTTCCCCAATATAGTAATTATTTCCAAATTTTAGGCAGATTGCAATATTTCTGTTTAAATACAGTAATTATTTATAGACTTTCACCTATACATCTAAGTTACCAAATTCAAATTTTATACAAAAGCAGTGTCCTTCCCGCCCCGCCCCCCCTTGGTGATGTATCTGGCAGCAGATCTGAATTTGCTTCACATTTGTGGACGTGACAGTTATGCATGTATAAAGCAGTCTATGTGGTGGCTGGAATGACACACAAAGACTTCTCATGCCAAAACCACAGCGCACCAGAGCAAATGAGAGACTCTTGCCAGATAGTACTACTTGGAAAAGGGCTCTTATCTACTGGATGCCTGCCAAAAGGATGCATGCGCTAAACAAGGGCATTTGTAGATCAAGAGGCATTCCAACAGCATTATGGAATAGGGAAGGAAGAAAGACAGGGCCTAGGGTCTGTTTTCAACAAAGTATCTTTATTTTAAAAATGAATGTAGTCTTACTGGGACCAAGGAATACTTTACCGTTGAGTAGTTTTATGGCGATTTAGAATAATATAAAACAAAGTTATAACATGCATAACCAAGATATAATATACGTATATATAATTTCTGTAACTCATTGCAGTCAGGTATAATTCATCTCTGTGACAGTTCCAGAAATAGTGCTCAAATCGAAGTAGAAGTGCCCTCTGGAATTTTCCCTCCTTCAGTCTTGAGGAAACAAGATTGTCACTCCATCTACTAATGAGTATTATTTAATACCTGCCTCAGTTTGCAAGAGGCATGGATGCATGTGCACATTTCAATATTACGGAAGGAAAAACTGTTTTGATTTTTAATGCCAGTGCACTGTCAGATTGTTAAAAGATCACCTCGTCCACGACTTATGCAACCAACTGCTGTGTTCTGCAGGAGGGCATCCTGCAGATACCACCCTAAATTAAAGCATTGAATAGCCTTTAGTAATTATTGAGATAATCATGGAATCCAGGTTAAAAGTAAATTGGGAGTAGTAACAAATCTGATTAAAACAAGGATTCAGAATCCACAGCACTTGTTGTATCTCAAGAGATGACCTAAATCAATGTACCAGAAATTATGTATATCAGACTAGGAGTGTGGAAGGGGGTGTATTATTGGAGATAAGGGTATGGTTAATTTATTCTGATACCTGTTTCTCAAGTATTTCCTTGAATTCAGACTGCTCACCTTTTTAGGCAGCTCCTGTTTATTAGACTATAAGGTATGAATGCAAAGTTTGTTTTGTCTTCCATCTAGCCACAAGAGGGCATTCACAACCTAACTGTTTAAAGAGGTCCCTGTGTTTAGTACCTGGAATACCAGAGGCAGACTGAGCACTTCTGAAACATGGAGAGAAACTAAATGAATAGGAATTTTATGATACAGCATCTTCTAGGAATTCCAGCCAAGTTTTTGGCATTGAAGTATTCTTACGACTCATGTCCACTGTATACAGTTTGGCAATAGAAGTCCACTGCATCTCGTCTTAAAAGACAGTATAGTATCCTTCCATGGTAGTGACCACGTCACTGTTGGTCTCCATCCAGTCCAGTAGGCAATGGATCACATCTTTGGAAACAAAAGGGCTGTAGCGCTGCTGAATACAATTGAGGATGTAATTGAGATGGCAGCCCTTTTCAGCATCTACAGATGTAAAGCAGAAGTGAAATGGTAAATGGGTGGGCAATTGTTCTATTATTCATATAGATGGGAGACTGGATTTCAGTAGCAAGAGTGAAGCTGCCCCCATGGGCAGGTGGCAGACTTTGGATAAAAGCTTTGAGATAACTCGCCCATGTGCTGGCTCAGAAACACTCCACCACCATCGCCAATGCCATATTTCTTTCTGCAGGTGCGATACCTGAAGGTATTTCCACAAAACTGGCAGATTGTTTCCAAAAGGTTCACTATGCTGAATGAGAACTGGCATGAACCAAAAGCATGAATCTTATTTCATTACAGAAACCAGGAAGGGGGATTAGAACATTACAAGTTATCTGTTCTGTGCTGGAACCAACAGTAGTCAGTTCCACTTTCCTGTGGCAGTTATTTTGCAAATACATATCTAACTGGGTACATTTCAGAATAGTTAGAATGGGATGGTGGTGGTGAAGAGAGACCCTTAATTATTCAAGCTGGATTAATCTCCTTTAGTACTTCTTTGTTCAGGTTTCTTCCCATAAGGGAATACAGGGGTTTGTGAGAGCACACTTGAATTCTCTAGTGTGGGAAGGCTTTCTCCTTGTCCTATGTTGTGATTTTCTTCTGTTTGTTTGTTTGATTGATTGATTGATTGATTGATTGATTGTATTGTACTGGTATGCTGTTAGCCTTTGGGCCCCAAAGTGCCCAAACTGCAGTAGTAATAATAATAATTTGTTGTTATTAAATTAAGTTCTCTTACTCAAATACAATTATTCCTTACTTGTACAGGCCTGTGTTTGTGGTTATCTAACTGTTCATACTTACATTTTGGCCTCTTACAATCAGCTCTGAGGACTTCAAGGGTCACTTTGTGCAATTCTTTATCTTGCTCAGTCACCTAGAGGATGCAGGAGTGATTCTTAAAATCAAAGCAATGTACATTTATGTATCAAAGATGAGAGCCTGGCCTACAATTAGAGACCACTGCATTTTCATAACAGAAAGAAACATTTCAGGGCTATTGGATAGTCTGTGAGTGGGAGTCACCTAACAAGCCCTGTCAGTGGAAGCCCTGTGCAAGAACTTCCACTTATACAAGAGGGCTCCCCCTGAAACTGGCTTGGGGGGGGTGTCAGGAAAACCCACAGAACAGCACACAGTGGGAGGGGGTATTGTTCTGTTCAGCTAGAAGGTTTGTGTATGTGGAATGATTGGAAGAGCACAACATTCAATTCCACCCTGTGTCTGGATTTAATCTCAGCTTCCAGAAAACACATGGGAAAAGCACTGCTGCACTCAGGTCCTGATTGTGTGCTTCCCATAAGCATCTGGTTGGCCACTATGAGAACAGGATGCTGGACTAGATGGACCTTTGGCCTGATCCAGCAGGGCTCTTCTTATATTCTTATGTAAAGAAGCATTCCGCCTGCATCTGACCATCATAAAACACCTATCACTAGCCCATTTGAAGTGGTGGCTGATGCCCATTGGAACTGGTAAGGTAGTATACAGGAAGGTCAACAGTGAGCAGATCTAGAGCCAATGACAGGCAGATCCAATCAATTATAGATTTGTCCTCATCCTTTTCCGTGCTGAGTTCTATAAAGACAACTCTGAGACTAAAAAAGTCAGAAAGGTGACAGCCAGCAGCATCCTCAGACTGGATGTCAAAGTAAGAAGGCTGACAGGTGGGTCTGGCTGAGGGGACACTGAGTTTGGTGGGGCAGTGCCCCATTTGTATGTAGAGTTAGCATGCTAGTGGCATGCTTCATGTATTAAGCTTATGTAAATGTGACAGGACATGCTTTGCCTACAGACCACCATTCATATAAAGAGATACTTACAAAATACATATCCTGGGGATTTTTTGATTTCTGGAAAAGAACTCCCTTTTTTTGCAACACCTTTATTGCTTCCGTGAAGGAGTCTCTAATCAGTTTGGAGCAGGGACCATCTTTGGAATCTGTCTGAAGAGGAAAAAGACAAAAAAGAGAGGCATATTTGGATAAGGGGGAAAGAAGAAGCATGGAAGTCAAATGCACTTTTAGGTTATTTGGGTCTGCACAAGGAATAAAAGAGAAGTCCTTTCCTTCAAACAGCAGCAGAAAACTGTTGAGATTAAAATGGCTGAAACAAACCTTACTTTCCGCTACTGAAAGGAGCTGCTGCCAAAGTAATTACCTCATGACACACCGATCCATTTTTAATAAGAAAAGGGAAATGAACTAAAGGATCTGCAAGTGGAAGGAGCAGAGTCTGATAATTACTTGCTTTGGTCTAGAGCATCAATCCTGTCTGAAGATAAGGCCTAATTAAGAACACACTCTGCGTGAGCTGACAGGAGGCTCAGCTTGGATAGCTCCTGAAAGAGAATTGCTAATGGCAAACTTCTTAAAACTGACAGAAAAAGCAGAAGAAATGGATGTCAGCTTGAAAAGTACAAGCAATGAGCTACTAAAAAAAACCTATGTTTTATTAACCTTACTCCTTGCCTTACAGGCAGCACTGGCACTCTGTGCTTGCTTGTACCTCAGCCCAAAGCACTATGATTTAGATGACTATAGATTAAGTTTTCCTATTTTGTTAAGTCTACCAATATGTTGAGTTTGGAGTATCCTGCTTCAGATATGGGGAGGGGGTGCCTCTGGACTCCAAATATATCTTATGTACATACCATGTGCAATAGGGGGTCTGCCCTCCTTTAGGTTTACTTACAATTAACTAAAGATCTCAGAATAGTCTATATCCCTGCCGTCCCTCTTTGCGATCACCCTGTGATGTAGTATAAGATACGCAAAACAGAAAAGCAGCTCAGTGTCACCTGTAAGCTTTATGGCTGAATGGGTTTAAACCTAGATCTCCCTAGATTAAATCCAACACACTTGATCAGTGTTAGATTTGATCCAGGTAGATCTAGGTTTAAATCTATTTAGTATGGCCACAGAAGACAATGGTGGAGTGCTTTCTTTGTTATATGCAGTGATCTACAAAGAAATCTGATCAGAGGAAAAGCATCAAGAAGTAAACCTGCAGCAAGGATGGGTGTAGGAAATTCAGATAGGTCATATACAAAAGAAAATGTAAAACAAAGGAAGCCTATCTATGGCCATAGAGGTGTTTTTTTCCCCTTTTTTTGCATCTTTAAAGTGCACCTCTATTGTACTCTGCATAAAATCCAGGAAGATATTTTGGACCAAACTATAGTGCATGATGAGGTTACTTGCTGGGAAGACCAAATTTTGCAACATACCTCCTCCCCCTCCCTAGGTGCAGGAGTCCAACTTGTTTCCTCTAATACTGCATTTTGCTTTAGAGGCACAGGGATGGCTTGTGAACCTTTCCCATTTCCTACCTTGTACAGAAGCATCTGCTGCTGCTCTAAATTCTTTTCAGCACAGATTGTTCACAGATCCTATCTTTTGCTCTTCACATCGTTTGTGGGCTGTGGCTTTTGATCAGGGATCATTGAAATTCTTAACCATAAACGTGTTCATAAGGCCAATAAATGTAATGCACTCATTAAGTGCCAATGGGTTCCATCATGAGGGAAAACCTGATGCATGTGTTACATAAAATTTATTACCAACAGTCCCCAGTCACTCCTCCTCAGATTCTCCAAAGCTCTACTACCTTTACCACTGCTCTTTCCCTTCCCTAGAATGGTCCAGGATCTTTGGAGACCCATTTCTCTTCATTGCAATTTGCTTTATGACACTACATCAATTCCCCTCTGGTGCAACTAAGTGCCAGAATGCAGAGTTGAAAGCTCAGGTATGCATTGCTAATCTTCAAAATTAATGTTGATGAGCCTGGAAACTCCTGAGCAATCAGCCTGTAAGAGAAATACCAGTTTATTCCCCTGTTTGTTGACAAGCACTTCTAATTCTTTCTATGAACAGGATTCTGCAGCTTCTCCAAAGCAACTCAATACAATGCCCATCTGCTTGCTTAGCAAGGAAGTTTCTCTATTCTATTCTAAAGTCTGCTTTCCTGTGATTTAAAGCTCACTTCCTCATCTGTGGCAGTATAGAATAATTGCTTTTCTAAACATTTGAAGATTGCATTTAAGATTACAGTTAAGCCAAACCTTCACTTCATTCATCTTTTCTTGAGAATAAAATGACTCAGGCTTATTCAATGGTTTTTCCTTTCCAAACCAAAACCTACTTTGACCTCTGAATTTTTAATTCATTTCTTAAAAGGTGGCTAATTAAAAATAGTTACAGAAATCCAAATGTGTATTAACCAGAGAGAATGCCATGTTAACAAAACACAAAACAAATACCCTCCTTGCCTATGCAGTGGGTCAACACAATAGGTTATACAAGTGCAACACATTACTTACAAAATATTTTGGTCAAATCATTTTGATATATGTGTTGAAAATATGAGAAATTTTGCAGCAAATCATTAGTTGGTTAAGTGTGCTTAGCTTTGAAGCTGGGTACTGCTGGGACATACTGGAAAGTGCCAGGAGTTGTGAAGCATTTCTTCCTGTCCCCCCCCCCCCATAAATCTGCTTTAATGTGAGTTAGTCCTAGCATGCAAGAGTGCATGCTGTCTCCCAGCTGATACTATATAAAGAAAGTAGACATGCAAAAAATAGGGATAATTCTGCTGTATTAGTGTGACTGCAGTCTGCTGGATTTGAAACTCAACAGGAGTCCAGCTTAGTCTATTTCAGGTACATGAAGCTTATCTAAGGAGTAACAAAGAGGCTGAAAGAGGTAGACTATCAGCAACAAATGCAGTTCAGAGGATGCAAGAGATTAAGGCAAAGACAGAAGTTCTGCCTCTACATGAACTGATCTTAAAGTTTTTAGAGGACAGAAACAGACCAATTCCAGAAATTCAAAGAAGAAACTATGTAGACTATTACCTGACCTGATGATTATCAGAATTTAAAGTTTTCATTTGGTTCTTCCTCTGTAGCCTTATTCTATTCACTACCATTGTGTTGTACCACTTTATGCCTCTTGACAAACGTAGAGGGGGAAATATGTTAATCTGGCAATCTAATAGTGTGCTTCTATGCTTGTTTACTCAGAAGAATGTACAGTACTCTGTAGTTAAATTTTTAAAATTCAAGGTAAGTGCATATATACTGGAACACAGGTTAAAATGTATTTTGTTTGAGAGGGTCCCCAACTTAAGGCTTGGGGTAATTCAGGGTCCCATTGACAAAAGAAAAATAGTAATAAAAAATGTAATTACTGTAAAAATATCTGAGCACAGGATAACGGGCAAAAGCATGAAAAGACTTCCTGCTAAGTGTGTGTCCATGCGGTCTTTGAAATGACAAACATAATAGGGAATACATAAAGTGAAAGGTCAAAATTACAGATTTGAAAAGGTCAAAATTACAGATGATAAAGTCAGAAGATATGCTGCAGCTAGCAATTTGATACCCAGTCGAATGGAAATACATAACAGAACTCTGCAGAATGCCACTGCTGCTCATCTCAGGAAATTGCACGTAGAATATGGTAAGAAAGTGGTTATGCACTTCTATTCAGGAAATGACAGAACTAAAAAAGACATACACTTCAGGAAATGACAGAACTGAAAACGTCTTCAAGCTGGAGCTATTTTTCCAAGCATCCAAGCCTGCAGCATCCCAGGGGGTGCAGATAAATATTTATGAATACACTGAAGTTCTGTTCTGTAGCTAAGAAGCACACAACCACTATGTTGAAGACAAACATAAAATGAAGGTAAATGTTCACAAATTGGTATGGATTTGGAGGGTGGAGACATAGATGGAGCAGCTCTGCTCATCACACCACACACACAGCTAGGTGTTCGTGACCAATTACACATTCAATATGACAGCTGCAATGGATGCATAATTAGATTGACATGGGTCATATAGAAGAATCATATAGATATAAAAATGTAACACTATCTAGTGCTATAAAAAAAATAATCAGTAATTTTGCAATAGAAACATCAATAAAGAAACTTGTCAGAAAGATGCTAAAAGGTGTAAGCAACTATACTACCCTGAGGTATGGGTGACTCTCCAGAGAATGGATTACAACTCCCATCAGTCCCAGTCAATATGTCTAATATTAAAGAATAATGAAAGCTGCAGGCCAGCAATGTTTGATGAGCTACAGGTTTTTTGCCTCTGCTCTAAAGAAAGACTCTCAAATCAGATAATCAGCCAAGAGGAAGATGGCCACAGGAATCATTATATCAGGTGCAAGACCAACATAATTATTTTTTTCAAATGAGGCAACTGGTATGGAGTATCCTTCTAAATGATGAATGAGTTCCCCATGCTTATTGCTTTTAAATTCTATGTAAAGGGCTAATTTAAGATCTGATTGGATCAACTTTCTACCAGAGTAAATGTAGCTCTGCCTGGTGGGCTGGGGAGGGGGTAAGGAAAAACAGAAACAAAGTTTTAAAAAATGTAAATATATGGGGGGTGCTCAGAGAAAGAGGGAGGATATTATTCACAATTTTACCAATGGGCAGCTGAAGCTGAGAAATGTGACTTACTAAAATCCCACAGTAAGGGTTGACCTGAACTGTGATTTCAGCCCAGGACTAGTCCAATACATTATCAAGAGATTATACTGTTATGATTACTTCATATACTGTGTTGGGGCAAGTCAAAGGGGACTGGATGCAGTTGAAGCAATGGAATTGCCCTGTGTGACCATAGCAACCCAGAGCCTACTGAGCAGAATAACTTGGAATAGCCTTCAGCTTTTACCAGAATTGCTTATTATGGCAGCTGGCTTGAGAAGCCAATTCTTTCTCTGCTGTTTGGTACTTTTTGTATTATATTCCTTTGCCACAGACCAGCAGGGTTCTTGTTCAAATCCAGGCCTATTGCTTTATTAAAATTCAATGACAAGCGTTACTTTTATGAAAACAAGCGGTTGCCAGGAAGCAACCACCAGGAAGGAGGCCACAGAACCCACTATGAATGGGAGGCAGGTTTGTTGTTACTGTACAGTTTTGGAAGGATTAAAATATCCTCCTATAGAACTGGGAATTTAAAGCACATCCTTAACTAAATACATAGCTAGACACAAAAGGGAAGCTTGGGGGGGGGGGGAATCGCCTCAATTTCCATTGTACTGCAAGCGGAAAAAAGTAAGGCAAAGGCTGAAGTTAAAGACAGATTTCCATACTGACATTCAGTTTTAATTGTAATGCTAAAGAAAGGATTTTTAAATTATATATATTCAGCCCAGATTCTCAGCTAATGTAGCTATACATAACTTTATAAGCACTGAAGTTATGCAAATTTGCACCAGGTGGGCATCTGGCTTATTACCCTATTCTCTGCATGCTAAGAATCTTTTATAAACAAATTCCTATTTAACCAGAAGCACAGAGACAGACAGAAATGTTTTGCTATTGAAAAGCAGTCCAAATCTCAAACAAGCACTTGCTTTATGTATAACTCTGATTCCAATTAGAGTTTGGGACTTGGAATCTCCTAAAAAAAAAACCCAGACCCAGACCCAGTTTGCTCTGAACAGGCTGAAATGTCTAACAAGTAGAAAGTGTAATACATAGCAGATGTCAGCATGCTCTTTATAATTTTCTACAGAAGGGCCAACCTTTTTAATATGTTGGGCCTCATTTATCTTACCCTTGATTAAGTTCAGAACCATCCAGTCCTGTCACTCAACTGATCCATTATCTTCAAGAGACCTCCCAAGCTCCATTATAGCTACCTACACAGTTATGAAAGTAGTAAGTTAATAGCAGTGGCAAGTCTCAAACTTTAGTTTGCTTTATAGCTTTTTCATTTTGATCTGTCTTACTTTTATTACCATCAAAAACAGTACACAAACTAACATACTGTTAGGCTACCATGCCATTAACTGCAGGTTTTGTTTTCTCAAAGTAGCAGCTATTACACAGTCCAGTGTTTAGTTCAATATTATCATTAAACATTCTTGATTGACCTAAGCTACCCCGCAAATGCAGTCAGCTCCCTACAAAGCCACCTTTACTCACCTGCTCAGCAGTTCTTGGTCCATCCTCCTTGACCAGGGATACTAAAGCCTCCACAGTTTCCAGCTCCTGCTGATAGAAACTCTGGATCTTGTTCTTCAATAGGAAGTCTCTTATTTTTTTGCTCAGTTCAGTGATGGAGCCCAACATGTACGCTGCACCTTGGCTATCAGCAGAAAATAAATTTAAAATGGAGAGCGAAAATATTAACCAAATTAAAAGGCCTCCTACAACTAGATACTTAACTAGTTTAAATGGCACCCAACTAAATCTTCAGCAGTGCTGAACACACTGTCACTACGAGATCAAGCCTACAATAGCCCAGACTTATGAGCTGGTTTAGGAGAAATTTCACAGAAATCAGAAATGTAACTGGCTTCTATGATCCACAAAAAGCTTTACGATCTGGATGACATGTATGCATGATCACTGTGCAAGGGTTTGGAGTGGCGTTTGCACTAGATCTTACTGTGTGGCATCTATCCTGTGCTGTGGTGCGACACTAGGGTTACTACAGCCATCTCTCCACTTGCGTGCGATTAGCATGGGCACTCCTGCTAACGCACACACTGACAACAGTGCTGAAAGTGGGCAGGGACAGAATGGTGCAAGCCCCACTTGTGCGCATCCCAGTGACGCACATGTTAGCTTACAACGGAACCCCCACATAAGTGGGGATTCTTCCGTGCATGAATCTGGCTGTCTCATTCTATGGCTCTACCTATTTTAGACATATCATCCTTCCATCTTCTTTTTGTTCCTGCCTTTGAACTTGCCCCACCATACAAATTCAGTTTTCATAGAAAACCAGTAACTCTGTTTTATATCCTATTCTTGATGCAAAGCCTACACTCCTGAATCACCAGCATCTCCTATCTAGAGCTCTCACTGACCTTTGTGCTTCTTCTTGCAACTGGAATGGCTGATCATAAATATCTCTGTATAGATGGGGGAGTTCCAGCATTCTTGAAATCAGAACTTCACACATAGGATCATCAACTTTATCTGAAAAGAAATAAGGAAGGCACAAAAAAGGCAAACAGATTCAAACGTGAGCCGCTAGCTGCGTTTCATTTATTTATTAGTTATTTACAGCCCACCTTCCAAGATAATGGTTGTTTTATCTGATGTTAATAATTAATAATAATAATAATAATAATTTATTTCTTGTATCCATCCCATCTGCCTGGGTTGCCCCAGTCACTCTGGGCGGCTTCCAACAAAATATAAAGGAACACAACAAAACATTAAACATTGCTTGCCTTCAGATGTCTATGAAAAGCCATATGATTGTTTCTCTCTTTGACATCTGATGGGAGGGTGTTCCACAGGGCAGGGGCAACTACTGAGAAGGCAATCTGCCTGCTTCCCTGAAACTTCACTTCTCACAGTGAGGGGAACTGCCAGAAAACCCTCGGAGCTGGATTTGGCAGGTTTGTTGTTCTATAGAAGGACAGGGAGAGGCCACACTACTTCTGCATTTGAGTGTCTGGAACTAGGTTTGGAGGATGGCTTTTAGCAAGCTGAGAAGCCCAGCTTTATAAAACACAACATCCATATGCTGCACAGAGTCATACACAGCCGCTCTCAACAAGGCGTATGAATCAGAGACACAAAGTGGCCTTGATGCGACAGGAAAAAAGCCTGGGCGCAGCTTAAATAAACTGTAAGTCACACAGGTTACAATTATGGGAGTTTTAAAGGTCAGGATAAAAATGCATACTGCTGAATGAGTAACTACTCACAGTACATGGAGGCCTTGATTTCTCGCTGCTGTCTGAAGATCTGAATGCAACCACGGACTCTGATAGTATCACCAATTTCCAGTCTCGTTTTTTGGCAAACTGCTACTTCGAGCTTTCTTATTTGTTCAGCTAGATCCAGGCCACTTGAGGTACTAGGATGAGGTCTAAAATCTGTGGGGAAAGAAACATTCACTACATTTGGAATGGAAAAGCAAAGTAGATTTTCCCAAATATCATGACGGATGTCATCCAATATACCATGTATGTTAAAAGACCACTTCATAGGCAGCATTACAGCTGCCAACACACACTGTCTTCTCCCCTTAGAAACTGCCATCTTCCAAAAAATTAGTTGTGTAGATATAACATTAAACAGCACAATTAATGGGAGAAAACACAGCGTTGGAGAGATGGGAAAAAATAAAAGGAAACACTGAAATTCTGCTTGACCAGCCTTCCCAAACCTGGGGCCCTCTAAATGTTGTTGGGGCTACAACTTCAATGATTCCTTAATTCTGGCCATGCTGACTGGGGCTGATGGGAGTTGTAGTCCAACAATACCTGGAAGGCACCAGGCTGGGGAAAGCTCCTCTTGACTAAGACTGTGACTCAACAGAATGAGACATGATTAATATATATATATTCATTATTTAAATAAAAGTAGAAAGCAGTATTTTTGTCAGACTTGCTTCCTGAAATGTTAACCTCTTTTAAAAGAACAAACGTGTGTTAAGTTTGTTGTGATGGTGTGTTCCAAAACTGGAGTATTTCTACCAAATGCATATACCGGTATGTAATATGAATAATAAGTGTATATGTAATATTACCATGTATATGTAATATCCAATACTGTCCTTAAACATTTAATGCACCTGATGAATATAACTTTGCTCATGCTACAAAACACCTAATAATTCTTAAAGTGCCACCAGACTGTGGCTTAGCCTACAACAGACAAACAATGCTAATCTTCTGAAGTTCAAAATTGAACAAAAAAGTAAACCCAAGTTCAAAATAAAAAGCAAACCTCACCAGCAAACCTCACTCTTAATAAAAAGGAAACTTAATATCATTAGAAGTAAAACAAAAGCTGCCTCTTTGAGCCTGCCAAGATACAAATGCACTTTGACAGAACTTCCAAGTTTATTGGCTCACCAATAAGTTTTTGATCCAGGGCAGCATAAACTTTAATTGCAGCCATCTGGAAAAGTTGTCTGCTGTGAACACATTCTCAAAAAAAAGCAGGCTACTAAATATTCTGTGTTCCTTTCCAGGACTTGAATTCTTCTTATATTTTAGAGCTAAGCCAATACAGAAAAGAAGGTGACTTCTTCATTAAATATTATAAGTTTTTCCTGGCATAACTGAGTAGCTTTTTCCAGACAGATAGCCATGTCAAACTGTGACATCAAACACAACTAAGAGTCTTGTGGCACCTTAAAAATTATTTAATTATGCCATAATGAGCTTGTCTGTCTTTAAGGTGCATCAAGAACTGAGCAGAGCTTCAAGTTTCAGGGTTCTTAGCTATCATTTGGATTTAGTGTTGACAATCTGACCTCAACTGTATTATTAATAAAGCTTTTCTCCAGCTACTTTTAGAGCATCAATAGACCACGAAAGGCCTGGAACATTTATTTAACATTATTCTCTGCACCTTGAAAGCAATATACTACTGCATATTTTTAATTATGCAGTAGTAATGACTGTATAATTGACAGTAGGGAGTGAACCAAGAATAAAACAAGCAAAGGCCAGCAACTGAGTTAAAAACAGCAGATTCCCAAGATGAAGTCTCTAGGTGATTATATGCTAGTACATTTTTTTAAAAAAATTGTTTTTTGTGTGTGTGGCCTGTTTACTCTTCAACCCACTGAAATAGGGAGGTGGGAAGCAAAGAGGAAGGAACAGAAGTTTGGCTATGTTATGTGGCAGGTATCTGTGGGTAAGAAGAAAAAGTCATCTGCACTGAAACATGGGAAACATGAGACATTCACATTTTTAAAATCAACTGTTCAGAATAGGATATAAGATGTGTAAGAGAAAAGAATAGTATCTCTGCAAATCAAAATATATGCAAAATGTTAAGAGGCTATCTTGAATTCAACAAGCTAACAGATCTCAGATCATTTAGCTCTAATTGGAAAACATCACTTTAAACAAAATGGAAAAGTTGCATTGGGAACTACAGTAAGAAGGCTCTTCAAGCCAAGTGTCCTGAACTGAAACAACAGACCCATCTGTTATGAATGAATGGACCTCAGCACTGCTCTTTTATCAAGTCACAGTAAAACAATATAAAAATGAACAGGGAAATGGTGCAAACACCTGAAAATAACCCTCACTAATAAAGTATAGAATATATATTAATACATATTCTGAAAAAGCTAAAAGGAAAGCAGATACGAAGTGGAAAGTTACCTGACAAAGATCTCTGCTGTGCCAAAGGGTTTTTCCAGCAGGTGCAGCTTATAACTCCTGTGCCGTCATCCACTAGATAGTAGGATAGCAATTTTAATCAGTTTGGTGGGAGTTTATAGAACACACACCACAAACATTTTTGCTTAGCAACAGCCTTTTTGTTTGTACCAGAGAAGCAAAATCTTTCTCAAAGCTCTCTCATCCATTTTACCTGTGCCAATTTCCTGCTGCAGCAAATCAACAGACTAAATGTGACTGACAAACTAGTCAAAAGTCAAAAACACAGAATAACTCATTTTCTGAAATTCTCCCCTACAGCAATTTTTTTCCTAGTGGTGTTGAGGGAATAGTCTGGATAGTGAAAAGATGGAGATGAGGGTCAAAGACAGACAGACACACTTTCTGCGACTAAGCTGGGTTATGGGGGTGTGAAGGAAAGAGGAAAATGACTGTTCCATGGACTACTGTTGTAGAGGCTGGACAGGCTACCTTCTCTATGCTGGATTAACGCTATTGGCAATCTATCTTAATGATATATAAAGAGGCAGGTTTTTATTTTTAACAGTGCCTTCCTCACTCCCAACCCTTTCTATACCATCATCTGCACAAATGCATATGCTATGTAAATGACCTTTCCTGAAACATCTAACATTTGTCTCCTGAAATTAATATAAGGGCAATAATGCTTGCTATTTGATACATACACTGTTGACCAGGGACAGAACAACTTCTTGTATTAGCTGCAGCTTGAACTGAGATCACAAAGGGAGGATGAATGAAGGCAGAAAAGGCCTTAGATACTCTCACAGTGAGTTGTCAACTTTTGGTACCAGATATTCACAAGGAGCTGGTCATTCATAATTTCTATCCAAGCCCCTCTGCCACATTTGGGAGACTTCTAGCATTATTGACCTACATTCTTGTCATTTTCCCTTTAAGTCCTTTCAGCAACAGGATACTCAGTCTGAGGGACCACTGGCCTTACTTAAGAGAGCTTAAGAGAGTTTAAAACAAGCAGCCCCTTTTAAGTATGTAAGTGTAAACAAATTCCCGTTTTTCAGTGCAGAAACAAGACAACAATCCACATTTTTTCCTTTATGCAGCTTTGCTTCTCAAAAAGGAGTGCATCATGCCTCTCTAAACTCAAGCACGTGATCCAGCTGATGCAATACTAGCCAATTAGATCCCCAGCTGGCAGAGCCTTGCTTTTGAACTGGAAAATGCAAATGGAAGTTACGATTTATTTTGGGCGAGTCAGCCTGAGTGCAGCTGAGAGAAGGTCAGGGAGGGGCAGCTTGGCAAGATGCCGAAGAATGAAACTGGGAACAGTTTGAACATGAGGAGAAAGACAACCATGGACGCAAGGAGGGTAGTCCTTCTCCTAAGTTCACTGGTGTGAACTTGGAAAGAGTTGGCAGTGAAGGGAGGGGTGGCTGAGGAAAGCATAGCCTCTGTCTTTGTACCAAAGAACTGTACAAGGTAACCATGCTAAGAACCACACAAGCATTTCTTCCCAGGAACAGAAAATTATGCACCTAGCATCTCACTCTCTGCGCTGGGACATTCAAAAGGCTATGTCATTGTTAGTATGCTCTTGGAACCCCATCGCTCTCTCTCATTACCACCATCTGCCCCAGTCAAGGCTGTGGAAGTTGTCAATGAAAGTGAACATTCCCCCTGAAGGAACAGTTTCACAGCTTGGGCCATTCCTAAAGTGTCTTACAGGATGCAGCAGTGGCCAGGGATACTTTCTGCCAACTCTCATCTGGCTCCCCTGTTTTGCCATTTACTGAAGCAATCAGACCTTCCCTCAACCCTATATACCTTGGTCTCTTCCAGAGTGGGTTGCATGGGGTTTTCCCTTGCAGACTGATCAGAAACCTCCAGCTGGTTGTTGTTGTTGCTACACCATATATAAAAGCAAACCTAATTTAAGAAGGCAGTAAAGGCTAATGAGAATGGAGAAATTTAAGAGCTAGCAGGAATAAGAATTTCTTACCTCCATAAGTATAACAGGCATCTCGTTCTTTGATCAGAACCACAGTTCCAAGAATATCCACCTGCCTTACTGGATGCCTGTTGTAAAAGAATATACCTATGAAAGGAGGAGATCATCATTGATACATAAGGTACATACAGTCTTATTTCAGCGAAGTAAAGAAGAATAGACTGAGGTGATGCCTGGCTTATAAATTCTAATGCCCACCTGTTTGCTATAGGGCTAGAAAGCCCCATGCACCTTCCCTAACGCCTCTTTCAGGAAAAACCACTCAAGGCTTCTTAGGAAAGGGGTGTGTGACAAATTTGCCCCCCACTAGGTGGGAGTGGCATTCTGACATTTGGCCAAAAGTGTCAATACAACATTATAATATGTCAACAAAGCAACAAGTTGTAAGAGGTATTCATCATGCCAGTTAATGATTAAAGGCAGTACCAGTAATTATTTTCAGTTTATTTAAAAAGGCCATGCCCCACTTTCTCAGACTTTGCAACTAGTAGGCTGAGAAATGGTGCTGTAGGAGTCTCAGGAACCAGCATGGAGATTTTAACTACCAAAGGGTGAAACAGATGAAGAGTTTACTAAGGGAAACTGGAGTTTGCCAAGCAAACAAGAAATGTCAGTTTTAATAAATGAGGGTAGGTAAGGTCTGTAAGGAACATGCTGAGGAATGTTCAGCCATGGCTTTTAATTCAACATCTTTTAAAAGAAAAGACATTTTCTAAACAGCCTTTTGTTAAATTCTTTGGTTTCTGCATATCACAATTCACCACACCTTTTCCCTTAAGCATTTTTGGAAGCAATATGCTCTGTCTTGATTTCCAGTTCTGTTTAACAAATATTGCCTATTTATCTCTTTCAAGGTAGCTTGGGACTGATCTTTTAGTTGCTTTTTACTATTCATGAAAATCTTACATTCTTGCATAAAGGAATAGTTGATGAGTCTTAAATTGGATCAGACTAAGCAAAAATAATGGTAAAAAATTATAGCTGTTTCCAGCCAGGGCAGTTTGTCTGGTCAAGCTGCCCTGGTAATGATCATGTGAGAGATGAGCTGACAAGTAGTGGAAAAAGAGCACTGGTTGAAGTACAGTGGGAGTATGGTTATGTTACTAGGGATATAGACTGAGGCGCAGCTCCGTGTCACCAGCTGCAAGCTCATCCAGGCTGTTGGGATCCTTCTGACACTCCCTCAGCGCCTTTATCACGACCTCTCCCTCCTGTCTGCAGCTAGTTGTACTAGTATAGCCACTTTGAGAGATAAGCCTGATGGGTCACTCCCTCCCAATGACATACTGATAATTCCAGGGACTGAATTTCTCCCCTCTTCTTTCCCCAATCCAATGGCTTCACGCTACATGGGATGGGGTGGAGGCAGATTCAAGCATATCCATAAGAGAAGGGACACTCCTCTTGATGGTGATACACACTGCATCCACCATTCTATTCCCTTTCCTGCTGGGCAAGGTAAGGTGGCAGATCAAGGCCAGGAAACTCAAGCAACTTGAGGAACTTGGAATATACAGATTATCTCATTTTCTTTTGCTGTTTTATCTATCCTCAGAGCTTCTTTCAGGCACAGAAGGGAGAGAAAAGTTTTTATCTGGAGCCAGATTGTCAGTCCATAGCACAGTAATGCTAGGCTTTTCATTAAAACCAGTGATGTTATACATATCATAGCAATCTCATAACTCACCTGGAACCTGTTTTGATTCTTTCATTTCTTGTACGTCTTTAATGTACAGTCTTGCAAAAGCTGAAAAGATAGGATCCAGTCCCCATAACAATGAAGGGACCTCTTCTTCTGATTCTGTGGCTGCGGTGAACATTCAGAAGTGAATGACGTGGCTCCAAGACCATGTATCAACCCAAGACAGGCAGAGCTTCTGACCAAATGTTTGCAAGTCTGTGGGGGGAAATGTGTGTAACATAAACATTATGCTAGCTTGATTAGTTTTTATTATAATGCCTAGTTTTAAGATTTTAATTGTTGATGGTATGACAGGATTAGAAAGAGTGCTAACTGCTCCATGCATTTTATGTAGCGCCTAGCCTCTGCTAAAAGGAAAGCAACAAATGCTTGAGTTCATTCCTTCTGGATACAGGAAAACAGAGATGTAGTCCGAGATCAGCAATGAGGGTCAAGCAACCTGCAATGTTACCTCAATTAAGCTTATCACAAGAGGCGGAATTTAGGCAAGGACTACAGGCCGGTCACAAAATGCTTTGTACCCCACTGTCCAAAACTTTTCATCAATTTATAGTTGCCATCTTCCTTGCTGACAAAATTACACTATTAGTAACAATCAGGAATACAACGTCAGTTATTGCACAATGACTAGTTTCATTCTCTCCAGTGTTTTCCCTTAATTAGTTTCATCCCTGGCATGCACTCAATGCGTTGTGCAATCCTGCTGTGACCCGCTGGAAAAGCAGGCATGGCTTGTGCTTGTTTTCTTTTCAAACAAAAGATTGGCTACTTGTTTATATTTGAAGCTATCAAAAGAAACATATATGAAATGCAGATCTGGGAGTATCATTTCCCCCATTCCATCTTCACAGTCTTTAGATCTTACTTAGTTTGAAATTTTGAGTGAATACTTGAGATGACAGTGGTATACTGTATAAACATATTACCTGTCAAATCTCAGCAATGAATTTACACAGGATATGAACGGTAGAAACACTGTTGTTGAATGAATGGGTTGCATACAACTGAGGCATACTCAAGAGTAGTTCCATTTTTATCAATGGAATGTAGTCAAGTTCTTTAATTTCAATTGGTCTACTTGGAGTATGACTCGGTTGGCTACATTATGGTTTTTAAAAATGTTATTTCTACCTGCCTTGAACTGTATGAGGCTTCTTGCACTTAAAACCAAAATAAATTTTCCCAATAATTAAGAAGAGTTTGGATTTGATATCCCGCCTTTCACTCCCTTTAAGGAGTCTCAAAGCGGCTAACATTCTCCTTTCCCTTCCTCCCCCACAACAAACACTCTGTGAGGTGAGTGAGGCTGAGAGACTTCAGAGAAGTGTGACTAGCCCAAGGTCACCCAGCAGCTGCATGTGGAGGAGCGGAGACGCGAACCCGGTTCCCCAGATTACGAGACTACCGCTCTTAACCACTACACCACACTGGCTTAATTAATTTGAAACACAATGTAAAAATGAGGATCATTTTGCAATGCAAATCAATGTGAATGAAACTTTGTTGTTTAAAGCCATTGGCCACCACAATGTGACATTTATTTTTAAAGAAAATATTTAGCAACCTTGAAACACTATTTCCATATTTCATGTCATCTGTAAATTCACTGTCATGAGTGAATGAAAGCAAAGAAAATGCAGTTGCTAATGTCTGATTATGGTTCTATCTACATTGAACTATGCATTTTGATCAAAGAAGCATTAGCTGTGACTCTACAAAGCACACAAGTTTCTAAAACAAATGGATTGCTTTGCCTTTAGGTTTACTTCCAAAAAGAATGACTGTGATGGTGATGTTGGTGATAAGAGGCCAACCATAACATGTACTTGCAGTCATGAAAACAGTCAAAAGTACTACCATTCAATTACTACTAACCACAAACTAGGAATAGTAGCTGTGCTAGGCTGCTATAACATCAGACAATAAGGAGACTTGTTGCACCTTAACAACAAAGCAGATTTGCTATCTAAGAGTTAGGCAGGAAAAGTGTATGGAGTGATGAAGAGGGTAGAAATTGTGGTACATATTTGATTTTGCAGTTTAATACCAAAAAGTTAGATGCATTAAAAGAAATAGCGGTTCTTCCTACACATTTCCCATCTTTATTTTCTGAATTCTTAACTGGACTGGAAGTATCTGACAAGGGCTGTTCACCAGGGGGCTGTTCCTCTTGCTGAGTGAGAAAGCTTGCAACTTATAAGGTCTGTGCAGCTTGACTTTTTCAGCTAGGGGAGGAATTCAATAATGACCTACATAGATCCTACTACGCATGTATTAGTGGCAGCAATTAGGCATTATTGAGGACAAAGGGATAATAAAGTAGCCTTAAATCCACTAAAGCTTTGAGAACTTTGTATGATTAACAGTCTTATGACTAGATTAATAGAGAACAGTTCTGCATAGTCAGAAAATCAGAGTGCAATGCATAAATACATAACTCTAGGTTAAGAAACCAATTTGCTGAAAGAAAACTACAAGAATATGAATGTGGCATATAGATCCAACTGTCTTTCCACCTACTGAGCATGGCTGATGAATTAGCCTTGTGTATATATTAGGAAAGGGAAGATGTGAACAGATTATGCATAGGAAAGAGATAGAATAAAAGGTGTAAGGAAAATAAAAGAATCAGAGTGAAACGAGGAAGCAATTTGGGACAAAAAAATGGGGAGAATAAGCAAAAGAGCAGATAGTAAAAGACAAAAAAAATATGAACCCAGGTGGATCAGACTCAAAGGTTAATCTAGTCCAGTATCCTGTTATCACAGTGTCCAGTCAGGGCCTAAATGCAACAGTACTCTCCACTTGTGATTCCTATCAACTGGTATTCAAAGGCATACTGCTTCCAACAGTGGTGGTAGAGCACGGTCATCTTGGCTTGTAGCCAACAATAGCTTTAGCTTTATCCTCCATGAATCTGCCTTTCAAGCCAACCAAACTGGGTTCCATCATACTGCGAGAGCTAATTCCATAGTTTATGCCCTGGTGAATTCTTCCTTTTGTCTGCCCTGACTCTTCCACCATTCAGCTTCTGCTATAATGCAGGTACAGAACAGGATAAAGACTTCTCCCTATCCTACTTTCTCCACACCATGTGCATATATCACTTTTTTCTAACATAAAAAGTCCCCAATGATGTTATCTTTCCTCATAAGGGAGTTGCTGTATCCTTTGATCACTTTGATTGCCCTTATATATAGTGTATAGCTGTACAATATCTTCTTTGAGGTGCAGTGACCAGAATGGTATACTGTATTCCGAGAGCAATCTCACCATATATTTTAATAAAAGTAATCTATTAGCAGGTTTTTTTTTATTCCTTTCCTATCAATTCCCCACATGGAAATTGTCCTTTTCATAGCTGCCACACAGTGGGCCAATGTTTTCACTGAGCTATCAGTTACTGCTATTTTTGAACCCAACAGTGTATATTTGTCCTAACATGCATCACTTTACTTGCTTTCACTTTCACATTTCAAATTTTAATGCCCATTCCCCAGTTTGGAGATATCTTTTGGGAACTCTTCAATATCCTTTTTTGTTTTATCACCCTAAATAATTTGGTGTCATCAGAAAACCGAGCCACCTCACCCCTATGAACATGTTTTTCCCCTCCAGAAGTGACATTGCAGGGGAGTAGCCACAGCTGTTACTGGATTCCATCCTCCATCAGATCCAGTCATCTTAGCCAATGCAGTTCGGCAACCTCTAGAAGACAAGTTTCTAATCCCTGCCTTAAACAAAAGGTAGAGCACTTGTATAACAGCAGTCAATTTGAATCCAACTTTTTATCACCATTGTGAGGGAAGTATAATAGTGAACACCAAAGATAGAAGAGCTTAGCAGGTAAAGGGAAAGATATGAAAAAGATTGGAATGAATAGGAAACAACAGAAACAGAAGGATAAGTGGAAAACATATTTCATCTAGTTCTTTAGTCTGTGAAAATACAAAGGTTTAAGGATGTGGGAACTGTCACATCCCCCATCAAGCCCAGTTAATAAATAGTGATAACCTTGCTGGCTCAAGTGGATGTGAGAAAAACTCTATGATGAACCTTATCTACGTCAAACCTTATTTTCTCATAAGTCTCTCAAAACAGGGACAGACAAGAACAACAAAGTCAGTTTTGTGTTTTACTGCCTCCAAATAGATACCTCCAAGAACAGAAAGAAGTTAACTGCTTGCATTCCAGGACAAAGATGAGATTGGTTGCCAGAAGAAATAGTGGTAGGCTGACCTTTTCATGGGAAAGGATGACTATCTTGACTGAAGGAACAGATTTGCCACTAAACAAAAGGCTAAACTAATAGTTAATAATGCGGTGACAGAGGAATTTAAGATAGAGAAAGGGACACGACAAGGCTGCCCAATTTCCCCATTGCTCTTTATTTCGGTTCTGGAGGTTTTGCTAAATATGATTAGAAGGGACCATCTGATTAAAGGTATACAGGTCGGAGCCAAACAGTACAAATTGAAAGCTTTTGCAGATGACCTAGTATTGACACTACAGGAGCCAGAATCTAGTACTAAAAGAGTATTGGATCTGATTCAACAATTTGGTCAAGTGGCAGGATTTAAGTTGAATAAGTTAAAAACTAAGGTTCTTGAGAAAAATTTAACACCGATTGAGAAAGAGAGGTTTCAGAAGGAGACAGGGTTAACATTGGTCAAGAAAGTTAAATACCTGGGGGTGAACATGACCGCAAAGAACTTAAATTTATTTAAAGACAACTATGAGAAATGTTGGTCAGAAGTGAAAAAGGATCTAGAAATTTGGTCAAACCTGAAGCTTTCCTTGCTTGGTCAAATTGCTGTTATAAAGATGAATGTATTGCCAAGAATGTTATTTTTGTTCCAATCGTTGCAAATTTTGGACAAAATGGATTGTTTCAAGAAGTGGCAGAAAGATATTTCTAGATTTATCTGGCAGGGCAAGAAGCCCAGAATAAAATTTAAAATATTAACTGATGTAAAGGAAAGAGGTGGATTTGCCCTGCCAGATCTTAAACTCTATTATGAATCAGCAGCATTTTGCTGGCTGAAAGAATGGCTGCTTCTTGAGAACACAGACATTTTGGATTTAGAAGGTTTTAACAATGTTTTTGGGTGGCATGCATATTTGTGGTATGACAAGGTTAAAGCACACAAAGCATTTAAAAACCATATTGTCAGGAAAGCATTGTTTAACGTCTGGATAAGATACAAAGATTTATTTGAAAATAAAACCCCAAGGTGGTTATCACCGATGGAAGCGAAGGCTCAGAAAAAACTCAATATGGAAGCCAAATGGCCGAAATATTGGGAGATTTTGGAACAAGAAGGTGACAAATTGAAATTGCAGAGTTTTGAGAAATTAAAAGATAAAGTGCGAGACTGGCTTCATTATTATCAAATAAGGGAGGCTTACAATATGGATAAAAAAATTGGCTTCCAGGTGGAAAAATCAAAATTGGAAACAGAACTGTTAGATCCCAAAACTAAGATACTATCAAGAATGTATAACTTGCTGTTGAAATGGAATACGCAGGATGAAACGGTTAAATCTGCTATGATTAAATGGGCACAAGATGTTGGACATGACATAATGTTTGCTGACTGGGAACAGTTGTGGACCACAGGTATGAAATTCACGGCATGTAATGCCTTAAGAGAGAATATTATGAAAATGATATACAGGTGGTACATGACACCAGTCAAGCTTGCAAAAATTTATCATTTGTCTGATAATAAATGTTGGAAATGTAAAGAGAATGAAGGTACATTCTTTCACCTTTGGTGGACGTGCCCAAGGATTAAGGCTTTCTGGGAGATGATCTATAATGAAATGAAAAAGGTATTTAAATATACCTTTCTGAAGAAACCAGAGGCCTTTCTCCTGGGCATGGTCGGCCAATTGGTGCCAAAGAAGGATAGAACTTTCTTTATGTACGCTACAACAGCAGCAAGAATACTCATCGCAAAGTATTGGAAGACACAAGATTTACCCACCCTGGAAAAATGGCAGATGAAAGTGATGGACTATATGGAACTGGCGGAAATGACTGGCAGAATCCGAGACCAGGGAGAAGAGTCGGTGGAAGAAGATTGGAAGAAATTTAAAGACTATTTGCAGAAACATTGTAAAATTAATGAATGTTAAAACGATGTCGGATTGAAATCAAGCGGCCTTAGCAACAAGGTTAATAAGAATATGTAAAAATGGATTGATAACGGATGAAAATACAAAGTTATAATATGCTGAGATATAGAATTAAGATAAAAACAAAGAGGGTAAGGATTTGCTGGATTAACCATGTGAACGGGAATACAAAAAAGGGAGGTGTGAGGAGGTCGGGGAAATAAGTAAATGAAATCTAAGATATGAAAAGATTGATTTGTTTTTAACTATTTTCTATTTATTCTTTCTGTAGTTTGTATATATTTTTTTCTATGTATTTTTGTACTCTTTGTATTTTTCCTTTTTCCTCTTTTTTACTCTGTAACTGTTTTTTTCTTTTTGTAAAACTTTAATAAATATCTTTAAAAACAAACAAACAGATTTGCCACTAAAGTTTTCACCTATAGGATTTTCAAGAGAATGAAAATATTAGGGAATTATTAAATAATGTTTATGATTCTTTTATTATTCATATAACCTTATATTAACATGCTTTATACATTATAACCTTTATATACTTTATAATCTAGAAACTTTATATACTTTATAACCTATTTTTGTATGTAATCAATAACTTAAAAATATAGGAATAATAGGTAAAAGAGTCTGGACAACTAACCTTATTTGAAGGTGGTCCACTCTAACAGGGGAATCTATGAATTCCAAATTCCAGGGGCGGTATTTCAGGGGTTGCATTTTGTGTTTTGGAACACAGGATAATCAGCTTAGCTGATAAAATCTCTGCTCAGACATGATTCTGATAACACAATAAAACATTTCTTTTCAATACAATGCTGTAATGGAAAAGATTCTGCTTTTAAAATATTTAGAGAACTGCTATCAGGAACACAGGAAAATAGTTGTTTATTACAGACTCTTGTTTTATAACATAATACCATAGCAATGACTTGATCCTATATTACTGGTAATATCTATATTAAAGTTAGAGAAAATTGTATTTTCAAGGTATGCAACTGTGAAACCGCCTTCTTGACTGTTGGACCCGCTATTGGTCTTGTCTGCTCAATCCACAGGAACTTGTCTTCACATGCAGGTGATAGACAAGTTCCTAACTTACTCAGGGTTTAAGACCCATTAGCTACCCTCACCTGGTTCAGCCAACCAATCAAAGCCCTTATTACAACAGCAGTGGTATAACTGGTCAAACTTCATAAATCATTATATTGCAAGTGGTTCTCTGGCACTTTCACTGGAGGATTAGGGAGCCCTTTCATTTGGGCAACCAAGATTTAAAGGAAACACTTTAGCTAAACTGGGGGGGGGGTATTCATTGACCAAGTGGCATTTACTACAAGTAAAAACCCCATATAGGTGGAAGCCACCTTGTTCCTGCTGGAAAATAGGTTCTTGGTTGCCCATCAAGGTTTGATGTTATCTGTTGTGCCTGTCTTCTGCATACTGTGTGGATGATAATGGGTCCTCCTGTGGGTGAAGGGTAGTAGGAAAGGGAAATACTGTATCTGAATGTATATATTATGCCGATTTGTTTTAATTTTTTTGATATTCTGCTGACTTTTGCTTAACTAGCACACCATCTAAAATTAATCTCTACCTGTTTTGACAAGGACTGCCTAGTTTCTTTATAGTCTGGCTCTCTATTTTATAAAAATATTTATATACAACTAATTCACAAAGAAAATATCAAAGGGGTTCAAAACAACTATTGACTTGTGTGCTTTACCTAAGCATGGAGACAAAACTGAGGAATAACTGGCTGCTGTATTTCCAGAGAGGGGAAAATCAGCCATTAGGTGTTTCTCCTTCCTAGGAGACCTTGGTGCAACCTAAAACCTCCATATCAACTAAGAGAATCATTTGCAATCTGTCACCTCTTCCCACACTTCATCTTAGTACTCTTATTAGCTACAAACATGAATGGCTTGACCCACCAATCCTTTTCTCTCTCACTCCTCCCACCATTGAGGATTTTACCACCTACTCTGATGAAGGGTTATGGAGAACTTGCACACTATTTGGGGATATTTTGGTTAGCATAATACAGATGCGGCCCCAAAATGGATTTTGGAGCCCACAAGGCCAGACTGTGTGAACCATACACAACACCAGAAGGGAGAAAGTAAAACTATTTGAAAAGAGTATACTAACTCCTGGAACACTGTGAAAAAAGGCTACACTATTGCCTTCTAATATGAAACTGTGGAATTAATTTCTGTGTAGGTCGTAATGGGTGCCTTGTGCATTAAACTATTACAGTTCAGCTCCATTAAATGAACAAGAAGCAAACATTTTTATTCAGGATAGACTAACTTATTGCAGTAAAGTTTGCTTAGTCTGTCAAACTATATTCTGATACAGTATGGACAGCTTGAGAGGATAAGAGCCCTGATAAGACCTTAAATCCATCTTGTCGGCCAGCAGCCCATTTCTATGGAATATCCACAGCTCCCGTGCCTTGCAACAGCTTACCCTGCTATCTGGGCTGAGGATTTAGTATTCAAAAGTGTACTGTTCCTGACGCATTGCCCATTGTTTATTTTTTATCCTTTTAAAAAAACTACTTTCATTTTAAAGCCAAGGACCGCAACCATATCTTGTGGCAGTAAATTCCATAAACAATTTGCTAGACCAAACACATATCTAGTCCACCCCCTGGTTTTCCACAATACCAACGGGACATTCATGGGGCTCTCAGGGCATGAGGGAAAGCGCCTTCTCTCGCTATTGCTCCCCAGCGAGTGGCACTCAAGACATTCGTTGCCCCTGATCCTATATGGACATAACGATCAGTAACTATCCTGTGCCTAAATTCCCCGTCCAAACACTCCACATACACAGCCATACATGGAGGGAACAGGAAGCCTACCCTTTTCCCTTTCCCCTACAAACGAGCACAAAGTAATCGCCAAAACTCACTAAACCAGCACAAAAGAAAGTTGCCCCTTTTAACCACCCCTTTTTTTCCAAAGTGCTGTCATCTCTCCCCCTCCTCAAAACGGTCGACGCTGCGCCACTTACCCGCCAAAGAGCTCGGCGCGCTCCTATTGGCTCTCCGCCGCTAACGGGCGTGTTTCCTAAGCGTCACGCGCATGGGACAGGGGAGGGGTGTCGGTGGGAGGAGAAACCGGAAGGAAGTCTACCTCAGGCGGCCGCCCTTCTCTTTTAAGCTCCTCCCTCTCCGCCTTCCTCCGCCCCCGTTTCCTTGAAACCCGGCTACGTACATGAGAGAGAGGCGGGGGGAGTCATAGTCAGCGCGAGTCCGGGAAAGAGGCATCTGGCGGAACTGGAGTAGAACCGCGCATGCGTAGTTTAGTGTCGAAGCGAGTGGAGCGGGAGGAGAGCGAGTTGGGAGTGGCTTTTCTACCAGGCTCTCGGTCGAGAGTGGCTGAGGAGAGAGTGCGCGTGCGTGACTGTAGTTGGGAGCGAGCGAGCGAGGGAGAGAAGCGAAGCGCAGCCGGGCTCGGGTGGTGGTTGGAGGCGGGGGGAGGAGAGGAAATCGGCATAAGGAGGCTTATTGCTCTGCCCCGCCCCCACAGAGGAAGTGGGAACACAGAAGGCGGCGGCGAAGACGAAGACGCCGGATCCGTCTCGGGCCGGGTGAGAGGCTGAAATGAGCTTCCCTGTGGGTCGCGGGCTCCTTTATTCGCAGCGCTTTTCCTTTCCCACTTCCTACCCCCCCCATACTAAAAAAAGTGGGGCTTGTTGTCGTTACGACCGTTGGTACTGCTTCTCCGGAGGGGGGGGTCTCCTTCAGCCCAGACTCCTATGGCTTTTCTTTTCCACACAGAAGTGAAGGGGGGGGAGATTTATTTCACACGCCCCCTGCTTTGTGGAGTAGCTCCACTTTACCCCTCAAAAACTCCGGTGGAGCCCCTCCCTCACGCCTTAAAGCAAAATCCATGATTGACTTTGAATTGTTGTGGGGATTGGTTAAGTGTCTTTCGGGGAGGGACCGGAGAGTTCGTGAGTTGTCAAGGCGGGACGGTCTTTCTCACTTTCCTCTTCTCTCCAACAGGCGAAACTGGCTCCCAACGCCCATTGGATAAGGAGTCTTTTTATTTTATTTTACCCAAAACATGAAGGAGGATGTGCAGTCTTTACAGTGTTGGAGTCCTGAAGCTGTTTCATCAAACGAAAGGAGGCTTGTCCTGAAATGGTGCCTATAATCCTTGTTGCTAAATAAGTAGTATTGGAGTAGTAGGATTTGAATACTGCTGTCTGCCCTTTTGTTGTTTGGCACAAGTATCCTCCACCAGATGTTTTGCTACACCATCAAAAATATTATGCTGGTGTGTTTTTTTCAGCCCCCAGACTGCCACAACTGATGGCTGTAGACCATCAATGTACTTTATCTAGTAGCATCTTTGGGGCCTTGCCATGTACTATGGTATGGTTATTATGAGCAAGAAATTTGCGATCAAATGATTCTTTGGCTTTTAAAGCTAGAGAGATAGACTTGAAAGAAGTTGTTCTACTTGACATTGGATTATTGTATACTGCATCTAAAAATTAAGGTCAAAAACTCTTTTTTTCTGTTGGTTTGCTGGCAGCATCAAAGTTCTCACGTGACATAACTGCCGCAATTGTGTGCCTTTTATCCCTTTGGATCATAAAGCAAGGAAGAAAGGTGTTGGAAAAAGCCAAACTGTTGTCTACTCTGAGGTTTTGATACAGTTTTTGAGTTACTGGTAGTTTAAAAAGCAAAGATGTCATTCTTCAATTTCCGTAAGATCTTCAAGTTGGGGGGTGAGAAGAAAAAGAAGCAGTATGAGCATGTCAAGAGAGACTTAAACCCAGAGGACTATTGGGAAATTATAGGAGAACTGGGAGATGGTGCTTTTGGAAAAGTATTCAAGGTAAGAAATTTTGTTTTGTCTTATATTCCTGCTGTCTTTGCCTATAACCTGTAACTTGGGAACATCTGATTATATCATAAAGATTTCATCATCCTTAGAATGATTTTGGTTGTTCTGTTGTTTACATCTTAGGGCAAACATGGTTTTTCTTTTGATCATGCCAGTCTTCCAACTCTACAGTTCTTTGATTCTATGAATTGTCGCAGTTTAGAATAATAGAAATATGAGATGGAAAAGTATTGGATCATTAATCCACCCTCTCTTTTTTTTCTTTGGTATTGCAAAGTTGTTCTTGTTGGCTGGTTTTTCAACTATGACTGGTTTTGAATTTCATTTATAAAAAATAGAAGAGCTTCTTGCATGTATATATGCTGGATTCTCTTCATTTCACCACAGTCAAAATGCAGGCCTTAAATTTTTTTTACTAGATGCAGTTTGTTATAAAAGCATGAAATTAGTTTCTTTCAACAAAGTACATTGCTAGGGGGAAAATACTCAATTTTGTGTGTGTTTTTCATATAACATTGTTTTTGTATGACTTCTGCAAGTGCTGCTTATCACTTCAACCTTCCTTTCTCTAGATGACAAGCTGCTTTCTAAACAGTTGGCTTAGGCTTAGCAAGATCTTTATGAAGTAACTCCTAAAAGGAAGAATCCCATGCCTCATAGATACAGTACTATGCCTTTGGTTTTGAATTGCTGATTTATGGTGGTTGGGGGAATATATGTGAATATATGCAAAACAGCATTTTAAAGCAGGAGCTCATCAGAGAGCAGAATTGGGAGGTTTGCATATTAGAGATTGGTAGAACAAGTATTAAGTGTTTTCAGGAAAAACACACTCAGAGGAAGCAATAATACAATTTTCAGGCATCTCATTCTTTAGTGCATGGAACTAATTTTACTGAATTATCTTTTAAGGACATCCAGCTTACTGGTTGTCACTACATCTTATAAGAGCCAATTCTATAGTTTCGTTATGTAGGAGGTAGTATACCTCTGTGTACCAGTTGTTGGCATTTGAAAGTGGGGAAGAATGTGCTCAGATCCTGCTTTGAAACTTCCTCTAGGCATCTTGTTGTTGCAGTGAGAATAGGTTACTGGACTAGATGGGTCTATGGTCTGATTCACCAGGTCTATTCATATGATAGTATTTCAGTACTGTACTCTTCATTTTGGTGTGGGACTGAGATTGCTTTGTTCAAAAAGATCAAATATCTAGGAATTTGGATCTCTACAAAAAACATAAATCTATATATCGATAATTATGCGGAAGTATGGATGGAGATCAAAAAAGACCTGGAAATTTGGAGTAGACTAAATCTATTGTTATGGGGAAGAATCTTGACTATCAAGATGTCAGTGCTGCCAAAAATGCTATTCTTATTCCAAATGATCCCTATAATAAGCAGGACAAGCTGCTTTAAATAGTGGCAGAAAGAACTAGCAAAGTTCATATGGCAAGGCAAAAACCCTAGAATTAAGTATAAACTTTTGACGGAGAAAAAGGACGGGGGGGCTTTGCATTGCCGGACCTCACATTATACTATGAGGCTGTATGTCTTTGCTCGACAAAGGAATGGATGATTTTGAAAAACACAAATATATTGGACATAGAGGGGTGGGATAATAGATTCAGCTGGCAGGGGTATTTGGGCTATAACAGAGTGAAAGCACATAGAGGCTTCCTCGAGCATATAATTAGAAAATATTTATACACGTCTGGGAATGATACCAAAAAGTTATTAGAACCAAATACACCATGGTGGTTATCGCCTTTGGAGGCTTTTGCTGTAAAGAAAAGTTTGTTAGGATTTTGACATGGTACAAAAGAAAATGAAATAAAGTGAGAAGAAGCTGTTAAGAGGTAGAGGGAAGTCAATAATTATTATTTATTTTTTTTTTTTTTAAGCAATTTATTGGGTTTTACAATAAGAATAAACATAATAAACAATATAACATTTGTCTTAACATAGTTTCACATTTTCTTTGGACTTCCTCACATCCCCGCTCACACTTTCATCGTTATAACATTTTGTCAGCAATTTATCATCTTATTTAAATTCTTATATCTCTTCAATGTTTCATAATCTTATAGTTCTCATAAAGAGTTAAACTTTCACAGTCTTACTTGTTTTCTTAAAAACTTCTAAGTTAAGTGGTGCTCAGTTATTTAGTCTAGCATCTTATTTAGCATTCACTCAAATCACAATATTTTTGTAGATAGTTCTTAAATTTCTTCCAATCCTCCTCGATTCTCTCTTCTCCCAGGTCACGGATTCTGCCGGTCATTTCAGCCAGTTCCATGTAGTCTATCAGTTGCATCTGCCATTCTTCCAGTGTGGGTAAATCTTGAGTTTTCCAATGTTTTGCAAGAAGTATCCTTGCTGCTGTTGTTGCATACATAAAAATGTCTGGTCCTTCTTTGCCACCCCTTGGCTGACAATACCCAGAAGGAAAGCCTCTGGTTTCTTGGTAAAGGTATATTTAAATACCTTTTTCAATTCATTATAAATCATTTCCCAGAACGCCTTCACTTTAGGGGCAGGTCCACCAGAGGTGGAAGAACGTTCCCTCACACTCTTTACATTTCCAACACTTATTATCAGACAGGTGGTAAATTTTTGCAAGTTTAACTGGGGTCATATACCATCTATAAATCATTTTCATTACATTTTCTTTCAGAGCGTTACATGCAGTAAATTTCAATCCATTACTCCACAACTTTTCCCAGTCCTCAAACATAATGTTATACCCAATGTCCTGTGCCCACCTTATCATAGCCGATTTAACCATTTCATCTTGTGTATTCCATTCCAACAGCAAGTTATACATCCTTGAAAGTACCTTAGTCTTTGGTTCTAACAATTCTGTTTCTAATTTCGATTTCTCCACCTGGAACCCTAGTTTCTTATCATTTTTAAAAACTTCTTTAATCTGAGCGTAATGTAACCAATCTCGCACTTTGTCTTTCATTTTCTCCAAACTCTGCAATTTCCAATTGTCTCCATCTTTTCTAGTATTTCCCAATATTTTGGCCATTTAGCCTCCATATTGGGTCTTTTTCGGGCCTTAGCTTCCAAAGGTGAAAGCCACCTTGGTGTTTTATTTTCCAGCAAGTCTTTATATTTTGTCCAGACATTATACAATGATTTTCTGACAATATGATTCTTGAAGGCCTTATTTGCTTTAACTTTGTCATACCATAAATATGCATGCCATCCAAAAACATTATTAAACCCTTCCAAATCCAACACATCAGTGTCTTCAAGAAGTAGCCAGTCTTTTAGCCAGCAGAACGCTGCGGCTTCATAATACAACTTTAAGTCCGGCAGGGCAAAGCCCCTCTTTGTTTTGCATCAGTTAATATCTTAAACTTGATTCTGGGCTTTTGCCCTGCCAGACAAACTTCGAAATATCTCTCTGCCACTTCTGAAAGCACTCCGTTTTGTCCAAAACCTGAAGTGTTTGAAATAAAAACAACATCCTTGGCAATACATTCATCTTAATAGCAGCAATTCGGCCTAACAAAGAAAGTTTCAATTTTGACCAACTATCTAAGTCTCTCTTAATTTCTGCCCAACATTTTTCATAGTTATCCTTAAATAGACTTAGATGTTTTGCTGTTATGTTTACCCCTAGGGATGTTACTTGTTTAACCACATTAAGTTCCGTCTCATTCTGAAACCGTTCTGACTCTGTATCAGTCAAATTTTTCCCCAAAACCTTAGTTTTCTGTTTATTTAATTTAAATCCCGCCACCCGACCAAAATCATTAATCAATTGTAATACTCTTTTCGTACTGGGCTCTGGCTTCTGCAGGGTCAAAACCAGGTCATCTGCAAAAGCTTTTAGTTTATATTGTTTCTGACCAACCTGAATTCCTTCCACCAACCGATCCCCTCTAATCATGTTCAGTAGCACTTCCAGAACCGAAATAAATAACCAAGGGGAATAGGGCAACCTTGTCGTGTCCCTTTTTCAATTTTGAACTCTTCTGTGACCACATTATTAACTATCAGTTTAGCTTTCTGTTCTGAATATATCGCCTCAATCCCATTCTCAAAACCCCGTCCCACTCCCATCTCTTTTAAATTTCCCATCATAAATTTCCAGGAAATATTGTCAAAGGCCTTCTCCGCATCTATGAAAATTAAAACTGCTTTTGTATTTATATCTGTTTGCAGAAGTTCCAAAATGTCAATAATGTTCCTTGTGTTAGCAAACAGATGTCTACCTGGGAGAAAACCGGCCTGGTCCTTATGAATTACTTCATTTAATACTTTTTTAAATCTACTTGCCAAAATATCTGCAAATATTTTGTAATCCACATTTAAAAGAGAGATGGGACGGTAGTTCTTCAGTTGTGTCTTTTCAGCTTCTGACTTTGGTATTAATGTGATGAACGCTTCCTTCCACGAATCCGGTGCCCTCTTCCCTCCATAATTTCATTGCTGACCTCCATCAAGGGTTGTATCAAATAGTCTTTTAATGTCTTATAATACTTGGAGGTCAGCCCATCTGGCCCTGGAGATTTGCCAAGTTGCATGTTCTGAATAGCTTGTTCAATCTCCTGTCGTGTTATTTTAGAGTTCAGGATTGTCCTGTTTTCTTGTGACAATTTAGATAGTCCATTTTTGCCAAAAATTGTTTAATCTCAACTTCGTCTTGCGGCCCTTGGGTGTATAATTTTTTAAAGTATCTCTGGAAGCACTTTCTAATATCCACTGGATTCTGAATGTTTTTTCCATCAACCTCTAAGTTTGTAACCGTGTTTAATCTTTGTCTTCTCTTCAACTGCCAAGCTAGCAGTTTTCCACATTTATTCGCCGACTCAAACGTTTTTTGTTTCATTAATTTAACCTTCCATTCAATTTCCTGATTTATCAATTTAGAATATTGTGTTTGATAGAGTTTAATTTCTCTCAGAGTTGGCTGTGACTTTGGATTCGCTCTTAATTTCTTCTCTAATTCTTTTAATTTGTCCAAAATCTTATCTTTTTTCTCATTTTGTGTTCTTTTCTTTACTACATTCTGTTGTATCAAGAATCCCCTCATTACAGCTTTGCTTGCGTCCCAGACAATTCTTTTTTCCACCGAATTGTTCATGTTTATCTCAAAATAGTCCTTCAAAACTTTTTGGGCCTTCTTGGTAATTTCCTGATCTCTAAACCAATTGTCGTTCATCTTCCATCTAAAGGATCCAGTTGGTAGTAGTGTCATATCCATCTTTACTGCATTATGGTCAGAGCAGGTCTTTGGGCAGATTTCCACTTTTCTGACCTTAGGTGCCAGGCCTCTGGAAATCCATATTTGGTCGATTCTTGTCCAGGTCAGTTGGGCTTCAGAAAAGAATGTTCCTTCTCTACCTAGTGGGTTCTTTGTCCTCCAAATGTCAATCAAATCCATATTGTCAGTCATTTCAAAAAAAAGTTTTAGGTAGTCTGCCGTCTTTTGTAACATTTTGACTTTGTGACTTGTCCATGTTAGTTGACACGACCCCGTTCATGTCTCCCATCATTATGATGTTGTTGTAATCCAGATATTCCAGCATTGTCCCCTGCAGCTTCTTGTAAAATTCGGATTTCCCTTCGTTAGGTGCATAGATTCCTAATATCAACAGTTTCTCTCCTTGATACTGTATCTCAATGGCCAAAATTCTTCCATGTTCATCTTTAAATAAGAATTTAGGTGACAGGCTCTCTTTTGCATATATCACCACGCCTCTCTTCTTAACTTTGTCCGACGAAACAAATTCCTGGCCCAATCTTTTATTTATTAACACTTTTCTGTGGAGCCTCGTCACATGTGTTTCTTGTAAACAAATAATGTCCAATTGTTCTTTTTTTAATATATGAAATATTTTCTTCCTTTTTTCCGGAATGTTACAACCATTAATGTTCCAACTCAGCAATTGCAGAGACATCCTGGATCTATCTGGTTATTTCTCCAGGGGTGGTGTCTTCTCTGGATCTTCAGGTTCCCCAGGTGCTGGTGTTAATGCTGGCTTTGCCCCAGGCCCAGAAGGTAATTCAATTCCTTTTTGAAGGTCCTCTCCGTATGTAGCCAAAAATTTGTCTCTCTCTTCCAATGTTCTAACTTTGACCTTTCTCCCTTTAAAGGTAAAAGATATTCCTTGGGGAAATTCCCACCTGAATGGAATTGCGTTGCTCCTTAGTAGTTTAGCAAGTTCAGAATAGGCGGCTCTAAGATCCAGCAGTTGTCTTGGAATATCTTTATAAATTTCAATTCTTCTGTCCAAAACCTCCAGTGACTTTCCGTAATGTAGGCCCAAAATCTTATCCCTTTCCTCCTTTGATCTCAATGTAATCAAACAGTCTCTGGGCCTCTCCTTCTTTGTGAATCTTCCAAGTCTGAAAGCCGACACAATTTTAAAATCCTTTTCTTCCAAATTCCAGAACTTGGAAAATTCTTTGGTCAAAAACTCAGTTAAATTTCCTTCTTCTGCCTCTTGTAATGATCTAATCCTCAAATTATTCTCACGATTTCGCAGTTCTATCATAGAAAGATAAGTCTGATGTTCCCCAACTTGTTTGGTGAGTGGTCTTACCTCTTGCTCTAAATTTTCCAATTTTTGTCTAGTATCTTCAGCCAATTTCCGATTTTCTGCTGAGGCCTCCGTTAACTGTCCAATTGCTTGTGTATTCTGTACAACTTGTATGGTTAATTTATTTAGACATTCTGTATTTTTGTCAATCTTTGCTGATTGCGCATCTACTTTCTTGTCCAAAGCTTCCAATTTTTCAAAGATTTTGTCTAGAACAGAAACAGATACTCCTGAGGCCATATCTTCCAATTGTAACTGCTCTGCTTCACCCTCTCCCTCTTTTGCCTGTGGCAAGGCAACTTCTTCAAGTTCTACTTCTGAGGGCAAAGTAGGTACAGATGATCTACATGTCTGCGAGGCTGAGGTTAGAGTTGTTAAAGTTGTTTGTCTAACTCTCCCTCTTTTCCTTGTGCCACTCATTCCAACGTTGTCTATCAGTCAAGGTCACACTGAGTTTTTCCCATGGGAATAGAAAGGCCCAGAGCAAGCAAACAACAAGGGAATCGAAAGTAAATGTAAATGTAAAGTCACTGTTTTCATCCAATCCTCTAGAGGAGCTTAAAATATCTTTCAGAGTCTAATTTAATGTCCAAGAACCTTCAAATATAAATATTTAGCAGAGTTTATAAGTAGTCACTTTGTTACAGACAGTGCTTATTTATCTCCAAAAAGAATGTTTCAAATTTAAAAAGTCTCAATACCCTCAGATTGTTGCAAGTTCCAATATACAGTATCCAAATCTGCAATACTGACAGCTCAATTTCTCACTGCTCAGGCAGCTCCTGACTCTGGGTTTCACCTTCTAATTTGTAATCCAATAAAAGGGGGGAAAGTCAAGTGCAAGTTAAAATTCCAAGTCTTTAGCTTAAAGTCTTTACTTTAAATTGCAAGTTCAGTAGATGCTTAGATCTGTAAAGTTTAAAATCTCTTCCTTTCAGCCTCCACTCCTCCAACTTAGTTGCTTTTTTCAAGTTCAATGGCTGCGGAAGACGGACTTCCTGTTTCCACGTCTCTCCGCTTTCAGCCAAGTTCAAGCCAATTTAAGGTTTTTCATTTAAAGTCTCTGATTTCAAGTGATTCAGTCTTTACTCACGAGTAAGTTGCTTTTCGTCCGAATCCGTATTTTAGCAGGAAAAAGGATCAGCGCTCACCGGCAGCAGCAGCGCGGCTTCACTCCGCAGACTGTGAAGCAGCTCTCAGCGCCGCAACCCCCCTCCACGCTCCGGAGCCCCTTACGAGGTTCCTTCTGCGTTTGGAGGGTCACTTAAGGCGCCCACCGAGCCTCAAGACCCCAAGCTCTTGCTGCCTGGGGTTTTCCGGAGTGGGTCTCCGCTTCGCCGTAGCGGACGACCCGTTTTCTGCGGAGCCTCCTCTCCCGTTCAGAAGAGGACCGCCATTGCCGTTCGCGCCGCCCCTCGGAAGTCCAATAATTATTATTTAAAGTATGCAAATATGCATAGAAAAATAATGTAGAAGACATATGTCAATGTAAAGGGAATTGTTGATGTGTATTTTAAATTTCAAAAATATCATTAAAAAAAAGAGATTGCCTTGTTCACCCTGTTGGGTGACCTGTCCTGGGAGATGGAGGACTGTGATCCTGTTGATTCCCCTGAACCTCTTATGTGTTTTGGTTGGTAGTACTACTGTTCTTGCAATAAATATTTAATCTGTTATATGCCAGGTTGCACTCCCAGCATCAGGCTCATAGATTTGGGGGTGGTTCCTGGATCTGCCCTATTTATGCAGGTGCCTGTGACATAACTATCTGGTCTACTATCTTGCACCCTTTCATTGAGAAATCAGATCAAGTCTCATTTGTTCATGGCTTAGTCACTCCCAGGTTGGATTATGTAAAGTATCCTACATGGGGCTCCTCTTGAACACAGTTCAATTGGTTCAGAATACTGCTGGGAAACTGTTATCTGGAGTCACCAGGAATTTGGTTGTACCAACTTAACAGCTTTTGATTTCTTTCCAGGCTCAGTTCAAGAGGTTGATTGGGCCTTAAATGCCCTGACAGCCTGGACTGGACAAATCAGCTTGAGGTTTGCTGTCCTCCTGCTGACACAGGTGCAGCTAGTTGGAATGAGAGAGGCATTTTCGATGGTTGCACCCAGGTTATGGAATAATTTCTCCTGGGAGGTTTATATGCCACTTCATTACCTGCTTTCAAACATGCCTTGAAAACTGTTGCTTTCAGTGGGCATTTTTTAACTGAGACTTTTTGAATACAGTAGTTCGTTTGCTCTCTGCTGGTTTCATTACTTGATTATATTGTTTTGTTTTTGTATTTAGCCACCTTAACTGCATTTGCATAGAAACCCAAAGTGTAAGTGTTGGAATACACAAAGCTAAATATTTGTTTTAGCTTTTCATTAGCATTAAAAGAGGAACATAAAACACTACCAAAAAAATCATTTACTTTAGAAAATTATGGTGGAGAGATATAGCCCTGTTTATGGAAGTATTTAATGTTTGATGTTTTGATATATTTTTAACCTTCTGTTGGAAGCCACTCAGAGTGGCTGGGAAACCCAGCCGGATGGGTGGGGTAGAAATAAATTATTATTATTATTATTATTATTATTATAGCACAAGGACAGGGTGGGAAACCTGTGGCCCTCCAGATATTGTAAGACTCCATCTCCCAGTAGCCATTGTCAGTATGGTTAGTAGCTGGGGATAATGGGAGTTAGCAACTCCCAGAACACCATATATTGCACACCATATATTGCACATGGTTTAAAGTGACTCATTCATACAGGTATAGATGCCAATCTCCTGAACATATTGCATCATGTTAGCTTCTGGAAGTTTTGCACATGCAGTGCTATTCTCTTCAACTTTAGTGAAAAGTACCATAATTGTTTAAGGCTGTACGTTTGATATTTTAATCATCCAATTCCTTGCTTTAATCATGGAATATGCTTTCATCTTCCTGAGCAGCACAGAAATCTTGGATTCAGTATGGGATTAAGATTCATAACAGTAGAAAAGACTAGCTACACTTATCTATTATTGCATATCAGACACAACATTCTCAATTCCTGCAATGAGTTGAAAACAAAAGCAACTAACTTCCTCTGTTATACACAAGCACAGAAATCTTATTAGTTTACATCCCACTTCTTTCTTCCCAAAGAAGCCCAAGATGGCGTATCGGTATACATAATAGTACAGTTGATATTATCCAGGGTTAATAATTTTTAATTCTTCAAATCAAGGAAGTATGGTGTACATGCTGATTCTTGCCATCTTTCATTAGTCACTTATGAGCTGGGTGTATACCTCATGAGTAATCTGGAGTCTTTCTTTCACACTTCAGTACATGGAGTGTGTATGTAGAATGTATCCACCCATCCCTTTATAAGGCAAGTCATTTTCTCCAAGGTATGAGTTAATTCTTGTTAACCTCAAACATTTATTTTAAGAGGAGGAAGCAAGGTACCAAAAGGGCGTATTAGCTGTTCATGTATATATTTTTGCTAAAATATATTTTTATGGTAGAAAAAACTCATGATCTCAGTTTTGTCTTGAATATAGCACTTCTAGGACACTATTTTCTGAGCAGTCTCCTAGTGCCATGGTTTGGGATTTCCTAAAGCCATTTTGTGGTTTTATTTGCTCAGATTTCAGTTTCTTTTTCATGCTGCATATTTATCTCTGAATTGAATAAGGAACTATGAATAAGCTTTATAGATTTCTGCCATCTGTCAGTTTCTGTTTCCCAAGATGTGGAAATGACCATCAGTTGTACAGTTAAGCATTTGTTAAAACAGTAGTTAATTTTTCCTTCCAGCTGTCTGTTGCTATTCTCCACTTAATTATCCATTTTTAGTTTTGTGCCTTAGACTGGCCTCTAATCTCTGTAAACGATTTCTAGGAGACTGTGGAATTCTGCAACAATAAGCAGAATGGGTAGAATATGGTTTTCAACATATTGATAGCATTTAATATACTTTCAGGACAGAATAAATATATTTAAAAACATTTTACATTATAAGCCATAATTGAGCCTATTTTTAAAAAACCTGCATTTTGTTGAGTAAAAAAAAAGGCATTCTGTAAATTATTATTTTATGGGATTTGATTTACTGACTAATAAGAGGTGATATCCAAGTTATGCTAAGAGTAGATAATTATTTAAAGCCATTGATTAATGGCTGGGCTCTGAGTGCTACCAATGTTAGCACCCGTGATTTTATAACAGGATACAATTAACTATCAAGGCTGCATAAAGGTATCTCTATAACTATTCATCTTAGGTAAAGGTAAAGGTACCCCTGCCCATACGGGCCAGTCGTGACCGACTAGGGTTGTGCGCTCATCTCGCTCAAGAGGCCGGGAGCCAGCACTGTCCAAAGACACTTCCGGGTCACGTGGCCAGCGTGACGAAGCTGCATCTGGCGAGCCAGCACCAGCACAGCACACGGAAACGCTGTTTACCTTCCCGCTATAAAGCAGTCCCTATTTATCTACTTGCACTTAGAGGTGCTTTCGAACTGCTAGGTGGGCAGGAGCTGGGACCGAACAACGGAAGCTCACCCCGCCGCGGGGATTCGAACCGCCGACCATACGATCAGCAAGTCCTAGGCACTGAGGTTTTACCCACAGCGCCACCCGCGTCCCTATTCATCTTATAACTGTATAAATAGTATAGTGCTTTTCATTTCTTTATAAAGAATGCCATTATGTTAGCACTGGGCAGGTTTGAGGTCTGTCTAGATTGGTGTGGGAAACCTCTGCCCTTGGATGTCCTAGTAGACCTATGAGTCCCATTTCCACCAAAGAACACTGACCTGCCAATCAGTTAACATCACTGAGTGGTATCAGGTAATGAACTGGGCGTGGAGTTGAATTCCCCACAGGGAATGTATTGGCAAAGCAGACCCCACCCCCATTCACCTGTCAAAGTTGACCCACAAGGTGGGGGAAAGTAAAGGTCTGCTCCCCCAGCCAAAAAGATTTCCCACTTCTGGTCTAGATATTCCAAAGAGGAATATGGATTGGATGTGTATTGGGGATCCAGGGTTGTTAGTAATCCATCAATCAAAATGTTGTGGCCCTGTTGTGTTTATTTTGACTTTTTAAAAGAATAAGATAACTTCAGTTGAATTTAAAGTAGTAAATTTGATATAATTCATAAAAGCTAATAAAGGAAACCCAACAAAACAAGCTGAAAGTTGTGACATTCGTAACTAGGGAGAAGGGCACTGAGACTGCTACCCAAAGCAGTTCACTAACTGATATGTGGAAACTTTTGCAGAATTCATTTTCAAAAGCTACACTGTTTCAGTATTTTGGTCATTTCAGACTTGATCTGGGTAAGAATCCAAATTAAATTCACTATAATTTGAAAAAGTAGCAGTTATATTAAACTAAATCAGACTTCTGGAAGCTTAGATGTTTGATCTTTCTTGTCATTTTATTGTTATGTGATGTCATCTTACACACTATTTCCTGAATTGGAGTGAACAAATGTTTCAAACTTTCATTAAGGCAATTTTTATGCATATGGTTTTTATCAGTAGGAAGAGAAATATTCCTCTGGGGCTTCTAATTGAGTTCTAATGGTAAGGAACCCATTATAATAAAAGCAAAACTTGCTCTTGGTGATCATATTACATGCTTGAACATTGGATAGCAACAAATGTTTGCCTCGGGTTACAGAATTTTCAGCCATTTCCTTTCTCCAGACTGAAAAGCTTTATATTGGCATGTTTTTATTTCTGAAGAAAGCATTATGAATAGGCTGTTCAGTAGACAGTGGCTGCTGTGTTGGTTGGAAATGACAGAAGATACAAAGCAGATAAATATTGCATCTGACAAAGGGGCTATGATGTATGAAAGCTCATTAGTCTTTAGAAACTGTTAGTCTTTAAGGTGACACAAAACACCCTTCAGGTCAATGATACTGAAGCAACCTAAGGAGGCATTCGTATGCAAAATTCTGAGTTGCATAGAATGCTTTATTAGCATATTGTGATGTTGACATTACTGCTTCCAGCACTATTTCCCTCTGCTCACAACTTAGTCAAACAAACAGGTTGTTCTTTTTAATTCCTCGAATTACACTGTATAGTATAGTAGTCACAAAGTGCGCACATTTGTATCCTGCCAAGTGTATTGCAGTTCTGCTCTCAAGATGTATGTGGAAATAATGTGAGGTTTGTATTCTAATACGGCCAAGAATATGGGATTAGCGCTATATAGATTTCTTGGTTGTTGGTTTAAAATATTAATTTATCTGTAGATATGTTACCTGTGAATCTAAGCCATCTTTAAAAAAGCATTAGTATAATTTATTCTGTTTGTTATGAAGACATTTGTCCTGGGACAGCAGAGCTGTGTACTCCAACTCTGCCTTTTGCACGGGGGCCAAAGGCCACTGGGAGGATGCACCCTCTTCCTCCTATCATGGTAAGGGGAGACCAGTCTGAACCCATCAGCCAGTAAAGGAGCAGCTACCTCCTTGTCACAAAGAATACTGAACAACTCTTGGTTGCTCAGGGACAGCAAAACTGTAGGAAAGTATGGCCTAGTCTCATCTACTGTTGGGGAACTAATACAGATGAGTGGGTGTTGATTATTTCAGTCAATTGTAAGCCATTGTCAATATTATTTGATCAAATGACAGGGTGTCAATCTTATTGGAACAGACAAAAGTAGCATTGGGTCTAAATCTGGTTTGTGTGCATGCATATGTAGAGTACATAATTATTAGGCAATAAGGTTTTGCAGTGGTTATAAAGAACCACTATGGAACATTTGTACTGATTGGCTCTTTGGTATGTGACCAAAATGGCAACATTAGAGACAGCAGAATAGCATTAGAATGGTAGGATGGGTGGTAAGGTGATAGTGCTTTTTCCATTGTAGCATTTTGATTATAGAATTTTCTTCATGGGGAGGCTTGCCTGAAAAAGATTAAAATCTGTTTTTGAATTGTCATCTTAAATAGATTGGAAGCTATTGACAGTCATTTTGAGACTGGCAAGCTTCTTCTACTTTCTTTTTGCCCATTCTCATTGGGAGCCTAACTACTTAATTTTGAACCAGATTCATTGCTTAAAGACAGCCCCATGTATATGTTGTATAAATGGAATGTGACCAGAGCATAAATAATTGTAAGTCTTGGCTGCCTGCTGGAAGGCAAGCAGCAGTGAGATTAGATTAAACTTCATTAGGCACAATCCATGTTTTTGTTAGCTGAAAAAGAGGCAAGAGGGAGGGGACAGTGAGAAAGTTAATGTGGCAGTACATAGTCCACAAAAGTATTAGGCTTTAACCTTTCTGTGCAACAAAATGGAGGTATTTTGACAATTTTTGAAGAGAAGACTAAATCCTTGGGGTGCAAGATTTGCTTTTACTGTCCTGAAATGATCCTAGTGCCATCAGTCCCATCCCACCAAGCAATATTGCATCACTCTGAGGGATTTTAGTAAAAATGTCAGCTGCTATGAATAACTCCAGGCAGAAGTTGTACTTTCTCCACTTCCAAATTCTTTTCAGGGGATTCCCTTTCCCTCCACTCACATCCCAATTCTACATAGGAGCTTTCAGCTGAGCCTTACATACTAAAGCAGGATGGTGAATCTTTGGCCATCAGTTGTTGTTGGGCTCCAACTTACATTGGTTCCAGCTAGCTGAATTAATGGCAGTTGTGGATGGCAACCTTTTAAGGATCTTAAGTAAATGTCACTCACCCTCATGCTTCTCATTCACTTGGCTCCTTTCCCCTCACTCTGCCACCACCCACTAACTATCCTGTCTTGGTTTGCAGTGGAGATGGTGCTTAGCACTGGACAGTGCTTTGGAAAATGCATGCAGCTTCTTTTATCTTTGTTCCAATGTTTAAAAAGTCATGCTTTTAAGACAAAGGGCAATGCATGCAATCTCCTTAACACTGTCATGTGTAACACAGTGTGTCACAATTGTGTGCGTGTGTGCGTGTGCCTGCGGCTTCTAACATTGGAGCTATTGACTTTGAAGCCACAAGGGAGAATAAGCCCAATACATAGTTTCTGTTGCACCGTTGTTTTGGGAAGTACTTTGGAAATGGCATGTAAAGTTCTATCCTGCCTGCATTAGAGTTGTCTGGAATGCCATGGGGGGCAGGAAAGTCTGATAATTGCATTGTGTGCCCAGATTTCCTAATCCCTTGGTTCTCAAATCAGATGATTGGTCAGGATGCACAAAAGTGTCCCAAGCACCAGCAATATTTACACTAAAGTTATTTTCAGAGTGATGGCAGACGGAAGAGATAAGATGAGGAGAAAGAATAAATAGTCTCTGTTTGCAGGAAGGGTATTGACCTGGCTCTTGTCACTTTTACTGATAGCATGATTTCCCAAATCTTTGACAGATACAGTAATACTAACCAGTGCAACAGAAGAAAGAAATCTGTGGAAATATTGAAGAGGCTATTTCCATGTACTTGATTGATGATGGAAAATCTGTACCTAGTAGGGGCAGACAGTTAGAAGGATATATAAAAGGCAAAAAGTTAAGGAATATGTCCCTTCAGTGCAATCCTGTGAACATCAGCCCAAAAGTATAAGTGCCACTGAACTAAATGGAGCTTCCCCTCAAATAGAAAACTCTAGGGTTGCAGCCTTAGAGTCAAATTCAATCACCCCATTCTACTAGCAGTGCAAACACTCCCACTGTTGCAACAGGGCTGGTACTCTCTGTATCTTCTTTAAATCTGCTCTGGAGGGTCAGGAGAGCCCACCCCCAATAGAATTCCGTGGGGAGGAGATTGTTACCTAAGCAATCTCCATAATCCTACATAGAATTCCCTAGTCCACTCTTAATGTGTTGCCTGTTTCTTTGTTTTAGCATTCTCATGTTAATAAGTTTCCCCATTTGAAAGAAGACATTTTGACCCAAACATAATAGTTACTTTAATATAGTCTTAAAGCTTGATAATTATGGATAAAATATTAACACTTGCAGAACTATGCTTAGGTGTGTTGCCTTTATACATATAGATGCACTACATTTGGTTACTTAATTTACATCACACTTAAGTTCAAAATTCAAACTGGTAGAACACAGTTATCTCCTATTGGAGAAAAATCTTCTCAATTCTGTGTATAATTGTGTTCTGTTCTGCCAACAGCAGCTTTTATAAAGGTGCTCTTACATTGGGTCTGTAGCATTCAATCTATGGTCCTATTAAGCTCAACAGACTTGTAATACTGTATTTTTACTATTTGGAAATAATGGAATGTTTTCAAATTCAGCTAACTTCAGATAGGCCAGTCAAGGGAGATAAATGCTGTATGAAAACTGTTTTGATAGATGTTTACTACATTATATTTTTCCTTATAACCTAATATTTACTGGTGTTTTAGTGGTGTTTTATTGATGCTTTACTGAATTAATTTTCCTTTTGCATGTTGTATGTTGCCTTGATAAACATTTACAAAAGCAGACTAAATACATACATATATGCATAATTAAAATATATGCTTATGATTTTGTGCCATGAACTATGCTACATACTTGTAACTTTATAAATTAAAGTCTTGCAGTTTTCAAATTAGACCCAGCTTAAAATTATTTGTAAACTGTTGTTTCCCAACTTTCAAAGTTGATTTTAATTCTGTGGAAGGAAAAATGAATCACTGTGTGATAAATGTGTTTGCCTAATACACATTCTTGTATAAAGCCTCTTTTACAAGTAGTACTTGAAAAGCTAGTCATGCAGTTTTGTTACTTGTTTGTTGGCCTATTAATGAGGAAGGCATGTGAGATGGTCCTGCTGGTAAACTGAGAGTTAGAATCTGAGAGGAATAAAGTGACAACATAAAAAGTTGTATAATATGCTTGCAGAAACTGTTGAAGTTAGCCTAGTCGTGTTTTTTTCACTGATAAGATTCACTTCTACATTTATGTTGATGCTAGTTACTACTTCATAGTTCAGTGAAACTATGGAAGAAAAACAGTTTTGTTTCATTCCTCAAGCTTTTCTGCAACTGCATTCACAGTCTGACCTCCATAATCCTTTAGTGGAGACCATACTACACAATTATCTGTACACAGATTTACTCTTGGGTCATAACACAAATATTATTTGCATTCACTGTCCCCATGTCTGATCTCTAAGGTACAAGACTCTAGATTTGATAGATGTTTGAAATGTTTCAAGATGTTTGAGTGCTTGAAAATGTTTTGGAAAACAGGAAGATCTGAAAAAATTCATAAAATGAAGAGGTTATTGCTTTGTCATGCTTTACATGTGGACGGTCCCAGGTTAAGTCCTACACACCTCTTAGCAGTTGGCTGGGTTGGAAAGACTGACATCTTGGAAGGTCACTGCCAGTGTGACTGTGCAGAAAGCAGTTCTCCACAGAAAACAAATACTGGCCCTTAAGGCTATGGTCTTTAGATATGCTGGTTTATTTTCAGTAGCTTAAAATGATGGGTTTCCCCACATATAGAACAGGGGTAGGAAACTTTCATCTAAACCCTTGTATGAGCATGTATGATGATATAAAAAAGATTCACCATTCCTGATCTAGACCAGTAGTATGACATAACACCTGGGTCAGTTATCAGGCCAGCAAAAATACTGGCCATAGCTTAGAAAAGCGAAATCTGGACTCCATCACAGTAACAAAAATTTAATATGAGTGGAGTATTGTTGATTTATTTGGTTTGGTGCATCACTTCCTTTCCCAATACTTTGAAGCTGCATTGTGAGTCTGTCATTCACTCAGTAAAGCATTTGCAGTTATTTAGGGAGGCCCACTTACAATCTGGAATGATTCATGCACAAACCACATTGAACAGCCATTGAAGATCAACTAATACAGTAAATGAGATGTTTTCCTTTTTTTTTAAAAAAAAGTCCAGCATCTCTGAACTATGGTTTCTGCGACATCTCCTCCCCAAAATTAAATTACCAATGCGGTTATACAAACCACTATAAAAAAATAAAATGAGCATTACTAATTGAAGTGATAGAAGTCAAGCTGCAGATTTGCTTCTTGCAGGCATACTAAATAGTTCGTTCCTTTCTGTGGGCAGCATCTTCCAGCCACTGAGGACTTAAGGTAATGCTACTATAGAACTGTACAATTGAAAAGGACCCCGAGGATCATATAGCTCAATCTCTTGCAATGCAGGAATCTCAACTAACATTCATGCAGCTGCTGGGTGACCTTGGGCTAGTCACACTTCTTTGAAGTCTCTCAGCCCCACTTACCTCACAGAATGTTTGTTGTGGGGGAGGAAGGGAAAGGAGAATGTTAGCCGCTTTGAGACTCCTTTGGGTAGTGATAAAGCAGGATATCAAATCCAAACTCGACCTCCTCCTTTTCTTCTTCTTCTTCTTCCTCCTCCTCTTTTTCTTCTTCTTCCTCTTCTTCTTCTTCATGCCAGATGGCCATACAACCACTGCTTAAAACATCAAATGAAGGAGAGCTCACCACCACTGTTCCACTGTCGAACAACTCTTACCATCAGAAAGGTCTTCCTGAAGTTTAGTTGGAATCTCCTTTCTTGTAACTTGAAGCCATTTCTCTAGAGCAGGAGAAAGCAAGCTTGTTCCCTCTTCCATGTGATATCCACCTTAAAATATCTCAAGGGCTATCATATCTCCTCTCAGTCTCTTTTCTTGGCTAAACATACCCAGCTCCTTCAACCGTTCCTCATAAGGGTTGGTTTCCAGACCCTTGATCATCTTGGTTGCCCTCCCCTGCACACGTTCCAGCTTGCTAATATCCTTTTTAAATTGTGGTGCCCAGAACTGGACACAGTACTCCATGTGTTGTCTGACCAAGGCAGAATCAAGCAGGACTTCCCTTGATCTGGACACTATACTTCTATTGATACAGCCTAGAATAGCATTACCTCCCCCCACACCCCTTTTGCTGCTACCGCATCACACAGTTGACTTATGTTAAGTGTGTGGAATTACTACGTCTTCTTTTTTATGTTACCGTATTTTTCCGTGTATAAGACACCCCCTATTTTGGGGGACTAACTTTAAAGAAAATGAGGGGAGATGGCCCAAAGTTGTTGAGCTTTTTTAAGGGGAAATTACACTAGTGCCATCACCCCAGCAGCAGGGCTGTTGCTGGAGGTTGGCAAAGTGGGCAGCCGCTCCCCCCATGCCACTGTGAGCAGGAAGCTCCCTAGAGTGCGGGCCATCAACCAGCTGGCTGGCACACGAAGCTTCCCCTCCACGCAGCTGTGGGAAACGCTTCTCTGAGCACGTGCCTCCCACAGTGGCATTGGGGGAGGAAGTTGTGCACCCGCCAACCAGCTGGCTGGCAGCGCGCAGCTTCCCCCACGCCACTATCCATGTATAGGACAACCCCAGTTTTTTTACATGATTTTTGAGTCAAAAAACCTTGTCTAATACACGGGAAAATGTGGTATTTTGCTTTGGTGGTTGATCTGTTCCATGTCACAATAGGCCAGGGTTATGACAGGACATCAGTCCTGGGTGCCAAACAAGCAAGTAAGCAAATAAGTAAATAAATAGTTTTCCATCCATCCAAACTCACAACCTAGTTAGTCTTTACAACACTCCTGCTCTCCAAACCCTTAACTTTGCAACTGATGTTCACATTTAAAGGCGAACCTGCAGCTTCCACTCTGAATCATTTGCTGCTGTTTTGACAGCTCTTGCAAATGTACAACTTTTGTTTGTTTGTTTCACTGATTTCCTTGATATAAAAGGTAAAAATGAAGTGTGTTTCATTTTCACTTAGAAAATGTGAATAAGGCCCATGGAACTACTGGAAATGTGATGGAAATACGGTAATATGTTTAACCAGACAAGTGTGTATTTGTTTTAAAGATACACATAAATATGCACACTAATAAACAAGTCAATATAACAGAATAACATTGTCACATTCAGGAAATTTACATGCAAAGATAGCGGAGAGGAGCAGAAGATTCACTTCCATAATAATCAAGGATATGGCAAGGTAAAAGTCAAGTTTATGTCAACAAAATTTTACCGAAGGAATCCTAGGACACTTTGGCTTAATGCCCTCCATAGGCAAATTAATACATGAGATGAAAGAAATCCAAACTGCTTTAAATGCTTCAGGTTATTGCCAGTTTTGTATATATAACTTTGTGGCTTGTAAGTAACCATGTCTGGGAGGAAGGAAAAGAACCGCAACAAATACGCTGGGTAGTCTGTTGCTAATGCTGAAGTGGTTGATATGGAAACGGCACTCAAAACAGTAGAGGCATGTAATAGCCATGAAGACAGATAAAGCCCACAAGAGAGCCAAAGCCCACAGAATGCACAATGAAACGCTGCATTTAGCCTGACACCATGTTAAGGCCATCATGCTTTACAATATCCACCCCCTAACAACAACAAAAAAAACCCAAGAAGTTGAGTATTTCTGATTTTATTGGTGGCATTTCTTCCTGGTTGTATCCTCACAACTTTGTTGACTTGTTTCCTGGCCTGTATTTGGCAACTTGTGTCTCTCTGTGTGTGTTTATCAGTGATGTAGAACATCACACTAGTTCAGAGTTTTGCCTTCACCTTGTGTGTCATTTTACTTGTGGGTGTGTTTAAACTTCTACAGAAGACAAAGGTGTACTTTGTGTCTTAGGTCTTACATATTATGTGGGTTGCTACTTTCATTTGCATTTCGTCTAGGATTAGCCAGAAACAAGAACATACCTCCACATTCAGTTGTGGAAGACGTAAGCAGTGTGTAATATTACCTTAAAGTTTTCCGTTGTTTATCACCCTCCCCTTCTTCTTGTTGCCTTCATACTGGGGGCAGGTGCTTTAGTAATGCAGGAAGGAATCAACTTGTAGACTGTTTTCCCCACTCACCAAAGAGTCCAGTAACAGTAAAAGCTGGATGAGAGATGAGACAATGAATTAGAGGGCAATTAAAACATAGACATTTTACAATGTTAATACTTCTTTGTAGAGTCTGTTGAAGATGGGGAAGTGCTCATAAAGTTATATAAATTGGAACAAGTAAAACAACTGACCATAATTTTGTTTCAATGTATTTTCCAGGCTCAGAACAAAGAAACAAATGTGCTTGCTGCTGCAAAGGTGATTGATACTAAATCTGAGGAAGAACTTGAAGACTACATGGTTGAAATTGATATCCTAGCATCCTGTGATCATCCTAACATTGTCAAACTTCTAGATGCCTTTTATTATGAAAACAACCTTTGGGTAGGTATTTGCTGTTGTTCAGAGCCTGTACTTTAGGAGAAGATGTGAAATTACAGTGTCTTTATGACTTGACAAAACAATACTTCAGTACAATATGGGTGTTTAATTAGTACTTTTTGTTTGCATATGTACAGTTTGTTGACAGTGGAGGAAAGGGTGCTTAAACCTTCTGGAGTGTAACTTTAGACCTAAATATGCTTGCTGTTAAGGCAAAAGCTTTTGCTAGAGATCTCAATTTATAAAATAAGATATTTTACTTTAAATTTATATATTTATTTAAGAGTACTTATATCTTGCCCTTTCATTGTAAAAATCTTTATGCTCTCAAATGTGATGGATTGGGCTTTTATTTTTGCCAGCCTAGGTGAAAGGAACAGATCATTTTCACCAACTGACAGGTGGGCGGGTAGCGCTGTGGTCTAAACCACTGAGCCTAGGGCTCGCCAATCGGAAGGCTGGCGGTTTGAATCCCTGTGACGGGGTGAGCTCCCGTTGTTTGGTCCCAGCTCCTGCCCACCTAGCAGTTTGAAAGCACGTCAAGTGCAAGTAGATAAATAGGTACCGCTCAAGGGGGAAGGTAAACAGTGTTTCCGTGCACTCCTCTGGTTCATCAGAAGCGGCTTAGTCATGCTGGCCACATGACCTGGAAGCTGTACGCCAGCTCCCTCGGCCAGTAAAGCGAGATGAGCACCACAACCCCAGAGTTATCCGCGGCTGGACTTAATGGTCAGGGGTCCCCTTTACCCCCCTAAGTGGAGGAGAGATACAAAGAGAGACAGGGAGGAGCCTGACCCACACTAGGAAGGCCACACTTTGTTTACTGTGGCTTACTACATTCAGAAAATCATGGGGGTATAAGCCTCAATCCTGGGTTTCCAGAATTTTCATGGAATTTCCCCCCTCCAAAGTCTGTTGCCTTCTTAAAATTTTAGCTAATGGGGGAGTTGCATATTATAAGGTCAGTTTGTTAAATCTTAGAATTCTAGACCAGTAGGGGAGGGGTGTGAGACCTAGAGAAAGTCCTGAGGACCAGATAAGAGGCTTGTAGGGTCACATTCAGCTGGTGAGCCTGAGGTTCCCCACCCTGGTATAGACTGTTCTGCCCATAAGCACTGCTCAATTTGATTTAAGCATATAGCCTCCCTAGAAAGAGTGTTTGAGGGTTAGGCAGGGACAGGAATTGCAGTGTTTTTCATTGTGTGCCCACACATCGTAACAGTAACAAAATGCTAGGTTTTCTATTGCTGCTGCTTGCTAAATATCAGATACAGAGTTTTTCATTTCTATAACTGAAAACAAGCAATATGACCAGTAAAAGCCTGCCATCTTTTGTCATCAACAAACATTCACAACCCAAAGAGGAAAGGAGAGAGTGACTGATTAGTCAAACATCAGAAGCCTAAAAATGTTGATACACTTGGGATGGATCTAGACACATCAAAGAAGTGTTTCAGTTAAATGTATTGTAAATTTAAACAGGGAAAACAGGTAGAGAAAAGTGGGACTCCATGGTGCCATCTGGTGCCACAATGTTATGTTGCATATATAACACAGAAAATAGCTTTTTCTTTACCCATCTAGCTGAGTCCTTGGTTAGGGGAGTTTTGATTTATCTCCTATGCTCTGACTAGCCAAAGTTAAATCTCAATACTTGGATGATTAAAAATAGATTATTTTAATTTTTATATGCAGATCCTGATTGAATTCTGTGCTGGTGGTGCTGTAGATGCTGTAATGTTGGGCAAGTACAATATTATGTTTTGCAAAAGAAAGCTACAATTTTGCATATTAACAGTTTGGTTATACTGTGTACCAAAATATGTCTGTCTGTGTCTGTATCTATCTATCTATCTATCTATCTATCTATTTTCTGCACTGCCCTTCATCTGAGGATCATGGGGTGGTTTACAATATAAAAACACAAAAATACATAACATAGAAACAAACAATAACAATAACCACACCACACACAGTTTAAAAGGCCACAGATTGTTTAATTAGCAAAAGGACTGGGAGAAGGGGAATGTTTTGCCTGGTGCCGAAAGGTATGTAACAAAGGCACTAGGTGAGCCTTCCTCCACAAGCAGGGAGCCGCTGCAGAAAAGGCCCGCTATGTGTTGCCACCCTTCAGACCTCTCATGGAAGAAGCACACAAAGAAGGGCCTCAAATGAGGATTGCAGGGTTCAGGTTGGTTGATTTGGGGACGGGCGGCCCTTGTGATTAAAATCGTTTGTATACATTTAACACAAAAAACACTACTTACCAAATCTATCCTAGGAATTAATTTAGTAGTTAAAATCCTTCTAAAATAAAAAGCTTTTGTCACTCCTAAGAAAGGCCTTAAGGGAAAAGCAGTTTCTGATCTCACTAAAGGAGTTCATTTCAAGACCTCTTGAAAACCACAGTAAAAACCCCCAAAGAGTGTTACTTCATCCTAATTACCAGGGCAGCAGGACTTCTTGAACTTCACCAATAGGCCATTCTTATCTCTCATTTTAGCTTTGATGAGAAAGCTGGAGCCCAGAATAATTTATGGAACTTTAATAGTACTGTACCTTCTGCAGCACCTCCCTTTTTTCACTCTCAGCCACCTCCATTTTGACTAGTATATAAGATAAAAGAATTCAGGTGTAAAAGAAAGTGTGTTGGCAGTTCTGATTTGTGAGAAATGTGCTCCAGATAAAAAAATAATTTGGAAAAGAGTGGGGCATATTTTTTCACAGTGTAGGAATTCTGCTAATTTTTAGAATTTTGTTATGCTTGAATCTGATTGAATTTGAACATCTTAAACAAAAAAATCTCAAAGGTATTTTATGAGTGCTGTAGCAGCACTTTGAATCTTGGAAGAAACTGATTGCTCACCACAGAATATGGGGATCCCTTGATCCTCCAAATGTTGCTGAATTATCCATCATTGGCTATTGATCATTCTTGCTGGGGATGATGGGAGTTGTGGTTCAGCAACATTGGGGGGTGAGGGGTAGAGGTTGCCCATGCCTGGTTTAATATATTTTCTGGACACATTTTATATATAAGAATATCTATAGTTAAACTGTTTTATTTTAATGTATTTAGTACACACAAGTATCATGATTCAGCAATGCTGCAAAATGAAAAACAAGACAGCATTTGAACTATTGTGGATATAAATATCTATGACATAGCTTTTACATTAAAACAAAGAAAACAGGTTCCACTGCTTAGTGTTGCAAGACTTTTATTTTAGCTCTCTGTTTCTGAAATACTCCTTCAGGAATTTGAAAAGCTTGCAAGTACTTTAAGGTACTTGTTTGGAAAGCCTGAACTTAACAACCAACTTTGAACAGGTTTATTCTCTCTGTGTCTGGAATGAATAGCTAGGGTGATAATTTCAGGAGCTTGCAAGTTTTTCAAGTTCCTGAAGGACTATTCATTCCAAAACACATAGAACTATAACAAAAGTCATGTGACCAGTAAGCATCAGAGCCTGTTCTCATTTTTGTTTTGATTCTTCGTTTTGATTCTTCGTGGTGCTTCTTTATATTTCTTCACACTGTGGCTTCTACATTAGCTTTCTCCAACCTCGTACCCTCCTAATGTGTTGAACTACAAGTTGTTCACTCCAGTGGCCAAGGTGACTGGGGGAATGATAAGAGCTGTAGTCAAACACATATAATCAACACTAGGTTGGAGAATCCCGTTCTGTTTGATCAGCTTTTAAGACTTATCAGGTTGAAGCAAATGTTAATTAAAGAATGTGAATCAATGCAATCTGCAAATGATGGTTTTTATATTTTGAGAGTATGCTTTTCTTGTAGAACTTGAGAGGCCACTAACCGAGCCACAGATCAGGGTAGTTTGCAGGCAGACACTTGAGGCGCTGCACTATCTGCATGAAAATAAGATCATTCATCGAGATCTAAAAGCTGGCAATATTCTTTTCACATTGGATGGAGACATTAAGCTAGGTGAGTATTCCTCTTTTAAAAAATTAACTTGGATGAAAAGAGATTTCATGATGTATTATTTTCCAGCTGGTATAAGTAAGTTTTGTTGACCTGGAAAATAAACAATTTAAGTAATTACAGTGGTACCTCAGGTTAAGTACAGTGGTGCCTCGCAAGACGAAATTAATTCGTTCTGCGAGTTTTTTCGTCTTGCGAATTTTTCGTCTTGCGAAGCACGGCTTCAAATATCACCAAAGTCTTCAAAAACCTCAAAAAAGGCTACCACACCGCGTTCTATGAGTTGCTTCTCGAAGTCAAGTCGCAACTGCACCTCTTCAAGCAATGCACCCTGGGTGTTAACGGTTTTAAGAAAAAGGAAACAAACTTGCAACTTTTTCGTCTTGCGAAGCAAGCCCATAGGGAAATTCGTCTTGCGAAGCAACTCAAAAAACGAAAAACTCTTTCGTCTTGCGAGTTTTTCGTCTTGCAAGGCATTCGTCTTGTGAGGTACCACTGTACTTAATTTGTTCCAGAAGTCCGTTCTTAACCTGAAACTTTTCTTAACCTGAAGCACCACTTTAGCTAATGGGGCCTCCTGCTGCTGCCGCGCTGCTGGAGCCCGATTTCTGTTCTTATCCTGAAGCAAAGTTCTTAACCTGAAGCACTATTTCTGGGTTAGCGGAGTGTGTAACCTGAAGCGTATGTAACCCGAGGTACCACTGTATTGTAATTACACTTGACAAATTTCCTTTGGATTTCAGAGTGAATGGGTGGGCCTATTGTAATACTTCTACTGAATACTTAATGTTTCTTAAAGCCCGACCTGGTATGTTTTTTGGGACACACATAGAAACACTTTAAAATGCCTGTACTTGTTCAGATAAATGATCTACATAGTTAGACCATTTCTTTGTATTGTACTGACCTACCAAATGCTTGGGGAAGATTATAATCAAGGCATGCTATCAATATTCATTGTCTGTTTTTAAACCCCAGCATCTAGCAGTCACAGATAAGGTTCAATCATATGCTACCCTTACAATGTGGCTGTTGCTTCTGCATGGTCAGTTGCCATGCCAAGAAACCCCATCATAATCGGCTAAGGTTTTCATGTGGGAAAATAAAAATGCCAGCTGTCCACTGAATGGGATTCCTTGAATGGTCAGAAGCAACAACCACTGAGATAATATGAATGGCATGCCTCTGAATACCAGTTGCTGGGAATCACAAGTCAAGTGAGGAGAGCACTGTTACACTCAGTCTCTGTTTGCAGGTTTCTCGTAGGCATCTGGTTGGCCGTTGTAAGATGAAAATGCTGTACTACATGGGTCTTTGGGCTTAATCCAGCAGGACTGTTATGTCCTTATAGGAGCAATATATTTTTAATCCAACTCTTAAACAATTGTTTGTACTTGGCTTTCAATACATACTGTGGAGTGGAGTCAATATGTAAATTATGCATTGAATGCCGAAGTACTTACTTTAGTCTTAAGAAATAAGATGTGCCTATTGAGTTCCAGCATTTTGAATATTTGTACCAGCAAGCAAATGCCTTCCGTTGTGCTGTAATTTGTTTTATTGGATTATTAGGCTCCTTTAAGATTATTATATATAGCTTTATTTCATTCTCACAAGAAATCTTTAAAAATAGTTTGAGCTTAGATCTTCAGGGCAGTGTCTGCCTTTCACTCCTGCTTTTTGTGGTGGCTTCTTACTGTTTGGTCATAACTTAGCCCATTAAGGTGTTTAAAGGCCGTTTTAGGAAATCCACATGAATGTGTGGGGATTAAGGAATGGACATACATTTCTTTTCTTCCCAGATTGAAACTATTGACTTAAACTGAGGAACAGCTTCCTCCTCAACTCCGTTTACTATTTGCATCTTTAGGCAGAACGTTTCAGTATTGGCAAACTGACTTCTTACACTCATAGGGCCAGATTAAACTACAGTGGTACCTGTTAACGAACGCTTCGGACAACAAACTCTGCAATACCGGAAGTAGGTCTCATTAGGGAAAGCGCGTGCCTCAGTTTAAGAATGCTTTGGTCTAAGAACGGACCTCCAGAACGGATTAAGTTCGTAACCCAAGGTACCACTGTAGTCCAGTTTATAAGGAGAAGTCAGCACAAGGACTCCGGCTAATGCAGCAGGGCTCTCCTTCCCCCACATATCTCCAAGCCTTCCCCAAATCCACTGTGGAGGTTTGGGAGAATACCCAGAATAACCCAGGGTGGAAGGAAGGGAAAATAATTACATCGGGCAAGCAGATTTCCATCAAAATTCCTAAATATTTTTCTAACCGCGTACTGTGAAGTAGCCCATTTCCATTGTGTGGCTTCAGGTGGAACTGCACTGTTGTGTTACATTTTACTAAGCATTCATGATGTTAGTGGGGACAACAGCTTAGTGCTTATTGGGGATACTCATCTTTGCTACCGGTAATTTGTAGAATGAATTCCCTTCATATTTCTATTGATGTGGACTTTTATGCCCCTTTTCCTCTGAATTTTATATCAAAATATTAAACGATATAAACAATTAAAATGCATAACTATATTAGTTAAGTGTTCACAGAGCATATTGGTTATTCCATTATAAATATTAACTTTTACAAACCTCATCCATTTTTCTGTCTTCTTGAACCCCAAGAAAATCAATCATTGTCATTATAGTAACATTCAATGATTTATAAAACCAATGCAAATATACATGATTAAAGTGATTCTTTTGGCAAAGAGTGCCCAGGAAGCTCAATATTATTGGAGGTACAAGCTTCCAGATTGGGAGTTCAGCCTGAAGTGAAAAGAAGTCATGCCCCTACCTGTGCCTCACTTGTCACAGATCTACTCACTAGGTTAACCTATTCTCTCATTACTCATGAGCTTAATCCCTTCTCTATTAATTCATATATTTTTTGTTGTAAACCTGTTGAATATTCTTTACTAATGAGTGGTGTCATACATGTTTTTACATAAATGACACTGTTTGAAGTAAAAGTGTATATGGTATGAGTGACCGTAATTTTTTCTCCTCATTTGTTTGAAGCGGATTTTGGAGTGTCTGCTAAAAATACAAGGACAATACAGAGACGAGATTCTTTCATTGGTACTCCATATTGGTATGTGTGCAATTTTTGTACTGTTTTATGCTGAGTGCAGCATACTGCATTTTATATACAATTTTCTATTTTAAAAAATCAAGTATAGTAAACAAAATGATGTTGTTTTGTTGGTGCATTTACTGGTTTTATTAACCTTAATTTATATGTAAGATTAGTCATGCTCTGACCCATTGGAATCAATGGTTTAAAGTAATTTATATACATTTATTTCAGTGGCTCTACTCTGATGATGTTGGTTATTTCCATTTAACTTGGTTAGATATTGCCCTTTGGGTATATTTCTTTTCGTGGTTGGAAATACCACTTATTACAGATAATAGATCTTAAAAATCTTTTCTTTTTTGCTTTCTATCCCAGGATGGCTCCTGAAGTAGTAATGTGTGAGACCTCTAAAGACAGGCCTTATGATTACAAGGCTGATGTTTGGTCTTTAGGTGTCACTTTAATAGAAATGGCTGAAATAGAACCACCTCATCATGAATTGAATCCAATGCGTGTTCTGCTGAAAATAGCAAAGTCGGAACCACCATCGTTGGCACAACCTTCAAAATGGTGATTATTCTGGTATATTTATGGTATTTTATGGTATATTTTTATTTTTATTTTTCAAGAATAATACCTAGGTACAGAATAATAAAGCTGTCTTAATTTTTAAGATTGTAAGTTGCCCCCCCCCCAAAAAAAAAGCACACTTAAGCCTCAAGAGTTAAATGTTGTTTTCCCCCAGAAGCAAATAGGCATCTCAAGCTTAGCTGGATATCAATTAGGCTAGCTTTCAGTTAAATATAGGTGTACATCACTGAAGAAGAATTAGCTTGGCTCAAGATGAGGATGCAGATAGTGGTGCTATGGAAAGAAAATAGTACAATAGTCTTGGACATCAATCTTCATTAAAATGATTTGAAGTATCATCTTCTTCTTTGGTGATCACTCGTAGCCGAGTAACATTGTCTTCCATAAACACAATTTTAACTATGAGTCCGTAAGTGACTGTGGAGGCCAGTTCTGGATCCACACGTCCTTCCACAGTTGGGGACATTGGTTTCCGGGCGGGAGGTGATCACATTGTGGATTTGCCAAGCGTGCCTTCCTCTTAGCACGTTTCTCGTATAATAGCTTATTAACAGTTTACTGTGGAACTTACGAGAGGTAGTGGGCAAGAAGTAGACAGTACTGAAATTATTTTTATCTGACAGTCATTAGATACTTCTGATGATAAGGATGTCATCACTCAATTTGTATGTAGTACTGAAAGTGTAGCATTTATTGAGTTCAGCTTCTTTTATGCAGGTCTGCTGACTTCAAAGACTTCTTAAGGAAATGTTTGGAAAAAAATGTAGATGCCAGGTGGAACACTGCTGAGCTTCTACAGGTAGGAAGAACGAAGTGTCTATTGAGTCATGATATTTTATTGAGTGCATTTATATAAATAATTTAAAACAGAAACTATTTTAAAAGTCTGCTAAATTTTCAATCTTTGTATGTTTAAACTTTATTTAGAACGTTCCCATTTCCATTGGTCACCAGAGAGTTAGGAGTCGGCACCAACTGGTTAATACCCCACTTTTCTAGCCAGAGAATGATAAAAGCAGCAAATAACTTGTGTTTTAAAAACTGCAGTGCTTGCAATAGAAAATACTAAAAGCAACATAAAATAAATAAAATACCAGTTTTCCAGGAGCCATATGCTAGTGACAAACAGGGCAACTCTACACTCTTTTGCAAACGTTCATATACATACACCGTAGATACATCCAACATGCACCACAGAGGCACACAGACAAGTATACCCACACAACCTTTCCCAGTCAGCAGGATGGAATGAAAGGAATACTGTGAGGAAATTTTAAAACTATCCTCCCTGCAGTCTCTGTCCCCCATCCCCAAACTCAGCTGATCAGAAAGCAGCTAAGCACAAGCAAAGAGGGCTCTGCTTGGGTTCCTTAAACTTTTCCAACATGAAGGGCAAGGAAAGCCTTTTCAGCCATCACTTTGAGCAGTGCTCTCCCACCTCCCCTTTCAGCTGCTCCTCAAAGCAGCAGTTCCAAAAGATGACATGTCCGCAATCCCCTTTGGACTGCTCCCAAGGAAGGGGGGTGGTGAGACACTGGGGGCTAGTCCAAACGGCTATGCTTTGGATTTTAAAAGTAGCTGGTAATGTAGGCATGCAGATCTTTAGAAGAGGGCATTGGGGAAGTGAGTGAATAGCATGCACCCATTGGTGCTGTTACTCTTCTCCTTTACCACTGGTATTATCATGAGAAGCTCTCATGTCTAAAGGAGCTTGAGAATTTAAAGAGCACTTGGATGGTTCTAGGGAGAAGACAGACATTCTGACAAAAGTATATCCAGACCTTGGTTATACATAGGTCCTCTGGATTCCAGACCTTGCTTATTACTGCCTGGTATTTCAGAAGCTGCAGTCTCCTTCATAGTTTACAAGGAGCTAACCTAAATAAATGTAATAGGATGAATATGACTTGGTTTCATGTTACTTCATTCATGTTCCCATCTAAAATACATTAGATTTAAAAATAAAGACTTCTGAAATGGGGCCAGGCAAAGATAATCTGCCAGAGAAACACTCTTAGCTTCAGCCTTACTATATTTCAAATAAATAAATGTAAATGATCTTAGACATGAAAATAGAAGAACAGATAGCACAGAAAAAAGTTGTAAGCAGTATAAATTTTCCTTTAAGTGTTCTATTTTTTATTTTGAGTTGGATACAAAACAGACCATAACCTGGCCGTAAGTGATAAAATATGTTGCTATTAAATGGTTTTTAATTTTGATTAACTGATATTATGCCTTTTTAAACAGCATCCATTTGTTACTGTAACTTCTAATAAACCAGTCAGAGAACTGATTGCAGAAGCAAAGGCTGAAGTTACAGAGGAAGTAGAAGATGGGAAAGAGGAGGAAGAAGAGGAAGAAACGGAAAATTCTCTGGTAAGTTAAAATAAATATATAAAAAATATTTTAACTTGTGCTGCAGTTTACAGCTATGAATTGTATTCATTTCCATTGATCTTTCATGTAATTGAGCTTAGGGATACAATGCTAATTGCCTTTTATAAGATGTACTGACACGCTTTCTGTTGCATAACACACAATTTTCTTTAAGATGCCATTGTAAAATGCAAAGTAAGTAAATGTAAGCTTCCTTAGGATGCCATGGAACTGTTTCCATGGTCAGAGAAGGGAGAGCCGCAGTCAAAGGCCCCTTTGTGGCAGAAGAAATCTCTGTTGCCATTAGTCCTCTCTAGTTAGTGTTCCAGCAGGAGGAGGACCATGGGATCCTCCCATTCCTCCAGCATGTCCCAGATAAGATAAAACCTCTGCCAGCTCTGGAGTCAGTGGTTACTTCTCCCCCTCCTATCAGTACAGTAAATTAGGAAAATCCAAAGTAGGGAGGCAAAAGGAACAGGTCACTTCTGCCTTGTAATCACCATTAAATTCTCCATTGGTTGATATAAAACTTTGATAGCATTGTTTCCTTATTACTGCATTGTATAGCTAATCAGTTTTTTGTGTGTCTATTTTAGCAGTTACCTGCAAGTAAACGAGCCTCATCTGACCTCAGCATTGCCAGCTCCGAAGAGGATAAACTTTCACAGAATGCCAGTATTCTGGAATCTGTTTCTGAAAAAACAGAGCGTTCATCCACAGAACAAAATAGTACTAGTGCACCTGAAGGTGAAAAAACAAGTGTGACTCCTGACAAAAATGAAAAGGAGAAATACACTGCAAGCACAAGTGGCACCATACAAGAAGACACTGAAAAACTGAAGAATGGATCTGCAGTTCTCCATGAAGATGAGGAAGCGAAGAAGACTGAGAAGACAATTGAAAATTCAAGATTAAGTGAAAACACAGAGTCACAGAAAGAGGAAAAGGAGATTGGCACAGTAGTATCTGAAACTAACGTTGAGCCCAGTCTAAAAACAGAGGAAGGAAAGGACTTCACAAATGAATCAGCGGTTGAAAACAAACAAGAAACAATTCCTGATGATGGAGGCAGCAGTGCAGAAATTACAGATGCAGTCTCTAAAGCAGCTGATGTGACAGAAGAAAGTACCACAAACCTCCAAGAAAATGAAATGGAAGAGGCAAAGCCTACCGAAGGAATTAAAGAGGTTGAGGAATTGCAAGGGGATGACAAATGTAAAGAGGGTGATCTGAAAGAGGCCGAAAGTCAGAAAAATGAAGTTACTGCAGGTACTGAAGAATCACAGGCGAAGGTCATAGCTGAGACAGCTGATGAACCACAGAAGCAAATAAAAGAAGGTACCAGTAGTCCACAAGAGATTGACAGTACTGGCAACAATCTGGTCACTGATGTAGATAAAGTGCTTGAAAATGCTCAGGAGCCAGCAGAGTGCCTGGCAGAGGATGCTTCTGAGAAAGTCTCAGAAATGGGGAAAATGGTAGATTCTAATCAGCAGTTAGTTGAGGGATACAATGACGAGTCAAAGAAGACAAGCAGCACAAAGGAAACGGAGGTCAGTGTTTCAGAAAGAGCAGACAACATTGAGCATAAGCCAGCAGACAAAAAACATACTGAAGAGGCAAGAACTGAGGAAAGCAGTATTGCACCAGGGGTTAAAATTGCAGAACCTGAACATAAATTAGAAAAGAGAGCTGAGGAGAAGCATGCGAATAATATACATATGGACACAGACCGACCAGCAGTTTCCAGTGGCTTGCCAGTTGAAAATAAGCTTGAAGATTCTGCAGCCAAGCAGATGCATGAACATGAGGTGTCTCCGGTACCCAATATTAGCATTAGCTCTGCAGAAAATGAGGCAGAAGATAAATCTGGCAATCAGGATAGTGTTGAAAACTCGCATCATGTTGATTCTGAAAGCGCTAAAGAAAATGACACAGATTCAGGCAGAGGTTCCACTGCTGACAACAGCAGCATTGATTTGAACTTGTCCATTTCCAGTTTCCTCACTAAAAACAAGGAGAGTGGATCAATATCTTTACAAGTAAGAGTCAACAATTCTATTAGTAACATAGAGATACAGATCAGGGTAGCTAGCTTGCAGCCCATGCACTGGATTTGCCCCATCAACCCATAGGAAGTGGCTCACTAGCCTCCACAGCTTGTCTCTGAATCTGATCAGGAGATAAAATTTCTCTACCTGTTCTTTCAATAGGATCTTAAAGGTATGAGATAAAAGCAGAAAATTTGGGATTCTGTCTCCATTCTAAGCCCAAGACTAAGATCAGAGATGAAGCTCTCTGCCTGCTTTTTAAGAACAAAAGGCAGCATATTCCTCCACTCCAGCACAGGAGTAGGTGCAAAATAAAAGGCTGGGTTTCCAACCTTTACTACACCAGTGCTGCAATAAGAAAGTCTGGAAATACTGGGTGTTTATGTGTGTGTAAGAGAAAGAGAGAATTGTGTATAGAACTGGTGAGCATGGTATGTGTACATATGTGGTGGTGCATGTGTGTTTGGTCCATATGTGAGCTGTATGGTAGTGCATGTGTATACCATGACCCTCAGAGGGGTAGTTAAATATCAATGTGGCCCTTGAGCAAAAAAATGTTAGCTAGCCTTAATATAGGCAGTGTGTAACATACACACTAGAGGGATGCGGGATGGCGCTGTGGGTTAAACCACAGAGCCTAGGGCTTGCTGATCGGAAGGTTGGCGATTCAAATCCCCACGACGGGGTGAGCTCTCGTTGTTCAGTCCCAGCTCCTGCCCACCTAGCAGTTCGAAAGCATGTCAAAGTGCAAGTAGATAAATAGGTACCGCTCCGGCAGGAAGGTAAACGGCATTTCCGTGTGCTGCTCTGGTTTGCCAGAAGCGGCTTAGTCATGCTGGCCCCATGACCCAGAAGCTGTCTGCAAACAAACGCCGGCTCCCTTGGCCTATAGAGTGAGATGAGTGCACAACCTCAGAGTCGTCCACAACTGGACCTAACGGTCAGGGGTACCTTTACATTTTTAACATACACACTATATAATATATTTTATGTTTATAGCTAGATATCTGTCTATAAATTAAAGTGAAGGTTCCTGAATTCATGCAGAATAAGAATTTTAAGGCTGTCACCTTAGATGTCCATAGTAGAGAGTAAATTACATTGAAATTATAAGTATATACTTCTGAATTAACAGCTTGAAAATAGGTTTGAATTATCTTTCTGTTCTTGGTTACTTTTGTAAAAGTGAAGGTGGATTGCATATGTAGCAGTTATTCAGATGATTACTTCAGTCTTGTCTGTATATTCAGTAGTATACTGGTCCAAAATGGCCAGTTGAAGAAATGAATTCCTCTTTAAGAACATGCCTCATAGCAAACTTGAGTCCATCTTTGCCCATCTTGTGAAAAGAAACAGAATTAAATAAAGAAATTTAGTATCTAATTCTGTTGATTGGAAACTGAAATCTTTGAACTTGCAGGCTTTGGGTTCTTTCAAAAATAAGTAAAGGTTGGACAGGTATGCTTTATGCAGCACAGAAATAATGCATGATCTTTTATTCAGGAAACTAAAAGACACAAGAAAACATTAAAGAAAACTCGCAAATTTGTTGTTGATGGTGTGGAAGTAAGTGTGACTACCTCTAAAATTGTAACAGAAAGTGATTCTAAAAGTGAAGAATTACGATATCTTCGGTGAGTTTGAAAATATCCATTCTTAATGACAGAGGATTTCTTCTCTGAATTAAAACAACTTTTCTCATGCTTGTTTTTAATAACTTACTGTGGTTTGATTATATTTAACAAAATTCATGTTGTCCTTTTGAATAACGTATGAATCAATCCAGACCATGATATCATCATCTGAGGCCCTTCTTTGTGTGCCTTCTCTATGAGAGGTCTGGCGGGTAACAACACAAGAATGGGCCTTTTCTGTGGTGGCTCCCTGGTTGTGGAATTCTCTCCCCATCTCTTACATGGCACCTTCATTACATATTTTTAGATGCCAGGCAAAAACATTTCTCTTCTCCCAGGCCTTTGTCTAATTAAACAATCTATGGCCCAGTAGGGGAGTATTGTTTTTTTTGTTACTATGTTGTGCATTTTTGTGTTTTTATACTGTAAACTGCCCTGTAATCCTCGGATGAAGGACAGTATAGAAATTTAATAAATAATATATTAAATGCAGATGTTCATTTCTGCACAGCCCCCCAATGCATTTATACTGTACACTGATGCAGAATTCTGAACTTAGTCTGTTTCTTTCTCCCCTGCAATACTGCTTCCATTCTCCTTACTACCAGGCGTCAAGAATTAAGAGAGTTACGACTTCTACAAAAAGAAGAGCAGCGAGCTCAACAGCAGCTTAGTAATAAACTTTTACAACAAAGAGAACAGATGTTCAGGCGCTTTGAACAAGAAATGACGGTAAGGTTTGATTTCTTTTCACCCACATTTTGCAGGCCCCTTATTTTGAGTTAATTTACTTAATGTAAGCAGCCTAGAAGTCATTCTGGGTATATCCTTGCCCTTGTTGCCACATTTCATCTTATGTATTATGAAGGAAACTTGCATACCAAAAGCCTTAACTGAACTGCAAACTACTGCTATGGTAGCCCTGCATGTAGTCACTGGCTGCCAACGGTGGAAAAGGCAGTGAAGCGCTGCATTGTTTAGCTTGAGAGTGTCTTGTTAAGGCATGGTCAGTACTAGAATTGGCAGAATGTGGCCACTTCTTACCCTTGAAGGTTAGAAACATTTATTTTCTACTTGTAGGTAGTGAATGCAGCTTTCCAGGATTGCTATACAGAAGAGGAAGCTGTTGCATACTTTGACAACTGTAGAAAATATCTCAAAATTATTTCAGAGGCCCAGTTCATGATCTTTGCCTTTCTGTAGTAGACTGTGGTAACCAAAACACTGTGATCTTCTAACCCATGTGCAATCCTTTTTTCCTTTCAGTGGATAATAAAATAACTTGCTTGAAAAAGTGTTCTCTGTATTGGGGGGTCTGCTCATTCATTGGGCAGAGAAAAATACTCCCTATTATATCTGAAACAGGCTCCTGTATTAAGGATTGCATACAAAACAAAGCTTAACCACTATACCCTTAACAAAATAGTTTACGTATGTTGAGTTCCAAATATTAGATTCTCAAGAGCTGAATTTTAGATCGCTTCACCATGTGTTTGTTTGTGTTCAAGAAGAAAATAAACTTTATAGTATAAGTCCCAGTGAAAAGATAAGAGTTCTGCCAATATTTTTAAACTCTGTGCAATAACAATTAATTCCACTTCTGATTCTGAGTTTTGAAGACTTTCTATGGGGTTTAAAAAGTGTTTTTTGTGCTTCATAATGGCCGAAAAACCCAGGTAGTGCCTTTTCAATCAGTTAGAAAATCTAGGAACTGAAAAGCATAGGCAATTGTTACTTGTGCAGACTTCCTCTGCCCTGCCTCAAACCCATCAAGTTCAACAATAGGTAAATATAAAATTTAATGGAATTATTTTTCAGAGCAAGAAGCGGCAATATGACCAGGAGATTGAAAACCTGGAAAAACAACAGAAACAGACAATAGAGCGCTTGGAACAGGAACATACAAATCGCTTACGTGATGAAGCAAAACGCATCAAAGCAGAACAAGAGAAAGAATTGTCCAAATTTCAGAACATGCTGAAAAACAGGAAAAAAGAGGTAAATACTATTTATTTAGTTGGAGGAAAGAAGGTTGGTATTTCTTGGTCTCCAGTGATGTCTGCAGTCTTACTTTGAAAAAAAGATGTATCACCATAAGATGCCTCAACAGTAGATGTATTTTTATAATAATATTTAGCACTGAAAAGTTTTTTAAAATAAAAAACAGCCATGTGCAATGAAAATAGTAACCTTAGATAGGAGCAAAGAAAATATAATGAAAAAACAATTATGTGGTGTAGATGTCTCCACCCTTATGATTTAAACATCATCGTTAGCTTAGGAGTTTTGCCATTTATTTGGAACAGTATCAAATGTAGTCAATACCTGTATGTTACAGACAATGTAAAATTGATCTAGGAGTTCAATAGGGAGAACTGCTAGAATCCATTGCACACATATCTGTCACATGTGCCTCTTTGGATATGTGTGGCAAGTAAATATTTTCCTTACTATATTCAGTACATATAAAAGCAGCACAAAGGTGGAGGGATGAGGATACTTGTGCATTGGTTCATGAAACATTCATAGCAAAATGCAATGGTTTTTTGTTTTTCTTTTTACTTGTAGTTGAATTTGTTAAAAAGGCGATTTAATTAACTTTGTGTGGAAGAGTCTAGAACTCTGTGCTGTGGAAGACTACTCTGTGCCTCCAGAAAATCTTAAAACTGCAATCTTAAGCAACTTTGTTTGCATTCATAATTCTGATAGCAAGATTTATTGTTGCCAACTTGGTTCTACACATTATAAAGCCATTAATCTAATAATCTAGATTCAGCTGTTGAGCCCTGCTAGCAGAAGCCTGCACGTGGACATTGAATAATGCAACAGGGCTTTCTTCCTCCCTCCGCACAGCGTTAAAGTGGCTCGGATGGAGAAGGATAACCTCCAGAACAGCACACTTTCCATTTGGCAAGATGAAACACTTGTGCTGCAAGAACGATTACCATGGCACTACTTTGAATTAGTCCCAGTGAACCTAAGTTAGTGATGACTGCAACTTCAGTGAATCTACCCTGAGTAGGACTAGCATTGGATACAGTTGTACCTTGGTTTGCATACGTCTTGGTTTGCATATATTTCGAATTACAAACACGTCAAACCCAGAAGTGCATGTCCTGATTTGCAACCTTTTTTTGGATTGCAACCCATTTTTTTTGGATTACGGACAAATTTTTTTGGGAGGCCCCATTGGTGAAAGCGCGCCTTGGGTTAAAACCTGTTTTGGTTTACAAACAGACCTCTGGAACAGATTATGGTTGTAAACCAAGATACCACTGTATAACCCTTGATCTTTCAGAATGACTCACATGGGGGATTGATTGTAATATATGTTAAGAACTAGAAATGACCCAGTCAGTGATAAAGGCATTTTTAAAATTTGAGTTCAGCAGAGAGCATAGTTGATTTAAAATCAAACCAATTTGAAATTTATATTCTTTCATTACACTGGATGGAAGAAATACAGCTGTGCAAAATGCAGAAATTCTACCTATGATCTCATTGTTCTGCAGAAAGTGCCTGTAATCTTTTACTTCTCATCTTAACTTTTAAAAAAGCAGTTCAACAATTTCTAGATAATATACCAATTTTGAGGCATATAATATGAATAGATTGCACAGATTTCTAGATGCTTTCATTTGGTTTTTAAACCAGATTTTTATACTAAGTAATATATGTCATTTAATCTCCAAGATACCATCACTTGTGTTTAATTTGCACAATATTGACTATTACTTCTTCTTTTTGCTGAACTTCTTGCACTCTGAGTCTCTATTGGTAATTGGGTCTCAAAAGGAAATCTGGTGAAGAGGTTTAATGCACTCAGGACCAATCTTTTTCATTGAACAGTAGCATGTGGTGATTTGGGCTTTGTTTTCTGTGGGTTCTTTGACTTTTAAACAGCCATTTGTTCTTGGATAGTTGTGACCTCCTAGTTCTTTTGTAGGAAATAACATCTAGAGTACTGAATCTCTTCATGAGAGTATGAAAAATATACAATCATACTTTTGATTATCTATATAACATGCATTATTATTTCCTGACAAAATGATCCTTTGACATACATTGCTGAAACATATTTGTAAGTGATTGCCTTCTTTGAATGTCACTAGCTAGATAAGCTATATGAAACTGGACACTTGATTTACACTTTCCTCAGCTCTGCAAATGCCCTCTTTGAGTGGCTTACTTTTATGAAAGTTGTTCTTTAGACAATTGTGTCTCAAATAAGACATAATGTCAACAGTAGCTGTTATTTTTGAGAAATCTAAACATCCTGCTATTTTGGAGCTTTTCCATGACGGTAAAATCATTTGTTGTCCCTCCCAATATCATTCTTGCTTTGACAACGGTCTTAAATTCCTTCGTGTTATACTGAATGATTGCATAAAAAGTAAATGCAAAAGCATCTCTAATTAGTAGTTGCATGCAAAATGAAACTAGTTTCTAGAATACGATTAGTTCATGCACTTCTTTGTAGAATGCAGTTCGCAAATGCTTTGTGCATGTCTGCTTCTTCCATCCATCTTCTGCCAAGCTAACTCTTCTGGCTTCAATGCATGCTCTCTGATAACCTTTATAATGCCTGACCTGCTCCTCTCGTATTCACCATAAAATGCTTGCTGTGGAGAAAAAGGGTTATCTTCCCCACCTTCTGCATGCTTGTGCACTATAGGTTTTTAATGAAGTGGAGAAAGCACCAAAAGAGCTGAGAAAAGAGCTCATGAAACGCAAGAAAGAGGAACTTTCTCAATCCCAGCATGCTCAGGTAACCGCAGCAGCTTCATGCTTCTAAAAACAAGCAAGCAGCTTTGTTCACAATAGCTTTAACCATTCCATAGTGGTTGCTTTTTGTTTTCCCTCTGAGTAAATATGTTATTAATTTGTAATGACTGACCATTCTTAAAACCGTAGCTCAAATGTGTCATATAAACAGAAGTGCAATATATTCAGTATTCATTTACTTAGATGTGATTAGTTAGAACGACAGCCAAAGTTATAAAAATGCAATTTATGTAGTTAAAGTGTGTATTCAGGTGTGGATATGAATTTCAGGCTGTAATGTCTACTTTATTCAGGGCATTTACCATAAAGAATAACGTTATCAAAGTGTAAAAGTAGTAAATAATATTTTTATAAGCAATTTTTCATTATATCTTACCTTTGAATCTTTTAATCCCAGGCAATGCAGTTGACATGATGGTGTCCATGTTTATTATTTAATGGCTTGCCTGTACTTTCTGTGTTCCAAGCATGCTATTGCAGCAGACATACTATTGATTACTTTTCCTGTCTGAAACGAAGCGCATCTGAACTATATAAGGATCTGGATGTGTGGTAGTGTATATAGTGAATAAGGCAATGAAGAACTCTTCACTTTTTGTTGACATTCCTTGTCTTGGTATTAAATCCCAGACTAAGTACAGATAACTTCTGATAGCCATGAATACTTCCTATGTATTCATGTACAATGAGACAGAAGTAATTCTGAAGTAATGCTTCAGGTATAAATTCAGGTATAAAGTGAGCTGTATCACAGTTTCTGTACAAGGGTGTGAGGGGGGTCAGGAGACTGCTGCTGAACTCCCTGAATGACAGAGAAATCTCAGGAGTCAGTGCACTAAAGAAAGACAGGTGGAATGTTAGGGGAGTAAAAGATAGGAAAGAGGGTTAAAATGGAAGCATTGCCAGACTGTCCAAAGCCAGTTTATCTCATGTATGGAGCAGGATCCTGCTTTTGCAGATATTCACAGTAGTGTATGCTACTTCCCTCTAAAGACAACTGTGTATATTTGAATGTGCACATCTCTTGGAACTGGATATTTGAAAAGGTGTACGCCCAGCCAATATTGTACTACATGAAGGCTTATTGAGTAACTACAGTCTTAAATATATTGGAGAAAATTCATTAATATATTTTGGGCACAGAGAGTTAACAATATAGGTTAAGTAGGACTAGGTTGTAGGGCATTATCTAGCAAAATAAAATAAATACTGAAGACATGACATAAAGGTTTTTACTTCGTTTTGCAATTGGTGTCTTTATGAATACAGTGTAATTTTTGTTCTCATAGCTCCACCCACATCACTGTAGGTATAAACTATAGCTTCAGAAATTTTACATCTTTTAACAGAAGTAATTCAGTACAACTTTGACTTTTAGGGAGGGAGGTGCTCCACTAATGAGTCATACAGTCTTATTGCTTATGTTCGGTGTTTGAATGCATGGTTTGTGCTTGCATTCTGACCTCGGAAGTACATTGTATTCTGCTCTGCAGGGCGTTGCTCAGGTTATGATTCAGTCTTTTCAGTTGTCCTCATGTACCCTCTTCAATGCAATAATGCAGGATGTAAGTCCAACATGCCAAAAATTGGATGTTTCTTCTGTAGTTCTAGCTTGTTGTTCTGCTTTTTCTCTGACACGCATGTGCTGATGAATTAAAAAAAATAAATCTAAAAATGTGTTCATCTGCACAAAGGTTGTGATGGACAAACTGGGCAAATGAGTCTTGTTGATTTTCAGCACATGTGTGAAACCAGTGCTATGTTTTGCTTTTCTGTGTGCAGTGAAACAGGCATTTTCCAGAATGCTTCCTGATACCACCTGACAATGGGTGTTCCCTGCTGTACCTTATAGAGTCAGCCATCCTAAGTTTTGACTCATGGGGCAAGGAACACCCTTGTGACATTTTTTTCTTCTCTGCCTTGTGCAGTAGTGGTAATTTATTTTTTAAACAAACCCGCTTCTACCTTTGTGTTCTCTCTTCTGTTCCACCAGATGGTAGTTGGGATTTTAGTAGGAAGGTGGAAAGTTTGCTTTGCAAACTTTATTGAAACAGCCTTTTGTTACATGGCTCTGGGAATCTGTAGAACATCTAGGCTCCCCCATCAGCACTGTGTACCAAATATCTCTGTCTCTTTTACCGTATTTTTCGCTCTATAAGACACACCTAGTTTTTGGAGGAGGAAAACGAGAAAAAAAATATTCTGAATCTCAGAAGCCAGAACAGCAAGAGGGATTGCTGCGCAGCGAAAGCAGCAATCCCTCTTGCTGTTCTGGCTTCTGGGATAGCTGCGCAGCCTGCATTCGCTCCATAAGACGCACACACATTTCCCCTTACTTTTTAGGAGGGAAAAAGTGAGTCTTATAGAGCAAAAAATACGGTAATTGCATAACAATGTTAGTGATCACAAGCCTGACATGGAAGTCTATGTCAACTGACCTTTCGTTCACAAAACTACAGAATAGGCTGTGGTAATATCCTTTATCTAGGTTATTCTCATGTTCTGTGTTCTAAAACATACTCATCTAAACTGAGGAAGCCTCAGGACTAAAACACTACTTGCTTTCATTTCAGTTTAATAATCCAGCTCCTGCAATTTGGCAGAATTGCTGCTTGAGAAGGGCAGGTACATTTGCCAATTGTCTCACTTCATCAAAGCCATTAAGTAGACAGTGGACCTTTCTTGTTGTTGACATCTGTTTCTACAGATCTGGGTTTTTGGATTTGTCTCTACAAATTTTTGGTTTTTGTTGTTGGAGCTTTTTTCCTGCTTTTCATTAGAATTTTGATAGTGGTAAACTACAAACTTTTTCTCCCTCTCTTCCTCTCACATGCCACCCCCCCCCCCCCCGCAGCATCCTCTGAAATTTGCTCTGGGGTTTCCTTCAACTCTACAGAGCAGATCTGTGGAGTCACAGGGAGTTGAGGCAATTCAATCCCTAATACAGTGGTACCTCGGGTTACATACGCTTCAGGTTACATACGCTTCAGGTTACAGACTCCGCTAACCCAGAAATAGTACCTTGGGTTAAGAACTTTGCTTTAGGATGAGAACAGAAATTGTGCTCCGGCGGCGGCAGCAGGTGGCCCCAGTAGCTAAAGTGGTGCTTCAGGTTAAGAACAGTTTCAGGTTAAGAACGGACCTCTGGAACGAATTAAGTACTTAACCTGAGCATTTGTAAAGAATTGATTCTGAAGGTAAAGCTTTCAGTTTTGGGGGGATGTTTAAAATAATGCATATTTTCTATAGTTTTCAGGAAACACAAGCTAACCAAAGTTGAACATACTTCAGTCTCACTGACTTTCATTAAGAGAGAATTTAAAAAAGAAACTATACTTTAACTATATATAGGTTGTACAGATATTCCACACTTACATAATTTATAATTTCCAGAAACTATGTCTGTGCCATTGATCTAATACATATATAATGAGAGTGATACCTAAACCATGGAATCGTGCAGTAGGCTTCCAGGTCCCCCCTTCTGGTTAGTGTTAACTCTCATTTGGTGTTATGTTTACCTCACCACTAAATATGCTTAGTTTTTAAACTAAGATTTGAAAATCTACTTTTCAAGTTTTGATTAAAACTAACCATGGTGGCGGTTAGCGGGACACGGGTGGCGCTGTGGGTAAAACCTCAGCACCTAGGACTTGCCGATCGCATGGTCGGCGGTTCGAATCCCCGCTGCGGGGTGAGCTCCCGTCGTTCGGTCCCAGCTCCTGCCCACGTAGCAGTTCGAAAGCACCCCTAAGTGCAAGTAGATAAATAGGTACCGCTTTATAGCGGGAAGGTAAATGGCGTTTCCGTGTGCTGCGCTGGTGCAGGCTCGCCAGAGCAGCTTCGTCACGCTGGCCACGTGACCCGGAAGTGTCTTCGGACAGCGCTGGCCCCCGGCCTCTTAAGCGAGATGGGCGCGCAACCCCAGAGTCGGACACGACTGGCCCGTACGGGCAGGGGTACCTTTACCTTTACCTTTAACCATGGTTAGCACTGGTGCAAACTTAATGTTGCATTGTAGTTAATGCTAACCAGGGGTAATTTGCATGCAAAAAGGGAAAGGGATCTTAAGAACCTAATGTCCCCAAACACAGAGGATCACTACCATTACTGCTGCGCTGTTCCATTGTCCATCTAATTTCTTTGCTACATTGTGCTTTTCCTGAAGAGGATGAATAAATAGAATCACATAAGTTCATTTTGGGGGTTTTTGGCAAATGGATTCCTCATTTTCCTCCTCCCCCACCCACTTGATAGAAGCTGCTGGTTAATCCCTTGTAGCTTTTAAAAGTGAGTTAGCATGTGGCACAGAGAAGCTGCTGTTAGGAAAAGAAGTGACCAATTCTGATGGATGTACAAATCTTCCTATATGGTGCTTTCTGTTGGTTCTTGTGAGATGAGTAGGAACATCAGACATCGGACTTTGATAACATCTTCATCAAATTGGTCAGATGCAATTTGTCTGAAGATTACTAGCAAGTAAAGAATTGCGATCAGGGCGGATGATTTCTGTGCAACCTGGCCTGGAGGTGAACTTTGCAGATTTGTTATTATTTTCTCATTTGTGTCCATAAATCACACGTCTTCCTTTTATATGAACCTTTTGAACTACAAGGACATCAGATGTGACTTACCCAATGCATAAAACATGGGCCTGTCTCAACATGAAGTGTCCCTGTTGTATTTGATACAAGATTTCTGCATAAATTTTATTATATAATAGAGAGAGATGCACATAATACCATGTGCCCACCCCACACCTGGAAATAATGTGTAAGTGTTCAGACATTGTTAGATTTCCACACAGCCTTCTTTCCATTGGTGGAATGATCTGTATAGGATTGGATCAACTTCTAATGTAGGGCCAATATTTCTAGTTATTTTCTGAGCTTGTGACATCTGTTTTCATAAAGCTCCTTTCCACAAAGTAGGTGATAAATACTTCACATGTAACCACTTCCATTAAAATAGCTACACATGACTTGTTATGTTAATCTTTGGAAGCCTTTTTCTCATGTATGTGCACTGTTCAAAATGTGCATCTGGAAGCCATTGGCCTCATTTCCCCAGCATTTGCTTATCTACCAGCCTCACATTACACGCTATAGATGGTGCAGCTTAATAAGTACATCAGTTGCCTAATGTGAAACTGTTTACAGTGCCATTGAGGAGCCAATCTTCTAAATTCTGCATTTTGAATTTTGCAAGTGTTTGGTCTTTTAAGCTATCACGTGTCCTCTACCTGGTCTGGGTATCTTGCTCTGAAACATGAAAATACAATGTTGATAATAGGTATCCTTATCTTGGAGAGGATTCATGTGGGCCAGAGGTTTCCCCAGACTTTGCACATGTTCTTTAAAAGACAGATGTACACATTCTAACCTAAACCTTTTCAGTATCCTTCACACATAGAGTGAATCAAGACAGTTCAATTGATTCTCAAGAGTAATTTGCCATCCATTGTTAACAGATAGCAAGAGAGAGCTGGTTCTGTGCAGCAAATATTTTTGTTTATATGAAGGCTTTTTTTTTACATGGGTTAAATCCCCTTCCCAGTTTCCATTTCTGCTTGAAAGTAATGATTGAGACAGAAAATAGACATTCTCTTCCCACAAAATACATTAAACCTACCTCAGTCGCAGTAATTTTCAGCCATTTATTTATATTTGCTGTTCCTTGGACTATTCTGACCTTCATCCCACCCTGCTTTCTTCCTCCTTAAGTGATCCCAGCCATTTATGGATCATATAATGGACATGTCACAATAGCACTATGTACTGAATCTGATATGGCTATTTGTCAACATCAAGAAGTCTTTTAGAGTAAAGGCAGTGTTTCCTAAACTGGACAGTGATCAATCCCACCCCCCCAGGGATCATGAAATGGACACTTTTTACAGCTATTTTTGTAACAATCTACCAAAAAGAAAGAAACCAGAAAATTTCAGGGGGTGGGGGTGGGTGGCTTTCTTTTAATTTTGAACAAGTTTTTTTCTGAAGCAGCTCAGCCCTAATCTTCTCATTTGTTGCTTTCCTAAACAGAATTTAGTTTACTTGGTAATTTAATATAAATGCATTAATAATAATTTGCAAGCAAATTTGTATAAGATTTGAACTTAATGTCCTTAAATTAAAGATTCTCTAAGTTGTGTGTGTGTTTTTTCCATATTTGCTGATTAGCATAAAGGCTGTACAAAGACATAGCAGGGTACAGCAACTGATCTGACAAGCTACTTGCCCACGAAGAATTAACTTGGGCTGGCAAGTGGCTGCCCGCAAGGCTGTCTCATATATAACTGGCCAAATTATATGTTTGCTGAAAAAGCAGTACTTGGTGGAGGGAAAAGAAAGAGAGAGAACTCATAGGGCCCATTAGTTTCCCAGTATAGGTTTGCTACTGTTGAGAAATGCATGTTTCCCCTCACACTTTATAGTGCTGATTACTTCAAATGCTGTGGTAAGTACAGCAAGCTCACTTGCTGTGTAAATGTTTTAATTGACCCTTAGAAAATAATGTTGTGATTTGAATATGGGTTACCCAGGTTCAGATCCCTGTTTGAAGTTTGGCTTGTGGCAAAGTGTATGCATCTTTCGCTCTCCGCATATTGCGCCTTACCTGCTAGTTGTGAGCTAAAAGGCTGCTCTGAGATTCTTTAGAAGAAGGCTGTATACAAATTAAGACATCTGAGACATGTGCATAATGTACTCAATTTGGCTTAATTTCTGATAGGAGCAAGAGTTTGTACAGAAGCAGCAGCAAGAACTGGATGCGTCGCTAAAGAAAATCATTCAGCAGCAAAAAACTGAGCTAGCTACCATTGAGCGGGACTGTCTGAATAATAAGCAACAACTCATGAGAGGTATTTCTCCCTTTCCCCCTAGTGTTGGATTACTGTTCATCAACTTAAAGAAGCATTAAGGGCTCTGGGCACCTAGTACAGCTCACATGCAAGCCCCATGAAACTTGTGGAATGATTCATGTCCTAAATTTATGTCCTTCTAGTGAAGGCATGAAAATCCACTGAAGACTGTAGCTGTACATAAGAGTTTTTATTAGGCAAGCAGAAAATGGTGTACAGAATCCATTTTAAAATGGCTTGTCTGTTTCTGAAACAAGCCTACTTGTGTCTACAATTTTGGTGAATTGTTATTGGATAACTTGATGGGGAATAATTTCTTCAATGCATTTCTCCATTAAATATTTAATTGGGGCTATTCTGTTATTGATTGCTTCGTGAAATACATTGTATAAGGAATGTTTTGGGGGTGACTCCTCAGTAATTTTGACAGAATTTTTCTTCCTTTCTAGCCCGTGAAGCTGCAATATGGGAACTAGAAGAACGACACTTGCAGGAAAAACACCAACTGCTAAAACAGCAACTGAAAGATCAGTACTTCATGCAAAGACATCAGCTGCTTAAACGGCATGAAAAAGTTAGTACGATCCTAGTTCATCCTCTTTGCTGGCTCCAAAGCCTGGTTCAAAGACATCCTGTCCTACCACCTATATTTATTTATTGCCTTTTTTCTTTAGTATTTAATACTTTTATATTTTGTGTAAGTTATTTGATATTTAGTCCCAATGTTCATAAGGTCAAAACAGCGCCTTAAATTCAGGGAGGGAGGGACACACAAACACTTTAGACCACTATTTCTCAACCTGTTGGTCATGACTCACAAGTGGGTCACAGTACCTGAGCAAGTGAGGTGTGGCCTTTATAAGTAAAACCAAAATAAGTATTGCTTTTGCTCTGAACTGGTATGATGAATACCTCTTGCAGGTTTTTGTTTGCATATTCTAATGCTGTGTTGGCACATGTAACCAAATGACAGAATGCTGCTCCCACCCTAGCATGGAGGCAGGTTTGCCTCCTGCATTTCCTGAGAAGGCATGGGTGGTTTCTTCTGTGGAGGGGGTTAGGAAAGGGACGTGTGCCTTTCTACCCCTATAGTGCAAGGGCAGGTGTCAAGCTTTATAGGCTTGGCACCACCCTCAGTCCATCCTTTCTTGCTTAGTCAAAATAATAATATCATTATCTTTTGTATCAATAATGATCTGAGACCATGTCTAGCAACCGTCAAAACCTGCATCAACCTACTTGTTGACAAAATGCAAGCTCAGCTACCCCATTGATACTTGCCGAAATGGACTTTTTCATGACTAAAACTATTTAAAATAGCCATAATTTGTTATATTTAACATAGCGGTTTTTGAATAAAAATTACAGCTTTTGAAGCAATATATTGCAGTCAGATAGCTGGTCTTACATTCCTATAAATAAAATTATGAATAGCATATTTTTATAAACGTTTACACAAATTTCATATCAATAGGGGTGTTAAGGAAAGTTTTCCTTGGATGCCTCAAATAATGGTTATAAAATTGACAAAATTGCAGTTAAACAGATGGATGTTGAAGGCCTACCATATTTTTTGCTCTATAAGATGCACCAGACCATAAGATGCACCTAGTTTTTGGAAGAGGAAAACAAGAAAAGATATATTCTGAATCCCAGAAGCCAGGACAGCCAGCGGGATCGCAACACTGCAATCCCGCTGGCTGTCCTGGCTTCTTGCTTGGCCGCGCGCAGCCTCTCCCGGGCAAGGGGAGCCTTCATCCCCTTCCCGGGAGAGGCTACACGCAGCTAAGGCTCCCCCAAGAGCCGCGCTCCCTTTAACGAGCTGCTTGGAGTGTGTGTGTGGCTCTTGGGGGCTTTTCCCCGAGGAGGGAGAAGGGCTGCCGTCCTCCCTCCTCGGGAAAAAGCCCCCAAGAGCCGCACACACGCTCCAAGCGGCTCGTTAAAGGGAGCACTGAGCAGAGCCTCCCGCCTGCATTCGCTCCATAAGACGCACACACATTTCCCCTTAATTTTTAGGAGGGGAAAAGTGCGTCTTTTAGAGCGAAAAATATGGTTGCGAAATCCATGTGACAATAAAATGATGGGCCACTATACCAAGTAAATTTGGACTTGTGGGTCATTATACCCAAAGGGTAGAGAATCACTGGTTTGGACAATAAATAAATGATAACTATGAGTGATGGTAGTAGGCAAAAGTAGAGCTGCAAATTTTGAAATGATATTATTTAATGATCTTTTCAGTTGGCTGAAATTTGTGTGTTGTTATTACTGCTGGTTGACTAACCGGTTATTTTTTTAAAAAAATATTTATTGTCAGTTTTTCTGATACAGAAAATTTAATTATGAAGTGTTTTATTTGCACAGGGTAAGATGTATATTAAATACTTTAAATGTACTGTTGAAATGGCGACGAGACCGCATTGGCCTGTTTATTCTGAACGTTTGTAAGTGATGCCAGTAAAGGTTTGATATATAAAATGCATTTCCCCTCAATTTTTTTTAAAGGAAACAGAACAGATGCAAAGATATAACCAGCGGCTTATTGAAGAATTAAAAAACAAGCATACCCAGGAAAGAGCTCGATTGCCCAAAATCCAGCGTAGTGAAGCAAAAACTAGGATGGCAATGTTTAAAAAGAGCCTAAGAATTAACTCCTCAAGCACTCCAGAACAGGATCGTGAAAAGATTAAGCAGGTAAAGCAGTGATTTTAGACAAAGGGGGAATCTGCATACACACATTATGCAGTTCTATGAAACTCTCAAGTCAAAAATCTGATGAGTCCCAAGTCTCTGGAAGTGATGTCTTCAACTATGTGTGTGTGCTTGAAGCTGATTTACTATTAAACTATTGAATCTAGTGGGCCAATTAGAATTGGTTTAAGAACCAAGTCACATTGTTGCTTATGTGTTTTGTGGATCAGCTTCTTCAGGTAAGATCCACATTTATCCAGTATGTACTAAGAAGTACTTCAGGTAAGATCCACATTTATCCAGTATGTACTTTAGAATCCACAGCCGCGCATTAACGGGTGGTTGTCCAACTTCTAAGCGGACAGCTATATTAGATACACAGGGGGGGATCCCCAATAAACACCGATAGAATTTTGTTTGAAATGCCTCCATAGGCGCAAAATTTTTAAAACTGCAAACCTGGGATCCATAAGTAAGTTGTGGGAGTATTTTTGCAGCAAAAACCTGGGAGGCCGCCGGAACGTATTTACCCCTTTCCCGTGAAAAAATCTTGTAAGGGCTTTATTAGCCCTTCCTGCGTTGGCAATGGCGTTTTCATCTGTTGATGCCACGAGACCCTTTCCTGAAAAGTTATTCCCAGGTATTTGAAAGTTGCTACCTGGTCAATAGGTTGACCATTAATTCTCCATTTGTGTTTCCTTCTTTTTTGAAAACACCATAATTTTAGATTTGCTGTAATTTATTGATAGTTGTTCCGCTTGACAATAGTCAGCAAGTGATCTCAAAAGCTTCCTCAGGCCAATGCAGGAAAAGGAGAGTAGGACTGCGTCGTCCGCATACAGAAGCACCGGGATGGGAATACCTGCCAGTTTGGGAGGGTGGGCATTTTCTTTCGCCATATTTACTGCTAGAGAGTTGATATAGAAATTAAATAGCGTTGGCGCGAGGACACATCCTTGTTTAACCCCATGGTGCGTTTGAATTTCTTTAGTTAGATGGCCTGACCGATCGCATCTTACCCTCACCCTGGTGTTTTCGTATAGACCACGGATAAGGCGTAATAAGCGTTTATCTATGTTTGTAGCGCCAAGCTTTTCCCAGAGTCTATCCCTTGGTATTAGATCAAACGCCGATTTAAAATCCACGAATGCTGCATATAAAGACCCCCCTTTTCTAGAATATTTGTCTGCCAGGTGTTGAAGGGTAAGGGCCTGGTCTATAGTTGAACGCTTTGCTCTAAAACCGGCTTGAGCTTCTGATAGAATATGCTCTCTTTCCATCCACTCCACTAATTTATCACATAAATGAGCAGCATACAGTTTGCTAATAATACTTAATAGACTGATTGGTCTATAGTTAGCTGGCTCAGTTCTGTTTCCTTTCTTAAATATTGGAATGATGATGGCTAAACCCCAGTCCTCGGGGATAATAGCCGCTTGATTTATACTAGTGAACAAGGCGGCTAGCACAGGGGCCCACCATTCGACATTTGCCTTAAGAATTTCTGGTGGGATATTGTCAGCACCCGGGCTTTCCCTGATTTAAGAGCTTGAATAAGTCCAGTAATTTCTTCTATGGTTACAGGGGCCATTCCTTACCAAATTCACTTGAAGCAGGAAGCAGAGCTGGGGCCAGTTGATTTGATGAATATAATGAGAGGAAATAGGCCTCCCATGCTCCAGCGGGTATAGAGTATTCGATTTCAATCGGGAGTCTCTCCAGCTTTTTGCAATTATTTTCCAAAACGTGGCAGAATCTTTCCTTTGGGAGGCCTCCACTAGGCACTGCCATTCCTCCCTTTGTGCCTGGAGCTTTTTCTTGCTAATCAAAGCTTTATAACTGCGTTTTGACTCAAACCAGTCTAATGGAAGCGAAGGTAAGTTCGCTGTTCTATAGTTCCTGTACTTATCCAGCAGGAGGCGTTTCATAGCCATGCATTCTTGGTCAAACCAAGGTTTGGATTTATTAAAGTGCAGAGATTGCCGTGGCGTTTTTTTTGTTGGTCAGATAAGGTTGTAGCGACGAAATCAGTTCCCGGAACATGTCTAATCTGGCCTCAGGAGTTGGGGAATTAACGAGGTTCTCCTTTCTAGCAAGAAAAATATCTGAGTGAAGTCTTTCCGATATTTCATCACTCAATTTGCTGGACCATTTGATACGTGAGTATCTTAGCTCCATGTTTTCGAAGCATGGGGCTACAAGTTTATCAGAGCAAAATAAATCTTTTCTTACATCCAGTATTAAACAGAACGGTAGATGGTCGCTGTCAACCCTCTCCACCACTTTACATTCCCGTGCTCTGCTCAAAAGGTTAGATGACACCAGGACGTAATCGATAGTGGAGGCTCCCATGTTGGATATAAATGTAAATTCCCCACTGGGTTCTCTGTCGACACGACCATTTAATACAGTCAAATCCAGATTGTTGGAAAACGTAGAAGGCATAGGCCTGCGTAATTGCAGCCCTTGTCTTTTGAGAGCCTTGGGGGAATAGAATGGGCTTCTTCAGAAATGGGAGGTACGTCGTGAAAATGAGCATATAACGCCTCGTCTGATTGGCCAATTCTGGCATTTAAATCCCCAGCCAGCAGCACTGCCGCAGCAGGAGTTTGATTCATTAGCTCATCGACATAAGATTCTATCCTATGCCAGAGATTTTTGATAAGCTGCTTGCCTCTTTGGGGAGGGGCATATATATTAATCAATAGAAGTGTGCAATATCTGCATTTCATCAATAATGCCATGGCCACACTGCTCAGAGGCTCCAGCTCGATGAAAGATGCTCTCAGCCTTGTGGATATTAAAATGCCTAGCCCACCCTTAACTCGTCCCCCTTTGTTGCTTGGTGAGCCTGCGAGCGAAAATGAGGCAAAACCATTTACATCTAGATCCCCTGTTAGCCATGTCTCTTGCAAGAAGACTATATCATGATCTTGAATAAAATTGACAAATGATTGGTCAGTCGCCTTGTTGAGCCAACCAGCAATGTTCCATGATAAAAATTTAAGATTGGCTTTATCACAATCAAATCTTTGTCAATTATTAGCTAACGTACTTTTAGGGTTTGTCGCTTTATGTATCGGACGCCTATCGTCTTTGAATGGCGGGCTATCCAGCCGCTCTATGATTTCAATAGGTGGATGCAAAGTGCTCACGTTTGTGAACACCAGCTCTTTATTATGCATAAATTCCTTCTGTGGATAGTCTGTTTTGGCCTGATTTTGGCCCAATTCTGTTTCATCTAGGTATCTCATTTTGTCCCATACGTCTTGTGGGGTCACCTTGGGGATATTTCTCTTTCGGGGGTGATGGAGTACTCTCCTTGAAGGGTGGCACATTCTCTCTTGGTGGAAAGTTAATCTCCGCTTTGATCTGAAGGTTACGTGTTGTGGTCTTTTTTTGGTCCCCCTTGATAACCTCGTTGCCTGAAGCTCTCTCAGCCAGCTTATCTCTTAGCTTATCTAGTCTTCCCAAGATGTCAGTTTGTATTAATGGTGGGAACATCCAGAATTGGTCAATTAGGATATTTTCTTCCATAGTAAAGAAATCCTCACCTTTACTTGCAAGGCATTGCGGGTTCTGTTTGTCAGGCCAGGATTTTGAGAGTTGTTTCCCTTTCTAAGATTTGCCTGCTTAGTTTTCAAAAGGGGGCTCAAAGGAGCCTTATTTTCAAAGAACCTAAGTATTATTGTCCGTGCTTTTAAAAAGGCAGGTCTTGACCTAAAAATATACTTGGCCAGGTTCTGATCCCTAAAAGTGGTCAGTGCTCTCACTGAGTGACCATCATAATGTAAATATTCCACCGAGGTGATATCATTAGCATTAACCATTCCTGGCAGTATGTCATTTAGACTAGATACAAAGTTCATTATTCGCTGTTTCCCTGTAAGGAAGCCCTTAGGCTTCGGGAAGTTCGTGAATACCAGTTTTTGGGGATTTAGGATCAAATTCCAATCTCTTTTCTGACTGGAGGCTTGCCAGGTCTGAAGGGGGGTATCATCTCTACTAAACGCTTCCTCTTCCCCGCTGTTCGGTTTACTAAGTGTTTTATTGCCTTCATAGAAAGAGGCCTCTACTTCCGCAGCATCAGGTTTCTTAAAAGTTGGTTATGCATGGACTGAGTTGTTACTTCTGCCTTCTCATTTGCTACTGGAGTCAGCCTTAGCGAGTCCTCCTTAGCCGGTTGCTGTGTAACTACCTTTGTTTCTCTCTTTTTACCCTTCTTTTGCTGCCCCGTGTGGTCGATTTATTTGGGGCTGGGGAAGAAGTTTAAACAATTTCTGCCAATGTATGTTTCGATTACTGCGGGTATGCTTGGCTATCCTTGTTGTTTTAATATTTTTACTTTTCTTCACTTTTACCCTTGAGTTATGTCTTTGCAGATTCTTATTTATTACTGGTTTGTTCATCGACGCTAGCTCAACTGTTTTATGTTCTTGTGGCATATCATTTAATTTTAACTCTTTTAATTGAGATGTGAAATTTTCTACTAACGTCAGCAGTAGCCCATTTGTTATTGTTAGATAATTTTTATGTTGGCTAAATCAGAACTTATTACTAGGGAATAATCCAAAGGGCGACCGTCACTCAATTCTGTTTGAGAGTATTTTGGAGTAAGTATCTGGTTTTGATGGGTTGATGTAATTTCTTCCGTGGGCAGCTGTTCCTTAGTAATAGAGGTATTTCCCTCCTGAAGTTCCTCGGCTAAAGCTAGTTCTTGCGCTAGGCTGCATGGGGAGTTAATATTTCCAGTATCTTGGTATATCTCTTTAAAATTAGATGTCCAATCAAGAACAGTAAGAGAGGGGGGGATTACTTCATCAAGAATTAACTCTTTTTGTGGACTCTTACCCTCCTCCATCTTAGGAAAGTAATTTGTGATTTTGCTTTGTCTTTTACCAGGGCCCGAGGGGCTGATTGCCGAGTCAGGCAGTATACCCAACTCCTTGTATTTTCTCCTAGTAAAAACCATGGTAAAAGTGGTCTCGATATAGAGAGAGGGCAGTTTACCCCAGGTGCGACTGCCTTAGATTGGGGGGCAAGTGGGGGTATCAATCTATATTCCCACCTGCTCTCTGCAACAGCTTCCTGATGTGCTCATCAACAGCCTCAATATATTTCTCTATTTTGAGTTCTCTGCTTTTAGATCTTGGCAATTGTCCTAAGCCTGTAGTTTTCACCTCAATCATGCGACCAGCGCTGTTTCACAAATGCTGTAACCTAGTCAGAATATAATAATAAAACAATGCTGCCAAAGAGACAGCAGTAATAAAACGGCTAAAAACTACATTAAAATTAAAATTGCCTTATTTAGGCAATTTGTGTGCAGCTGGAAAAGGATAATAGTGGAGTTTGGCTATAGCGCATGTACAGCTATGATAACCTTGTATTTCGGGTCTTAGCTTAGTCTTTAGAGGCCATCTTCCACCGCCCCATACTGAACGAAGGATATCCAAGAGCCCCAGAAGGGAAACTTTCTGTGGGCTGGTTCGCTGATTCCTTCTAGGTAGTCTTTCAAAGGCCTACCACATAAGGCAGGGCACAGAACGATATCTTGCTGAAGCCGGTTTTCCAAACCTCCAGAAGGTCCTATCCGATACACTGTTGTGGAGTTATTGTGTAGATTAAAAAATTCCTGTAAAAGACTCAGGGTGCCTTCACCAGGAGTCTCTGAGAATATAAAAGCTGGTCTCCTCGAAAGAGTTTATTAAAATGAAGAGTCTTTCCAGCTACAGCACTACCTCTTCAACTAAGCAGGAATGTTGTCCCCAGCTAGTTCACACAGCCCCCCAGCTGGGCGGGGGTCAGTCAGTTCAGTTAACCCCCGAATCTCCAAGCTTTATCTTTCTCTGTGTTCAGCTGAGCTGGGTGTCTATGGGCCAATCTCAAAGCAAAGCTCACAGTCGTGTCTCTCCTTACCCTCCTTCTCCAGGCACCGTTGGTCGGATAAGCAGTTCACAGTTCTGTCTTTAGACCTCTTCTGTCTCTCTGCTCTCAGTTCAGGCAGCAGCGTTCTCTCCTCTCTGGCAACCTTGACCGGGCAGCTGATAAGGAGGGAGGGAGCAGGCTGGGACAAGCTGAAGCTCGCAGAGCCGACAGGAATTATAAAAATGTTCAGAGTCTTTAAAATGTTTTCCGTTTGTTAAAAATTGGCATCCGGAGGGCAATTAAGATAAGGTTTTTTAAAAATAAAAGTGAGCGCCGGAGAGCGTGACTTGCCTCGGCGCCATCTTGGTGCACCTTTGTATTCTTCCTCTCAAGAAGGAACCAAGAAGGTTTTTTGCAAGCCCATGTTTTTTTCAAATCTGTCTAATATTAGTTATTTCAATGAACTGTTTTTGAATGTTACACTGTCATTTAATTATATGCTTGTGTCTATAAACATTTTAAAAATTCTAATTTAAGTCCTCCTGTTTCTCTGAAAGTTTGCTATTCAGGAAGAAAAAAGGCAAAAAAATGAGAGACTGGCTCAACATCAGAAACATGAAAATCAAATGCGAGACCTCCAGCTGCAGTGCGAAGCCAACATTAGAGAATTACATCAGCTACAGGTTAAACAATGTTAATCCAAAATGTGCCCTTTTATGTTATTTATACATGGGATAGGTCTGTTTTGAGTGTGATGGCGCTTCATGTGCTGCAGTTACATGTGACACTTTATAGTTGTGGTACTACACACAGTATTTCTGTTCTTTGTTTTTTTTACAAATGAATCTGCACCAGTTTTTCTTTCCAAGGCCCTCCTCTAAGTCTCCACACCTTCTGAAGTCAGGTGGGTGATATCCAGAAAGAGGGCCCTTCTCTGTGGTAGTGACCTGCATGTGGAATGCCCTTCTCTGTGAGATTTATGTGCCAATGAGTTTGGTATCTTTTTGGTGTTTAGGTGAAAACATCTCTTATTAATCCAGATCTTCCAGCATGTCTCTTAGCTGGGTTTAGCTGCGGATTTGTAGCAGTGTTACAGTTTTGTTACTGCTATGATCTCTTCTAACTTTTTCAACTGCATGAAGTATATTTGTGTATCAACATTTTCCTGTGCTACAAGTAGCTGTGGAAATTTTGGCAAACTGAAGACCGGGGGAATATTTATACACAAAATGGACTGTGTATAGGGACCGTGTGTGTAGAGAGAAGCAGTGCTTTTTTTCTGGGGGGGATGCAAGGGTACACATACCCGTGAACATTTTGTGAATCTTAAGTTTGGCCTCATTGAGGGGCAGTATTTCAACATTAGGAAAATGAGAGTGCCTCTAAATATTTTTTTTAGGAAAAAAAGCACTGGGGAGAAGACAACATGAGGTTTCTGGTTGGGCTGATCTCATAAAAGCTAGTACCTCTATTGAAATAGAAGAATTTCTGTGTGAGAGAACCAAAAAAAGTAGAATTCTGATGGATTGTATAACTTTTTGCAACTTTTAAAAAAAATATCATGCGGGAAAGCCCCTGTCAGTCTGCACTATAAATCTTGTGATTCTAGCTCTGAGATATGTTCATAGTTTTAGCTTCAGATAAAGTTTTAAAAAACCATAATACATACTCTTCATGCCCTGTTTGAGGAATTCAAGTAACAGTTTCTATTGAAAAGCTAAAATCTTGATAGAGAACATTGCTATGTAGGAATTATCTTGGCTACTGTACAAATTAAGCTAATTAAAGAATTAGGTCAGCATATGCTTCTATACAAGTAGCCAAATGTCTAATCTGATTTAGTTTTACTAAAGGATTATCTGTATCCCATTTTCAGAATGAGAAATGCCACCTGCTGGTTGAACACGAGACTCAGAAATTAAAAGAGCTGGATGAGGAACATAGCCAAGAACTTAAAGAATGGCGAGAGAAACTGAGACCAAGGAAAAAGGTAATGCAGATTGACTTTGAATCTCCAATAGAATATTTTATTCTATACTAATACTATATGGGGCAGTTGATTTTGTAGCTTGTCTCTGATAAATCAGATCAAAAACTAACACCAAGCTCATCATGTTTATTTTGTTTAAATGTTCTTGTTGTTTGTCATTAGACATTAGAAGAGGAATTTGCTCGTAAACTTCAGGAACAGGAGGTTTTCTTTAAAATGTCTGGAGAATCTGAATGCCTTAATCCATCAACGCAAAGCCGGATTTCTAAATTCTACCCAGTCCCGAGCCTGCACTCCACTGGATCATAAATTTGGAGCCTCTTGTGAGGTGGCTTTGGGTGCGTCTTTCAGCTTCTCCTCTTCAGCTTCTGTCACAATGAAATCTACACTCTGCATCCAAGAACCTCAGTGGAACTCCATCCACCTTCAGTGGAGACAATCAGTGATATCAGATATAGAAGCACAAATGTTGGTCTTGAAATCCAATATGCTATGTTTCATGTATTTCAAGGATAGCCATTTGAAAACTGGACTGAAAAAAATGTATCCAACTGTGTTGGCACCGGAAAGCAAGCCTAAACTATTAAAGATAATCTGCAATGCCCCAGGAATAATTGTAGAGGATTCTTAGGCAGATATACTACTACTCATTTAACCAAATATTTGTTGTGTTATGCCCATTATGAGGAAATGGGTCACTAGCCTCATTCAGTGCCTGAAACCTGTAAACATGCTACGGTTTTTTTTGTAAGAGGATCATGTTTCTTTATCACTAAAGAAGTCCTCGTTACTGATATTACTGTAACAGAAATGCTTGCTGCTGCTGCAATTTTTGTCAAATCCTTGCACTAAAATATGTAAAAGTTTAAAAAAGAGTACTCCTGTCTACTTTAAAATATACACCTTATTCCTCTACAAACTGAAATAAAACAGTATAATTTATTTCTCGAGAAAAAGTGTGCAAAAATTGCACCCCCATTCTCACCTCCACAATTAGAGAAACTGAATGGATTCTCTCCTTACTCAAAGTAGCGGTTTTGAAACTCCGGAGCAGAAAATGGCTGTGACTGTCCCCGTTCGTACAAATCAATGCTGATGTCTGGATTGCAAGGCATGTTTTCTTTCAAAATGTATGTTGATCTATAGAAGGATTTAAGTTACATGTATAGACAAACGTTTAATCTGCTTCATTGTTTTACCATGAAGTAACTAAAGTTAAATGGTTTTATTTCTAAAATTCATAGTTGTATTATAACTTATTTGCTGTGGGGGTGGGATAGAAATATTTATCATGTTGTTGGCAGGAGATGTGCCTGCATTAAACAGCAGCTGCTGTCTTTTCAGGCTTCAGATCTGAGTCATATCAAAAACAGTATTGTAGACTGTCCTTTTGATATGCCAAAGTTAGATTTGTAATATAAATGTTGGTTGCTTCCTGTTTTTTCGCAGCCTAATCTTTTAGTAGGTAGCTTTGAATAATCAATTGTAAGTTTTCACATTTGCAGTCTTTTCATTAAATGTGAATACTGTCCAATTTCTTACAAATTTTATATTATGTCAGCAGCATTCCTGCATGTGAAGGAAGCAGATTATAAAAATATATAGTACTTTAATCAAGTGTGCTCAATACTTTGGCTACTGAATCCGGATACTGAGGTTGATCTTATCAGATCAGATTGTTTAATTGTGACAGTATAGTAAACATACTTTGAAGATGCATGTTTCAGTTAAATTTTGTTTTCCTTTAATCATAATCTACCTAACAAATATTTCATAGTTAGCCTTAATACTTCACATTTTATTTTATAAATATGTATTGTGTACCAGGTTGTACATTCGCATATACATCAACTAGAATGTGGCATTTTGCTCTTTACAAAGTTCTGAAATCTGTTTATTCTGAATTGTTTTGGTGGGAAAGTTTTCAAAAGCCTTTACTTTTTTTAAAAGTCACCTTTACGAAATAACTAGTATTGATTATAACATTAAATACTGTTTCTATCTGTTTAAAAAACTCTTTAAAAATCTCAAGTTTGTGGCTTCCTTTGGGGAGTTGTGTGTGTTGTGTGCTAGTCTGAAAGGATTCTGTGGTGTTGCTGTTTCTTGGGGCACCAGAACCAAAATGAGCACCAGAACTTAGCCCTACTCGGTTTCTTCCTATATTGATGATTGCCTGGTGGCGTTCTTCCATCATTATTGCCCTGTGTTGCATATAAAGTGTTCATTTCTTTGCATGTTTCACATGCTACAAAATCAGACCTTTATTATCCCAACATGGTTCCCGGTGTCATGACACAGGATGTTAGGGTCAGGTGCCAAACCATGGTTCAACTGTCAGAAATGTGCATGTGTTTTTCCTCTTGTACTTGCATACTCTGATTCTCTTTTTATTTTCCAATTCATGGTAACCCTAGGTTTCCATGACATCAAAATCAGTGGTGCTATGGTTACTATATACCGGAAATTGATCTAGAAGCAACTTGATTTGTATATACAGTACATTTGTTGTATTTTATCTAATTTGGTTATCCCTGGAAACCAGGGATAACCAGGTCCTGCAGGAGGAAATTAGAACATAAAAGGGACCCTACAAACAAAGGGCACGTTCTTGAGAGTCAAACCATGCTGTGTGTATGTGATGTCTGAACCTAGCCACAAATAAACAGGGTAAAGGCTGGCAGTCAGATAATGCATTAATTAGAGGGGCCCCATGAGAGGGGTCTGCCCTTTGTTCTACCAAGTTCCCCACCATTATAAAAGCAGGTTTAATTGTACAAAAAAGTTGCATTTTTGTTTTGTGTTTGGCTCCTCCTCCTGGCTGAAACTTTGAGCACCTGCACCTGATTGGTTTCCCTATAGAGGTACACAGTGGAGTTTATTGAAAATGATATCAATATATGGCTTTGATTTGATGGCGTGAGAAATGGCTTCCTTCACAGATAATCTGATGAAGGAAAATACACTGCCATTAATATTGAAGCTCAGTTTTGTTGCTCTACTACAAGGGCACCAAAAAGCCCTCATAATTCTGAGCTAAGTTGATTACGTCAAAGAAGAAAACTTTTTACTGAATCACTGTCTTTATTTTAGCTTGTCAGTTGCTAGAATCATACCACCTAAGGTCAGTTTGCAATTCCTGTCACCTATGGATGGAAGAGGTCTCCAAGCGGATTGTGTTGCTGCAACTTGAAGACAGGAAATGCCCAAAACTTCTACAGAAGATTTTTCTGCTCTCTTTTCTGTTGAGGCTCAGTCCATTTCCTGTCTCAACTCGGAGAAACATTCTGTTTGGAATCTTTAAGGCTTTTCCCTTATAGCCAGCCTGTTGTTTTTTCTCCTTCTTATATTGAGTCTTTTGTTCTTATTTGTTTTCTACAGCTGCTCTTCCTCTCTTTTTCTCTTACTGTGTAAAAAAGAAAAAGAAAAAATCCTTCACCTTTCCTGCCTTTTTTTCTTTCTCTCCCTTTCTAAGCTCCATCCTGAGCTGTGAGGCTAGGATTTTCCACTTTCTCATTATGGGGAAGACAGACAAACCCCTACAGTTCAGGGCTACTTCTTTGAAAGGGGGGGGAGCTGAGTTTTGGGGTTGGGGCCACACTTGGCAGTAGCTGCAGCAAGCATCCAGGGGGCCACTGTTTCTGAAGATCCCAGGGAGAGCCCTTGCAAGTGCAGCCTCTTCCTTTGAGTCCTGTGCAAGGGACACCCAGTGTTAATTTTCTAGAAAAAGAGGTGCTGGACTCACCACGAACACCTCTTATATTGGCAATGGTGCCTACCTGAGAGGGGCCGAAATGGAGTTCTGGTGAGTTGCGGCTGGGAGGGAAACGGGGGATATCATCTTCTGCTGCTTCATTGAGTCCTAAACCAACCAGATCTGAGACTACGACATCTGGAGGCAGCAAGGAGCGAAGAAACGGGCAAGCATAATGGCGGCCATTCCTGAGGAGATGCAGTCCATGCCTGGTGAATGACAGGCACTTTCCTCACTGAGCCCTCAGGCTCAGCATGGGAAAGTAATACATATTCAGTTGTGTTAGTCCTTGTGGATTTTGTTGGTTTCTAGAATGGTTTTTCTCCCACTTTTTCTGGTTGTTTCCTATTTTGTACACATTTTATCACATTTTGTGCTGTTGAGTTTTGTTTTCTCCTAAGCTGTTCCAAGAAATAGGACTCAGCCTCAACAGGAAGAGAGCAGAACACTTATATAGGCATTTCCTGCCTCCAAGCTACAAGGCAGGCAACGCAATCCGCTTGGAGCCCTCTACATCCTCAGTGAAATACCATTTATGGTAGGAACAACTTTCCCTTTATCCTACTTTCATTTAAATCAGTGGAACATAGGAATACTGTTGGATCTTAAGATTCTAAATAATCTCTTTGGAAGTTGATGCTACTGATTTCTTCTGGAGCACAAAATTTTTATTCTTGCTAAGGTGTTACTATTTGTTTTCTTTAGAAAAGCTTCTTACCAAAGCACAAGTTCTGGCCCCTTGAAAGTGCTATTTTAAGGGTTGGGATGTGGTTTCTTTTATCTCTAGGCAGAGATACAATAAAATTTCAGAAGGAAGAACTTCAATTCAGTTAGTGCTGTACTTGAAGTATTTGCCTGTGAGCCGCCTACTCTTGGTAGCAAACTTTTTTTTTAATTGGTGAATTAAATTGGCTTTGAAAGTTCATTTTCATTTGAAAGCATAGGAAGTGAAGCCCATATATTTCAAACAAAATAAACTGCAAGAAAGATCTGTAGAATAAGGACTGTGGTCCATTACCTATTTTGTAGGAATCTATACTTTTCTTCCACTACCCCTGTTCTTTCTGTGTCTTGAAAGAAAAGGGCTGTTAATGCCAAAAACCACACTGGCCACTGTATTTTGTACCAGCTGCAGCAAGGGTATAGGTAGGACACAAGCACAGGCAATTCTGACCACAACTGCCACCACTTGGATGGCAGCTGAAGGACTTAGGTATGTTTTGCCTGATAATGAGAATGAGAGGAGAGATATTAGCCATCTTCAAATATTTAAACGCTTTTTTGCCACAGAAAACCAAAATTCAGATAAATGACTGAAATTATTTTGATGCTCTTAAGGTTGCAATCCTGTGCATTTTTAAAGGTAAAGGTAAAGGGACCACTGACAATTAAGTCCAGTCGCAAACGACTCTGGGGTTGCGGCGCCCATCTCGCTTTACAGGCTGAGGGAGCCGGCATTTGTCCGCTTCCGCAGTTTTTCCGGGTCATGTGGCTAGGATGACGTAAGCTGCCCCTGGCGAAACCAGAGCAGCGCACAGACACACCGTTTACCTTCCTGCTGGAGCAGTACCTATTTATCTACAGTGGTACCTTGGGTTACAGACGCTTCAGGTTACAGATGCTTCAGGTTAGACTCCGCTAACCCAGAAATAGTACCTCGGGTTAAGAACTTTGCTTCAGGATGAGAACAGAAAGTGTGGTGACAGTGGGAGGCCCCATTAGCTAAAGTGGTGCTTCAGGTTAAGAACGGATCTCTGGAACGAATTAAGTACTTGACCTGAGGTACCACTGTACTTGCACTGCGTGCTTTTGAACTGCTAGGTTGGCAGGAGCTGGGACCAAACAATGGGAGCTCATCCTGTTGTGGGGCCTCAAACCGCCAACCATCCAATCGGCAAGTCCAAGCGGCACAGTGATTTAAACCGCAGCGCCACCCATGTCCCTTAGCTGGAAGTAAATCCCACTGAGCTAAACAGGAGTTCTCAGCAGATATGTATAGGATTGCACTTGAAAGATAATGTTAAGAAGAAACATGGGCACTTTGTATCAAAACAAAATGGGGTTTGAAAGAGGGAAACACATTGTTTCACATTGCTTGCATATCAGGAAACATAGTGTAATCCACACAGCTCATGGGACAGAGGAAGAAAGAAACTTAACACATTGGAAGTAACTTTATTTTTAAAAAAGTAAATGTCTCAGTAACAGATACAGCTGGTTTAAATGCACAACCAATTGCTTGATCAGTTGAAAATACTATTTAATAGGATGTTTGCTCCAAACTTGCAAAACCAGACAAACAGTATGCCAGTTACAGGAGATTCATCTTACCCTGTTTGGAATCCCTTGAGCACAAGTCATCATGTCAAGGGTCACAGATCCAGACATAATTTGTGCACTTAAGGGCTTGTATGCAATTCTGAGTCCCTTAGCAAACAGCTCCCAAGCTCAGTACCATGTCACAAACTAATTTTGATTAGCTACCTAGGTATGTTGGAATTGAGGGAGAAAAAAGTTCAAAGCCCCACTGGACACATTTAGTGGAAGTGCTAGTCTTTGGTCACACCAGAAAGCCATGCAACTATCTACCTCTTTGTATTGTAGAAAACTGGTTTTTATTTCACAAGATGGTGAACTGCAGCTATCAATTTCTACTTATATGTTTGATAAGGTTGGAGGCAATAGGTAACCTGTCCAGGAAATGTGTATTTCCAACACTGGTGTTAATTTTTCTAATTTGATCTTCCTTGATCTCTTAGCTAAATTCTGAATCTTTTGCTATCAGTTATGGAACACTAAATTTGTATCTTGAAGCAAATGGAGGAGTTAAGGTTGACCTATACCCAGCAATGTTTTTAACAAATTACAATTCCGTAACATCTTGAGATGTGTCGCAACATCAGGATTTACATTGATAAATTTCCTGTGGCCCAAAAACATGTCCCTCCAGACTTAGCTATCACTTTATTGCTGCCATGATTGCATGTATAACGGGATAGAGGATTCACACTGTACAACATTAGTTTCTTGATATGTTGATATGATTTAGGACACATGAAAATAAACTTTATTGACTTTGCACAGACTCAGGCATGTTGCCTAAATTCCCCTTGCTGCACATCATTCTATGCTAATGGGGATTTCCGCACCTTAAAAACAACAGATGGCTTAGGAGATGCTCACTGCAAGCAGGCAGTAGAGGAAGAAATGGTCATAGATAAAACTGCTCACTTTTGAAGGTGGGCGGGCTACTGTACTTATATGCATAAGCTTCCCTGACTTTGTCTGTCATAATACTTCAATGTCTGGTTTCTGCTAAAGTGAGGCTAGAGTGTAAACAAGCTCTAATCAGAAAGCTTTATATTAAAAAGGCACTTTTATAGTAATTAAAACCACAGCAGACATTTTAAAAATTGTTTCCAACAAAGTGCTTATATACTAACAGCCCCAAGGTCCTTCACATTTTTGCAATGCATTTTATAACAGATTAAGTGGATTTAATAATAATAAAATGTAGCCTATGGTTATGCATCCTGCTAGCATATAGTTGAGTATTATCACAACTGGCATAGCCTTTACTCTTAAATCCATATTCTTGATAATTTTGGATATGCTTTCTCCTACTTCAAAGGAAGATACATAACCTCTGACTCCAATCCTTTCAACTTTGGTTGAGTTTCTGTTGAAGATTTCTCATGCTAATCTTCATCCAGAGAAACTGAAGTGTGAGTTTCCTGGGAAGTAAGTTACAACTTTTGAGGCTATGCTGTTATAAAATCATTGGGTTTAGATGAGGGCTATACTCTGTTCCAGCCAATTCATATGGGACAACAAGCAAATGAGCCATTAGTTCAATATGTACTACTGGAAGCCACCCATATCTTAGAAATAAGATAAAATGTTATGAAAACCATTCCCAAAGTACCAAGTGTTAGTCGTCACTTGCTGGAAGTCACTGGAAACGGGGGTTTTGTCTCCACTGAGATAAAAAAGCAACCATAAGCAGTTGAGAAATCTTCTGCTCAAATTTGTGTTCTTAGATTAGACCCCAATGCTTCTCCTTTTCCTTCGGCCAACATACACTGCTTCACCTAAGAGAGATGGAATAAGATGAAGAAAGTGTTACTTCACAGGTACAAGTACACATTTTCCCAACTTTCATGCTACTGTTAGGAACTGAAGAGCAGCACACTTTGGCCTCTGCCATTTGCCAGGGAACAAGAACCACTGCACTTCCAACTGTCCCTCAGGATGGGGAGGCCAAGGAAGGAGCTGCCTGAAAGACCACTTGGCTCCAACTGCCCTGGGACTGCAGAAGCAAGCAAGGATACTCTGACTGCAGCCACAGGAACAGAAGCTATCAGCTGCTATTCAAGCAAAGGAAGTTCAATCTGGCCACATCCTCAGCCTCTTCCCTCAATTCCCCTTCCATTGTGTGTTGTGTATTTTTCATTTGTAAACTTAATTGCAGGTTCTTCTTTTCATTTACGTAATCCACTTTGGGAGACACCAGTTGTCTGAGAAGCAGGATAAAATAAATAAAGTTTGCTTGAGTCATTGCCTATGTATGGGTCTCTGAAAAAAGTGGGGGAAGGTTGACTCTCACAATACAGGTGGCTACACTAGAACTATGACAAATGCTAAGTCTTCATGCTTGGACCCGCACTATGCTTCCCCAGCATGGTACTGGTAAAATCCAAAATACACTCCTTTCTAATTTGAAAAACAAATACCTTTCTCGCCCTTTTCACCCCTTGGTCCTCTTGGGCCTTGGCGGCCTGGGGGGCCCATTGGTCCTATGTCACCTAGCAGAGGGAAGAGAAATGATATTTTACTCGATTGAGATTGCTACTCATTTAAAATAGTTCAGCTACAACACAGGCCCACTTCTTGAAGAGTGTATCTTCCAAAGCTGACCCCATGCGTTATCCCATCATGCTGCAATCTGATAAGTATGCCATAGAGAACGATGAAGCATATTTCTCACATCACACACAACATGGCCAGATAATGCAAGTCTCTTGTTTGCGCAGTTGGGCTAGTCCCATGAGGATAATTTATCTACAGAACATGTGCTCATTCACTCAGGGGTGCTGAACATCTATGGCACATGCTACTACTCAGAAATTAAGGTGAAATGCACACATTTTCAAATAGCATTTTACAGAGAGAATCTAACTATCCAGATACAGAAAACAATATGGTTACAGCCAGATAATCATCCATTGTGGCAACAGTTGGGCTTTGTCTGAATACTCAGTAGACCAAGCCCATAATATCCATCTTATAATGAAATGGAAGAAGTGAAACAAAGTGTTTTTTAAAAAAAGAATTCCTGTATATGTAAACTGAATCAGAAAAATGTGTGTGGTTTAAAATGGTGTTCCTCCCACATTTTCTTTCTTCAGCAAACAACCTTTGTAAGTGACACATTAGTGACCATGTTGTGGAAGTGTTCAGAAAACAGCAATCTAGATACATTAATGGGAACCTTAGTGATGTCAGCTGAATTCAATTATGTATTCAATTATCTCTTCTATCAAAGAATTATTTGTTTTCTGCAAGTTCGGATTAAAAATTTGTGTTTGTGAGAGAGATATTTTCTATTTCATACAAATGATAAGGTAAACTCTTGTTTACAAATGCTAGTTCTGAGATAAATTCATATCTAAGGTGACACAGGACTTTGCCTTCTTTGTAGGAAAAGGGTTAAGTTTAATTCATACAGCAATTAAAGGGTTAAAAATACCCTGTACTATTTTTACTTTGGGGACTTCCAAACGTGGGCTTAACATTGCAAATGGACAGCTGGAAACAATTTTTTTTTAAAAAAACAAAATCTTACCAGATTTTCCATGGAAAGGCTAAACCCAGATTAAGATATGGGGAAGGATAGATTCGTATTTTTATGCCAACACAGTTGGTGCAAGGGGCAGACGTACACTTCACATTTAAAGCACATGATTCCCAAAGAATCCTGGAAGCTGCAGTTTGCCAAGCATCTTGAAATCATAGCTTTCTGAGGGGCAAATTATAGTTCCCAGAATTCTTTGGTGTAAACCTTGCAATTTAAATCTGCTTTAAATGTATGGTATGTATGCAGCCTGTGTCTTTAACATATCACAAGACTCTAAGCTGTTTCTGCAGCAACTTATTAACAATGCTACCACTTTGGAAAAAAATACTTCAGAGCTGAGCAGGCACACCTCTGTTAGGTAACAAGCATATCAGCATTTAAAAGTAGGAACTCCTGCCTGGGAACAGGCAGGTAGCCAGAATATGCAAACTTGTTCACAGGCAGGATTAAACAAAGGAAATTCAGCATTCGCCCACACCAGCAGGACAGGGCTGCTTTGCAAGCTCCCAAAAAGGATTTTTGCTCTTAAGATAGCCAGCTTCAAATATCTCAAGGGCTGCCACATAGAGGATGGTGCAAGCTTGTTTTCTCCTGTTCCAGAGGCCAAGACCCGAACCCGAACCTTCAAGTTACAAGAAAGGAGATTCCGACTAAACATTAGGAAGAACTTTCTGACAGTAAGAGCTGTTTGACAGTGGGACAGGTCTCCACAAGAGGTGGTGGACTCACCCTCCAAGGTTTTTAAGCAGATGTATGATCTAGGTGAGATTCCTGCTTTGCAGGGGGTTAACCTCTGGATCCTTTCCTAATTACAATTCTATGATTCTATGACACCAGTGTCAGACTGGCCAAACTTTAACAGGCGTGAACAATATATGTCATGATCATCACACTTGACTCAAGAATACACCTGGAACAAGTATCTTAAAGAAATTATGAAAGCAAAGAGGGTGGACAGAAATGATTAGACAAACATAGTTGGGATGGTTTAATCAGACAGAGCACAGCCTGCCTTAATGCAAATGTTTAGACCAGGTGACTGCTGAGACCCCATGCTGTCTAGGACCAAGAAAGAAACCTTGATCTTTCAGTTTCATGGGCAACTAAAGGTCACATTTTCCCCTTTATATTCAGGTGTATATGATATGATAACAGGGGGGGATAATAGAGTACAGCCCATCACTATTTTATATACCTGGTTGTAGCACCAATGTGAAACAGACTTGATCCAAAAATAAACATTGTTTATAGTCACTGCAAGGCCCTAATACCATTGGAGAAATGTGAGTTTCAAAGGATGGCTGTGTATTGTTTGGAAAAGTGTGAATTTAGTAGATTCGCTAGGCTGGAGCCCAAGTGAAGCCACTGAGAAGCAAAAGGGAGCTATTAGCCTGCTCAGGGGAACCCAAAGGCTTCTGGTAGCATGTACACACACACACACACACACACACACACACACACACACCCCCTCTCTATCTAAGGATGCTCAGTCACTACAGAACACTGTGTGTCAGGAAAGAAAAAACGAAAATGGCAGACGGTGGTGGGATGGAGGATCTAGCTGGCTGGCTAGAACCTTGCACAGGAGCACTGCTACTTGGGGGTGAGGATGCATGGCAACATTTGCGGCAGGCCCCACTTGCATCCTCTGAAACAGAAGTGCTCTATTGGGTTTCCTTTCGGTGTCTTCAAGAGGAGGAGACTACTTGTACAGGGGGAGGAGCCATCCGTCTCCCTGCCTCCCTCCTGGATTCTCAAGTTGGCAAGTGTGGCATCCAACTTCTTACCTTTGGGTCCTGGGAATCCTATCTCTCCTTTCTGTCCAGGTGCACCTGGGATAGTTCCATAAGCTGTAGAAAACAAACAACATCATGTTTGTGGATATCTGCTCTTAATTGTAAATATAAGAACGTCCATAATGAAAAGCTCTGTGCTTTTGGCCCATTTAACAAAGTAATTCAATACCACAAAGCCTGAAGGGTCCAGGTTACAAAATCAAGGTAAGCCATATGTGAGGGACTGCCTCCTCTTCTAATGGGGCAGAAATGCAGGTTGTCACAAGGCTATATTCTACTACACACGTCTAGGGCCTCTTTATTGAGCATTCATCATGATTTGTACTCATCAAGTTGTTGCAGCAGTTACACACAATCACACTTTCAATACCATTTGTTCCTGCAAAAGTTTTGGCGTGTCATACTGCTTTGTTTCCAGGCAGTGCATGTCCCATAGCTTCCTGCTGAAACCCTGTAACTTTCTGTACCACAAACATTCCAAGAATATTATTATTTTGTGGTTGCACTATATACGGCAAGAGTGCCCCTTGAGAAGGCACTAATGTATAACATTGAGGGATTATTGCAAAACAACCAGTATAGGGGAATGATGTGTAGACCGTCCAGTATGCATCCACCATTAACACGCTACTATTGCATCAATGACATGTTGCAGAATGCACCTGGTAAAAAAAAATCCACTAATCTGGAGTGGTCCCTAAACTACTCCCTACCCAGTAAAGCAGCAGCTGCAGTATTTCATTTCATTTAAAATCTCTGTATATCCTAAATTAAAATGACAACAGGGATGTGACTTACTTCTGAAGAATTCCATGAGGTCCGCAGTGATATTGCCATAGGATGCAAACACTTTGCTGATGCCTGGAATGCCAGGAGGCCCTGGAGGCCCAGGTGGTCCTTGCACAGCATAAGTCATCATGTCCTGCAGAAGCCCTCGGCCTGGGAAATTAGAACATAAATTTGAAATAGAGTATATGAAGGTTGACATGACCAATTTCACCCCCTGGCTCTTCAAAATGCTTTGTGTCCAGCAGTGAAAATTCCATTCAATAAAGCAGGGGTAGGCAACCCCTAATTCTGATCAGTCCCAGTTAGCGTAGTCAATGAACAAAGATGATAGGAGTTGCAGTTCAGGACATCAGGAGGGCCACCGGTTCTACATCCTTGCTATGAAGTCAGAACTCAAGGAAGCATCTCTTCCCACCCCCCGCCCTTTGAAGCTGTGGCATTTTCCTGTACTACTTTTAAAGCATCCTTAACACTCCAGAAAAAGACTCAGCCCATAATTGAAGCATTGTACTTCAGCCTTCACCAACCTAGTACCCTCCAGATGTTTTGGCCTACAACTCACATCAGCCCTAGTGCTGGTGAAGGATTCTAATCTGAGTTAGGAAACTGATTTAATGTTTTGATCCTCGGGGGAAACTTTTTGCACCAATTCTGCTGAGCACATATATTAAACTGTTTTGCTGTGATAATCCAAGATCTAGCAGTCAAGGAAGGAACCTGCTCCTGGGATTTCCCTCAGAGGTACATACAGCACGTTTCAATTTAACATTTCTCATGTGTGCACTTTTAGGGTCATTTCAAAAAAGAATGCCAAGTTTTTCCTTAGAATAGCTCATGGAATCTACACTGCATATATTCAAAGGAGTGGAACACAACTTAATGGTCTAAGAATCATATGTCCCAAACACACACACACAAACACTCTAAACAGTCCTCAGCACTTTAGATAGCATGGGGTAAAATATGGATATACTTACTTTGTATGTTTTCTGACACTCTGGCTGCCAACTCATTGTAATCCAGTGCCCCAGCAAATGATCCACTATAGGATCCTCCTGCACCTGTAGATCTCATCTGTGATCCGCCTGCTCCAGTTGAACTACCGTAAGATCCACCCGCTCCAGCACCGTAAGATCCACCTGCTCCAATCGCTCCACCATAAGAACCATCAGCTCCAAGAGATCCACCATAAGAGCCATCAGCTCCAAGAGATCCACCGTATGATCCACCAGCTCCAAGTGATCCACCAGCTCCAAGAGATCCATCAGCTCCAAGAGATCCACCAGCTCCAAGAGATCCACCATATGCTCCATTGCTTCCCAATGAGCTGCTGTATGATCCCCCTGTGGCAAGTGATGCATCATAGGATGTGGCAGAACTTACGGACCTGCCATACGACCCATCTGAATTTAGAGACCTTCTGTAAGATTCAGCCATCAAGCTGCCATCTCCTCCTATACCAGGTGGTCCTGGAGGCCCGGGGGGTCCTCTGATGATGCCACGAATATCGTCACCTACAAAACACAGCAATGGGTATTAATGGAGCTGCACAAGTTATAATGGAATGTTCTACAGGGGTGCTGAAGCCAGCAAAGTGTGCTTTAGGACGGCATCCCAGAGGGTCACACGATACATCAGATCTTCTTCAAGGGAGCTCTGATGTTGAATCCTTCTCCCATCCCCACAACTTCCACAAACCCAGCCCTATCAGTTTTGGAACTCTTGACATCCCACAACCAAAATGTGTTGGGCCGGTTTGGGGGCATGCAGAGGGAGCACTGGAATCTGAAGGATCTAGTGCCTTCCCAATTCCACCCATTATTCCTAACAGGAGTGCTTCTCCACTGTCAATTCCACCCACAGGCAAGAACCTGATAGTATGTTAATGATATTGATGTAAATCTCTTTAAGTTTACTGAAGCCGGATGCAAATTTTAGTAAACTTAGAGCAGCATGGTGCCCCAAAGAGAACCTATTTCTGGAAAGCTTTTCATTAAAGCAAGAGGATGCTACTTGAGACTGAGTTGATGGTTAGAGGTTATGCACTACCAGCTAAGGTGCTGTTTTTTAGACCTTCTGGTTCCAGTAAAGGAAGCACAAATTAAAGAACAAGTCTCTTCCATAAATGAGACATGTCAAAGATGACCAAACAGAAATAAATCTTAGGATCCACCTTAAGACAAAACCATATTCAATACTTTTGATTTCTTGAGGGACTTTTCAGTCCAGGATAGCAGCTGTAGTAAGCATTTCTCAGCTGCTACAAAAGACCTATGAGATCAGCCCTAGGCATAGTGCCAGGATGAGGCCCAGACTTGAAATTTCAAGAAGAGCAACAGCTGGTTATAGCAATCAAAATTGTGGAAGTGGTTTTGCGTATGTGACTTACTAGTAAGGTACTTGATCAAGTCACTTCTGAACTGGTCAGTCCAAAGATCATCACCATAGGAAACAAGGCCACTTCCTGACAAGCCAGGTGGTCCTGGAGGGCCTGGTGGACCAGGTGGTCCAGGGGGTCCAGAAAGTGTGAAGAATCCCAAACCTTGGAAGAAGAAGAAACTGGGTTAATAATGTGCTTTTTAAGAAAGTGCAAGCAGACCCTTTGCTTGAATTCTTTTTCCTATGTCACCCCCCCCCCCCATTCTAACAGCACAATCATATGCACTTAGCCACCATTATGTTTAAAAACAATTTCATTGGCATGTCAAGATGGCATGCTATTTTATACCTGTGTAATTTTTGATTCAGTTTTTTTTGGGGGGGTGGCAGCAGGGTGGGGGTGGGGTGTTGACACCCTTTTACCCTGTTAGCAAGGAAGGTCAAAGTATCACATAGCTTTCATTTTAGGGAGCTACCAGCAGAATTTTAGATCAGTTGATTGACCAATCATACCATTTTGTCACTAGCATCCTTTGCTGGTGATGACTAACACACCCAGATCTTACGATACTGAGATTCACTGAATTGCTGCATGTTGAATGTGGATCAAATTCTTTACTCTGTCCTAGAAAGCCCAACAACTCCCCACCCATCACAAGAAATCCCAGACTCCTAAAAGGTACCCAAGTGCAGAGTATGGCAAATCATATTTACTTTGTAAGTAGGCGGAGATGTCCTCTGCAGTGATGGAGGAAAGCGCACTTCCTGGTGGGCCTGGTGGCCCAGGTGGCCCTACAAAGCGATCAAATTCTGAGTCTGAAAGAAGGAAGAATGTGAATAAGTATCTGAGGCCTGATTTACACACACACACACACACACACACTTTTCCCCCACTATGCAAGCAAATCCCCTCTGTCCCTACCCACATTGCCAGGACAGAATAGCTAAACAAAAGGCAGAAGGACTTTTCTGTCCTACTCTGTTAGCTTATATAACAAAGTGAGGATTAAGAGTGGCAGAATTAGCTATGTCTTGAGGAATAATTAGGACTATGCACCTCGCACTTGTAGTCTCTTTGCAAAAGAAATTATAAAGCACATACTATTTTTGGCAGTGATCTTACAGCTCATTTCTAGAATGTGCCCGTAGGAACATAAGAAGCTGCCTTATACAGAGTCAGACCATTGGTCCGTATAGCTCAGTATTATTATTTATTAAATTTGTATACCACCCTTCATCAGAAGATCACAGGACACTTCACAACATAAAAATACAAAATGAGAACACAAAACACATAATAAAACACACACACCTTTAACCCACAAATACCTTTTAAAGACAATAGAATGTTCAATCAGCCAAAGGCCTGGTTATAGAGAAACATTTTTGCCTGATGCCTAAAGACACGTAATGAAGGCACCAGATGGGCCTCCTTGGGGAGAGTTTTCCACCAGCGTATTATCTACAAAGATGGACAGCAGCTCTCCCGGGTTCCAGGCAAGGGATATTCCCAGATCTATCTGGAAATGCTGGGGATTGAACCTCAGACCTCTGGCATGTATAGCATGTGCTCTGCTACTGAGCTACTTCCTCCATTACGCAATTTCAGCTGAAGTAGGAATACAACCACTCAGCTTACTATAGCAATCTACCTCCTGGGAATGAGGTGGAGCCACACCTTTGCTTCACTGAACTAAATGGATACCTAGATGTCTCCACTGCATTTCAACTCTTTTTTGAAACCCAGAGATGAGCACAGAGGGGTAAATCCAAGTTGGGTGGCTATGAACCATTGGTCATTGTAGGGAAGCCTAAAATCCAATAGTTGTGAGTCCATAAGATTTCCCAAGATGGCTTGATAGGATTGCAAGGCTTACTATAGTTCCAGTCACTACTGCAATTCATGATTGTGGTTCTGGCAAGATGCTCACATCCACACCGTACATTTAAATCACATAACTTGCCTCAATGAATCCTGGGAACTGCAGTTTACCAACAACATAGTACCCTTAACCCACTATGGTGTGGCTCTTAGTGTGTTGAAGCAGTAAATGTGCTAAATACTGGATTATTGAAAGCATCTCTGTAAGATTTATTTTCAAAGCACTCCTATAGTATGTAGTGTTTTGTAGAGAAATGTTAGGGGAAAAATAATATTACAGTGCTTCACATCCTAAATTCCTGAAAATGTTCTCTGGATCAACTCTTCAGTTTACTCTGAGAATTCTGTGAACTAACAGCCACCAAAAAATGGATTATTCAGTGTAAATGGAAATCAACAATAGTATATTCTTACTGACCACTACAGCATATCATCCAAACATAGTGGGACATGCCCTGATAGCCCTTATAGCAAAAAGTGAGTACACATGAAGATATTGGGTGGTGGCAAATGGGTAAAGAATAAGCATCCTATAACTATAGGCCCCACCTGTGTGTGGCATCCTAAGGGATTTCTATACCAAGGAGTGTGTAACCATACACACACAACATGTGGTTGCAAAATTTACGAAGGGGCCTGCAGCCAACAGGTAGTACCAAAAAGCCAATTTGCATCTCACAGTGCTGTTGGGGAAATCACTTAGTGCAACATAATAGATATGCATATGACATTACTTGTTATATAGCTGACAACCCGTCTTGTCAATTCATCATAGTCCAGGGACACAGATAAGCTGTCTCCTCCCAGTCCAGGGGGGCCAGGGGGTCCTGGGGGACCTTGGGGTCCAATGAAATACTGGCGAACATCCACTCCTAAGAAAATAAAAGAAAATTAGTCCTGCTTTTCTGGTTTGTCCAGAGATGGAACAAAACTGACGAGCCATGAAAGCATGGTGCTTACCAGACATATAGCTCACGACACGGCGGGCCAATTCAGTGTAGTCCAAGGATTCCTCACCAATGGCGGTAATCATTCCTGGTGGTCCTGGAGGACCAGGAGGTCCAACCAGATAGGATGCACTGTCACCTAGTGAAGCAGAAGGGCAGAGTACAATCAATATTGGAGTGGATGGATGTGGTGATTACATGGTTTTTGTGGTTCTCCTGCAGCTCCACCAGCATAACCCTACGAAATCACTGATTATTCTACATCACCCCTTGGCTGCTCCTACCATAGAATAATTTGTTATCTGCTCTCATACAAAGGTTTAAGTAGGGTACTTTGGGATCCAGAGTCCAAGCTTTTTAATATATTGGTCTGTATTATTTGTTTAGTGCTAAGGTTCTCTTAGTCCCTAGGGAGGAGCCATATACCTGGACCAGAGGTAGGAAACCCCTGCCTCTCCAGTTGTTGGACAACTTCCATGAACCCCTGCCTGTTAAGTACAATGGTTTAATTGACATTGAAATGAAAAGTACATATATGTATTCTGCTGAAGGTTTAACTGGAAAATTTCTTTGGGGTATATTGAAACTTAAGTTTTGAATGGCAGGAGGCAGGAGGCATTCCAGCCCCCTTCTACCTGCAATCTGAAATGTCCACAGTAAATCAGATATTAGATGATCAGAAGGCAAACAAGCTCCAGACTTTCCCCAAACCCCCAAAGGTGTCTGAACTGAGTGCTGTCAGATAGTGACATGATAGTATGACTCTAACAAAAGGTGTGTGACTTACTTTGCAGGTACTCAGCGATCATCAGCTGAATGTCTCGGGCCGAACTAATTCCACTGATTCCTAGGCCTGGAGGTCCAGGAGGACCTGGGGGACCTGGAAGACCCTGAGATGCTCTTGATCCAGCTGCAGAAGTACAAAAGTTGATTTGTTTTTATTACTATGGAAGCAAGGCACAGCCTAAAAAGGCCATTGTACTCAAGTGCATTATACTGACACATAGGATGAAACAGTACATTACAAAGCAACTGTGTGTGCTTCACAAGCCTGCATTTGCCACATGACAGGAGAATGACAGGCCTCCTTAACCTGTCATGGCCCCAGACCACGACTCCTCAGAGACCGAGTTCTTCAGCATCTCTGTGGCATGAGTGGGATTTTCAGCCCTGCTCTGTGAGCTGAATTGCCTTATTTTATTTGCCCAGGAAGAAGACACAATACATTTCAGAAAGCTTTAACACTAGGGATGGCTATGATGGTTTATACTATATACAAAATTGTACATTACTGATGCTGTCATCTTACCTCCTCCAGGGATGCCTGGAGCTCCTGGTACACCTGCATCACCTAACAGGAAAACAAAGAAAAACATGTGTTCATTGACTCCATTCAGCAAGCCTGTGGACCTTTCTAATTGCACTCCTTCTGGGGATAAAAGTCCAAGTCACATTGGTGGGAAAGCTTTTTCAGAGCGAGGGCCACATTCCCATCAGGACAATTTTCTGGGGGCCACGTGCCAGTGGTGGGTAGGGTCAGAGGCAAAAGTGGGCAAAGCAGTGACTGCAAATACTACCTTTGTACAGTAGGCTAGTTTTTACACCCTTCCACCCATCCATCTGTCCTCAATACAGGAAACCAAAAGGCATTGTCTGAGTTTAAGTACACATTCCAACCACTCAAGGGGATGAAGTAGGGCTGGTAAAGGGCATGGCATGGGGAGTGGAGGGTGGCCTGGAAAGAATCCTGGGGGGCACACAGAAAAGCCTACAGGGCCACACTTGGCCTCTAAGCCTGAGGTTCCCCACTCCTGGCTTAGGAGAACTGTAACAATCTATTTTGCCCTGTGGGAAGAGGTAAGAAAAGCAGCAAAAGAGCTTTCTCAAGAGGGTCACCCACAATGATTTACATTACATCACAGCTGGGCACTTTTACAGCTAGGAGCAAGGCTCATCACAGCATGCCAGAAGCCACAGATTTTGCCTCTCACACAAAGTTCAAGATGCAAAAGGGTGCTCAGTGCTCTTCACAAACCTTTCTCTCCTTTGGGCCCAGGTGGTCCTGGTAATCCAGGTGGTCCTTGGATGGCAACTCCAGCACCTGCAAACAGGAATCAGGGAGATGGTGATGAGAAATCTGGAGAGGGGGTGGTGGAGAGAACAGGGGCTTCACATGTGACATTGTACTGTTTAGAGCCTCCTTCATTACATGGTGCCCTCCAGATGTTCCGGCCTACCTACCATCCCTGATCATTGTGGCCCTGCTGGCTGGGGCTGACGGAATTGTAATCCAAAATGTATGGAAAGCACCAGATTGGTGAAGGCTGATTGTCATGGACAGGCTGGATGCAGAGAAGTGGCGGCAGGGGGGGGGGGAGGAAGCAGCTGGGAAACCCCCAGGAAAGGAGGCTCAGAGCCAAGGGCCTGGTGGTGGGGTGACAAGGAGTGGTCAGAGGGAGAAGAAGGAACAGACTAGGGGGAGGTGGTGTCAGAATCTGAAGGGGAAACAGGGTTTAGTGATCAGGAAGAGGCTGTGGAAGAGGGCAGGTCAGACTCAGATGCAGGAGAGGAAGGGGCTGATAAGAAAGAGAGTGTATTTAGACTCACCTGACACAGAGGCTCCTGGTAGACCTGGCTGACCTGGTTCACCTGTGAGAAAGATCGGAAACCACGCAACCAGGTTATTACAGTGCATCAATAGCTCCTGGTTCCCATAAGGAAAATTTTAAAAATAGTTATTCAATTATTGAGGGCTGAGTGAGCTGGCAATTAAGAAAGGCCCATTAGATCTCTGGTGCTTAGTGATGGGGAACACTCAGGGTCTCTTGCCCTCTGACCAGCAGAATGGACCAAGACCAGCACCACTGCTGGTGGATATGCCAGATCTTTGTGTTTTTTTTAACGTTCAGGTCTGCACCCACTTAGCTCCAGCAACTTTGCATCATTAGCTGCTTCCGGACCATTCATTGGGTCAGGTTGCAGCAAAGGAAAAGTTGAGCCTTAGAGACCTGTTCTTTTTTCTTTCTTTTTTAAAATATTTTATTAAGGATTTTCTTGATTTACAGAAGTGTAGTGCCTCGTATTTTTTTTTTCATGTAACATTTTTACAAATCCGTTTCATTTGTTGAGGCATTAGGGGGAGAAGAAAAAAGAAAGAAAAAAGAAAGGGGGGGTGGAGAGAGGGAAGATGGATGGGGGTGGGGTCGGGTGGCAGTGTTTCTATTATGTTTAATGTATGTAGAATTTGGTGTCAGCATTGCTTGTGTTGTTCACTTGTGTTCCTTTGGTGGTGAGAGAGGTTGGGGTTGGCCTAGGGTGTGATTGTTTGCTTGTGATTGGCTGTGGTGATCTTTGTTTTCGTGTGTGAGTGAGGTGGGTGGGTGTTTTGGATCAGGTTAGCCATATTGATTTGTATGCTGTTGGTGGATTATTGTCATTGTCCTGTTGGGCTGTGTATGTGATAAAGGGGAGCCATACCGGGGTGAAGGCGTCTTCTTCTGTTTGTCCCCGTGTCAGTTTCAGTTTATTAGTTAATTTTTCTAGTTGGGCTGTTTCCCATACTATTTGGTACCATTGGTCTATGCTTACTCCTGACAGGTCTCTCCAGTGTCTGGTTATGGTGTTTCTGGCTGCTGAGAGCAGGTGGGTTATGAGTTCTTTGTGGTGTAAATGGGCATTGTTGTCTTCTGCTTTCCTGCTTTCATTCTACCTACATTCATAACCCTCTTAGCAAACTCAGGCTCCTATACAACTGCACCAGTCTGTAGAGTAAGGCTTCCACTCCCATCACCTCTAACCAGTGGCTATGGTGATTAGGGCTGAGTTGGCGCTGGAGCTCAACATCATCTAGAGCAAGAGTAAGGAACTTTTGTTATCCCAAGGGCCAGATTCTTATCTTGCCAGCCTTCTGAGGGACAGGTGGGTAGGACCTAAAACCAACTGGGTGAGGCTAAAGTATAGTGCTTTATCCTGAAGTAGCATATACCAAGGCTATCACATACTGAAGTCACATTTTAGTTCCCAAGTCACAAGTAATCACACACATGGTCTGAAACTTGTCAATTATTACAGAAGGAAGAGAGGGGGAAGTCTGTAAATCACACAGGCAGATCAGCTTGTGCTTTCACTGAACAAATTCTTCAGAAATGCGTTGGGGATTAAACCTGTGCATTAAAACTGCGTTTCACCAAAACAATAGAGCAGCTTTTGAAAATCCCTCAAAGGGAAGTTCTTAAATCGAACAAAAGCCCTTTTTACCTGGTATGCCACGAGGTCCTGGTGGGCCTTGAACAAAAGCGCCTGGGGAAAAAAGAGGGGAAAGTATAACACTGGACTCCCATTTCTTTTCATAATGCTTGGAGTTCTATCCTGCCTCTCTGTTCCCTCCATACCTACCGACTTCCAAAAATAGAGACAGCTTTAGGGCCTATTCACACAGTCACTGGACATGTGGCAGCCATGGATAAGGGACTCAAATAGAGTGTACCACCTACCAGCCCATGGCTGGCTAGGCATGTGCATGAAGCAATAGACTTTGACAAAGATATAAGGCTGTCCACAGGCTAGGATGTAGCACATTGTGTAGGCATTTCCTGCTGCTACCTCATAACAAAGATGTTGCTTGATGAGGTTAGTTTTTTTCTGTCTGACCTAATATTAAAGGACTGTTTATCAAACTTTCCAGGTTTTTAAACCTTTATATTCATTAAGGCACACTTTTGTTCATAGTCAACTCAGAAGTTGTATCTTGCAAAGTCCATCTTGTACAGCAGTTTAACTACACAAAATGTGACCTCTTTAAGTAGCTGCTAATTTCTTACAAAGGTTTTATTCTAACAGAATACGAGGTATTGCAATGTTGATTTTTTTTTAACGGCAGCAGCTCAGTTCTTGTTTTTCTTGCCACCTGCTAAAATAAACATGATTTCTGGGCACTCTGTTGAGTGTGTATGTTGTCTTTCTCTCTTTGTGTCTATGAAATGCTTCAGTTCACTTTATATCACGCTGATTAGAAAACTGCTGGTTTTCTGCCAAGACTATCAAGGGGACAGATTAGAAGCCATCGGGAATATTTATATAAAAAAGTACATAGAAATATAAACTGCAAAGTGGTTGTGTGTGAAATTCCCTTTTTAGTATAGGAAGACTTACAGCATGCTTATTTTTTTTCTACTTAGCTTCCTCACCACCATTTTTTAACTTATATGCTAGTACAGAATAGAGAGTCTATACCTGGAGGTCCTGGTGGTCCAGGGGGTCCTGGCGGTCCTTGCATCTCTGGTACCACTAGACGAAAAAGGGAAACAGAAGTATTACACAACTGCTGCTACCGCAGCATATTTTAGAAACAGAAAGAGGCTGCTTTTAATAATAATAATAATAATAAATGATCTCACGGGTTAAAATATTAAAGGAAACCAGACAGTAGTTGTATTTGAAAGGATGGCTAAATCATCTCATGTGTCTATAAATCAAAATGAAAGAGGCTCCATTGACTAGAACGTACACTTTGGGTTCTGTCTAACTAAGGTGCATTCAGAGCAGACCTGATGAAATCAATAGACTTAGCTTACCTTGAGCTGCATTGGTCTTTCTTCCCAAAATGAAAGGTGGTATATGGTATATACGTTAAGAAGAAGAAGAAGAAGAAGAAGAAGAAGAAGAAGAAGAAGAAAGAAGAAGAAGTAACCCAAGTCCCTTGGTTTCAAAGTGTCTACTCTGAGCATGACTTAGATTCAACCAACTGTCTTGAAAGTTGTTACTTCCATACTGAAATCCACACCAACATTCACAAGTGACACAACCAACACTAAAAAGTAATATCTTGTGACAATGCCCAAAGAAACATTCTATCCGTGTCTTTTTTTCTTTTTCTTTTAAGGAATAAAGTTGAGAATGAGGAAAGCTGAGAGGAAAGTGAAAATTTTGGCAGGGTAAATTGCAGGCAGAACAAAAAACCCCCAATACAATAAATGAAAACTAGATGGGCTAAGTATCTGACTTGGTCTATATAGTAAAATGATATTTCAATTAACTCAGGATCCCCATGTCTCTAAAACAAACCTAAATGACCACTCACCCTCTTATTTTATAGCAATAAGTAGGTTTGGGCTTAGTTTGACTTGGTTTTGAATAGGAGATAAAAGTTTATTGTTCCAAAGTAAAGATAATGGTCTGGTACATGTGTCACATTAAATTACAGTTAAAATAAACTTGGGGCTCATCCAAATTTATCTCATCTAGGCTATGCCTAGAATTCACAGGCCTAAGGGGTTTTCTGCTTGATTGGGTCTTAGTGGTTTCCCCCTTGGCCTGCTTCTTTCCAAAAGAAAACCCACTCTTTGGCAATAGATTGGAACAAATGGCAATCTGAGGGAAACCTCAATTGCCATTTGCTCTGACTGAGTGCTAAAGAGCAGTTTTTCCTGGGAAAAAGCAGTAAGACAAGAGGAAGTGTGGGTTAGCCCTTGCTTATACTGCTAAAATTGTGGGTACTTCACTCTTCTCCATTCCTACTGCTGCCACCCTGCCAGAAAAGAAGCCATGGTCTGGCTTGTCATGTCATACAAACCTGGACTTATGGCTTGTTTGGGAGGGCAGAAACAAACCATAAGGCATAAGCAGTCTGTTAGAAAGTGACAGTATTTAAAGAGTTGTCTTCACAAACAGAAGCGTAGAAGAGACAATTTTCTCTACCTTGAGCAGCTGAAGCACCAACTCCCGAACGGATGGTTTCCACAATGGTGGCTTCACCTGGGTCACCTTTCTCACCACGAGGACCTGCATCAGAACATAAGAAATGACAGACTATTTAAGTAAGCACAAATAAGCACACTGGCTGAAACTCAAGTTGTCAGGTTCTGGTTTCCACCAAATATGCATGTAGGCATTATGTTTTTTAGCTTAAACCTAATCTAGATAGGACCTGAACTGGTCCTGAGTTTATGTGTCTTGCATGGCAATGATGATACTGCAGAGAGAGATAAGGCCAGAAAAACCTGGGGATTCCTTAATGTGGACAAATGTGGAAAGACTGCAATGAAGTTTCAATTGGTGTGGGAAACCCGTGGTCCTCCAGATGCGATTGGACTACAAATCCCATCCTCCCTGGTCATGCTTTTTGGGGCTGATAGAAGTTGGAGATCCAACAATGTCTGGAGGGCTGAAGGTTCCCCAACGCTTACTTAAATGAACAGGTCTGCCAAAAGCATTATGGCTGCTTGATGTGCTATAGGACTCCTGCATGGAAAATGATTCCTTGTAGGAAACAGCATAACACCCACCCACATATATTGGTCGTGTATATGCACCAACATATACCCATAGTGTTATCATCACCTTGGCTTTAGTTTCTTGAATGTAGGAGATCTGTAATTTGTATTACATGACAAAGTCCTTAGATAATCAATTTTCCTCACCACACAAACTAAACCAAAAATTTTGGAGGTAGTACCAAAAAAAGAGAAAAAAAAGAAAGTAAGAGATTGCACAAGACTTGTTTTTGGATTGTACTACTTGAGCTAATGTTGTTAATCTTCCAGTCTACTCTACGCAGAGGAAAGGATCCTATACAGTGGTACCTCGGGTTAAGTACTTAATTCGTTCCGTAGGTCCATACTTAACCTGAAACTGTTCTTAACCTGAAGCACCACTTTAGCTAATGGGGCCTCCCGCTGCCAGAGCACGCTTTCTGTTCTCTTCCTGAAGCAAAGTTCTTAACCTGAGGTAATATTTCTGGGTTAGTGGAGTCTGTAACCTGAAGCGTATGTAACCTGAAGCATATGTAACCTGAGGTACCACTGTACATGGCTTGTAGGTCATTGATACGCTGTGTCTGGAAATGTATCATTTGCCATCTACACTGTACTTATTTTCATTCATCCACCCCTTTCTCTGAAACTTACAGCAAATATTAAAACAGTAAAGCCTAGCAAACAGAAAAGAATGGAGGGGCAAAAAAAGGTAACAAAAAAACCCAACCATCTCTTTTTCTATAGAGTCAATAAAACAATCATCAGCTCAGCAGGCCAAGCGCCTGTCAGAAAATAAAGATCTTCACAAAATAGTGAAAAAACATCAGCAAGTGGGTGAAGCAGACCTCTCTGGGCCGGGTGTTTCAAAGCTCAGACCTGGCCCTGGAGAAGGCTCTCCCCCACATCTCCACCAAGCGCACCACAGATGTCAGCAAGACAGAAATTAGCAGGAAAGCTTATGGAAGCTGGTTGTCGAACAAAAGCAATTACATCCCTGCCCAAAGGGTTTACAGTGTGAAAGAAGGAAACACAGCTTGATAGACAAGTAATAAGGATGGGAGGAAGTAGCAACGTGTGTAGCGGGGGGCGGGGGGGGGAACAAGGCTAGGCTGGGGCAGAAAGACTATGGAGAAAAGCAGAGTTTCAGGGAGGAGGTGCTTTGCAGAGTTTCAGGGAGGTGACCTCCCTGAAACTTTCAGAAGAGGCTGAAAGAAGATGAGCTAAAGTGGAGCACAGGGAAAAACACATCATAAGGGGCGATGACAGGGACTGGAAAACAAAGGAAGGAATCCAAAGATGCAGTTGCACTGAATGTATTACCTTGAGATCCAGGAAGTCCAGCTGGGCCAATAGGACCTTAGGGGGAAAGAGGGGGGAAGTTAGATCACCTTAGTGGATAAAGCAACCTTAGTGGATGAAGCTCCTCTTGAGAAATGGAGCAGAAACTTACAAATAATATAACTGCCTGAAAGGCTGAGTTAAAATTTAAACAGATTTTGATAGCCATTGGCATGGTACACAACTGTCAAGTGGGTGATAGCTTTGAAACAAGTAATTTCTCCCATTGTCCTATTCTCTTTGTACTTCCCACCAAAACACCCTTTTGCACTCTGTGAGCATTCTCTGTTTCATTGAGTAGAGAAAACAGAAGGTACTTAAATGAAAAGGTCCTGGTAGGCAATTCCAGCTACAGCAGGTATGCTAGTTTGAGAAAGAAAGGAGTGTACTCTTCTCTAGAAAGGGATAGATTCCAGTTGGTGGATAAGTTTGGGGATCACTTCACACAAATGTGGATGCTATCGGGTGAAAACTGTTGTATTCCAATTCCATGTGTTTTTTTAAGCTACAGCGCAAGAAATAGCACTAAGCAGTGGCAAAACCATACATCACCAAGGCAAAAGGAATGCTAATACATAATAGTATTTGTGTGTGTGTGTTTCCTCTACAAGAGGTTCTCAAGTTATAAGCATCAGCCAGAAATCCAGTCCCATCACCAGCTTTTCAACACAACATTGGCCAGATAATGAGAGACAAGTAGGGAGCAAGTCTTTGCAGACAGCTGTAAAGGTCCATATTGAGAGGAATTACTGCAATGAAAGCAGAAAGATCTGTAAATTTCAGTTCTTTCTGTTTTTCATTTATCTATTCAAAATTTGGTTCTCAACATTTCTGCAGCAGTTTGAGAATTTAAAAAAAAAATTCTCATAATTCTTCAGCAGTTTAGTGCAGATTACTCCTAACAAACAAATTTGCCGTTTTGACTAACATAAACATTTTTGCAAGCAATTTATCCTCATATAACATGTTTTATGTTAGGTATTTTCATGAATATATTGGTTGTTATGCAAACCTTTTAAAAATATATGCATTTTGTGAACATTAGGTGGTTGAAGAACTGCATCACAAAATTTCAAAGGATGGCTATGTTTCGGTTCTCATATTGTTTGGGAAAGCGCGTATTTGAAAAATTCAGCTTTAAATGTGAACCGAACAGATTTCTCCCTCATCCTTACATATGGAGAAATATTAAGAATAAAGCAAATAAAAAGGGCAAGGAATTAAAAAAGGTTCTCACCTGGAACACCTGGTGGGCCTTGAGGACCAACAGCCCCTGGTGGACCTGGAGGTCCTGGGACAGAAATAGTTGATGCACCATCTGAAACAGCAAAAAGTTCCACAAATCACTTTGTGAGGAAAGATTATGGCACCATGGCAGTATGACAATTATCAGGCATGGGAGTTTTCCTGCTACAGCAGTGATACATACCTGAAGTAGTAACCCGGCCTGGTGCGCCTGGTTCACCTGAGGAAACAGGAAAGGAAAGGGAAAGATGTTACCAGGGCTTCAAGGATAACAAGTTTATGACCCATGATATATCTGTGCCATTAAATACTTTGCCAAAATGATGATTATTATAGTAAGATTGGGAATTGCTGGTATAAGGGCACAAAAGTGGCTCTAATGGCAATTGCCCCAAATGATTGTCAGAATTAAGTGTATGCATCTGTTATCAGAAAAGACAGGGCTGCCTTATGTCCAAAATTTCCCAGACATAGCCAGGATTTGCCCTTCGGAAATAGCATCCTGGCGGAATTCCCGAAAATTGTTTAAAATGTCTGGGAAAACTTGGGTGCATTGTTGATGTTTGGGTCAACAACTTTTGTGTTTTTGTGTCCGGATTTTCACTTTTTGAAATATGCAACCCTAGAAAAGGCCCTGTGAGCAACCAGTAGTACTCCATATTTCTCATCATCCCTATCCAAAGCCAGAGGTTGTGAGACTTTTGTAGCTGACAGCAGAGTAGGGGCAATTCTTTGCTTCTACTCCTCACCTTTTCCTGGTTCATATATTCAAGCTGCATAGATCTGTAATAGTAGTATGATGAGAAAGGGCATGAGTCCCTCTGTTTGGGCAGGTAATAGAGGCCTCCACATTAACACCAGAACACCTAAGGTCCTTAACAGAATGATTTTCCACCTGCTTTTGTTTTGAGGAACAGGGAATCGCACAAACAGGAGCCTCTGCATGCTTAAGACAGGTAGTCACAAAGGGCAAAGTCCAGTGTGCAGGCTAACTGTGCAGCAGAGGGGTTCTTAGACAATCTGAGGGACTAAATAGCCTGGCTAGTGCAGTGTTGCCCTGGTCTGAATGTATGAACAAGAGCATTTTCTACTGAAAACATGCACATCCAATATTCATCTCTACTCACCTTTAGCTCCTGGGCGGCCTGGATTGCCTGTGAGTCCTGCAGAGAGTTAAAAATGAAAATTCAGTATACAAAATACCGTACATCACAGTGTGTGTGAGAATGCTATAATACTGGACCATAAAGAATCGTGTATTCAAAGTTCCTTCATTGCAAGGCATATCTCTCTCACACATACCCTTCCCAGATATTGCAAAAGGCAGCCTGCTTTTGTTTCATTTTCATTTGTTTTCAAAGGACGCAGATTCTTTCATAAACATGCAAACACCTTTCTGTCCATCCATATCAGTCCCCCAGTACCTGGAGTGCAATCTATACCCCCATTCTCAGATATTTTGAATGGATCATTTGGAATGCACCACTTGGTAGATGTAACCATTTGTTGTTGTTTAGTCGTTTAGTCATGTCCGACTCTTCGTGACCCCATGGACCAGAGCATGCCAGGTAACCATAGGGCACCACAATTCAATAAGGATATTGACAAGCTGTAATGTGTGCAGAAAAGGGTGACCAAGATGATAAAGGGTCTGAAAACCAAGCCTTATGAGGAACGGCTGAGGGGATTGGGTATGTTTAGGAGAATGAGAGGAGATATGATAGCCATCTTCAAATATTGAAAGGCCTGTCATATGGAGGCTGGAGCAAGCTTGTTTTCTCCTGCTCCACAGGCTAGGACCCAAACCATTTGGATCAAGTTACAAGAAAGAAGATTCTGACTAAACCTCAGGAAGAACTTTCTAACAGGAAGAGCTGTTCCACAGTGGAACACAGTCCTACTATCTTTCCTTGGAGGTTTTTAAGCAGAGGTTGGAAGGCTATCTGTAAATCTAGTTGAGATTCCTGCATTGCAGTATGTTGGACTAGATGATCCTCAGGATCCCTTCCAACTCTGCAATTCTATGAGATGCAGTTGCTTGCTTGCATGTTAATGCCATTTATATTCTGCTTTTAGGGCATAGCCCTCACAAGGCAATGTACAACTAAAGAAGATCCAATTAAGATAACATGCAACAGGTAACCTCTAATTATGTGGTAATCCCAGAATTACCAGGCTCACCACTTATCTAAATTTCCATAGCCAGGTATGACAGGAGACCAGTTCTCCATGTGGTTACATCTGCCACACTGTAAATGACAACTGTGCATTAAGCTGTTATTGTTTCCCACTAAAATGAACCTTCATTATCTGCTGCACCAAATTCAGCATTTTTCAGTGTTTAAAAAGGTAAAGGTACCCCTCACTTAAGAGGCCAGGGGCCAGCGCTGTCCAAAGACACTTCCGGATCACGTGGCCAGCGTGACAAGCTGCATCTGGCGAGCCAGCGCAGCACACGGAAACGCCGTTTACCTTCCCGCTAGTAAGCGGTCCCTATTTATCTACTTGCACCCGGGGGTGCTTTTGAACTGCTAGGTTGGCAGGCGCTGGGACTGAACGACAGGAGCGCACCCCGCCGCGGGGATTCGAACCACCGACCTGACGATTGGCAAGTCCTAGGCGCTGAGGTTTTACCCACAGCGCCACCCGCGTCCCTAAGCGCCACCTACGTCCCTTTTCAGTGTTTAGTAGGTACTTAATGCTGATCTCTTTCCATACACAGTGTATTTACCTGGTGGTCCTTGAAGTCCTGTGAGACCTAGGAAAACAATAGCAAACATTTGAAGAGGTTCAGAATTTACAACCATGGTCTTTAGTTTCAGCAAGTAAGAACCTGTCCTTTTCAGGTGATTCAACAGCATCCCAAATGGAAGCCACTGCTGCCTAGTCCTTTTCAGTACATCTGTGATCAGCCCTTGCCTTTTTTGCACCTACTTGCTTAACTCTTCCTTCATGTGTTTGTCATTTTTAGCCTCAGTACCTGCAATGGCATTCTTTTTCATTTTGCTGATATAGAAGTTCTTTACACATCCCCCCCTCTTTTCTGCCACCATAATGGTACAGTTCCCTTTCCTAAGTCTCTATGCTGAATATGAACCAGCTTGCAAACAGTCTCCTCAGTGAATGATGACTTTGGGCAAAATGAATATACGAATGAATTAAGATTATCCTCCTATCCCAAAACTACCTCCAGGATTTTCACTTTCCCTCATGGGAACCAAGCTACTTGCTTTCCCCTTCTCAATCTTTTTTGCCTCCCTGCTCCTCTTCCTATGGGGAACCTGATGTTCCTTCAAGGCTAAGGCTAAGTCCTGGTGTTCCACCTCTGCTCCTCAATTTGAAGAGAACGTTTCAGTGGCAAAGGGCAGTCTCCACATGAAAACAAGAACACCTGCCAGAGGCTGTTCATTTGCTTAACAACCAATAAATGTGTTTGGTTTGACTTTTATTACCTGGTTGCCCTGCATCTCCAGGAGGTCCTGGTGGGCCTCGTGGGCCTGGCAATCCCATAAGACCTTGCTCTCCTAGGAAATAATGAAGATGTTTGGAGAATTAGTATTTTCATTTTATGCAACAGCAATGTTCACTGAAATTCAGAGCTACTCAGACCAATGGAACTGTACTATTATTTCATTTGTTTACTCATTTTATTTCTGAATTGCTTGCTATGAAACATTAAGGTGATACACTGATAAAAACAAAACTATAACCAACCAAGTGTGCAATGCTATATTCGAGATCTGCAAGCTAAGTGCCATGGGATTTGGTAGAAGTTCTTGCTATGCAAGATATACTACCGTCATAAAAAATTATGGTGGTAGAACATTGTAAATCTATGTCCAGACCCATTTGGTGTTATTTTTTTCACGTTCTTCTCTATAATTAAAAGAAAAAGAAAGCAACCATCTACCTCTGGAGCCTTGCCGTCCATCTGGTCCTGGTGGACCTATACAGACAAAAGAGTTGGTTAGTTATATCATAGAATCATATATATTTGTTACTTAACACAAAGCCATACAGAGGAAGATAGCTAATTGTTTAAAGTTCAAGTACATTTGGCTGAATGTACATCATATACTAGTAGCTGCATTCCTCGCAATGTTCAGGAATTGTATGAAATCTGAAAATCACTGCCATTTTTAAAGTTTCAGCCTACCACCTTGATTCAAAATGGCATCCAATTATATCCAAACATAGAAGAAAACCTGCTCCTTGACCTCAGGAATGATCATGCAAAATTTCACTATAATATCTTAAGAAGTGTTCAACTGCATAATGAACAGATGCACAACTTTCAAAAATACATAGTACATAAGTGAACAGGTATTGTGCTGGTGCACAGTGCTTAAAAGTGCCCATGGCACTCACCCCAAATTTCTACTGCCGCTTCACTGTGAATAAATCAAGCCAGAACCCCGCAAGTGGTAGCCACAGTTGGTTATTGAATTACTACTTAGGATTTGTTTGAGGAAAACAAACCACAAACCTAGATTCAGACTGCATGACAAACTAGACTCTGGCTTGTTTCAATCCAATGCAGCAGCAGCAGCAGCAGCAGCAGCAGCAAGAGCAGGGGAGCAGCACCAAGATAACTTTTGAACAGCATACAACAGCACACTGCTCATTCAAATAAACCATGGTTTACTGTGGCATGTGAACTGGGCCAATATAATCTTATCAATGATCAAGTGTACAGAAGACCGGAATACATGTTCATATCCATACTAGCCTTCACTAAGTGGCACAAAGAGATCATTCACACATGACTTAAAACATGCACATATGCCAGTCACACCTCTTGCATCCCCCAACAGCGAGGAACATAGAATCACGGAATTGTAGAGTTGGAAGGGACCCTACACTGAACTGCGTTAAAAAAAAATGCTTTCTGTCTTTTGAAGGCAGCTAAATTTCAGTCCCTCAGATTGACTTTTATTCTGAATCTTATGATCCAAGAGTCCTAGAGACAGTGGTTTGAAGTAGATTATCTTCCAGAAAGGTCAATATTATATATTTTCACTCACCTACTGATCCTTTAGCTCCTGCTTCACCTGGAGGCCCAGGTAGTCCTCGGGAACCTGGTTCACCTGCAAATCAAACAGGAATGGCTTAGAATGATGTGCACCGTTCTGCTTTAATGGGTTGCTGCTGGTATAAGAACCAAAGAGGTGAACTATGTAACCATCTTCAATATCAGATTAAAATACAACATGCAATTCTTGCAGGTGCTTCTCTTGAGATCACATCAGAGCATCAAGACCTGGGTGAGAGCCAGTGGCCAAGTCTTAGTTCCTGTCATAAGCTCCCAGTCTGAACTGCTTCATCGCTGATGCTCCCAGAAAAAACCTTCCTGATCTTTCAGGTTTTCTACCTTTTGAATGGAGGGAGCCCATGGTTCTCCTTAGAACTAGGGAAAAGCCCTTCACTTCCTGCCTGTCCTCAAGGATGACAACCTTCCAGGCACACCTCTTAGTCATCATGGGCAAGCATGGATGCTCATGTGTTGTCCTTTCAAAATCCTTGATAATTTACTACATACCTGTAAGACCACGGGGTCCTTTTTCCCCTTGATCTCCTAAAAGGAAAACACAAAAAGAAAAGTTGATATTATGCAATTAATTCACACTGAAACTTCCCCATCAAAGCAAAAAACATATTAATGGCAAACATATAAGGAACACCCCAGTGACTGGGGAAATAGGAGTCTGATAGCTATTGAGGAATCACATATTATTATCCAGCATACCTTTGGTTCCAGGTGCTCCTGGGGTTCCTCTTTCACCTAAAAACACACAGAGACAATGGAATTGGGGCAAAAAGATTGGATAGTAAAATCATTCATCCATATTGGACTGAAAGGAACAGTTAAGGTAGGACATCTGTCAAACACCTAAGGGAGGATTCTACACACCCCAAATATCTTTAATGCTCAATGTAAACTGGATTAGACCGCCTTGTCTTTATTCATTTTATGAAATCCACTCTGGGAGCTTTTTTAGGTAAAGAGAGGGGTAAATAAATAAATGATATCCAAAGGCCTTTTCCCAATGATATCCAAATGATATCCAAAGGCCTTTTACCAACACATGTCAATTCACTAGCAAATTAAAAAATACACACAATTTTGAACATGGCACTCTCTCTTTCTCTTCTTTATTTTTCCATGAACACATGCATGCACCCACTTTTTAAAACTGTTACCCTCACCATTTAAATTACTTATATTTTTCATTTTATTATTTAATTTCAGTCAAGAGGTGCTCCCACGTCCTCCTTGGGGTAGGGATTCAACTAGATAGTGGCAGAAAAGAACCATATATTATTTTCTCTCCTATAATTTGAAACAGATAAGTTGGGCTCTGGGCACTTATTCATACCTTTACCACCTGGGATACCAGCTTCACCTCTAAATCCTTGAAGCCCAGGAGGACCTAAAAAGAAAAGTAAAATCAATAAGGGTCAAGCACATAATATATGAAGTTTCTGAAAAGCAGAAAATTGAGTGGATGACATATTTTATTTGTAGCTCTCTCTTTTCTTTTTTCTTTTGTATAGTTTTACTACTTTTCAGCCAGGAGAAGCAATATACCAGATGCTGCCAGTTACAGTACCTGGGTTTACTATATTTTACAACTACATAATGAGAATATGATACTTACCAGGAGGACCATGGGGACCTGGTGAACCCATCATACCTAGAAAAGGAAACATTGCAACTGCTCAGGAATTATGTGATTTAAAGATGAACAAATAATACATTTGCAATCTCATGAACGCAACTTTTTGTAGCACCAAGACACCATGGTTGGCATGAAAAATGCCGGCCTGTATTTCCCCCCATTTAATCTGGATTTACCATTTATAGGTAAAGAAACCAGTTGCCAACAGCATGTTTGCAACATCTGAACAACCTGTTTTCAATATTAGATGCATCTAGAAGTACCCTTAGCCTACACTACGGTCTAGGATAAAAATAGATTTCTTTTAAAAACACATCAATGACCATACAGAGAATTTGTGTATGTAAATACAACAACAGAGGATAACTAAGAACTACTCCATTGTATTCTAAAATATACACCCAGTTTATTCTGAATAGCCTCAAATATTTCCTTCATCACAATAAAGCCAAGGGGTAAAAAAGCAAAGTACTATTAATGCGTTCAGCCTCACTGCTGCAACTCATGTCTCCTTCATAGATAACTGTTGAGCTTTTTTATTTGTGTGTTTTTTATTTGTTGTTTTTCCTTGCTAGGGACTAAATTTACCTTTGAGACCAACAGAACCTGGGGCTCCGGGGGGACCTTGAGGTCCTGGTTCGCCAGGAGTACCTGCAGAGTAAAATGTGAGAGAAATCCATTAAGTAACCTACTGAAGCCTATTTCTTTCTGTCACGTTTCTCCTTGGTTGCATGGCCCTGAACCAAGAAGACCAACTACACAGCACTGACGTTTGTTATTGTGTTCAGCCTTAGCAGGAAGATGCTTCTCTTCCTGACCCTGTTGATGCCGATGTGGTTGGTGGGGTTGCTTACATGGTCTATGAGGTAGTCAGGTGACCCCATTCAGAATATAAGGTTACAGTTAGGTAGTGTTTGGGGGACAGCAGCTGAGTAGTGTTTTCCAAGCCTCTCTTTCGTCACCTCACCCCTCAACACCATGAGCAGAGAGACACATTCTGTAGGAACCAGAGTTCTATGGACACAGAGAAGGTATTGTTTTCCCTGCCACAAAACAAACTCCCATTGTAGTTTCATTGTATCCCATTACTCATATGAATGACTAAGGGCTGGTAGCCCCATTTACTTGGCATCTGAGGGGCATGCAGTTGTGGTCCCCAGCCCTGTTTGTATCGCTGATTAATGAGTAATTAAAGTACAATAGACAGTACATTACTGGGAAACAAACTCATCTCTCAGCCCAACCTTTCTTACATTTATGTCATTCGGAAAAATACCAGACTGTTACTGCCTTTTCCACAACAGTATTGCTGCCATTTTATGCAACTGTTGAAACTATCCAAGCATAGCTTATGACACAGTTATTGTCATACCCATGCACAATATTAAGGCAGTGTTTTTCAAACCATGAGATTCCTAGGAATTTTATCTGGGTAAGTTCTCCTGAAAGGCAACTTGACCATTACTACAGAACTTCCCCAGCAATATATAGTAGACACAGGGGTGTCAAGTGTGTTTTGGGGTTGGTGTGGGGCAACAGAGCTCCAAAAGTCCTAGTCATTGCCAAGTATCACATCCTTTGCAATACACAGGATTTCCTGTCAGACATTCTTTGGTAGACAAGCTGAAGTAGCAAGTGTAGCTTGAAAGCAGAAGTTTGAAAGCCACTGTCATAAGAAAAACATCTATTATGAGGGCCTCCCTTCCCACAATAATTTTGTAATATTCATTGAAGTGATCAACAATGGTAGGTGGGAAAGCAAGACACAAAAGTATTCTTTACCTCTGTCACCTTTCTGTCCAAATCCAGGGGCACCAGGCTCTCCACGAGGTCCAGGAGGTCCCTCTCGCCCTCTTTGTCCCATGGGACCCTCCATGCCGGTTTCACCTGAGGAGAACCAGTACCTTAGAATCCAGGTCCCAACATATGCCACATTCTACTCAGTTGAGCTAAAAAATTCCCCTGTGTCAGTAGCTGCTTCCCGCTGAGCCATTTCTCTGCAGCTTCTCAGGAAAATATCAGGAACTGCTGGATGCTACCTAATAAGGCAAGCAGTGTCACTGACTTCTCGGGAAAGAACCTTCCAGACTGACTTGGCCATTGGCTCCTCCTGGGCTGGATGTATAAGAGGGCTTCCTGTCACAGTTGAAGCTTTGCTTGAGCAACAAGGTCTACCTGAGATCTAGCGTTTCTGGCCCTGCATTCTGGCTTGCACTCTGACTCAAATTGCTCATTATTCTTTGATCTGCTTACCCATGCTGCCTTTCTGTCCTTTTGGCCCTTCACGCCCAGGGATGCCAGGAATACCTGTTAAAACGACATTATTTTTCTTTTTAGAAAACGAAACAAATGATATTAAAAAGAGCTATGCACTGCTACTTTGTGACATGCAGGGAAATGTAGAGAAGCTGAAATGAAATCAGCATTAATATCTGAATTCAAGTTTTGATTGTTGCTTCAAATTTAACATTTTCAATGAACTGTGGCAATAACCAGAAGAGTTGGTCTGAAACAGCATCAGTTTAAGGGCAAGTTTAAAAAAATAAGAATGTGGGGATCAAACACTGAGTTCTACTATGGCAAACCACTCCCAGATTTGATTTAAAATGAAGTCTAGTATCATATATTAAATTTTCAGTATTTGAGTTCTACAGTTCTGCCTACTCCCCTGCAGAGACCAATCTGTCCTTAGTGAAGGAATCTGTCAGTAATTGCTCTTTTTTTCCATCTCGTCTTCCAATGAGTATCATCTAATACAAAGGCAATCTAAGTGCCTTACTGCAAATTGCTGCAAGTCAACTTGAAGGTACCTCTCATTGTGCTTGTGATGTTCAGACTTGACAAAACAGATCAAGTTGCATAATACGGGTGCAGCAACTGATCACAGTGGGAAGCAGAGAAAATGAACAAGGTGTTCTGTGGTAACAGCTCATATTCTCCTCCCCACTAATTTTAAGCACCCTACCTGCAAAATCCAAATTTCTCTTCTCTTTTTCAGTGCACTTATATATAACTAGCACTCCAATAATATAAGAATTTCTGAACTCTTTACATCTCAGCTAGTACCACAATTGTTAGGCATGTGTGCCCAATGCTAATCTCTTCCTTAACAACGATTGTTGCTTGATATCAGACGCTAAACAATTCAGCACTTAGACTATTGATTCCCGCCCCCATTTCACATAATGATGGCATAATTAGAGCACCCGTACAGGTTTATTGTCCTGATTCCTAGTGGTCATGGAAGCTCCATTGCACACACATGCTCACACACAAAGAAAAGTTACTCCAAATAAGTTGTCATAGCACACAGGAACTGAGAATCGTAAACTCACCTGGGGTGCCCATATCGCCTAAGACAGAACAAAAGGGACAGAAATGCATTAGTTGTGGGATCAAAATAAGGCTTTGCTCATTTTATCAACCTCTCTCTAATTACAGTCACACATTGGGGTAGTTCTGGGAGATCATAAAAGACAGTGTCAAGGCCATCTCTAGGTCAATCAGCTCTTCAGCTCAGCTGAACCAGTTTACTCCTTACACCTTTCTCTGTATTTCTTTGGAATAATTTTTTCCTGTGAATTCTCTAAATTTTAAACAAATTGGCTTGTGTCTAATGCTGCCATTCATCTCATGCAGCAGACTTCCCCTAGCGCAACAAAACTCCCCCCCCCTCCCCTCTCCCCTGCAGCCCCTTAAAAATGAGCACCCTCAAAATCTGCTCGAGGTCGGGGGATTCTCTGGAGCAGATTTTGTGCGGAGCACAGGGAGAGGAAGGGAAGGGGACGTCCCATTGCACTAGTAGAACATTGCTTACGTAGTGTTGTATGCAAGCCATTTAAACCAGTTTGAAACTGGTTTGAAAGTGGTTTATCTAGCATGGCTTCCCATGGAGAATCACAAGAAAGGTAGTACTTCAACTTTCTCATAGAACGCCATTCTGGGTTGAGAATCATAATTATCGGGGGAGACGAAACCCATCCTAAACACTTGTTCATTTCTATGACATGCATTGCTGAAACGAAGAGAGATCCCTAATACATATCAAAACAGAGATGCAGCACACGGGTACCTTTCTGTCCTGGTTCTCCTTGGAAATAACCTGCAAAGGAAACAAAATGGTAGTCATATTTCTGTTGTGCAAATGACCCAAAACTACTTCTGGCTTAATATAACAACAGAAAGGCAGTGCAATTAAGTGGAATGTATGTGCAGTTTGGAAACCAGATGCATTTTGTCCTGGAACCCTTTCAGTTGGCTATGGATCTTCTTTAGACTACTTGCCCATTATCACAAAATTAGGCTGCATAGTGTCATCCAGTTTGAAATCTCTTAGAATGTTTAAAGCCAGGGAGTAAACATGGCATCCTGGAGGTGTGCCAATGGCAGACGAATTTGCTCCTAATTTTCCCAGCATCATTTCGCTTGATACAGCAGCTTTCTCAAATATAAGGATCCTCAGTACTGGAGGAAAGGAATGAATGCTCCACCCTCTGGACATCTGGGTATGGCATTATTCCAGATAACCTCCAGAATTACACTTCATTCATTAAAACTTAGACCAGAAAAAAGTGTTAGTCTTTAATTTGAGTTTAGTTTTGTCTTTTGCTTTATACAAATATACAGATTGGTTTGGACTGACCTCAAAGTCCACATAATTCAATTATGCTCCATTCTTTCCCTCCAGTTTAATTGCGTTATAGGAAATTTAGGAGTGTAGCTAAAGAACACTACACATTTTCTGGCAAATACATTGCTTCTTTTTCTATCCTTGTGGAATTTTGTGGGCTCCTCACCTTTGCTTCGTTCCACATCCAGCCTCTTCTTCATTAAAAACCACAACTGATCGTCACTAATATCACCCTGTACTGCTTTATATCTCTCAGAATGTACAGCATGTACATTTTCAACTGTGTTGGGTTGAACCTGCCAGCGGCTGGCTTGGGATTCAAGGATCTCCACCCGGGATCTCAGCTTCTTCACTTCTTCCGCTGAAAGATAGGTTAAAACAAATAATTAAATGACCATTGGTTTTACTATTTGCATGTGTGAATACAACTTTAGTCCCCGCTCTGTGCCTCCATTCCGCTTTTCCAGAACTGAGATGAAACTTAGGGTTCCTCCAGACTGCTGTTTTATCGCAGGTGTGTTCTTCAACATGTTCTTTATTCAAAAATGGTACATTACTGGTGGATTTATTCTGCTTTTACTTGCACTGTGAAGTGTCCCCAACGCTACTATATTAGCACTATCCAGAGGAACTATAGAACAACAAAAACAGACCAAAAACAACAAACCCAGACCATTTGTGATAGAAAAAGTTATAGGGTTTCACCAGGAAATTTGAGATATGCACTGACTGGAAGTGAAGCAATGTGACTGCCCCCATGTTTTTGCAGATACAAACAGTATTGAAAGTGAGGTTTTGTGTGACCGCTCCATAATAATCACAAATAGTTATGAATGTGGGGAATTTACTGAATATAAAATGCCTAGGGGTAGGGAGAATGCAACAGAAAACCTTCTTGAATTGTGGGAAATTTAACAATTCTGATAGAGACTTCTTCCAAAGGAGTGAACAGTGGATTCTCAGAGGAGGATGTATGTGTGATATATATATCAGCTGGTAGAGCATGAGACTCTTAATCTCAGGGATGTGGGTTCAAGCCCCATGTTAGTTATACATACCCAGAGCATTTTACCTAGGAAATTCTGTATCATCATATGACTGGCCAATCAACTCAGATTGGTCAGTTCTCTAACCAAAGTCAAAATATGTAATTAAGTTGAATTGTTCCTTTTCAGTGAAGGCGTCCTTCCTGCATTGCTCATGGGGAGAAAAACAGAATGGTACTTGGGCTTCCCAAGTTCTTCACAGAGAACTAGATCCCTTCAACCCAGTCCTAAATAATTTAAGACCATGCTCTCATCATAATCAATGGCTGAACTTTCCTCCCCATGTTTGTTTTGATTGCTCAGTAGTAACTGGTACAGAGTACTACTTGTGGGCTTCTTGCAGACTTCCCATAGGCACCTGGTTGGCCACTGTGACTACAGGATGCTGGATTAGATTGGCCTTTAGCCTGATCCCGTTGGTCTCCTCTTGTGTTGTTACTAAGCCATCCCCTTCCTTAGCTGCAACCCATCACTTCTCCTGTTCACTTGTAATAACTTACCCAGAGCAATAAGCCCAAAGAGTAGACCAAGGAGAAGCAGCCAGGCTAGCAGCAAGCCTAAGAGCCACTTCCACCAGCTGCAACAGGAGGCACAGGGGCACCAGGCTGGAGCAGCTCCTGCTCCACCACATCCATCATCACCTCGGATTTCTATAGTGAGCAGAGACATAACAGTAAAAGCAGGTTAGACAAGAGAGTGTGGCTCCACAAAGGTGTAGGCAGGAAAACGTTCCAAGGTGTCCCACACAAATGTTTGTCAAGATTCTTTTACTTACTGTCTTCCATTTAATGATTATTAACCAAATTTATAAACTAGCCTTCATCACATAGAAATTGCATAGCACTTTCCAACACTATGTATATATTCTTTAAAGTTCTCTCCATAATGGCTTCATTTGGGAATCATGACAAACCATGGTTGATATAATGACTGGGATGAGCTGAGCCCCCTCCCTTTGGTTCATGAACTCCCCACTATTCCTTTCTCCCCTAGTACAGCTTTAATTAATCACATTTAGCTACCACCTAAACTTAACTTTGGGTTTCTGAAACAAGCCAGCTTCAAAACTGCAGTAGTGTGAAGATGGCTTCTTTCAAACAAGCCATAGTTAGGATTAACCATAGTTTTTGGGGCTTGAACAATGTGTCACACTGTAGTTATTTTTTAAAATGGAAGCAAATGCTTCCAAACTTCTCCTTGTGGCTATGAAAGGGAAAGGGCACACCAAGTAGTGTGAGGTTACTGCTCATTCCCACCATGGATCAGTTATGGTTCATCATGATGTCTGAACACAGCCATTATATTTATCTTTCTTTAAATGTAACATCCCAAACTTGGTGAGGGTTTGTGTCATGAAGTGATTAAAATCACAAGCAATGAACCAGCAGTCCCCAGTTTAAGTCTCTGCCGAAATCAATGGGACTAAGAAAGATTTTAAAGCTTGACAAAAGATTTCAAATAGCGTTACACTTCCTCTGGGGAAACTCTCTAGCAACTGAAGTAAGGGAGACATCTGGGATTGATATTCTGGACTCAGTAAAAGTACATGAAAACACTAAGTGAGCTCTTGTGCAGCTTCTGTTCGCTTGTGAGCCATAGACAGGAGAACTCCCGGGTGGGTCGTGATTGCAAGTTGCAATCCCCAGTAGACTGGAACATTTCTATTGGAGTGTCATTGACTTTAGTTGGCATATTAAGGAACATTTGAGCTTGGGTTGTAGCTCTGTTGTGCCTCTGCAGATCAGCTGTTAGCGGGGCTGCATTTTACCTAGTGACATTTTAAAGCTATAATCACTATAAAACGTTGCTTCCCTTCTAAGGCACACTCACTCACCTGCATAAGTAGCTTTGTCCTTTGTTGAAATAGATCTTAGTCCTCCTATTAGAAAAACAAGAACAAATGCTAAATTGTCTTCCTACATGCAGCCACACTATTTCTAAATGAAATTCAACCCAGGGCGACAGCTGCCAATCCAAACAAGGATCATGAGAAAAACAGTTGCAGTGTGGCTTCACTGATCAGATAATAGGGCCACAATTATGCAATTTTCATCGTTAAGGGTGGTAAGTATTAGACAGGTTTCTGCAACCCACATAGGAATTTTTTAAAAATGAAAAAGGATAAGAAACCCTAAAAATAATGGTGCAGAAGCATATGCAAAAAGAGAAAGCAACAGTTGCAAACACCCATGCACAACCACAAGAAAGATACCTTTAAAGAAAATGTTTCCCCTCCCAAAACCCGACTCACCCTAAAGCACTTTTTTCACCTCCAGAATGACTATAGCAACACCTCAATTATTTCCTGCACATGGCACTTTCTAGCACATGTGTATAGAGGGGAAAACATTGTTTTATCATGTATAGGTGCTAGGAAGCCACAAATTACATCCCGTTCTCAACACGTGATTCCATGGTACAATAGCCACCTACACAATTTTCATGTATGTTAGTGTATACAAGCGCACACATTTATTTCTATAGCTATGTTGGAAAAATATTATTCCCACTTCAAGGCAGAGAATCAGAGGTTTACCATTTGTTTCTGATTTCAGATAGGAATCTCCAGCATAAGAGGAAGAGAAAGCCTGCTTGTCTTTCTTTAGGGTGTCTTCTGAATAACAGCCTGTAAACAGCCCAAACAAAACACATTTAGAAGTATCTCAAAGTAGGTATCACACCTGGTATGTCTGAACTGACAGTACATTTGGAACAATCTTCTTCCTCATTCATGTTGACTTAGTTATTATGGGGTGATTACATTGTCCACCAAAAATATGTCTCCACTACTCCCAGGATAACCACATAGCGACTGATTGTGTGAATACACAGGGACTGGAAATGAGCTCTCCACACTTCAGATCAGGGGCTTTAGAAGCAAACCAGAAGTGACTGGGAGAACCTTTTGGCAGATGCAACTTGCACTGCTCCCACAGATGCTCTCAATGGCAGCACAGACGGCTGGGCTAAGAGCCACCACATGCTGGTCACTGGGTACCTAATGAGATGTAGCACAACCAACCCCTGAAAAATACCTTGCATACATGCATCGTAGGACCAGTTCATATGTTACCACAAGAGTTTTACATAAACTACTTATAGTTTTTGAATATTCAGTGGTGTATGATTCTTGATAAACAAACAAACAGCATGGGAGCTGGGAGTCAGTTAACATTTGCATGGGAAGGAATTATGCTGTCTCCCCATTTAGACCTTACTAGAGTAGTATAAAACTAGACCATAGGAAGGCAGCTTCTACCCCACCAAAGTAATGTCTGAGTTAAGTCTAAAGTCGCCAATGGGTGTGACACATGAGAACGAGGCAGGAAACAAACCTCCACTGAGCCCAGTGCCAGAAGCACTGAAAACTTTTCCACTGTCCTTGGTCATGATCAGCAGCTCCACATCTTTCTTGGGAGCCACGTTCTCTTTCTCTAGGAGCAGGAACTTGCAGTCCTTGCGCAGGATGTCATCATTCTGAGAGCCTGTGGTAGTGGCAGCTGGATGGCATTGAAAAAGGTAAAAGTAAATGAAAGCCTGCAACTATTGCACAATAGCTCTATGAATATCCAAGCTGTTGGCAGGAATCTGCCATTTCCCTGTTCCAGCCTCATCATATATTTTGGGGACCTGAACATTTGGATTTCCATATTTAGGGGCAATTTTTTAGTGAAGATCTGTCGGCTGCCAGACTACAGAGTTTGGTGGCAGGCCATGCTAAGTGGCATAAATGCCAGGAGAAGAACTCCTGCTCCACAGGCAAAAGGTTGGTCAAGTGATTGCCAGGAGGCCACTGATCAAGTTCTGAGGCTGTACATATGCATAGATCCCATCTTGCAGGGGAACCCAAGTTCTCTTGGGAGCAGTGTGCTGCTTCTTGTGCTGCTGAACTCATGTGCTGGAGGCACTGTGGCATCACTGCACTATGGCCATGCCCTCAGATCAGCTGGCATGGAATGCCTCCCTCTGTTCTCTGGCTGGTGTGAGTGCACAGCATCTGCCATGCCCTGGGATTGGTGGGCAATGCTGGCGTTGCCAAGGATGCATTTCTGAGGCATTTACATTTTTTATTCCCAAGTGCTTTCTCTTTCTATACTGGACTGAGCACGTGTTGGATAGGGCAGTTGTTCTGCCGGTGTAGCGGCAGCTTATCCCTGGCCCCAGTGTAACTGCAGTAGAGGACTGCTTTGCCCATTTTCAGACAGTTATTTAAAATTCCACAAATGTTGGATTCAGACAAAATGCAAATTGGGTTACGAATTTATGCTGGGTAGAAAGACATTTTTGCTAACACTTTCAGTACATATATAACAGGGGAAAGCTCCAGCTATTGAATTCCTGCCATAGTTGTTAAAGGCACTGGAACATGCTAGAAAGAAAAAAAGGTAAACATCCTGTCCAAAAAGGATGTATCCAAAGTATATTTCTGCTAGGGTCTTTTGGCCCTTTCTGCTGTAGGCTCAAATGTAAATTTAAATATTTGGACTATCAAAATGTCATTTTCAGTATTTGGACTGTATAATGTCAATTTCAGTATCTAGACTTGTAAATGTCTTATTGCATTATGTGCTTTGACACCCTTGGCAATGCTAGCAAAGGCACCAAAAGCACCAACATCAGCAAAAGCACAGGGTGGAAAAAGTCTATATGGGTGAGAACAGGGAATAAATCCCATATGGGTGACAGCAGGGTTTGCTGCTGTCTTGATTAAAATATGTTCTTTTTTAGTGATAATGGGTTCATGGAATTGTCATGCAAGCAACTGCTGCCTTTGATTTATCCAACAAAACTATGAAGAAATGTTTCTGTGAAGACCGTCTGGCATAAATTTTAAATTAGGGACAATGATATCAGTTTTGCAATTAGACTTCATGATGTAAATCCAAGTCAGCTCCCCTTTGAGAAAAATGGCTGCAAAACAGGCACTAGGGAGAAGATTAATCTGTTCTCCAAGTGCTTTAGTGCACTAGGCCTTTATTCTTATTTTCAAAATGCAGCAGCTGCATCTAGTGGACAATCTGGATAACAACACACATTGGTAGGGGCTGATGGGAATTTCAGTCCTGTGATATCTGGAGTTCAGTTTAGTTCCCAACATTTCTACATCAGTTTGCAATTCTTATTTTTTTAAAAAAAATGTCAGCATTTTAGTGCATATTTATCCTAATAGGCTTTTTTTGATATGCGATTTTTGCAAGGAATTTCCCCTAATATAATGTATTTTTATATTGTTGTGTGTTTGCGGGGGGTGGTCAGTCTGTATGAGGCCCGAGTCCCTTCTAATCCCCTGCATCCAGAAAACATTTCTATACATGAAAAAATTGCCACTAGCATGTCCTCAGTAGTGCCTATGATATCACTAGTGACACAACCCCACCTCCCCATTCCATGGCAGACATGTGTATACTATGGATTGCAGAAAAGGTACCATTCCATCAGTTATATAGAGACTGGTTTTCCATATAATGCAAAATGAAAACGAAGACTCACCAGTTGTAGATGAGGTGGACACACCAGTGCTAGTCACGCCATAGCTCTGGGTTGTATTCTTCTTTGCTCCATATGCTGTTGCTAATAAAGGAGGAGAAGAGAAAACTTCAGTTCACAGTTTGTAGAAGCCAAAGAAAGAGATCTAGATATCTGCTTCCCCACCCCACCATTTAATTATTTATTTATTGAGTAATAAGCAGAGGAAAAGGTATGTCTCTGCAGAGAGTTGCAAGTTACTAATAAATAATATTTTATTTCCTTTTATTAAAGTTCAAAGCGTTTCAATGCAATTATCCAAACAACCCTTATAACAGCCCTGTAAGGCAGGTGAGTATTATTGTGAAAACTTGGCAGTACTTAGGTACAGTGTCTGCTGTCCCATCTCTACCAATCCTGTTTGGCTGTTCGGACTCATGGTACTCAGCATGGGTTTAAGCATGGTTCCCAAGTAACCTGCTTGGTCCCTGGTTTTAGCATGCCCTACTCTCACAAACCCCTAATGAAAAAATAGTGCTTGGCAGTGGAACCCTATACATATGTACTCCCAAGTATGTGTATATGTTGCACTGTGATTAGCATATGGGTATAAGTAATTGTTTCATCAATATCTGGTGCATTAAGGAGTTGCTGACACTCAGTCAGACTCTTAGTCCCTCTAGCCTGGTATTGTCTTCTGCACAGACTAGTAGTTGTTCTCTGGGGCTTCGGGCAGGAAAGTCCTACCTAGAGATGCTGTGGCCTTCTGTATCCACAGCATGTGTTCCATCACTGTCTATGGCCAGGGCCAGCCTACAGCATTTTGCTGTGTGAGATGAAGGACCAGAAAGCACCCCTTCTCTACTCCATGTACAGAAGCCAGCCAGAGGGGCAGCTGAATCTTGCTTCCACAGTAGAAATGGGACAACTTCTTTCACTGCATCTGAAGCATCAGGCTGTGTGGCATACACAGCTCTGTCCTCCAACAAAGTGGAGTGTGTCATGAGACAAAGGTTCTTGAGAGCAGAAGCAGGCAAGGCCTAGGCACGGCCTACGAAGACTACACAATCATTTCAAGCCTGCTAACTGTAACTGTTAGCAGTAAACTGCCATGTCACTGTGACTCGTGACTCATTTTGGGTTCCCTAAAAATGTAGCCAGCCATCTCTCTGGGCCTCAGTCTGTCTTCTGAGTCAGTCTCAGCTCAGTATGTGAGTGTGTTGTTGCAGCCAGAGTGGCTCCAGGGCTCCAGTTAATCCATAACTAAGATCTGTGCCTCTCTGAAGACTAAGATAGCTGCTATGAGCACTCTGTGTATGCTCTTTAACTATGCTGTTTCTGAACAAGTTTATTTTCTTCAATAAAGTTTTATTCTGTTTATGAAAAAGACTCTGCGTTGATTAATTTACCGTTGCGTGACAGAGCGGAGGCGGGTATCAGGAAGAACAATCAAGGAGCTGTCACTGCTGCCTATAGTAATCTACCGCCTGAGGTGTTTATTTCACGTTGCCAAATGCTGGGGCCAGGTTTATAGCCCAGTGCCTCGCTCGGAGCATCTAGTCACAACTGAAGTTAGTGAATATGCACAACATCATTTAAATTTTCATTTAAATGTACAGAAATAAGGTTTTAAAAATATTCCATGAGGAGCTGAATTTCTCAAGTACATGTATGTCACCCAAATGGCTCATAAGCTAGGTATTTTCATAACGTTCTATGACCTTACCTGCAGTTGTGGTTGCAGTATTGGCAACACCAAGTGTGCTTGGAGCCAGGTTGTTCTGAACACCAAATACTGCAAATAAAAATATATTGGGGTGAGGTGCAAGTTTGCTTTTTTTTTTTTTAATAGTAAACAGCCATAGTGACTCACCACAGGTAAGAATGGTCTGAAATTAACCATGCCCAAAAATTGAAGACTTCCCCTACACTGCACCTAATAAACTGAGCTAGTCTGTCATGTTTCATATTCATTTCTAATTGTCCTCTCAGAAGTGCACAAATCTCTGTAACATATTATGCAGGAATAAAGTTTTAACTTTGGGAAACAGCTTAAAAGTTCTCTTTACAATTCAAAGTTTAGAGGAAGGGCGTGGAAATCTTCCTTGCTGATTTCTAGGTTCTGAGAGACCTGCAAAGCAAGGAATTGCTATGCAAGGACCTGAAGACCTTCTGGCTTGGGTTACAGGTAAGGACATCCCTCTGACTGGCACCCAGGCTCAGGGACACACTGCAACATTTGTGTTGCTCATTTCACTTGTATTTATTTTATGTATTTTTGATTATCTTCAATAAATACTTTTTTTTAATCCTCTGCTGCAGGAGTTCTAAGGCATCGCTCTAACAGGCATTTCTGTTTACAGAGCAGGAGCTTTAAATGAATCCCACAAACTAGTCCAGGTGCGCTGATGCCACTGGCATGAAGAACTGGAGACCAAACCCTTTGCATATCCCTCTCCCGATGGCCACGCATCTTGACAGGTGGGATCAAGGAGGGAGGGAGAAAACGCACCTGTGGAAGAACTGCTGAGACCAGCATGCAGAGCTGGGGAACTGGGAGCCAAGTTGTTTGGGACGCCAAACACTGTGGGGGAAGGTAGGGAAAAGAGGAAGAGACTGTTGACTATGTAGGCAAGGTCAGAAAGATTCCAACACATCTGGGACGTGACACAAATCACTTGTCCTGTAGCAGAATGATCAGTAAACTTTAAACTTTTCCATTTGAAGTCCACACACTGAAAGAAGTCTCTAAAACATGGCAGAGGGGTATACTGTGACCCTCCAGATGTTGTATCTGGACAGCTCCTGCCATCAGTGAACATTGACCATATTGGCTGGGGCTTATGGGAGCTGGAGTCCAACAACATCTGGAGGGCCATAAGTTTCCCATCCCTAGCCTAAAACCACTGCGCTTCGCCCTTTGCAGATGTCTACCCTAATCTTGCAAGCTGTTGTTTAGTTGGTTGCTTCACAACTCTTCTTTTACTGGTACTCGGTTGTACTTTAGAGCGATCTAAATTTGATTTACTAAATTTAACCTTCTATTGAATAATATATATGTCTGAAACGAATGTGTTCAGTAGAGGTCACACATCCCACCCTGATCCGATATATTGTCCTCAAATTCCAATAGTCACTTAGGCAATTTGGCCAGAAGGAGCAATTCCTTCCCAACTTCCAATATGGTTATCACTTATACCCGTACGGTGAAGGCAAGTTCTGAAACCAACTGAGGAATGGCAATGAAAATGTAGGAAAGCAATGATGGTGCAGAATATACACACTGCATGCTTCCTTCATGGTCTTTAAGACTTCTGGTATTGAGTAACCACAACTGGCCACCTCATGATTTTCAGAAAAGGTTATCTCGGAGCTTGTCTGCAGAATTGCTATGGCCAATGCTGTGAACATGTACCTGATCCAGTAGAATGTGCTGCCGTGTTCATCAAAGAGGAGCTTTGAGTCATGTTGTTGTGGTAGCCACCGAGAGACGACCCTGCAGGCAGGGTGGAGGACCACATGTATGGTGGGAGTGCCGCATTCAAGATGGTCGTGTCGTATGTCCCTGACACTGGAAGAAAAATCAACAAGCAACATTAAAAACCATATTTCTTTATATACAATGCATGATCCTAAGGCAATGTGATTTCTTTTTCTGTTCCTCTCACCTAAACAGCGACATAAAATATGAAACTTGGTCTAATCTGTTTTTGGTGTTTCCTTTTTTAAAAAAACAAGTTTATATAGTCTTCAGAGTTATAGAGAAAAGCATGAATATGTGCTTCAAATTGGTTTTAAAGCAGGCATGGCTAACCTGTGGCTCTCCAGATGTTGTTGGACTGCAACTACAGCCCCAGCCAGCATGGCCAATAGTCAAGGATAATGGAAGCCCAGCAACATCTGGAGGGATACAGGTTTCTCATCCCTATTCTAAAACATCATAAACCGATGGTGATCCCTAGCACAGTTTTCAGTGGCCATGGAATTGGACATCAGCAGACATCCCTTCATCGATTCAAATTCTTTCCTTGCCCTCCTCACATTGAGCATATTTGCTTCCTGCAGTTGCTGCCTATTTGTCAGGAGTCACTCCTGAGTCCTGACCTTCTAGGTTTTAACTAACACCTCTGAGCTGGTATTTAGTCTAGAACAGGGGTGGGGAACCTATGAACTACAGCTCCTATCACCTGTGATCATTGGCCATGGTGGCTGGGGCTGATGGGAACTGGAGTCCAGCAACACCTGGAGGGCCATAGGTTCCCCATACCTAGTGTGAAACTACTTTTGATGAAACTAAAAAAAGAGTCTTGCAATGGTGCCACTCAATTATTGCCAAGAGATTAAGGACTGAAGCCGTTATACTTCACTCCACTTTTTGGATATTAGGAAAAAGCATGCACCTTTGAACAATCCTGTGATCCTTGCACTGTTGGCCTGAAAAGAAGACATACATTTGCAGCCTCTGCCACCCTCTCCACCTTATTCTGTGATTTGATAGATTAGAAATATACTGGAATTCCTGGGGTCCAGCAATGAGATACCTGATTGGCTGCTCTCTGTCACCATTTTGGTTTCCACAACAGCTTTTTTAGGTATTGGGAGTGTGCTTGATGGGGACCGAGTTGGGCTAGCACTAGCTGACCGACTTCCCCGAAGTAGTCGTTTGACATCGTCCAATTCTGTCCCTAAAAGAGAAGAGAGATATTGGAGACTTAAGCTCAAAACTTGACAATGTAGGTAGAAAATTAAAAGCATGATGATGGTAGAAAATTGTATGCTTTATATGTTTGGGTCTTAAAAATGACAGATGCATCTGAAGATGAATAGAGCTGAATGGTGTAGGCCAAAGCTACACACACACACTATACCTTTGAAGCATATTCTTTCCCTCAAAGACTTCTGGACACTGTTGTTTACCCCTCATAGAGCTACAATTCCCAGCAACCATTAACAAACCACAGTGTCTAGAATTCAGGGCGGGTGGGGAGAATGTGTTTCAAACGTGCTTCAAAGATATAGTGTGTATGCAACCCTTGTCTCTGTTCTGGCTGTTCCACCTCAACATCAAGGACTCCTCTTCCCTTGAGGCCACAAGTAATTTCTTCATTGGATTAAAGTGATCCTTGCTCCTCGTGTATTTTTGTCATCCCCTATACAGTTTCCGGCTAACAGATATTAGGAAAATATCAGATGGCATCATGGAAAAAAGGGCTACCGAATGGTCAGAGGAAGAGTTCATCACTACAACTACTGGATTATTAATCAAGGAGATTCAGCTACCCTTTGTTCAAGTCCACAAAAAATAGCTCAAGCACTTACACCTGGTTGATGGAGAAGCACTCTGCAGCCTCACTCGAATTTCACTCTCTGTACAAGACAAAATGAAAGAAGAGGCTTATTGTGAAGGGAGAGGTAATGGTAACTGGATACCCTGTACACACCTTTGGCATGAAGAAGGTTCATTGCTGCTGGTTGTTAGCTTGGCATTTGGTATGTTCTGTCAGTATTTAGACCACATGCAGCAAAGTTTGATAGGAATAGAATACTAATTTCTCCTACACCATGGCTTGTCTAATCATTTTTATGAGTTTATTATTATAATGCAATGGTGACAGCAAGTTTTATAAAACTGCACTCTGCTTACATTCCTAGACCTCCCACCAGCCCAATTTTCCTTTTACATAATATGTGCTGACATTTCAAAGTGTTGCTTTCCACAGTAGCAACCTGCCATGCCTCATCATAGCAAACCACTTTTTTAAAAACTTGTGTGACTTGGCCTTAAAGAAAAAAGCTTTCAAAACAAACAAACAAAAAACCACTTAGCATGCCCACACACTCTTGGGCATGTCTAAATTAACTCTTTGGATCTCTGCAAAGTGTACAGTATATTATATCTTACCACGAGTTTGGCTTCGCCCCCTGGTAGCAGAGGAACCTGTGAAAACCAAGGAAAATGCAATTGTTTGAATTTTATTTTGAAAAACTGTGATGAAGATGAGAAGGTTGACGAAAATCCAGAATACTTTGGGGGAAAGAAGGTTCTTTGAATAACCTGTTTTAAAGGTATAGTATGTGTACACATCCTTAGAAAACATTGGAAGAATGATTTATGCTTCCAGTGACAGGGGAATGAGATCCTATATCACTCTTTATCCCCTCCGATGCCACCCAGCTTCCAAGGACCTGATCTGATCTGAATCTGTATTGCAGTAGTTCAGCCAGGAATGGGAAGCACTGGCAGTACAGTGGTAACTGGCTCTTGGACTTCCTTTCAGCTTCCTGGGACTCTGGCACAACAGAGATGGAGTGGGAAAGGGGTATGCTTGTGCTGCCCGTTACTTTTGTAGATCAGGCACTTGCATATTATCCCCAAATATTAGACACACACATTTCAGCTTCTTATCTACTAAAGCCAGAACTATTAGAAAGAGTCCATTTCTTTCTAAATGCAAAGCTCTGCACCAGATGGAAACATGACAGCTAAGAAATATACTCAAATCTGAGTCATTTCCATAATTCATTCTAGTGCAAGAGTATAGGGATTTTTCAACATTTTGAACTCCCTGACCATAAGGCATTTACTATGCACCTGTCCTCAATTTGGCCTTCATAGTATTAATAACAGAAATGTACCAAAATCTTTTCTTGGAAACTCTGGAGAGGAATTTGCGCTGGAGCTCCCTGCAGGGAAAAAACAAGAAGATTTCATATCAAAATTTAACTGCATGTGTTATATGGAAAGGGGGATTTCAATAGTATAACGTATCAACATCGTGGTCTATACAGTATCCTGTAGTTTTCTCTGGAATTAAAAGGTGTCCCAAGGACATACGTAGAAGATCTATGGATTAGTCTGCATGAGAAGTCAGGAAATGATCTTGGCAAAGTGCAGAGAGAGGATTATCACTGCTGATGAAAGTGTTATGTTAGACAATGGATTACAGTGCTATACTCCAAAAAGGCTAAAAGGATCATGAATTGATATGACAATGGGGTGTGACTCATTGGAATAATGAAAGGGTCAAAAGTAGCAGAAGCACTGTAAAGGGCAAGTATATACTGGCCAGGTTCACATGTCACGGTAAGCCAAACCATGGTGTCCCGAGACCACGTAATTGTGCTGGATCCCAGAGAGGGGCTTGCACCCACTTTGCTTCTCTCTGGTCCTTTAAGCACAGCACTGCAGCTAAACCGAAAGTTTGGCTTAGCGTGTAATTTGAATATGGAATTGTAGTTAAGGTCTCTCCTCCTCAAACACCATTTGTAGCCAAGGCTTGTAATATGGTTACAGACAGTGGTTAAGCAAAAGATTTGGGTCAGCTAGAAGGACCAGGAAAGATCAGAGTAGGTACGAGCTTCTCTGAAGGAATGAGCACATTTGTGAGGTCCCTGTAAGCCAGAGTTTGTGCAAATGAAGCAGGCTTCTAGGATAGTTGCATGATTAGCCAACATAAACTGTGCACCCCTTAGTTTCCTTGAGACTATGATACCTTCATATGCTGCATGGCGAGTGGAATAGGTTTTTCGTTCAAAGGTTGAGCCTGGTGATTTGGTAAGAGTAGAAGAAGGAGTGATGGCTTGCTTGTAGGAGGAAGAGGAGGTATTCGTTCTAGCATTTCCACCTACAGATGAAACAAAACCTCCTAAAATGTATGTACAATCGACCAGACTGTGATGGAAATGACAGTCCAGTCTTTAATTTAATATTTATTACTTAGAAAAGGAAGCTTTTTCAGCTTGAGGGTCACATTTGCTATTGGGCAACTTTTGGGAAGGGGGGAAACAGAGACAAAAGTGGAACCAGCAAATATTTAACCTTTGTATATCAGGCTGGTTTGTACACATGGCCATAAACCCCCTCCATCTTCCATTCAGCCAGCAACAGGCTTTCATCCAAAATAGCGCTACGTAACAACCCCATCAGCTCAAGGGTTTACACTCACACAACAGGCCTGTACCCTGCTCCTCCTCCCACAGACACCCTGAATCTTTTCTGGGGGGTTCCCGCAACCCTCCAGAGCAAATTTGGGGTGGTGGTGCAGGGAGTGTGTGAGGAGAGAGGGGGAATCCCATGGCACAAGCATAAATCCTTCTGCTGGGATGGTTACTTACAGTTACGTTGAATACAAGCCATAGCCTTTAGAAGTCAGTGACATTTGGGGTCTCATATAGTCACTTAGGGGCTTTACGGAGTATTTCAGTTTCACACAAATTCTGTGTGGTTTGCTACACACTGCAAAGTTTGTTGACGTGTGGATTTTGAAGGGTGAGAGTGTCTTGGTTTGCATATTGTTTCTGGAACTGTGAGTTAGGTAGGTTTGCCTTTAAATCAAACCCCACCCAAACTAAATCAAACCCCACCCAAATCCTACTTGGAATAGTGTGGTTAAAATGTGGTTTGTCAAAAGTCCTGGTTGCTGCATATATTTCTGCCCTTGGATTTTCCTGAGGTCTCCAAAAGCAGAGGGATAGCTATGATCTAACATGATGCAGTCATGTGAATACTGGGTGAATGCCATGCTCCAAATTATGAAGAGAGAATGTACCCTTTGTAATCCTAGAAAGAGGGCTATTCTCATACATTTGCTTGTACTTCTGAATCTGGTGTCATTCAGTGGCTTCCCCATTAAACTGTTTGAAGAACAATGAACTTTTGTGAGGAAGCCTTTGCTTCCCTCCTCTGCCCTGCTCTCCAATTTTTACACTGACTTGGAACACACAGACTTAAGACACAGAAACATCAAGAGTTTATTAACTCAAACTGCTCTGGCTCTTTTAATGTGGCTGTGAGCATCATACTTTCAATATGGATTCCTAAAGTATCTAGGGAAATTGCAAAAAGCCATTTCAATCAGGACCATTACAAGAAAACACGCTAATGTGTTCCATGTTAATTAACTAGGGGCGTTACTTCTCCTTCTAGGAGGTGTGTGTGGCCTATGGGGAGCTTTACACCTGGAAGGTTTTATAAAGTTCCATGAAGTTGTGTGAGGTCTGTCCTGTCTAGGCTACCTTCCAGTGGTTCTGTTCGGGCTGGACTTTGGGGCTCTAAGGCCCTACAATCCAGGGGTTTTCAAATGACGGCCAGCAATGATGGCACAGGGTGCCCTCTGCAGTGAAGAGCTTGCTGAGGCTCCAGCAACAGCCGCCACCTTCATTTCCCCAGGGTGTCTGCAGGAAAAAGAGGAACTCATGGGAAATGGAGATGGTGGCTATTGCTGGAGCCTCTTTAGTAAGGAAAATGGGGTTTCTTCCTGCTGGAAAGGAGAAGCAGAGCAGTCACCAGGGCGGTGGAGGTGGGTGAGAAGGTGGCAAAGCAACAAGATTGGCAGAGCACTGGGGGAGAAGGCAGGACAAGCAACCCAGGTGGCATGTTGGGAGACAAGGGCGTAGCCAGGGTGAGGGTCCCTGAAGGTGTCTTTGCCCATGCCCCCTCAAACATGGCAATGCTGTCAGCCTCATCAGAAGGAAGCAGCACAGCCTGTTTGGAGTTCTCCAGTGGGCAGCGGGTGGGTAGTTCCTTGGTTGTCTAAATGGATGCCTTCCATGTTCTCTGCAGAAAGGCTATTCTAAGGCAAACCAAATAAGTTTATACAATAAACTAATGTTTATTTGCAGCTTTTTTAATTTGATTCCTCTGTACCCCCATGTGCTGAGCCCAAGAAGAAGCGCCAAGAAAAGACAGAGAACCACAGGAGATTGCAAGGAAATATAATTGTGTGGTGATACTTCCTGGAAGAAGAAAGAACCACCAGTTGTATAAACTCCCACCATTTACCACAAAAAGGATCCTGCTTCCAGATTTTAAAGGGCAACTCTGGGCAAGGACTCTTTCCCTCCTCTTGTAGTTCCAGAAAAGCTCAGAGGAGGAATGCTTCTCCCACACATACACATAGCACTTGTCGCTTTTGAATTGTAAGCTTCTGCCCTTTCTCCCCACACCTTTTTTATGTTCCTCGTTTATGTTGTTTCCCTTTCCCTTCAGTCTGAGAACCACTTACTGGCTGTCACATAACTGCTGCCGTGGGTGTATGTCCTTTTCTCCACTCCACCTCCTCCACTATAGGCTGTTGATTTGAGGCTGCTGGTACTGCCTCCTTCTGTCAAAGTAAACACAACATGAGATTATGTGGGTGGGAAAAGGCAGGAAAAGAGTACTGCGGAAAAATATAGGGCCTTTCGGTGGGGCCATATACAACATGAGCACGCCTCACATATATGGTGTCAAACAACCATATGATTTTTAGAAGACATCTGAAGGCAGCCCTGTACAGGGAAGTTTTTCATGTTTGATGCTTTATGGAGTTTTAATATTTTGCTGGAAGCTGCCCAGAGTGGCTGGAGCAACAGAGTCAGATGGGCAGCATTTAATAATAGAATGATGATGGTCAATTTCACAGAAATAACGTAAGACTAGAGTAGCCTTCCCCAAACATGCTGGGGCTGATGGGAACTATAGTTCAAAACAGTGCTTTTTTTGTAAAAAAAAAAAATGTTTAGGGGGTACTCTCATTTTGACTCAAGAAAATCACCATTTTATAGTTCAAATCGGGGGTGGGAGGAATATAGTAAAGTACAAAGATTCACAAAATGTTTAGGGGTATGCGTACCCCTGCGTCCCACCAGGAAAAAAAAACACTGGTTCAAAACAACTAGAGAGTACGAGGTTGAGGAAAAGTGGACTGGATTAATTCCTCTCAAGAATAGGGCTGCCGCATGGTCAACTTTGAACTGACTAGGTGGGTCTCCCTGCCTACACTCACATGTGTCATACTTGCAACACAGCTTCAGTGCTAGAAAACAGACCACTTTAAATTTACTTAGCTGAAATGAGAATTACATTTCAGTGAGAAAGGGAAGGCTAGAACCCTAGTCAGAAGAGTTGTACGATCAAGAGCTATTATCACTGCTTAGCACTCCTTACAATTACTCTGGTAAAGAAACCACACCACAGATGGTGTGGCTGGCCAAAAGTTACTCAGCAAAGGTGCTCGATATCAAACTCAAACAGCTGTTTTAGTCAACACATCCCATCCCACCCAGGTTTTTCCAGGCTGATAGTGTGAAGGGAAGTTACATCATCACGGACAATGCGGGCCGAGGTCATACAAAAGCCATGGGAGAATGGGACCAATTGATATTTAGAAACAACAACCCTCTACTGGCAATGTTCCTTGGCTCAGAAATAATATGATCTAACTGGATTTTGTTCCATATATTCTTCTGAGCCAAGCCTATGGGCCTAGTGAACTCCCATGCACTGTACAAAGTCTCTTGCTATTTTTAATCCATGTCTTTCCTGTAACTTGGGCAACTTCAGAAAAGCAACCGTAAGTAGGGTGGTGCTTTTGTTATGCTTTGATCTATAAGCTCAGTGGCACAAACACTTGAGGGGCTTCTGACAAAGAAGCACAAACAAAGCAAACTGAGATGCATGCATGCAGAAACAGGTATACTGAATTCTGTATAGCAACCACTTACTTGGGGGAAGAGATGTCAGTCTGGTGGTAACAGTTTCTGTAATAACTGTAAAAAAAGGAGAGAGAGGGGGAAGAGAAGTATAAATCCATGGGATAGGTTGTCCTCATTTACAGAGGAACCTTGATGCTGCTCCTCAATCATTAGCATCTGGATAGCAAATTGAGCAGGTACACAGGTCACCTGATCACACTATTTCCCACTGTGGTGAGATCAGTTGCATTTCCCTTCAAATCACAGCATTATTTCTAAAATCACATCTATACATAGGCAATTTTAATGCAAATCTGTGCTCACTTTTCTCCCTGTTTGGGGGCGATAAGTAAGTGGCCACGACTTCTTCTCTTTTTTTCAAAATTGCTAAGCTGAATTTGAGTCTTGAATTCAAACCAACAAATTCCTTTTGAAAGTTGTTTTGAATATTCATTTCTGGCCCATGGAAACCATTTTGGAAATTCTGAGAAGGACTCGATTTTTTACAGGTGAGATACTTATGAAGGCATAGTGAGAGATAACTTTTCAAAGGATGTATACAGCAGGGATAATTGCCTGAGACCCTGTGAAATATTTAGCCGAAACCATCTCTGAAAATGGCAATATAATGCTTCTGAAATGGCATATAGTATTAAGCTGCTATTAACCTGGTTTGCAAGGTTGGCTTATTATATCAAAACTTCCATTTGGGAAATAATCGGGAGGTTCCACTTGGTCCCAACCATGGGGCCAATTCACATAAACTTTTTTCTTTGAAGTGTTACCCTGAGATGACTCCTCGGTCCCAATACTCAGGCAGTAAGGGCCTTCACATTTTAAGATCCCATTGCCACATAATGAACATTTCATTATGTATAAGCCTTTTTAAAAATGATATAATGATGTCAGAAGACCATTGAACCACGTAGATATTGAAGGGTGAAATGATTGCATGCTAACTTTTACCTCTGCAATGTCTGTGGGAATCAACTTAAAGAATCATCTATTCCTAGAAAAGGTTTCACTTACGTCTCTCTGTGACTTCTGTTCCATCCCGCTTGTTTTTCTTTGTTACAGCGGCCATATCATTGCTACATGAAGGCAAAGAGAAAGAGCAAAGGTTAACATATTCCTGACCCCCCCCCCCCGTGGCTACTTTGCTGTAGTGGTCCCACTCAGGCCCTTCCTCCCTCCTCAGCCAATGCTAGGCCAGGAAGCAACTTAAGATGTGCAGTTTGCACATTTTCACACAGTCCCTCCTGGACCACTTCATAGGCCTTTTTCTATTTGATGAGAATATGTGTGATTTATAAAGACTGGAAAGTGCTCAGCCAGTTAGAAGTTTAGTTTTTGTTTGTTTTTTAAGATAAACCAATTCCTCTCACAAGAGAAAGGTATTGTGTTCTTTGACCTCTCTCCCGCCTCATAAAATGCTCTGAAGTAATCTATCCAAGGTATTAGAATGCTTAAAATCCGAAGTTCACAATTATTTAATTGAAGTTCTGGAGAGGTGTCTATTAAGTAGAAGAAAGGTAGAAACTTGTTTTTAAAAACAACTGCTTTTGTCAGTGACGCAACAGTGTCATCTAGTGGCAGCTCAGGAATATTTAGCCAGTGTTTATCTCCCCCTGCTCAAATTTACAGTAGTTCACAGCGTTATTCTTCAAATGTTTCCAGGCCTCAAAATTTAAAATATTCCTGTAAAAACAATCTGTATTTGTTTGCTTGCACTTTTGGGATATGACTGTCCTTGGGATCCAGCCGTATTGGTGGTATTCTTTGTTCAACTAGATTCCTGTTTTCAGACACATAGCTTTTTGAGTTTTTTAAATCACATTTTTACATTGTTGCATTTTAACAGTGTTGTACACTACCCCAAATTCCTACAAGAAGAAGGGCAAAATAGCAACAACATAAATCTTTTATTTTAGCTTGCAATTATGTTTAGCTTTTGCCACCCCCTCTGGCAATAAAAGGTAGGAACGTTCAGATTTCTGAATTATAGTGGTTACTTTCCCCCTAATAAACTACAATGACTCCCTATTAGGGGGGGAAAGAGACCAGGAAGGTGGAACATATGTTCTGCTGAAGGGTATTAAAAAAAGAGGAGTGCTGAACGGGCAAGAAATGGGAGCAAAGTAGTTTATGAAGGGACAAGGTCTGTTGTTGCACATTCAAGTAGATGGGAAGCAGTGGTCCTGTAGGACCACAGAACCCTTTGTACTTATTATACCTGTGGGCACATATCTGCTATCATCTGCTGAACTTGTGGAGGTAAGGAACATTTAAATCACATGCCTCCCCCTGCCCCAATCATCCTGGGAACTGCACTTTGCTCTGGGTGCTGGGAATTATAACTCTACGAGGGGGTAAATCACAGTTCCCATTATTCCTTGCAGAAACTATGACTGTTAAAGTGGCGTAAAAGTGCTTTAAATGTATGGTGTGGGTGCAATTTCATTCCGCCCACCTACATACGGCTCAGTGAACTCATGAAGAGGGTTTAATTGCCTTTGGGATGACTCTGAAAGTGGTTTTACTCATGCTCAGTGATTGGTTGATTGCCACTAAAGAAGGAATTTCCTCTCAAGCCACATTGGCTAAAAAGATGCCTACAGAAGCAGCCTTGCATGTATGCATGATCCAATATAAAACTCGCTGAGCTCCGTATGGGATTATATTGTGTCCTTTTTCCTAGACAAATACTGCTCCTGTGGAGGAAAATATTTGCACATGAAGTGAGTCTCATCTCAGGGTAAATCCATCCTAATTGTTTGTCTAAATCCACCCGAATCTTTCTTCACTGCTGTGCCCTCTTCCTTAGGATAATGGACGCCCGAGGCGCTTCAGCAAACCCACAGCACCTTAAACCATGAATCACGGGCAGAGTCATAATTGGCGCGCATGATGAACAAGCTCCAACACTGAAGGAAGATGCTTGAAAGATGAGCTTAGGCGGGTGGAACAATGGAGCCCTGGAGCTAAACCCAACCCAGTCTATGAGAAGATTTTGGCTTGAGGTGGCATCTTGGCCTCACTCTCTCAGCCTTTGTTGTTTTGCTAAAGTTTCTTTTGCATGTTCCTTTCTTTTGCTCGACCTTGGCTTTCAGGATTTGGGAGAGCAGCCAGTGTGGAGTAGAGGTCAGGGTGTCAAACCACACCTGAAGATCAAATCCCCAATCTGTTGTCATGAGCAAGGCCGGTCGTACAATTAGGAAGAATAAGGGAATCACAGACTGGCAGGCAAAGGCAACAGCTCCCCTAGCCACACCTCTGGCCGTTCCCCTCTGATGGAGATCAAAGCTATGTGTGCCACATGGCCTTGCAAGCACACACAAGCACAACCAGCCTGTTGCAACCACCAGGTGCAATAGGAGATGCTATGCTCTCCTGTTGAGAGTGTTGATGCACAATTCAACTGCCAAGCCAGTCAGCTTCTGGGCATGGAAGGGGGAGCCATTGTGTCATTTACCTCAACCAGCAAAACATCTTGGGCCAGTCCTGGCCATGAAGGCCTTGGGCCAGTCACAGTCTTTCGGCCCAAACTACCTCACTGGTTTGTTGTGAAGTTAGAATGGTGGGGAGGAGAAGAACCACAAACATTTATCTGAGCTCATTTGAGGAGGGTTGGCAGCTTGTGGCCTTCCTGATATTGCTGGACTGCAACTCTCATCTAACCATGACCATTGGGCCACGCTGGCTGAGGCCAGTGGGAATTGGAGTCCAACACCATCTGGAGGACCACAGGTTCGCAGAGCCTTGCCTTACGTGACATAAAGGATTAAAATGCAATTAAGCAAACTTCAGACGGCATCTGGTCATGCATGCTGTGAACAGAAAAATTGTGACCCCTCCCTCTAGTCTCCTGCCACAGAGGTCCAAAGAGGACATTTCCAAGTATTTTAAAGCTGCCAAGAAATTTAACAACAAAACTCAAGGCGATAGGACTCAAAGCTATTTGAGAAGCATACTCTCTAACTCAGACAAGGAAAGTGTGGCCCTTCAGATGTTTTGAACTCCAGCTCCCATCAGCCCAAGCCAGCATGGCTAATGTTCAGGGATGGTGGTAGTTCAATATGTAGAGGGCCACAGGTTTCCCATCTGTGACTTATTCTATGGCATTTGTCTGGTGATGAATGCTCAGTAATCCCAGGAAAGACACAATGCAGTGTTACCGTCCTTTAAATTATTCTTCAACTGGCCCCTGGGTCACAGCAATCAAATCCTAAGGCTGTCATTTCACACTATTTAAACTAGGGTTGCCATACGGAATTTTTCAGACACAGCCAGGATTCAGTGGTCGGAAATAGTGTCCAGGCAGAAATTGCTTAAATGTCCGGGAAAATCCGGACGTACCCAATGTCGAAAGTGTAGATTTTGATGAATTTCCTTAATAGCTCAATAGCCTTGGACAAAACTAGAAAAAGCTCAACAACTTTGGCCAAAAAACAACAACTTTTGTGTCTGAATTTTCACTTTTTGAAATATAGAAAAAGGTTTTGCTTTGTTTAGTCAATCTACTAAAAAATAAATAAATAGAAATCTCTTATTGTATTTTATATGCTATAAGCCACCTTGATATATTTTATGAAAGTACAGATTATCAATGTTAAAACACACAAATAAATAGTATTTATTATGTTTGTGACTCATTTGTTATCAAGGTCTCCAAAAGACATACATTTAAATATATAAAAATAAATACACTATACCATTAGAAATTCATATAAAACATCAACATTCTCATACAAACACTTAGAATTCATATATACACATATAGCTTGTCCACACTAGTGAAAATGTGGATTTGCCTTTCTCCCCGGTAATGTCCACCCTATCCAGGGTTGTCCTGGACCTTTCCCCCTTTAAATGCAGGGTCTTTCAATCCTTGGAAAGTCCAAAATGGCTAGGATTGGAAAAGTCCACATTTAAAGGGGGAAAGGTCCAGGACAACATTGGGGTGGGGTCTACTTTTTGCTCTGGTGTGGACAAGTCTGCTAACAGAAACAAGCCCCCTACAGCAGCCACAGGAAACTTTGGTAGCACACCAATAGCAGGACAAAATCAGGTCCATCCATTAATTACCCCTTTGTTCTATAGTCTCCCAGATTTGAACAGCAACTTTAGCCACTGAAACTGCTCCAGTTGGCTTGTGTGATCTTCCAGCACTGCTGATATCACTTATCAATCAAATTTACCTTTCACAGCTAAGCTACTATAGTAGCCTAGCCACTGCTTTGGAGTCCTGTGTACCACTCCTTCAAATATCTAAGACGACAGCAGGTATTTGAAGTCTAGCAAGCCTTTCTTTTCCTTTTGTTCCATCCTCTGGGGTACAAAGATGATTATCTCAGTGACTAGAAATGAAGCAGGCTGGCACATTTGCTTTTGGTGTTTCACATGGATGCCCATCATGTGATAAGACATCAAAGGAAAGGGAATTCAAAAGAAAAACTATTCTATATCCTGCCACTGAAAATGTTGCATTTGCCCAAGGAGCTGATTTAAGGCTCATAAGTGAAATTTGGAGGTCTTCCAGGAGTGGCTGCACAGCAATCTGTTGGGGACATTCTAGCTCTAACTTTCCTGCAGTGAGCAGGAGGTTGGACTAAGGCAGGGGTTGCCAACATTTTTGGACCAGTGGACACATTTCGAATTTTCAGAGAGTGCTGGGGGCGCTAGACAAAAATAGCTGCTATGGAGGGAGAGGAGGCGTGGCATAACACAAAATGGCTGCCATGGGAGTGTGGCATAACACAAAAGTTAAATTATGTTAATTCTAGGTATTCACAATTATAACTAAACCAGAGCAGAACATTATTCTTTTAAGATGGTTTTGCTCATTACGTATTCTTACTAATACTGGTGTTTTTGTAGCATCGGGGCATAGTATAAAACAAAAACTATGGAAAACTTATGAGCAAAAAAATACACCAGGAGCTATCTGAAATAGGCATAAGATCTAAAAGAAACAAGGGAAATTATAGTTTTATCTTGATAAGAGTTCTTCAAATAGAAATAATTGTTAATGGACTTGTGATATAATTATATCCAAAGCAAGTGATTGCTTGCAAAATGCAAGCATGAACAGCAAGGTTGATACTGCGGTAATGAAGGAGCAATTTAGAGAAGGAGCATAGCTCACAGGTAGAGCTTATGCTTTGTGTGCAATCTCTGCCATCTTCAGCTGCTGCCAGTTGGTGTATTTAGCAATACTGGGGTAGTCTGTGTGGCTTTCTCTAGATGTCTTGGGCGTTGGTTCAGTGAGATAACATGGCCAAAGGACTTAAGCACTGAGGCATAGTGTCCATTACAGTGGGATGGTGAAAAACCCCAGCAGCCCCAAAGGGAAAGGCCTTCCCAATTTCAAATAGTGATTGCTTCTCAGAGTATATTCATGCTACATTAAACTGATCAGATCCTGCTGTAGTCCTGGTATGTCTATGCTGAGTGGTGCTTGCTGGGGTTTCAAGTAAGAGTCTTTCCTGGCCCCACCTGGAGATGCCAGGGACTGAACCTGTGACCTTCTGCACGCAACACATATGCTCTCCCACTGAGCCACTTGTGTGATTCAGTCTGTGTCAGCTCCTGCCATTCACCCAGCTACCAGTGAACCCGGCACAGAACCAGCAATGGCTGTGTGGTCCCTTCAGTTACTTCTCATGCTCATCATGCAGATGGCCCAAGGCGAAGGGAAGTTAGATTTCTTTCAGACTCTTCCTGCCCTCCCAGTGATGTATTAAAGCACTTGAGCAGGAGCACAGAAAGTCTTCATTTGGTCAGGCATTTAGAACTCAGCTTTAAAAAACCCCAAAGTTAAGCAGCTTGGAATAGGCTGCTCAAGATAGAATCTTCAGAGGCCGGAAAAGGATATGGGGGAATCTGGTCCATGCTTCTAAACAAACCATAACCACAATTCCTGCCCTGTTAACACTGGGCACTTCCATGTTGTTGGCATTTTGAGGTGGGATTCAGTCACTTAGTGGCATCAAGGTGCCACAATTTTAGTTGATTCAGAGGTCTTGTGCCACAAACTTTTTAAAAAATACCCCACCAAACTAGACTTTTTTGTTATATGGAGTGTGACAAGGAAATGCACTGCAAAGCTGGAAAAACACTTAGTTTGAGGCATCAGCCATCAGCCATCTCCCAGCAAACAAATCAGGATGAATGTTCAGTAGGCAGGTTAAGTGGAAGCACCCTTAGATTAGTTGCATTTTGATATATGCACCACAAGTAGGGAGCAGGATCAAGCAAGATGTGTCATGCATGCCTCTAGGAAACAAATGTCCTTAGGATAAGGAATATGTTCGGTACAACACACCCAGCCAGCTCAGTGAAGTGATCTGTACTACACACTGCAGAAGAAAGCAAGATTTTTAAAATGCCGGAAGCCAACAGCTAACTTGCCCTGAGGGTATATTTATACAGTAATTTTGCAGAATTTGTGAATGGAAGTAAAATGGTGCGTTCCACTTCCTCAATATTTCTTTCAGCTCCCTAACCCGAGATTGTCTCTTCTGATGTTCTCTTTTCAGTCATGCCCTTAACAATTCAGAAGAAGGGAATGTTATTCCATAGGTAGAGGAAATTCATTCTGGGCCCTTTCAGCCACTATTGAAACACCATAAAAGTCACAATGCTCTTCAGAGCTGCTTAATTTTTAATCATGTTCTTTACTCCTATATTTTCCAGGAGACTAATTCAGCATTTAACTTCAGAAGATTTCTGAAAAGTTTGCCTCTATGGTAGAATCTAGCAAAGGCTTTATCAGTGTTGATAAACATATTTAAATACTATTTTGCAGATGGGGGGGACGGACCTGAAAGCCCACAGTCCAGGTTTGAAACCAAAGTAGTAGCAGAGATGAGCAAAATAGACAATTGAATAATAAAATAACACCATGCAAAGAATTAATAATGACCCACAAAACACCCTTTTCATAATGATGCTAATTTTTGAAAGTCCATAACTCAAGATTAGGTACTTAATTATATACAGGAATACAAAGGAGTTCAGTGATTCCTGATAATATACTCCTTGCTGATGAAGCTGGCTTGAATCTATTGTTATTTTTCACAGTCAACACAAAATTCCTTTCTGCAAAGGAACTGCAAGCATTTTTTGAGAGATACGGTTCAGTGTACCCAAAAAACAGGATCCACACACATCGTCCACAGAACTAGCACACAATAAGTACATTTTTGTAATGATGGTTATGCAGTCCCTCTGCCTTGAAAAATGCATTAGTCAGTCTCTCTTCCAGGGTTCTGACATACCATACCCATCTACAGCTATAACCATAATCTTGTGAATGCCTATCTAATAAGGCTGCAATGCTTTTGTATGCTTACTAGGAAGTAAGTCTTATAAAATTGACTTTCAAGTAAATATCCACAGGACTGGACCACATGGACCCAGATGTGAGAGGAAATGCTTATTTTGGCTTGTTCAGAGTATTGCTATTAAGTTGTATACTTATAGCTTTTCTTTCAGTGCCAATTGTAAACCTATTTTCCTCATAACCAAACTGTCTCAATACTCAGTCTCTACAGCATAATTACTAGACTTCTTAATATAGAATAAGAAGCTATTTTGGCCCATATTTTGCCTGAGAATTATCTCTCCACACTTTCCCCCTTTTTTACAATCAAATAATCTGATAGAATTATAGTAGAAAATGGCACCCTTCTGAGTGTTTCCTTGTCTTGTGTTACATACCTGAAGTGCTTCTGTTTGTAATCCTTATTGTTTGCTTTCTACCCAGATCCCAGATGTTGTCCCACAAGTCCTTGAATAAAGCACTCCTTCAGCAGTATGGTGTTTCTCAGACTGAGTGATCCTCAGAGAATGCTGAATTTGACTTGTATTTAATGTCTTTTACCTCACGCCCCCCAAACACGTATGTTCTTTTCCCCAAAACATTTTTTCTAAACAAGTCCTGACAAAGGTGTGTGATGGTTTCTTGCCTTACTCCACCCTATCAATTATCTGACACAGTGCGGGTAAAAAAAAAAAGTCTGCCTCCAGGAATCAAATTTAACTGCTGAAATAAAACACATCAAGCTACAAGCTCAAATACACCCAGTCTAGCCTATTGCAATGTGCTTTACATGAAGCTGCCTTTATACATGGTGTGGAAATTTTAATTGATACAGAATGCAGCTAGTTGGGGTTAGGTATTTGTTGGCTACCTTTACATTTTAGGCCCCAATTTGAAGGTATTTAACTCTTAAGTTCTAAATAGTATAAAGGTAAAGGTAAAGGTACCCCTGCCCGTACAGACCAGTCTTGCCAGACTCTAGGGTTGTGTGCTCATCTCACTCTATAGGCCGGGAGCCAGCGCTGTCCACAGACACTTCCGGGTCACCTGGCCAGCGTGACAAGCTGCATCTGGCGAGCCAGCGCAGCACACGGAACGCCGTTTACCTTCCCGCTAGTAAGCGGTCCCTATTTATCTACTTGCACCTGGGGGTGCTTTCGAACTGCTAGGTTGGCAGGCGCTGGGACTGAACGACGGGAGCGCACCCCGCCGCGGGGATTCGAACCGCTGACCATGCGATCAGCAAGTCCTAGGCGCTGAGGTTTTACCCACAGCGCCACCCGCGTCCCTCTAAATAGTATAGGGCCAGGTTATTTGAAGAAAAGACCATATGAGGCCCAGGCCTCAAGACTGGCTTCAGAGTTGTTAGGACCCTGTGAGACATCTGCAGAGTCCGGACCTCCCTGCTACCTCACCCTCTCCCTCCCAGTAAGTAGCAGTGACTCTGCTGCTGAGAGGTCAGATACATGGCAGTGCCCCTTATTAGTGACTCCTCCTGACCTGCTATGAAGGTCAATTAGATTCGTGATCTGAAGAAACTGGGCCTTTTCCATGGTGGCTCCATATTTGTAGAACTCCGTCTCAAGCCTTGTGCATTTGACCCCTTCTCTCTCCGTGTTTTTGAAGAGGCCTTGAAGACCTTTTTGTTTCCATCAGCTTTTAGCTGAAATATGCTGAGCTAATTTTTGAATGTTTGCTGCTCTCTGCCTTAAATTGTTTTAACTCTTTCATGGGAATCTGTTGGGCTGTGTTGAGGTGTTTTATAAACCATTTTAGTTCATAATTTTATATCTTTCTTATCATTTTATTTTATTCATTGTGAGTCACCTTGAGAGGGCATAGAAATACTGAACCACCTGATTAAACAAGCAAACCACTTGAAATATCAATTTCCCAAAGTGGCCAGCCAGGGACCCCTAAGTAGCCTACAAGCATGACTTGAAGACAAAAGCAACTGGTAATTGGGCGCCAAAAAGAGAGGCTACATATCCCCCAAATTCAGGGCGAAAGACGCAGATTTACACTAAATTTGCACATGCTAATTTATATTCAAATATGCAAATTTAGAAATGACTAGAAAATAAATTGAAATACAATATGCCTCACCATACCAGAGAAGACTGTAACCAGGTTACAGTGGTGCCCCGCGAGACGAATGCCTCGCAAGACGAAAAACTCGCTAGACGAAAGAGTTTTCCGTTTTTTGAGTCGTTCCGCAAGACGAATTTCCCTATGGGCTTGCTTCGCAAGACGAAACGTCTTGCGATTTCTTGCGAGTTTGTTTCGTTTTTCTTAAAGCCACTAAGTCGCTAAGCCGTTAATAGCCGCTAAGCCGCTAATAGCCGCTAAGCCGCTAATAGCCGTGCTTCGCAAGACGAAAAAACCGCAAGACGAAGAGACTTGTGGAACGGATTAATTTCGTCTTGCGAGGCACCACTGTATCTGTGTGCCTGCTCAACGTTCTGTCTTTGTGCTAGTAGTTGACGGGCAACTTCAGCACCCTGTCTTCTCCCTTCATATTGTTCTTTATCTTCTTCCTGTGGTTCTTTACCTTATTGATATTTTTTTATCAGACTTGGATTGAACAGCCCTTCCAGCAGAGGACTGACCTCTGCAAATAATTGATATTTGGTGGCACACTGACTCTGAGCCCCAACTGGAGTTTCAATGTAGCCATCGTGGCTGCTTGCCACCTTCCCCATCATGAATCTGTTTAATCCTGTTGTAAGAAATGGGAGACGTGGTAGGAGGCACCATTATACAGGCACAGGCCTGCAAGGGACCAATTAAGGTCTGTAGTTCAACCAAAAAGAAAAGGCACCAAATGCAGGAGAAAAGGGGAGGAAATCCTCCACCTGCAATCTCAATAAACGATTCTGTGCACTTGGGTGTTTCCTCCCTATTTCCCCCCATGTAGCTGAACTCCCTGTGTGGTAGAAGGGAACCTCCTATTGTATACCATCTTGATGCATTCTTGCTAGAATGTCATAGTGGAGACAATAATTCTGAATGCCCTTTACACAGCTAAACACTTGCAGCAGGTGGATCTATATCAGCGGTTCTCAACCTGTGGGTCGCGACCCCTTTGGGGGGTCGAACGACCCTTTCACAGGGGTCGCCTAAGACCAGGGGTCAGCAAGCTTTTTTGGGGGTGGGCAAGCGGGGAGTGGCGCCAGGATGTCACCCACCCTCACGGCTGACGCCCGGTGCGCACCGCATCCCCCACACCCGCTTTCCTCCACCGGTGACCTGAATTACTTTCACTTTTGGTTCGTTTGCTGCAGAAGGCACCCGTATGACAATCAGAACTTGAGTGAGCAAGTACTGTAATACCTATTCACTGATCCCCAGTGGAAATTATTCCTAACATTTTCTCTGTGGTGCTCATCTTATCCAATATGCCTCCTCAGCTACAGACATGTTTGATGTCTCCAAGAAATTTAGATCATCCTTTGTAGCCCAATGAGTAAGAAACCGGATAGGTGTTTCTTGGCAACAAACAGTTTAAAGTGCCGATTTTATGAATCACTTTGCCTATTTATTCTTGAACTTTTAAGATTTTTTCAAAGGGAGTAGAGATCCCTTAAAAGGAAATCGGAAAAATGTTGATAATTGATAACTCAGCACTTTAAAAAGAGATCGTGTTGCTCTCCTCTTTGAATTCACTATGCTTACCAAATAATATCTTTAATAAACTCTAATTGTCACTTACATTTACACAGTCCCCAAGTTTTTGTGGGCAGCTAATTTAATCACCAGTAGAAAATTATTTCTAATGAGCAAACTACTTGTTACATGCAACTGCAGATGATTCCTCCCAACCCCCCAAATGGGCCTTGAGCAGCTATGGTTTTAAGTAAAGGAACAGAGGCAAAAGGGTGCCTTTCCCCACTGATTTTTCTTCACCAAGCATAAACTACCCTAGTGGCTTTTCCCCAACAGAATTCCACCTGGAATGCTGCTGAATATGGAGATTGGTGTGGTTTTGATTGGGAAAATGGCTGTTGGAGAAAGATCAAGTACTAATTCCTGCCACAGGAGTGATCATAGGATTGTAGAGTTGGAAGGGGACCCCAGGGGTCAGGTTTGTGAGCTGTAATAATAGAGAAGTTGGCCGGGCCCTCTTTACCCAAGGGGATCTACCCATGAGGCAGTTTACCATGGACTCAGTGCTAATCATACCGTAGGTGCTGGATTCCACCCAACTTTGAGGGAGCCCAGCACAGGCACGCAACATCATAAGCATGATGCACACATGTGATGTCACATGGCGGGTAGAGGCCACAAGGCCCACCACAGCCTCAGGGAGGCTTAACAGGGCCAGCCGCAGCCATAGGTAGGCCTACAAGGCCCAGCCCCTCAAGACTGGGGGGCTCTGCCCCATCCCAATATATTTGGAGGTGGCTGAGGTATCCTCAGCCCTATAGAGTTGGCACCTATGGATCATACATATGGAGCATACATCCATATAACATCAAAATTCATTCCCATTTTATTTTTCCATTTAATCCAGAGATATGGTTTCTGTAGAAAAAAACCACTTGTGGAAATGGTAAATCCAGATTAAGCGGTGGGTATATGGGAAGACATTATGATAAGGACAACATAGTGTGGACACTGCGGGGAGGGGACTTGCATGCATGAGCTGCACTAAGTCCACAATAACCTGCTCTGAGGAAGTGCCCAGTGATTTTCTCCTGGTATACAAGAATGGGCTGCAGACTTGCATACTGCCCATTAGGTAGGGTATCTTGAAATGTGCCTCTGCTTTGCCATAACATGTCTGCATCCTTTATATATGCATATCACACAATGTGGGCTTAGAGACAGCTTAACCGAACCAACAAGTTTGCCCATGCAGCTTGTTGATCTTTAGTAGCTGAAAAGAAAACCTAGTGACATGCTAAAACTGAATCCAGGGGCCATGTTACTCCCATTCGCTATTTCAGTGAAGCACGCAGGACTCAGTATATCACTTGCACCAAAACTCTCAAGGATGCTGTTGTTCCATGACTTCAGTCCATGATGTGCAACTGATATCAAACATGCAGCTTCTGATTATAACCCAATAGATTCCTACAAAGACCCAAAGGCCACACCTTCAGCATTTCTGCTTTGGAAACCGTCAGCCGTGGCAAAAGTTAATAAGCTTGTCTTGAGTTTTTGATTCATCTGGTGACTCAGAAAATATCTTAACTCCTGTCTCACACACCCTTCTTTATCATCACATGAAAACAACCATGTAGGTGATGAATGATAAACAGAGCTGTGTGTCGCCCATGTGTCCATGCACTTTTGCTTTATGAAATCTGGATGGAATCTCGCACAGAAAGTGCAGGAAGGAATTCAAAGTTTATTAAGAAGTGAGGAGTTTCTATCTCTTATGGCTGAAGAAAAAAATCTTTGACACGTGAACTGGCTCAATATGGCATATGCTTAGAACAGGAGTGGGATAACCTCAGGACCAAGACCCCAATGCATCTCTGCCTTCAGGCCTCTATATGTGACCTTTGAGAATATTCCTAGGCACATCCTTCTCCCTGGCCACTTCCTTCACTAGATTTGCTCTGTACCCTTCTCAGGTGCTTCCTGGCACATTTATCTCCTTGGACTGTGATAATCCATCTGCTCTATTTGGATGGGGGATGGAGAGAGGTGCGTGTGTCATACCCTCCAACATTTTCACTCCCCAAATTGGGACGTCAGGAGGGGCGTGCCTTCTGGCCTGGTGCTGGTCACCAGGGCCATGCCAGAGTTCAGGTGTGATCCTGCTGACTTGTGCCAGAGTGAGCATCTTCAGGTGAGCACCGGACCCAAAATCGGGACATTCCAGGTCCCAAACAGAAGCCAAGATCGGCTTCTGTGATTCTGGATGTCCCACTTAAAATAGGACACTCTGGGAGGTATGGTATTTGTGCGTGTGTAGGAATTGCCAACTTGTGGGTAGGTGAAACGCAGCCTTCTGAACAAAGGTGAGAGTCACATTTATGGCTCCACCCACCTTTGCATCTGACCCCACCCAGTACTGGCAAGCAGCCCTCAGAAGGTTCTCCAAGAGGGAATGGGGGTCTCAGACTGAAAAAGCTGCCCACAACCTGGCTGATAAGAGGCCATATAAAAACCACCATCTTCTTGCCAGAGAGCTGTTGCTTGTTCCTGTCACTCACAGTTCTTGGGCCAAGATCCTAAGCCTCATTATGCTACAGGCAATTTCACAAACAAGGGATAGAGACATTGTTGAGATTTTTTTATATAGACAGAGAGGTTTTTAATAGACAAACAGATTCTGAGCTGGGTGCTCATTCACTCTACGCACTCCCACTACTGGCTTTGGAATCCATGTACACATGATGTAATCGGCGAGGCAGAGCTATCCTGTAGTTTCTTGAGAAACACAACTGATTGGTGCATTTTCCCTCAAACCAGCTTCAGACGAAAAGGAAAACATAAGCCACATTCACTTTGTGGTTCAGCTGAGGTGTGTACATGTGAGGCAACCATTTGCGCATGCATGGATGACAGCTTTATGGTGGTGCTGCAGGAGTGGGTGGGGGAACAAATCAGGTAATGTGCACCTTGTGAAGACATCTGTGCCCTCTCTGCACAACAACATGCAAGTGTGACTTGAAAGGGGAAATGACTTCACTGCATTTTAAGCCACTAATACATACACAGCCCTAGGGTTAAGACTAAATCCTAATTTAAGCAGCACTGGTTACAGTTTTGGGAAAAGTGGTTGCTTCATTTGAAACATACCCTTTCATATAATATATATGGATAGAATTAATATATTATTAATGCATTGTCAAGCAGACATTTACTATATTAATTTTTAACTGCAGCTGCAGACAGACGCCTCTAACAGATTGTAGGAAAGTCACCTATTTTCTTTTTGTCTCTTGTATTTGGTATGTGTGTGGCTGACTACTGTGATTTCTTGGGTGATTATTCCCCTCTAAAGGGCTTGCATTTTCTCCTGCTGGCTCTTGCCTGCCATGACTGCACCTGTTTTTCCTGGGGCATATCTGCCAAGTGCAGACTTGAAACAATGGCAGTCCTTTATGAAAAGGTACATTCCAGAAGCATAAAATATTAGCAGTGAATTCACATGGGCAGATGCTTGTGAATGCTGCTCAGCGCAAGATGAGACATGAAAGCAGAACATCAACAAACTCACTTCCTTGTGCTTGCCTCTCACGTGGCAGCCAAAAACCTCCTGAGCCTACCTTTTCAGTCTCTTAAATTGTAATTCTATACATAGCTACTCAGAAGTAAGTTCCATTGAATTCCCCGGGGCTTGCTGTCCTGGTAGGGATGGATGAGAAATACAATTCAATCCACATTTACAGCTGAATCTATGAAATTTGAACTTTTCAAAACAATATAAGAACCAAAACACAGCCTTCCATTTAAATTTGTGCTTAGCCCAATTTTATGATAGAGTTCTCCAACCTATGTTCACAGACATGCAGATATTAAGGGGAAGTGTCAATGAAAATGAACATATTTGTAAAAATAAGATACAAAATTGTGCTGTATTAGGATAATTGCTTGGGGAAATGTATATGTTAGTTTGCAGGGATGGTGCCCTGAGTCCCTTCCAATTATTGGACTCTTGTCCCCAGTGACGGATTCTATTGATGAACTAGTCAGACAAGTTTCTTTGTAGGACAATGCCCTTATCTGGCCACTTAAGTGGCCTCATCAGCATCCCAAAAGAATAGCTAGACTATAAGTAAGTGATGGTGCCTTCTAGGCTAATAGGTGGACCTTCCCACCCCCCCACCCCGCTTCACCTGGCTGCTAGGTAGGAGAACAATAGTAAGTGTGTGAGAGAGCTGGGCTGGAAGCGGGAGAGACAGAGACATGCTTGCTCCTTGCTGGATCTAAAGCTGTAACTAATGGAGAAACTGTACTTTGGGATGTTAACCCTATGAGCCCTTCCATTTTACACTCGGGTTGTATATGTGTGCAAACAAAACCATATAGCCCAAAGCCACCACAATCTCTGCTGACCTTCATTCCATGGCAACCAAACCCTGGGTAAGTGCTGGAACCCCTGGATTCTCTCACCACTTCAAGATTGGGGTGATAGGTAGGAACAATGAAGAAAGTTAAAATAAAGAGTGTTGTCCCCCCTCCCACACACACGCCTTGTCCCATTCTGTGTACACATGCAGACATTTCTGTACCTGTAATAAGTTTGGGTTCAGTACCTTGACGCCAGACTTAACACAGTGATTTCATTAGTCAGCAGATACAACATGAAGTTTTCTGCTGGAGCCCCTAAAGCCAGTCAGGCTCCACCCTCTCAAATCATTACTAAACTCCCATCCCAATGTTTCTTTTAAGGCAGGCATGTCCAACTCCCAAGAGACTGATCTACTCCCAGTATAAAAAAACTGGCAGTGATCTACCCATTGTCATCATTGGAGGGAGGAGGAGCGTGCATGGAATGGTTCATCGCCCAGAGTTGTTGAGCTTTTTTTAGGAGGGAAGTGCCCAGAGTTACAGTACTGAGCTTTTTGGGGAGAGGATTGCACAGAGTTTTGGATCCCGCGATTTACCAGGATCAGACGGGGATCTACCGGTAGATCGCAATCTACTGGTTGGACATCCCTGTTTTAAGGAAATGTCTCTGAATCACTACAAGCAATATAGTACCTACACACACTAATCAATCAATCAATAACAGGAAGTGCCCAGGAGCAAATAATACCAGACTTAAGTTACGTTTCACAAATCCCATGCAATCATAGTAGTCAACAGTTCTGATACTCCTCAAATTGACCCATTTATAGACACATGGCAGGGTTATCCCCTGTCACCCCTGCTATTTGTAATAGCAAAAGAGGTTCTAGCCAACCAATTAAGAATGGACTCTTAATCACAATAAGAAGCAGAGAATATAAAATCAACGTGTTTGCCGATGATACACTTGTAATGATCCAAAATCCAAAGGAAGCTCTTCTTCCTCTTGTCAATCAGTTAAATGCATTCCACAGAGTTGCAGGTTTGCAAATTAATTACTCAAAATCAACAATACCTTTTTTCTAATATAGACATAACAAATTCATCCTTCACCCTTGCACAAGCAATTGGCACACAGGAATTATAAAGGTCTATATATGGAAATAGTTCTAAAACTCAAGAAATAGGAAAATGTCAAATTAAGCTGGCTTGGACAAATAGCAGCTATAAAGATGTCTATCTTGCCTAAGTTCCTATATTTTTTTCCAAGTTCTTCCAGTCATCATCTCCTCACAATTATTTATGCAATGGCAAAATACACTTAATAATTATGTGTCTAATGGCAAACGCATGTTAACGCTAATATACTATATAGACATACGTCTAAGGGAGGACTGGGAATGCCAAATCTACAACTCTGCTACGTGGCATTTCAAATCAAATAATTAATTATCCTAACCAAAAAGTTTAAGCAATTGAAAAGTCCAAAGAAAAGTAACATTTCAACTGGCAACTGAGCAAACTGATACTCCCATCTCTAAATATAGAACTGCATAGCATAATTTGTAGGAACTATATTAACTGCACCCTTCATCAACTTGGTGTCCTCCAGATGTTTTGGACTACAACTCCCATCAGCCACAGCATATCCTGGTGAGGACTGATGAGAGTTATAGTTAGAAACATCTGGCGGGCTCCAGATTGGCAAAGGTTGTTTTATAGGATTGGCAACAGTACTGCAGGTACATGATGCATCAATGTCAGTTGTGTGTTTGGCCACCAAGTGCAACGGGGACTAACTGGTCTCGTGTTTAGAAGCTGAGCACGTGTTTCATCACCTAAAATCTGAGACTCAAATTGTTGCATTGCCCAAGGCTGCCAAGTTTCATTACTGAACAGTTTAATTGCATGACACTTGGTTCTAATTATTGCTTTGACATTAGGAATCTGGCAGCCTTACAATGGTCTTTAAACTTGTACCTGCAGGTAGCAGATACCCTGTTTTGCTGGTGAAGGACAACCTGGGCCAAGTTCTAGAAGAATTTGTTTAATTTACTAGCCAACAGTGTTTTCCCCTTCTGAAGTTTGCTTAACATCACAAAGCTGAGTGCTTTGTGAGGTGCTAGATTGAGATGAACTAATTATTCTTGTAAAGAGTGAATCTCCAGAGGCAACCTATACCTAATCTTTATGATAAATCCTCAGAGCTCTGGCTATGTTCTCTATTACAGAGAAAAGAAACTCAAAAGAAGATAACCTGAATTGTAAGGGTAAGCTGTCAGGAAGGGGAGGGGGGTTGCTGGGCAAGAGAAGCAAACACCCCATCTACCATCTTTGCAGCTAATTATCACACTTCTTAGATGAAATCTGGCCAGGAGGCATTCATGACATGCTGGGGTAGTCTTATGGTAGCTGGTAATTCCTAGCCATCATGAGAGTAGGGAGACCTAAATCTTCTGGGACACACAATCTCCACATCTCACAAAATTTGATAAGGCATATTATAAAGCCTCACCCCACATGGCTCAGCTTCAGGCTGGGAGGGGAGTGTGCTCCTCCCATGCTGCTTCGCAGACTGGGTACTGGGAACGGTTTTTTAAAGCTGTCCAAATTGGCTGAAGATGGACATGATTTCCCCTTCCCTGGGGTAGCACCCAGGGGGTTGCAAATACATTTACACTGTTTGCTACGCTCACAACTTGGGCAAGGGATGGGTACAAAGTAAAAGGAAAAATAGAGGCACATGGAAGGTGATGTAAGCCATGTCCATGGCATGGGGGCTGTGGTGGAACCACCCAGCAGATTGTGCGCAACTGCTGGAAATGGGAACCTCACCTTGCCTGGTTGGCAGATTAAGCATAAGACTTCACCAAGGCACAGGTGGCCTTCCTTGGGTAGGAAAGGTTAGGAATTAAGGCTTTCAACCTCCCACTGTGCCACACATATTGTGTTGGTAAAAACCTGCCAACACAGCTGTGACCTAGTTGTATACTCCAACAGAGGATTTTATAAGAGTGCAAAGCCCTGCCTCAGTATGAAAGAGAAAAAAGAACAGCCATGCAATCTCTTATTAGGTGGCACTGGTCAGAGGGATAGCTGCGTCCCTCTGTAAGAGCCTGTGACCATTAAATGAAAGCTTTAATACATGCAATTAAATATATGTAAAATAATCTGCAATGTAAAAGATTTTCCAAGTCTGTTTTGATGCCATGTGGATGACTCTAAGATCTGACACCTGTGTAGTGGTTAAGAGCGGTAGTCTCGTAATCTGGGGAACTGGGTTCGCGTCTCCGCTCCTCTACATGCAGCTGCTGGGTGATCTTGGGCCAGTCACACTTCTTTGAAGTCTCTCAGCCCCACTCACCTCACAGAGTGTTTGTTGTGGAGGAGGAAGGGAAAGGAGAATGTTAGCTGCTTTGAGACTACCGTATTTTTCGCCCTATAGGACGCACCGTCCCATAAGGTGCACCTAGTTTTTTGGGGGGGAAATAAAGGGAAAAAAATATTTTCCCCCCAGGCGCGGGGCTGGGGTGGGGGAAGCCCGAGCTTCCCCCAACCCCAGCCCCCAAACAGGCAGCTCTCTGCAAGCCGTGGGAGCCCAGCGCTGGCTCCCGCTGCTTGCGGAGAGGTCCGCGAAGCCTGCATTCGCCCCATAGGACGCACACACATTTCCCCTTCATTTTTGGAGGGGAAAAAGTGCGTCCTATAGGGTGAAAAATACGGTACTTAAAGGGAGTGAAAGGCGGGATATCAAATCATAGAATCATAGAGTTGGAAGAGACCACAAGGGCCATCAAGTCCAACCCCCTGCCAAGCAGGAAACACCATCAGAGCACTCCTGACATATGGTTGTCAAGCTTCTGCTTAAAGACCTCCAAAGAAGGAGACTCCATCACACTCCTTGGCAGCAAAATCCAAACTCCTCTTCTTCTTCTTTGTCCTGGAAGACAACACTTTACGCTTGGCAATTGTTTTTAAAAATAATAATAAAGTTTATTTTAAAAGTATGCAAAATTAACAGTGATTATTTCACAACAGTCACTAGTGATGACACAAACATCCTCAAGTCCCCCTTGACATCCCTTTTATTGTGCATTCATAACGATTTGTGCTCATAATGCAATCAGGGCAGTCGTTCATGATCCTGCTTTAAATACTGTCTACATCTGCAAAATTTTGGGGGAGGCAATGGATACAACCCCAAGTTTCTTCTGAGATGTTCTGCTAGCAAACTAGATTAATGGGGACTTTGCACTTCATTCATTTCCCTTTGCATTGTCAGATAAAAATCTCCAGACAGTCCCATTGAAATAGCATCCGGGCTTTCATTACTTTGATCTGACATGTAGCATTTAGTACCAGCCCTGTAATAAAAAGCAACTGCATACAATAAAGTGTTCAAAGGAAGCCTCAATGCTATTGTTGCAACAATGTGAGCAGTGCAATCTTCAATGTACAGCTGTATAATGATGGAGTTTTTAAAAACTGCAGGCATAAACTTGAAAAAGGGCATATGTATGGGCAAAGCAATTCCATTAAGCAAAGTTTTCAATGAAATCATGTACTGAGTAGCTGGACTCTTGTCCACTAAAGCTTATTCTGTATTTTACAAATGGTTAGTCTTTAAAGCACAATAAGACTCTTTATTAGTGGTTCCCAATCCTTTCACTCTTATGAACCCACTTGAAAACTGCTGAGGGTCTTGGCGAACTACTGAATTATTTTGCCACCTGCCATTGTCATGTGCTGTGCTATGTGTGTATGGTTTTTAATTGTATTTTTATTTAATTAAAAAATCATGAGTTCTTGTTTCAGAACCATGAGTTTTCCTTAGACATCAGCCATATGAAGTATTGTCCAAAACTTAAGCTGCAAATACAGTGGCAAGTTAAGCAGCAACAATAATAAAATGAAGGAAGAGCAACAAGGACCTTCAAAACTGGGTAAATGCAAGGAATAAGAAGTTGGTGACAAGTGGATTTTACAAAATAGCATTCTTCATTAGCTGTGATAGGTGTGTACATGTGTGTGTGTGTACACACACACATATATAAAGCAAATTAATTTGGCAAAAAGTATATCCCCTAAAAGAAAAGAGAGCATCTTGATATGTTTTACAAAAGCTGGCAAGTACAAAGATAGTATAGGGAGAGGTAGATTACACCTTCACTTCGCCACCACAATAGGAGAGGCCCACACCCACACCACATGGCTAAGAACCAAGGGTGGGACAGGAAATGACCACTGATCAAAGTGATCTTTGCTACAGCATATTCATGACTGTGCCCCAGGTTGCATAGCAATTTACAAATAAGAAAATGTTCAAATAGCAAGTGTTATTCAACTAGCAAAACCACAACCATATACCGTAAGCCCATACTGGAATGGGAACGGCTAAGGAAATTCTGCAACACCAGGTAACTGCATAAGCTTCTCCACCTTAATGCTCCAGGCTATAGAAATATGACTGCATAGTGTCCTTTGTCTGTCAGGGTAAATCATAACTGTTTGGCTTTCAGCTACATCAACAATATAATGTAGAAAATCTCTTGAGATGCAAACTGAGATGTATTTCCTAAGTAGGGTGAGTAACAGTGGCATCATCAGGATTTTACAGGAAGGTTCTGGATTTCCTGCCTGGTAATAGGTTCAACTGAACTATGCAATATGACAAATGACTTAGGGAAGCAATTGGAGAGGTCAACTTGACCACCTCCTGCCCCAACTCTAGTGTTCACTACATATGTCCAATATTAGCACAATTACTATTATAAATGCTCTTCACAGGATATAGAATGGATTGTGCAATGTTTGAACCCTGCTGTTGAAATGAAAGCTTAATTGATCAATAAGGTGGTGCTTATATAACACAATAAACATGTTACAGACAGGTTTGGTAATGAATTCCTGTCCCATTAAACTGGCATGATGTTGGAGAGTGACTCACTCATGTTGATGTTGAGTAACAATTTCAAGAACGACCATCCCTGACTGTAGGCTGTTTACTCCAGTGTTTGAAACTCCCATTATTCTAGGCGCTTTTTGCGACAGGGAATTTCATTAATGCGAGCAGTTTCTGACCTCTGGAAGCAGTACTGCTCCTAGTATTTCAGATTAAAACTGCCACTGAATGAATGAAAGACCCTTCCCACTTCCAGCCATTCTCTGAGGACTGGAGAAGGGGCCCTCCTAAGAATATCAGGGGGGCAGGCAGGGGAAGTATGGCTTTGTGTTTGTTTGTTTGTTTGTTTGTTTGTTTGTTGCAGTCTTCAGATGAAGGCTAGACCATGTGAAAAATATAAGATTTTATATGCAGTTCATTCATTCCCAGCTTTGTATTCTTGTTATAAAAAAGGGATTTAAGGTGCCATTTAGCTCCTAGCTTTCATGTCTGTTTCTAACACTGGTTAACTCTGAAGTAAATCTCACATAACTCCATGTTTCAGATAAATATTCACAGAACTGCTGCTCAGCTTCATTTAGCACCATACAAGTACTGTATCTAGAAAAGGTAAATTATCTTGCTCCTATATATTTTTTTTAAGTGAACAAGCAATAAAGATAAGTGCACAATAAAACTGTTGTTCGTTTTATTTTTACCTCACTTTTAAGGCAAATAGTCTCCTAAAGCAGCTCTCACCAGTTTTTAAAGCCATTTTTTCCTATTCTACCTTGTTCAAAATAATAATAATAAAATAATAATAAAATGTAAACACCTTCTCAAGTCTGACTCTCTTAGGCAATTCCTTAAGATAGGAAATTTGGGTTCTGCTATTTTGGACAAAATCACAGCTGCATCGTTCCCAGAAGAAGCACGTGCAAATAACAAGCACCTCCTTATTCATTTGCTCCCTGCGAATCAGTGACTTTATACATCCTTGTGCCTACTCTCTTTTGTTGTTGCATAAAAAAAACATTGTGGTTTTATAACGTTTCCAAAAGGGACAATTTACCCAACCAACATTGGAGGGTGGGAGAAGACAGGTGCTTATTGTGTGTCAAGCATACAAGTTTTTCGCAGCATCCAAACGACACCGTTGGCAGCCCGCCCTCGCCCCCCGTTGTTTATTCCTGAATCATATTTTCTGTGGAAAATCCAGCGAGTTACAAACAAAACAACAAAACAACACGGCGTATTTGATTTCTGAGGTGATTTCCTTCCAACGCCGTCCCGCGCATGTTTACTTCAGAAGGAAGCCCGGCCGGTATCAAGAGAGTTTTTCTTCGTAACGCTGCAAACCGTAACATTCACTTTCCTGGGAGTAAGCCCTACTGAACCCTATAGGACTTTCCTCCCAGTAAGCCTGTACAGGAAGGAATTTCCTGCTCAGCTCCCCTCGATATAAGGCGGCGATTCCGGCCCACACCGGCCCGCCCCCTTTCTGAGAAGAGAGCGCAGGCGCCGTGAGACCGCGAGACGAGATTTGCCCTTGCCTACTGCTTCCTCTGCTTCCCTCAGAGCGCGAGTTTTTGAGCAGATGTGTTTCTCTCTCGCCCGCTCCTCGGACTTGACGTTATCATCTCTGAGGTAAGGAGTTGGTGTGTCTGCGCATGGGCGGGGCAGAGGAGTATAACCGTTGCTCAAAGGGGCGGGGCTTCTTGTCCGCCTGCGTTCCAGTTCCTACCCGCTCGAATTCACGAGGAGGCCCACCGAACCCACCCATTCACTCATGCTCACCAGACGCGCCTGCGCAGAACGGAAAGGCCCCGATGCCTAGGACGGCGCGCGAGTTTTCGGTGGGCAGTTTCGCTGTCAATTGACGAGTCGACGGTTCGCGTCAGTTCTGGAAGTCAGTAGTCAGACCACTGTCCGCCCAGCAAAGGCAAACGGCCACTGAGGAGGCTGGGAGTCCTTTCATAATAATTGTAGTAGTAGTAGTAGTAGTAATAATAATAATAATATACCGTTAATCCATTTAGCAGAAATGCAACAGGTGTGTTCCTTGTACCATCTGTTTCTTCATGAAATGAAATATCTTTGCCTGTTGAATTTCTGCCATGTGATGGTTATAGAAGTCTTGCATGGGGGGTGGGGAGGCCTTTTGAGCATAGCCACCAGTGAAGGTTTTAATATCAAAGCATATCCCAATTGCTCACGAACTGTGTTTTCCAATTTTGAGAAATTGTAGGGTGACTGGAATAAAAACAATGGTGTCTTAAATGTAAATATGAGACCTGCCTTTTGAGGGGTTTTTTTCTATCCCCAGCAACTGAGTGCATTTTGAAAATGGAAACGCCTGTATTAAACAAATCTACACTGCTATGCTCCACTCCAAAGAACTGCGAGACATCTGCTCAGAGCAGCAGCAGCAGCTCAGGGAAACAGGTGTGTAGCTTTTATTATGTCTCTCCCTCCTAGCTGCTCCTAAACTGGTGTTATGTCACTGAATCTTTGGAGATTTCTGCAAATCAGAAAGAAATCTTGGTACAAAATTTGACCCCAAGCTTAAAGAAAGAAAGATATGTATAATGCAGGCTTCCTCAAACTCTGTTCGCCAGATGTTTTTTTGGCCTACAACTCCCATAATCCCTAGCTAGCAGGACCAGTGGTCAGGGATGATGGGAATTGTAGTCTCAAAACAACTGGAGGGTAGTTTGAGGAAGCTTGGTATAATAGATAACATTAGGGTGTTGTTGTTTTTGCCTGTTATGTGTATATGCATGCATATATAAAACAAAACAAAAATCAGTTCATGCAGGTAGCTTGTTTTTTGTTTCCATATACCATTGTTATTAACAAAAAAAAACTTCGTTCTTACTACTCCCATATTACATTCACTTTAGCCAATGAGTGCAACTCTAAGAGAACGATTGAAGAAAGCAAGACGGTCCTTTCATTCAGCTTTCACGGTTTCAAAGCGTCTTAAAATAGATGATGAAAACAACGGCAGTCCTTGTGAAGGAAGGGCTTTATCTAAAGGAGAGACATGTTCTAAGTCACAAAATGAGGGTGAACATTTAGAAAAAGTTCCTGATGCCACCATGTGTTTGAAAAGTGCTTTGCAAGAGAGAGAGCTCTGTGTATTGAAATATACTGGATGTAGTGAAGCTATACAAAGCTCTCCAGAAGTTCAGTCAGAAACAAATTGCAGGCAACGGGAACTATTGGATGAAAAGAGAACGTTAGCAAAGAAGATTCAGGAAAAGGAGGAATTTCTTCGAAGACTTAAACTCGTCAAAATGTACAGATCAAAGGTGAGACGATAAAATGTTCTTGAAAATGTATTTAATTGAAAATGTTCATTTTGTTTTAGCCCTATTGAGAGCTTTTAGAAATAAGCAAGTACTGCAACGAAATGTGTGTTCCAATATTTCCTTAGTTCTCTTTTAATTCTAGCACTGCAATTAAGCGAAGTACTACATTAACCCAAATGCTGCTCCCATCTGGCATTTTGCAGTGTAGCCATCGTCAACCATAGAAATGACTTATTGTAGACACAGGATGCTGACACCAAAAAAATGCACTTATGTGCAAGTCTTGTTTATGTGCAAGTCCTTGTGTCTCTCCCGCTGTCTTTTTTCCTTTGTGACTTATCCTGAATAAAAATTATATCTCATTTTAGCTCTGTAAAATTATGAAGGTGATAATTTAATGTTAATCATACTTGGAGTAGACTCATTGAAATCAATGGACACTTAAGTCAGTTGCCTTTAGTGATTCAGTTCTGCACAGTATCCATAGCATTTTTTCTGCTAGCCCAAGGATTTCCTTCTGTGCAATAGAATTCCCCCCGCCCTTTCTCTACCCTCAAGTACCTTCCCCAGATCTGCTCCAGTGGGTTGGGGGAGAACCCAGAAGAGATTTAGGGGCATGGGAAGGGAGGTTCAGTTACACAGTGAAAAGTACTTGTGCTGATGGAACAAGTGAAGCTCTCTATGTACATTGATGGTTCTGTGTAAATAGGAAGTAGTTCTTCAAGCAAATGCTGCAAAATGAGGCTAACGTCTGATATGGAAAGTAACTGGATACCAAAGATTGATAAAACATAATTTTAAAATGCCATTCTTTTAGGTAAATTTTCCACTAGAATCTTTTAACTTTTTTTTTTTTTAAAGAATTGTTGAGAGGTCTAGCACTTAAGTTTTCAAATATTGCAGATTTAGAAAAGGGAGAGAACTTGTCAAATGTGATGTATGCTTGTTTGTTAAATCAGTACTGGGATATTACCAAACAACTTCAGCTTTTTTGTCTTCCTCTTGCAGAATAACCCAACAGAGTTGCGGTCTCTAATATCAAAATGGCGGTGCAGTTCCCAAGCAATGCTATATGAGCTACAGTCATCCTTGTCTACAGATAACAGGAAATTAAGTCTCACTCAATTGATAGACAATTTTGGATTAGATGATAAACTGTTACATTACATTAGAACAGAAGAAGACTTTACAGATGCATGATACGGGTGTTTCTATTTCATTCTTAACACATCAGAAGATAAATATTTTCAAAGTTTAAATTTGGCTTTTGAGCTGCATTGCTGGACTGTTGTGAATCCTTGAATCTTTTAAATATTAAAAGACTGCTGCAAAAAGTACCCGATTAGTTCAATCAGTATGTGAAACTCAGCCCCCATCCCATTATCCTTGATTCTCAATGCCCCTTTAGGTCTTAAAGCTGCTGTTAGAATAGAAGACAACTGCCACACTTACACTGCTGCAATTTTAAAAGTCCAGTAGCCCTGTTTTGCCAATCCACTTTCCTTTCTACAGGTGGTGCAGTCTGCTTTTCCTGCATCTTAGCTGAAGTTTTCACTCAGTCCTACTTTCTTTAACACACTTCTTTAAAGTTCATATCCCCACTGCACAACATTTGGCCCACTGCCTGTATTGTGCTTTAGACAACTGTCTTTGAATCCCGGCAAGCCTCAAAGGTTTCACCACCACACAACAAGCACAATATAATATAGGTATTTCTTTTCTTTTTTTATTCCATTGTAAAATACATAGTGAATAATATGTCTTTTGAGAATCAAAACGAGTTGCAATGTAATATCTAAAGCTATCTTAAATGTGCTTAGGAAAAACCCACTTTTTTATTTAACACAAGAGAAATTTATTGCTTCTAGGTGCGGACGAATCACCTTGCTAAAACTCTTGCACATCAAAGAAAGCTGGGAATGTTCTCATTCTCAGTCTCTCCACTTCAGCTTGAAGGACTGACAACTCCTGTGCCTGTGCTTTTGCAAGATCCACAAGCTGCTGTCTCTGCACAATGTCCTCGTAATGCTCTTTAGAAACCCTTTGATTAAGCAGCTCCGAGTCTGTAGAAAAATAAATAAAATAGAATGTGTCTGGTCATATAGAATGTGTAACAGATTGACAAACTGATCCATATGATTTGCTTTCTTCATATGTTTAAAGGGGAGCATTGTGGGAACAACATTGAAACAGTTCTTATTCTGCTGATGGCAACATGAACTAGCTCCAGTTTTGCATTTGATAAAACACTTATTTCCTTGGCATCTTGATGAATATCAAGAGTTGGCTGTATTGAGTAGTGTAATCTATTACCCCCATCATAGAAATAACCCAAAATAATCTTGGGAAAAAATGGGGCACAGTTTATCAGTGTCATAGCAATTAGTGATGCCTTTAAGATCTTGTCTCACACTCCTGATTCACATGTTACTTTTCCACCATTCTATGATTGATTTGTATGCTTTTAATAACATATACACTTGTATGAGTGATTTGTATGCTTTTAATAACATATACACTTGTATGAGTGTTGTAGGATGAAGTTCAGGAGAGAGAAAAATGATATGAACAGTGGATTAAACTTTGTGTTAGAGGACGTCAAATAACCTGGTAATCCTTCAAATGTGACTCACCAGTAGCCTCATTAATGTGCCGCCTTTCTGACACAATTACAAGCATTTCTTGTAATTCCTTGCTAAGTTTTCGGTTTGCTACATCTTTCACACTAATTTGCTTCTCCAGCTCTTTCATGACAGTCTCACATTGTTGTACATTTTTCTTGTGAACCTGGTCATTTAAAAATAAGCAAACATAGAAGTTGCTTGAGAACTGTTAAGTGAAAAGTTGCTAAAACAAGTTTTATTTCCTTGGTAAAATAGATTTGGGTATTTAGCACACATTTTTTGCAAGCTTTCCCTGCTGCAGGCAAAGTGGCTAACATAAGAGCTCAAAGTAAATTGCATTCATATATTGCATAAAACAGCAACAATAATACTATCATTAAAACACACATCCAATATTGATAGCATGAAACTAACAAAAATTAAAGTTCTACATGAAAAGCAGGAATATAAAAAGATGGTGAGGAAGCGGGTGAAAACATTTAGAACTGGAAGATCAGGATTCTAAAGTGTTTGTGTAAAAACTTGTTAAGTCCCACTCATTTTAACACTTAACTTTGAAATATGTATGTTCAGTACTGAAGATGATTCATCCTATCCTATATGCCCTTACTGAAGCAAATCTTACTGGGGCCAGTGGGGCTAGCTACCATGGAAGTGTTGAAATGTTTGCAGCTCTTTAATAGTTTGGGGATGAAGAAAACTGTGTAAACACAAGTTTTATTGTATATATAATTGTTGTAAGCTGTTCTGAAATCTTGATGAAATTGTTTATATTTATTAATAAAAAATACTGGTGTAACACAAAGTGATACCACACAAACTGGAAGCTAGAAAGCTGTGTAGGTGTATACAGCAGTGGGAGAAGAAAGCATGAGAAAATCTTTTTACAATTGGACAACATATGCCTAGCTCTGCACGTAGTCATAGGAGACAGGGCAGATTTTTTGGATGGTGGTAGTGATTGTACACTGAAGAAGAGAATAGAGAAGGAAGCAAATTAGATTTATTTAATAATGGCATTAGCCAAAACCCAGAAGGAAATAGTGCCAAAACTAAGGAGGGTGGTTGTATACTTTTGAGCTAAAGGTGGGTGTGTCAAATAGGCACACACTCCATACACATATTTCTAAAGGGAGCTTACCTTATCTAGAAAATTGAGCGTTCCTTCCATTATTGAGACTTCATGATTCACTCGGCTGTCATAGTTTAATGCATTTAAGAACTGGGATTAAAAGCAGAGAGAAATCAAGCTAACAGAGTTGATGCTCCAGACATTAAACCTTGCTGCCCAATGCAAACTGAATCTCTTTGTGTAAGTATTCTTCAATAGTGTGTTAGGACTTTGTATGAGAAACCAAAAGATTTGGGCAGTACACAAAGTAGTTCTTACTTAGGTAGCATGCCAATACTAAAGTTATGAAGTAATAATGAACATGCACAAAATGCCAGTCACAAACACCATTTCTGGGGTAAGATGTCACTGGAGTAACACCATACTTCATATAGAGTGGAACTCTTAGATGCACCAATTAATGAAAGATGATAAACAACTGAATAAAAATCACTTTTCTGAAACATACAGTTGGTTCAATTTATAGTAAAATCAGTGGAGCGGTAACTTACAATCTGATGATGTTTGGTAACATTCAGCTTTTGAATATCTCGAGCCTTTTGGTTCAGATCATCCACTTGCATCCGCATTTTTTTATGTTCCCATTCCAGCTGAAATATCCCTTTACGGAAATCTTTGCTTTCCACCATGCTGGCAACTTTCCTTTCTCCTTGAGCCTGGGGGTACAGGGTAGGAGAGAAATTAACTCCATATACAGCTTTATTATTTACTTCTGAAAGAACTTATCGACTGGAATTCTAAAATCCCAGCTGTAATGAGAGAAAACAAACTGCAGCCACATTCCAATGAAGGGTCCTTTTTGTGCATTTATTAAATGTGTTGGCTTTTGAGTCACTCGCCCACTATTAAGGCTTACCCTATTAATGGCTACAAGATGGGAAAAGCACAGAGATCATTTACACTACATGGGTGCAGCATACACCATTTAGAATTTCAGTGCAAATCTGTACAGACTCAGTTTTGAAACAAGACCAATTACCCGGATTACGCTGTTCAGCTCTTCAATTATGGTCCTGCTGATAAGAATAGCATCTCTGTAATCTGGTATTAAATTGGTACCCTCTAGTTCTACTTGTCCTTGCTTAAAAAGAAACTGGACCATCAGATCTAGCTGAAATGTCATCTTCTGCTCTCGAAGCCTACAATTGCAAAGGAAAGAAACTTTTTCAGTAACTGGTATATTTGGTTCTAAATCACACTATAGCTAATGTATTTGGAATACTCCCAGCAATATTCCAAATGTACCGTATTTTTTGCACCATAACACTCACTTTTTTCCTCCTAAAAAGTAAGGGGAAATGTCTGTGCGTGTTATGGAGGGAATGCCTACAGGTGGCATGCCTACGGATTTTCCTCCTCTAAAAACTACGTGCGTGTTATGGTCGGGTGCGTGTTATAGAGCGAAAAATACTGTATATTCCTGTACATGTCTACTCAGAAATAACTGTGTTTACTCCAAGATGGGTGTAAGATTGCAGTCTAAGCACTCAGCGTACTGGTTAGTCTGGGCCTGATAATGAATTTAAAGGAGGAATTAATCGTAACAGCACCTTATGAACCTTAGTAGCTAAAAATGAGTATTAACCCTTCCAAGGACCAAACTAGGTGGGGCATTAGTTACATAGTTAGCCTTAGCATAGAATATTTTTTAAAGCAAGCTAAGCAATAGGAGTCAGTAGAATTGACTGCAGTGTAGCTTTCCTTTGTTAAGGCTGTAATGCCACAATGTCAGTAAACATAAAAGGAAAAAGCAAGCTTACAGATTGAGCTCAGCAAAAACTTGCTCAATGTCATTCCGTAGCCTCTCATCATCTTCAGTCCTCTTCTGAAGGAAAGTCTGCATTTCTGCAAGTATCAGTGCTTTTTGCTTCACCTAAGCAAACAGGGTGGCAGAACATGTTCACATTACCACTCAACCTTTTCTTTGCCAAGTGTCAGAATTTATGATCCAATTTCTTTAGCAGAACTGCAAGCATCTTGTACCCTTTTGATGGTTTAAACTTAATACTTCGGGATGCTTTCACTTAATTCCTCTAACATGTTTAGTATCTTTTGTAGTCTGTGCAGGTTTCTAGTGTGTGGGATGTAGGATTGCTGAGAGTGCTCATTAGCTTGGGAAGGCTTTCTTTTATCATCCCCTTATCTTGTGCTTGTATCCTTTGTTGTACTGTGATGCTGCTCACTACTTTGGGAGCCTGTGGGCTAAAAGTGGTGTGTGTTTGTAAATGTAGCTTGAGAGCATAGCATACTAAACCACTGTTATTCACCCTGTTATTGGAGTGTTTAGGATGTTGTGATGCTGATGACTTGGCGCATGTATTCTATGCATAGAAAGCCTAGAAAGGAATAAAAAGGGAGCTTTTTGCCTTGTGGGATCATTAGAGCCTCTCCATACATTTCCTACCAGGTGAGCATTGTGGAACTCTGACCCCTGGTATAACATTCAGTTCAGATCAGATTACCAGAATGTTGTTCAACTATGAAAATATTTTTCAAAGCACAGTACAAATAACTTTCCCTACCATCTGTTCACTTTCCACCTTGGCTCGCCGAGCTTCACAGAAACGTTCCCAGTTGGGAAGGTCAAGACCCTCAGGTTTGTTTTCAGGTTCATCCATTTCGTCAATGCCCTTCATTAAATGGGCAAGAGCAGCCTTTAAAGCCTCTGCAGAGCCTGGCCGTTCACCATATGGGTTAGCAGAATCCGCTGGAACCTTCGCCCTGAGAGCTCTTCCGCCATGGAACAGAGCAGACAAATAAGGATTCTGCTACAGGTTGCTTATGCATTCAGAATAAGGATGCTTGTCATTAAGATCACTTTGTTTCTAGCTGTAATTCTTTTGCGAAGTTTGTAGGTATTACTGGCTACCTTCTTGTTTACTTGCTTACTTTTACAGTTCCACATATTGACCAGCAGTAGAGCCTACATTCCTTTCCATGGAGCAATGGGATGGCAGTATGGACTGCTCACCTTCACAGCTTGAGGCTTAGTGACTTGAAGTAAAGTGTATGTGTTGAACTAACTGGGAACAGTGCCCATGGTCCTATCATATTTAACATAGATGAAAGTGGACAATGGCCAAGAAAGTCCAATACATAAAGTCACATTTTGACTTCAAAAAAGGAAACTTCCCCAAAATGAGGAGACTGATAAAAGGAAAGGAAAAGTCAAGGAGGTCCTTAGAGTTATTCAAAACCACAATATATGCCACTGAAAACAAGTTGCTGGAGTGGTAATCCCTAACTGCTGTCCATGCTGTCCACAGACTGGAAAGAGTTGAAGCCCAAAAACATTAGAGAGTGACAGGTTAGCCACTGCTGAGCTACACAAATTCTCAATCTGAGTCTTACTAGTTGAGCAAGCTATAATGTGGGAAAAACCGCATGGAACTGAGTTTAATAAGGAAAAAGGTGCCAGTTCAGGCAAGAACTATTTGTTTGCCAAGATGAACAATGTAAGCTGATCGTTTATAATAATGGTTCTGGCATCATTACTATCCTGTTCTATTTGCCGGTTTTGAAAGCAATTTATACTGTTTCTAATAAAACACTGCCACCCATGGAAAAGTATTTTCCTTTGTACTGTAACACAAAAACAATGAGCTCCAGGAAAAAGTTAGGATCAACACGAAAGCTTACCTTGGTCGACGTTTGTAAAGTTTGAATAGCTGATCAATATGATGAGTGGGAAGATCTGAAAATTCCTTTCTAAACCCACGTTCCATGAGCTAACAGTGAAAAGGAAAGCACAGCCTTGTCAGTCTGGACTGAGTTTAACAGTGCACCATCCTGCATTAGAAAGATCTATAGAAAACACTGAAGGAGTTGAGAACCTGCATAGATAGAGCTGCAGAGTATAGAAGCTGACTTTTTAGTAGAATATATAGTGTTATTAATAGAATGTAGACATTCACCAAGGCAGCTTTGCAATATGCTATAAACAAGATGTGGGGAACCTGAGGCCCAGGTGCTGGCTGGCATAAAGCAAGGCTAACTGTTCACCTTTACCTTACTATCAGTCTGAAGCAGTGCCCAAATCAACCTCCAGCTTTATAAGTCAGTTAAAGTGTAGGGAAGAGGCATAATTTTAACACTTTATTTCATATATCTCAGGCCAACATTGCCCTCACATTTCATTTTTATAACAGCAAGCGTAATTAAAAAAACCAATAGGGAGCTGTCCTCTTACACATTTTAGAATGTCAAATACACTGGTGGTGCTTTATAAATAAACAGAGTCTTATGGAAAGAATGGTGGAGAGAATAAGAAGAAATACCAAGTGAAAACCAGTCAATTCCATGCAATCTCTAGCTATTTAGGTCTTAGCTCATGAATTTTTTCACAAATATCTAGGCATATTTATTTCCATTTACTCACAAAATACTACAATGGCAGTTTAGTATCAAAACACTAGTACTGCTTATAAAACAGACCATTTCTGCATAGGAATGGAACATCTACATGTGATCGACAACTTAATTGAGTTGGATTACTTGAATCTAAAATTAGTTTAGTCCAAGTAATCTCAATAGAGTTTGTGAGTTTTAATCCTACAGCTTCAGCTGAACAGTTTGGAGATCTGGTTTTAAGGTTCTTACTTTGTCTTCAACAACTAAGATGTCATAGGCTTCTCTGTGGGCGTCCACTTCTGCTCTGGATGTCTTAACTGCTTCATTAGATATTACCTACACCAAAAAAAGTAGATATGATTGACTACTTTTGGAACAGAAAAAGTTAAGTGAGCAATAATGTACATACAACCGATCCCAGAAAAATTAGCCCCTTGTCCTTGAAACTCAAGATATTCTCACACAGATACTAAATTGCCATCAACAAATAGCAGGCGGGCATAACATGCACAGCACCAGGGGTAAAAAAGGGACACGGGTGGCGCTGTGGTCTAAAACACTGAGCCTCTTGCGCTTGCTGATCAGGTGGTCAGCGGTTCAAATCAGCGCAACAGGGTGAGCTGATGTTGCTCTGTCCCAGCTTCTGCCAACCTAGTAGTTCAAAAGCACACCAGTGCAAGTAGATAAACAGATACCGCTGTGGCAGGAAGGTAAACAGCGTTTCCGTGCACTCTGGCTTCCGTCATGGTGTTACATTGTGGTTTAGTCATGCTGGCCACATGGCCTGGAAAGCTGTCTGTGGACAAGCGCCGGCTCCCTTGGCCTGAAGCGAGATGAGCGCTGCAGCCCCACAGTCGCCTTTGACTAGACTTAACCGTCCAGGGGCCTTTTACCTTACCTTTTATGTACCGGGGTAGCTATTTGGTGGCTTATTCAGTAAGAGGAGAGATTTTAGAGAGAATTACTGTAGAGTGTTGGACAGATTCCATTAAGAAGCAGGTACTTTGTCAAATTCCAAAAATTATTTTTACCTTTTCCTTCCTTTTTTTATTAAGGTAGTGATGGAGCCCAGCTTCTCTTGTGCTCAGCTCTTCATCCAAAAGTAGTGAGTAAAGGAGGTTAGTTATTTTGAGTTCTTCCTGGGGAAAGGTTTCAAAAAGGAACAGTCAGACTGTAGTTTGTAAGGAAGTAGCACTGGTGAATACATGCAGACGCTCACCTGGTATATAACCATTTCTGAGTTGACTTTTTTCTCAAAGAGCCTTGTCACAATTTCATCAAAGGATTGTGTAGTTTCCTGAATAGAACTTTGAAGTTTCCTCAATTCAGTGTCCAGAATCTAAGGGGTGGAAGGGGGGTAAAGGTGATGTTTGAATATAGATTACATGTAAGATTGCAGCTCAATGAAAATTTTGTTTGTGCTTCTTTTAAAATCTGATACTTTGTTTTTAAAGCATGTAAAATTCTAGATGTTCATGTTTGTAAGAACAAGCTCAGCAATAATCAGGTTTGAAACACTCAGGACACATGGCATCCTCTCTTATCTTATTAGTCATTAAGCAGGTAATTAGCACTGGGTGGGGAATAAACAAAAATAATGAATCAATAAAGAGGTGATAACCAGGAAAAAAACCCAGATTGATGGAGAAAGGCAGCCAGTGGGTCCAGCTGACAACTGTCTCCAGTTTTCAAAGGCTGGTGTTCTCAGCAGCCACAGTTTGGCTTAAATATGCCCATTTCTGATGTGATTAATGTATTCTCTGGCCAGGTTACCAATAACCTAAAGATATCCCATGCCGTATATTTTGTTTGCAATTTTCTTTCGTTCTAGGCCTATTTCACAACATTAATTGTTCCTTTGAAACATTTAAGTCAAGCAATACGAGGTTTCTTGGTCATCCCAGCTGACTGAGAACTTCACTACAGTAAGACTTGTTCACTTCCAGCGAGTTAATTTTAATGTGAATTGTCCAGTTGTGAAAACAGGCCATGAATAGCAACTTGGTTTTCTCAATCTAAAAATGCAGGGCAAAGATTGTTATTTTTCTTGCTCATCTAATACTATTGTGCTTATAGCTAATTATTCACTCTGTTCAATTACAATTTGAGTAAAAAAACCTGATAAGATAGTTTTTAACAACATGACAATACCCAATTCTTGGAAAGCTAGTTATGGTTTACATTTTCATTTTGCCTCATCAAATAAACTTTCAAACTAATCATACTAGATTTGGATTTACTTAAAGCAGGTAGAAATACTTTTTAAAGGCTGAGAACCTTGATAATCCTCCTCTTCATCTTATTTCTGTTTACCTTTCTGTGTTTCTCTCTCTCTTCATTCAGTTCCTTAACTTTCTTCTCATATTCTTTATATATTTTTCTCTCATCTTCATTCCACAGTGCTTCTTCTTTTACTGTAAAAGCAGGTGCCGGAATCTCCTGAATATATAAAAGAGAGATTCAAAAACAGCACTGGATATTTACTAACATTATAATGCTTAAAGGATTTATACCTTGAATTTCAGAATGTTACTTTCTGGTGACACTCAATATCATGATGGAAATAATCAATGAACTGCTGTTGTGTAGGCCTGAGGTTTGTACAGTTCCTCTCCACTATACCACACCCTCAAGGAGACTGAAACCTGCTTCTTTTAATTTTAAACTAACAACACTCTCTCACGGGTGTGAACTCGGGGACCTGTGGTTAGATTATACTAGAATTTGAGGGGGGAAACCAAGGTTTTGAAACCTCACTTGGATCTTGGTTCGTTCTCACCATACTTTAAATGAACCACAGTTTCCCAGGTTCAGGTGTCACAGGGAATTTTGGTTGGTTTGTGATCAAAAGTGGAAGCATTTTGCCTCTTCAAAGTCATTTTCATTGTTATCAAGCCTACCCATGTCCTAGTTCACATGTTACACCAACATATCTGTTTTCCTGTATAAGTATGGGAAAGTAAAATTGGGGTCTTTGATCTATTGTTAGTTGCAGGCCACGGAGGTTATTGTTCTGCCCTTTGGTACACTTTGATTACTTGGGGGAAAGACAACTGGGGATGCCTTGTGCATCCAGTTATAGGAAAAACTTGCCTTATTGGTGCTACCTGAAGTGAAAGGGGCTTTTCCCCCCACACAGAGTCTGAGTCTGGACACAAGTGATATTTCATTACAAAAGACAAGGGTGGAGAGTTCTTGGGGCATATTGAGTGGAGTTAATCCACTATCATGCCACGGGGGGAAGCCCAGCCATAGAGTCGTCACTACCTCTCCAATCTATTTTTATTGTTTACTTTCTTACAATTACGTCCCACCTTTTTCAGTCATAGAACCCAAGGCAGCATGATATACGTTCAGTTCCATGGTGGCCACCTATCTAAGCACTGCTTAGCTTCAGGGCTGAATGATATCAGTTTCCTAGAACAAGTGTTTGAGGTCTCTCTTTATGAGATTAATGCTATATTTATTTGTTGTCATGTGAAGTCTTGCTTTAGCTACGAGTTGATAAAAACAGGACTCACCATCTTTAAAATATCTTCCTTTTTTATTTCAAGGACTCCATTCATCATGTCCATAAGGCCACGCTCTCTTGCATTGTCCTCCTGAAAGCGAAAACAAAGAAAGACGTAACAATGTAGAAATGGAACATGAGATGAGAGAAGTGAAAAGTGTAGAAAATAAAGCCCTGTTGTCACCTAACTACCTGAGCAGCAAGACGTCGTTTATAGTGAACTCTAGACATAATTTTTTCTTTTGCTTTCTGCAATGGGGTCAAGTACTTTTCCACTTTGATCTGTGAAGACAAAATGTTCAGATTCAGCTTTTTCAGCAAGTAGGCTGTCTGAGAATTCACAGTCCCTGCCCTACCTGCTAAATACCAGTCATTTTCTTAGCATCCCTGCTTGACAACAATACTGGACTCTCTCATGGCCTTGTAGAGTCTATTCCCTAAAATATCCACATTCTACAGTAAGGGGTACATCTTCAAGGTCACAATGTTGAAACAGAACCTCAAGCCCTGTTGGGATTGACTACACACTGAGTTGCCAATTGGGTAGCCCCACCCATCTGTCCAAGCAGCCTGCTGGGGAAGCTCAGGATCCAGCTTGCATCTGGACCCTGTTCCTCACCCCTGCACTCAAGCAAGTAACCCCATCTGCCTGCCTGGGAATACTAGGGCCGAAGTATATGCCATGATAAATGTCACCAGATGTGTTCAATCCTCTTTGAAGGGATGCAGCTCCTCAGGTTACTCGTGCACTTTTAGTGTTCAAGGCAAGAAAGATCTGAATTTTATATACTCGACCTCTGAGTCCAGAATGATCAGTGCTTGATCTGGCTTCTCTTTCTCCGAAAGAACTGGCACCCAAATTTCTTCTTGGAGCTCCAGCTGCATCAGGATCTCTGCAATTCTAACGTTTCTTTCTTGAACTCGTGCAATTTCTAGGTCTTTCATTCGGATGACTGCATCAAACTCCTTATTGAAATGACTCTTCACATTGTAAATGATGTTCTGAAATAACAGGTAAGAAGATGGCAGCAATACTGCAAAAGGTATGTGGTAAAATTCTAAACCACATAATGAAACCCGTAGACTAGTCCCCACAATGACAGCTACTTCCGGGAGCAGCTACATCTGGGTTAGCGGAGCTCAGAACCTGAAGCGTTCGTAACCAGAAGTGTTTGTAACCAGAGGTACCACTGTAATACACACTCAAAAGCATCGTTTCAGTTTTCTCATTCTGCTTAAAGAAGAGCTTTGTGATGTTCAAAATCTTGCACAATTCCAACAGAAGTTGTTTCAACAAATAAGGTCAGCTTTGTTTTATACTCTGGAACAAATGTGGTAATAAAATTATTTCCTAACAGCATGCCCACTCAACCGCTTCAGTCTATGGAACTAGCACTGTTACAGGTGCCACATAATATTTGTTGTACACTTGTAAGAAATCAATCTTTTAGTGAGGCAGCCCCTACACGTTGGAACTCCCTGCCTGTAAATATCAGGCAGGAGCCTTCACTCCACTCGGCCATGAAGCTCACTGGGTGACCTTGGGCCAGTCACTGCCTCTCAGCCTATCCTACTGCAAAGGGTTGATGTGGGGATTAATTATGGGGAGGAGGAGAACCATGTATGCACCTTGAGCTCCCTGGAGAAAAGATGGGTTATTGGATAGATAGATAGATAGAGCACATTCAAATGCCACATAACTTTAAGCTGACAAGGGATTTCATATTTACTGACTTTCAAAGGATACTATACTATCCTTTGAATAGAATCCTAGAACTACATAGCTAGAAGACAATCTTCTTCAGTCCTTGTATCAAAGATGGACTCTCCTTAATCAATATTATTAACTGATCATTTGGATTCTAGCATGTTCCGAGCAATTAACAGGTTCCAAGCAAAATTTGTGATAATGGGGCAGCCACATTTGTTGCTTATGTGGCCTGCATTCTGTCATTCCCTTTTATAAAAAAAGAGAGTATAAAAAGGAAGTAAATGAAGGATCAAAATTCCAAAGAAATAAGATAGTATGAACAGTTTTGCAGCAAAAACCCCTATCCCATCAGAGGACACTGAAGAGCAGTTTTGACTAGATATAGTTAATGAAATAATAAGCAAACACCTATGCAAAAGTTACCCGTAGCAATAGAATTTGATTAATCTTCTCCTCTCGAGTGTGCACTTCTAGCTGGTGGTATAAAGTTGATGTATTTCCACCATAAAGTGAACTCAGGCTCCCCACCAGAGCATCTACTTTTTCTTCTTCCTGCTTCTCCCCTTCCTCTGTCTTTTCCCCTTCAATGACTGAAGGTTGAGATTCAAATTCAACGATTTGCCTTCGAAGCTAGATATGTATAAAACAACACAGCAGCTTAGAACAATTGAACACATGGTGCCAAAATCATATGGATCCTACAAAACACATATCCGAGAATTTGGCATGAAACAATTCCAGTTTTTCAGATTAAAATATACATATATGCAAGGTGAGCGCCTGAAAACAAAATGAACAGGGCATCGCCTGAAGGCACATGGCAAGCAAACATTTTGAAGCAAAGCATGTCTGGGTCTGGTCAGTGCTTGGATGGGGGATTCCCTGGAGCCTCTCTTGAGTCTCATGGAAAAAGAAAAGATGCCAATAATAGAATAAAGAAACAATGTTTGTGGAAATTTGATTAGTTTACATAGCTCAGGAGTATTTGACAAGCTTACTTCATTAGATGCATGCCTCAGATTACAGGTGTTTGCTACTAGCCTCAGTTGTCTAATTTAGAGTTCTTCGTGTTTGGGGATGGGAAAAGCAGAAATACAGGAAGGGCATAATGAAGAGGAATTCTGGAGATGAACAGTGAATCCTTAATAACAGTATACGTTACGCCTTTGGCCTCAAACAGAAATGACATTTCTCATTCAACAACTCTTTGCACAAATTTTCAGAAAGTAAATGGGAGCTGCAGGGGGCCCTGATCTGAATTAGGGCTATAGGATGGGGGAGATTTATTTTAACCTTTTGGCCCCAGTTCCACAGTTCTGACCTGCATACCCTCAGCCCCAACTGATATTTAATTTGGAGGAAAGCTCTCATGCACAAAGGAGCTGCCAGGGGAGCGGTGGATGGATGGAGGGATTCTGATCAGGACCATGGTCCTACTCTCTTCCATCCCACTGTTTTGATCCAAAGTGGCCCCCACCACAGATGCTACTCGTGCAATTAATGAGTAACATGAAATCTGTTTTGGCCCTAAAAGTTTAATGGAAACCTCTCAGATGAAAAAGGCAGGAATTCAAGGAGCTAAACTCTGACAAAAGTAGTTTATTTAATAGTCAGGGCAGCAGTAATCTCAGGGCAACTACCAGGAAGAACTGGTAAGTACATCAGCTCATGGGAATACTGACTTCTGTGCTCCATGTTATATGTTTCCAAGGGGATCGAGTACTGTATTTTAACATGAATTGCTATGTTTCATATGTACTGTTCATAGGAGTTTTCTGTCTGTATTGCTCAGACACATAGTAGATGCAATTGTTTTAAATTCATAGTTAAGGATATAGAGCTAATGAGGGAGTATTTCTAAGAGCAAAATTCTAAATTATGAGGTGTAAGGTTTATAATGAACAATATCACTTCATTCAGCATGGGAAACCTCTAAGAGGATGGCCTTGAACATTAGGGTTATTATATAATCTGAACATGTGGATGGGGATTTATTTTTGGTGGCGGTAAAGAGATTCTACCTTTAGATCTATTGATTCAATCTTCTTTAAATAACAAACTCTCTCCAACATGTACTGTTCTTCCGGACTCTGTTCTTTCATTGGGTAATTCTGAACTTCGCAGGATGAGTGGAAGGCCTTTTGGGTGGAGAAGGGGGAAATAAAGATTCTGTGGGTGAGGTTCTTTCATGCTACTTCAAGAAAATTTTTAACACTGACATGTGCAAGCTCTGTCCATTCATTTGAAAATTTACACCAACAATCCAAACGCCAGCTCCTGCCAATTGTAACAAAATGAAGATTTCAAAGTCATAACCTGCTAATATGGAGAAGCCTTACACAGGAAGATGGGAAGTTATCTTATTGAGTCAGACCATTGGTCCCCCTATCAGTGTTGAATACTCTGGCAGCATCTCTCCAGGTTTGTCAGGATACTTCCCTAGCCCCACCTAGCGATAGTAGGGATTGAACCTGGGACTTTCTCATTCAACAACTATGGGCTGTTGGGACTGGGAGACTTCCCACAATTTGACCAGACAAACTAAGAGATTGCGTAATTCATTTTTCACCAAGGCCCTGGAGCTTTTCTAGGCTGCCCTGTTCTCTAGATCCTTAAAAAAAATCTCCCCTTTGATCAGTTCTGTCTGAGCTATGATTAGTATCTCTGGCCTGAAAAAAAACCCACGTATGAATTTTTAAGTCAATATGATACAATGCAACTAATATTTTGGCTGTGTTTGCACAGCCTGCTAGACTACAATTTAGTGCAATGTGAATGAGCAGGAACAAGCCAAAGCAAGCCCCCTCTTCATGTATGGAGAGGAGGAGTTTGGCAGCTTTTGCTTCTGAGTTATCATAGCTTGTCATGTCATTTGGACTCAGAACCGAGTCTAGTTCTCTCCTAATTAGCATAGTTTTCAAATTTGTTATTATTCATTCATTTATTTTTTTAACTCCTACTATGTTTATTCTGATTTCTCTTTTTTATATAAATTTTACTTATCATTTCCCATTTTACATCAAATTCCAATACCCCATTTCGATCTCCCTCGCCCCCTTTCTGCAGTTGCTTAAATTCATGTCTTAACTGCATCTCCTAATTTACACCTAATTATTAATTATCCCATTCAAAATTGGTTTTATCTCACTGCACGTCTTTACATTAATCCTGCTAATGATTGTATCTGTTCACAATAATTTTTAAAATATTCAATAAACGATTTCCAGTCTAAATTAAAGACTCTGTTATCTTGATTTCTTATTCTTTGGGTGAGTTTCGCCATTTCTGCATATTCCAATAGTTTTTGCTGCCATTCTTTTACTATTAATATTTTATTGAGTTTTGTCCACGAGATCTTCTGGCTCATGGGACAGTATCCTGCATGTACACTTATGTGGGAGTAAGCATCATTGAAAGCAAAGGGCCTTAATTGAAGTAGCCATGTATAGAATTGCTGTGTTAATTACTTTACTTCAGTACTTTAATTACAACAGGACCAAGCTGAAAGAAAAAGTCAATAGATGTTACCTTAACTGAACGCCCTTTAACCAACATGGTATCCCAACACTCTTGTTTGATGATCTCACGTAAATAGCAGTTGGCCAGATTTTCCATCTCTATATCCTTCTTTACCTTTTTTTATAATAGAAAAAACAAATGAGAAGGATACAAATTCCACTAGGTTACATGAAAATCATATATATATATTAGAATGTGCTAAGCAAACTTACAGGAGGACTAAGTAGGAAAGGGCTGGTTTGCACCACCCTGAACCCTGCTCCCTGCCTGGCCTGATCTCCTAGCCAGCAAGAGCTGGGTGTGCTGTTTGCCTGTGTCAGTCTGTTTGTCCTGTTAAGATAACTGCCTGCAGATAAGAATGTGTGCTGATTTTTGTGGGTTTTGTCTGATTGGTGGTGGAGTGGATACAGCTGGCCACCTGCCAAGTTTGGTTCTCCCAGGGTAGGGGGATAAGGATCTGGCCCATCAACCAGAAAAGGTTCCCCACCCCTGCCTTAGGTAACTTTAAAAGCTTCGGCCAGCATTTGGTGTTCCTGTGTTCTAGTTCTTTACTCTGTCCCCAATGTTTCTTTCTCTTCTGCAGCAATCTTTCCCCACAAGTTCACCTTACCCTTGCCACTTCTGCTTCACTATGCACTTGCTGTCTGTCTTGTTCTTCTACGTCCAGATTGAATTCGTATTGCTCCAGCATCTCATTTTTTGGTACCATTGCATTTTCAAACATCATATCCTGAATCTGTTTTTTTAAATGATAAAGTATTAGTGAGGGAGGCTCAAAATGTGTTTGTAAAAAGTGAAGGTGCAACGTGCTTGTCCAAACATACAGAGGACATGGATGAGAAAGCCAAACAGCCTTTGAGTGGTTCCACTTTGGGAAGTATTTGGGAAGTCTGCGTCTCCATGTTTTAATATCAGCAAATATATATCTACTTATGAAACTGTAGGAGGTACATAGTGCATTTAAAGTTTGGAATGATTCAGACACTGCTCCTTCTCCATGCAGGTGTTGGAAAAGCAACCCTAAGAGCTATCAGACAAATTCTGCAGCTAGAACCCATAAAACACACACTTGATCAGCATTGTTAAGTGCTGCCGGTCCTGCTGTGTAGACTTACACTGGTGCAAATACAGTGGTACTCCGATTTTGAACACCTTGGTTTTCGAATATTTCGGTTTTTGAACGCCGAAAACCTGGAAGTAAATGCTTCAGTTTTTGAATGTGCCTTGGAAGTTGAACACGCCACACAGCTTCCATATTGAGTTTTCCATATTGAGTTTTCTGTATTGAGGCTTCCATATTGAGTTTTCAGTTTTTGGACGTTGCGTAACTGAAACCGTCTTCTGGAACAGATTATGTTTGAAAACCAAGGTACCACTGTACACTGTTAATGGGATAACTGAAAAGTTCATCCTCTTTGCCTAATTGTTCTGGAATATCTCAATAAGGAAATGCGCTGATCGTATTTTTGTTTCTTTGGGATCTATGTGACTGTCAGGATCTGGCAGGCTGCCGGCTCAGATAATCAGCACGCAATAGTTGTATTTACAAGAAAATTTATTGTATACAGCCATTAACCTCAGAGCCGCTCACACTAGTGACCATCCATCAAGATGAAGCTGAGGCATCTGAGCTCAAATTGCGCCTTCAACAGCAAACACGAAAGCGCCCCCCTCTTCTTCTTCGATTGATGCCTTTCCTTGACTATTGTTCTTCTGTGAGCCCTGGGACTCTCAGGGTTATCTCCCACCTCTTCCTCTGACAAAGAGTTTCCCCTCCCCTGTTAGGTGACTAATGGCTGCTCCTCAGACAACTGGCCTCCGTCCAGCCTGCTCTCACTGTACTGATAAAGTAGCCTCTCCTCCTTCTGAGAAGGGGGGCTGTAATCCACTGCCTTCGGTTGGCTGAGAAAGAGGCAAGTCTCTTTCTTCCTCTTCTGACTGACTATCCCCCCACTCAGACTGCTCATCTTGACTGAGGGAAGTCATGTCCATGACAGTGACTTACAGCCTCTGTAGGTTCTCCAGGGTTTATTGCATTGCATTGACTCCAATATGTGGCATTTGGCTCTGCTCTTACTTGCAGCTTGGACACTCACCCATATGCCTCCCGTGATCTTATTATTGGGCATTACACTCCCTTTTGAGAAGACAACATTCCCTTTTGAAGACAACCACTGCCATCTCTAACGTCTAAGGGCAAAATGGCTCCATGATGTGGTGCTCCCTAATGGAGGCCATAACATGTGAGAATTGCTTATCTCCTGGAATGGTTCTGTCAAGTGAAGATTCTCCACAATGGTCCTAGTTATGTTCACTAGTATAAATAATCAGGCCAGCATGCAAACAGGCCTGAACACAACAGCCCTCTCTGACTTGTGCTTCCCAGCAGCTGGTATTCAGAGGCACATCACCACCAAAAGTGAAGGATAGTGTTGCTCTCATCACACTTTCCTGCTATAAAACACCCTGGAGAACTGCAGTCATTAAAATAAGTGACAGAAACCATTGTAATAATAAAATATATCAAATAATAAAAAGTAGAGCAGCAGAACACAGGACACTGGCATAAAGAAACTCCACATGAGCATGCCAGTCTAAGTGGTAATCAACACTTGCACATAGCAGCAACCAAATGGAAACATTTACAGTGGCATCCAGTTACCTACTGTAATAAAATCAGCCTTAAAGAGAACACATCAAAACTGTTATCTAATCTCATGAAGGCAGAAGGAAACCCAAGTGCAAGACAGTTGGAATAAGCATCTGACTCCAGCCAAAAGTGTCCTCTCCACTTTTGGAGAGTGGCAACCTCAGCCTAAGTTATTGCTCAGCCTACGTTATTGCTGCAGGATATGCAAGGCTCGCTTTTTGTATGTTGTGATAAAATGCAGAATAAAGATGCAGGCTTTGAAATTCCTCCCTAAGTGGCACATTAGATGCGGGTCTGCTCTTAAATGCCCTTTATATACAGCTGCAACTGAGTTTTGACTCTGTGAAAATGACCCATTTGATCTTTTCTGCCCATATTAGCTCCCAGTCATTAGGGGATAATGGTTCCTATTCAGGTTAAGGGTCTCCAGAGAATGGATTTAAAGCTATGTTTAAAAGCCACTATGAAATGGGCAGTGTTATCTATGGCTATGGAAAAGCTAAAGGGCAATGCCCTGAAAATGCTTCTGAAAATCTGTCAACACACACCTTTTTGCGTAGCTGTTTAATTCTGATTTTTACTTCTCTTCTCTTTCCATGAAACTTTCTGGATTCCACATTCATAGCCTAGGATGTAATAGAGAGAAGGACAAAGAGAGAGAGAGGAAAAGATGTTTGTTTATTAATCATTCATTTGATTTCTAACCCATCTTTCTGAATCAGGCAGGGTGAGGCCGCCACTTAAGGCAGCGGAAACCCCCTGCAGGTGCCCTTCCACCTCTGCCAGTGGAGAAGTATGCTGACATTGGCTTGATTTCGGGTGAGATCTCTCAAAATTGGCACAGCAGGTATAGTGGTGCTGGCAGCAGTGCAGCACTTCCTGTTTTGCTTCAAACACCATTGTATTTTTTGATATAGAAAGATCCTCAAGTTGGCTTACATGAAATGTACAATACAAGAACATGAGGGCTGCCTCCCCCACCAAATGACATTGCTCCGGGGGTAGGACTGAGAATTTTTTGGTAATGACCAAGAGCAGAGAAGAAGTAGCCAGGAACAGATGCTATGCCTTGAGGGAGCTGCTAAGTAACTAACAATGTGATTCTAGATATATGAAATAAAGTACAGGTAAGCTCTAATGGAGATTATAATGTGAAAATCTTACTGCCTGTAGTTTCAGTCAAAAAACTTGGCTAGAACAGAAATAAGGACAGGCGCCAGTGGTGAATGATTGGGTGACCAACCAGCAGGTTTGCTTGACAGTAAGTGTCCCAATCACTTGTAATCCTGTGCTATTAATGGTGCAGACTGCAAACTTCCTGAGAGAAGCAAATGAATTTTCTGATACAAAGATCTGGTTCAGACACCACATTCCCATTCCAACAAAACCTGGTTTGTTGGACTGAGAATTTGTTATGAATTTGAGCACCCTCTCCTGCCTTTCCATAATCCTCTCATTTGGGAGCAGACTACATGATTTCCTATGGTATCCAAACTGGGAAACTGTGGCTCAGTTTTGCAGGTTTGGATGTCAAAGCAAACAAACAAATCAGGCAGTTAGGCATACAAAAGGAAAAGTGACTGGGGAGGAGTGGGCTCTCAAGTTTGTTGCTTCTTCCCGGTTCAGCAAACCATGTTATTTCAACCAGAGTGGTAATGTCTAAACTGGTCTAAAGAGGAATCAAACAGAAATGAAAAGAGGGGCATTGGTACATACATAGCCTAAGCTGCTCGGTTTTCACTCCCAAGCGATTTCTACCAGTTTTTTGATACTGGGGCAGCTTTAAAAACAGAGCAGCACGACACCAAAACACATTTCAGTTGCCACCGAGACTTTATTGCAGCACTGGACAAATTACCATCTCTGCTTTCTGGTCCAACCATGTAGTCTCTTCAGGTTTTGCTTGAGTCAGAAGAAAGTATTCATCTTGTTCTGTTGTATCAATAAATGATGCCTTCTGCAATGTTATATTAAAAAAGAAATAAAGACAGGACCTATTATCGATTTATCTTCAGAATTTTCAGCCACCAAAATGTGTTAGTACTGTATTTTTGATTTCCATTTTGTATACTGAATTTTCATTTTAAGATATTTAACATTTGCTCTCTTAATTTTTCTTATAGGATGGGAGAGTGCAAATTTAAATAAATCTGAATAAATGAAATAATTATTATAAGGCTTGCTTTGCATAGACTCCCAACAAGATTTGTCAATGCTGGTGGCAGACTACCATGGTTGTTACAATTACCGTATAAAAATGATTGTTTATAGAAACTAATCAGAAAACTAAGTTCACTATTATGCTGGTCTGGGGCCTGCCTAGCCCTACAAACCTTTGCCACTCATCACATTTCCTTGCTTCTAAAGGGATTAGAACTATACTAAGCGTTATATTTACTAAAACATCATCACAACAGTAGACGCATAATGCCATGGAGGACAATACAAAGTGGGACTGAATGATGATCCATGGCCTCTATCAGTTTTATCTTACCATTCTTTCAAAGAGCTCAGAATGGCTTATCGTTGGGTTACTGCAATGAGTCAATATCCTTTGGGTGGCCATGTTGGCCAGTCACAAACTTCTCATAATTAGGGCATGCCCCTGCCTCATGGGGTGGGGTTTTATCCTTGATACCATGCTGCACAAAATGAGGTCAGGAACAAATGAACTCTCAGCCAATTCCCTGCAGTTCAGAGCTTCTGAGGGTTGGGGGAAGCATTCAGGGCTCTCTTTCCTCTAGCACATCAGACATTATAACTGCATGGAAGGCTCAGAGACGAGCCTCTCCATTGTCCAGAACCAGAGTATGAAGGTAGCCATTTGTTTTGCTTTCTGCTTGTATGCGGGAAATGAAGATCTAAAACATACTGCAGAACCTGCTCATGTTTTGGGCTCCCTCCTCTGTAGCTCCAGTATTGAGAGGAAGCTTCAGGCTTAGCTCTGTCAACAGAACATGGTTGTCACCATAGCAAGGGGGATGAGCAAGAATGTCAAGCCCTGGCTATCTCATTTTGTCTTCCCCAACAACTTGACAATACAGGTCTGGGTCATCCAGTGAGCTGCCAGTCTTCACTAGTTTTCATCATTCTAATAAGCTGAACAGGAAGATGGTCCTAAAATCTAGTGAAAGAGAATACAAACATACCCAGTTCCCTATGCCCTTTCTGCATGCCTATATATATGTATATGTATGTGTGTGTGTGTGTGTATATATATATATATATATATATATATATATTCATCAATTCTGTATTTTATTCCTACTAAGCTTAGTTTATGGCAGCTTCACGCAAGACCTCCATCAATCACATCACTTTATCCAGAGCATTCATCTGTCATTTTCTCCATACATCCTCTAACAACAGATCGAGGATGCACTGTAACTCATCCACAACTTCCATACATGAACATCACGGATCTATATAGCACCTATGTTTCAAATACCACACTACTATATTTAAAAAGTCTTAAAACCTGAGAAGAAATGCTATCCAATGATAACTTAAATATGGGACTTGATGTCACTGCCCATTCTGGCATGGTCTTTAGGTGTGCATTTCCTTGGAAAATATAGTTGTCGAGTACATTACTAAGAAGGTAAGCTCCGAAGTCAGTGGCCTCCTTTGATTTGCGCTCTCCCAGTTTCCTGCAAAAAAGATAGAGAGAAATTAAACAACTAGGAAATTGGTAAGGTTGTACCACCATAATTAATGGACTGATCAAAAGATTGTGATATCTAAATCAAATGCTTATTTGCTCAAAAATAAACGGTCAGGATAGCAGCCCATGTCAATTAAATTAGAGCCATTCCAGACATCTTTCTTATTGCAATTCATGGTGATTTGTGCTCATGATGGTTATATGCATTCCCACTTTCAATACTGTTTGCACCTGCAGTTTCCATTTCCATTCACTGCATGTTGCTCTACTTCCTCCCAAAATCCTGTAAATTTTTACACCACCAACTTCACAATTTTTATGCAGGTTTTCTTTTGCTATGGTGCTAGAGTCCCACCCTCCATCGCCACTCAGATAGCAATAATATAGTAACATTGGGAAGCACTGCAGAACACCTAATAAAGCAGAAAAATGTGGGGGAAATCCAGTATACTGTAAATGACACATTAGAAAACACACCTACCAAAAAAAGCAGGAGAGACCCTTAGTTGCCCTTCTTTAGCTGACATAAAACTAGTTGTTTGGGGTCAAATAATAGAGATATAAGTATATAAAAGTATTTAAATTGCTCTGTTGAATAGGAAACGATAGCCTAATGGAATTGCTGAAAGGCTGTTTTATGTCATATACAGGCATTCTTCAGCTTATACATACTTCCATTTCAGACAAACAAGTGCACCGTCCTGCATGCCATTTACAAGAATATGTTGGCCATCCAGTGAGAATGCCAAAGATCTGATTCCCTGTCCATGATACGAATGGCAGTATTCACGAGTCAGAACCTCCTTAAGCAGGAAGAGAGAAAAAATACCACTGTTACCTGATAGTCAAGGAATTCCTTCTAGAGAGAGGGACATTGAGATTCCGCAACCTGCTTTTATTCTCTTAACTATGGTGAAGAGATTGGGCTGGTAGAAGCCGGGATACAGCTCTCTCTGAGCATCTCACATATCAATGAAAAGTAACTAGGAAAGAATCTAAATCAGATGTTTTTTATGCTATTTGGTTTAAATTTTTTTATATACAGTACATCAATACAACAGAGACGGTACATAGACCCCCAATGATCCAATTAAGTTTGTGGAGAAGATATATTTTAGAAGATTAGGATAAAGTAATTTTTCGATGCCTTGGATACTGATGAAAGATGCAGCATATGAATTAATGGAGGGTCTTATTTTCCCTTTTCTTCCCCTTCATCGTATCCATTCTAGTTTTCCTCCGCCACTACACCCCAGTTATATCAGTATGTTTAATGTTGTTTGCATTTTGTTCTCATTTTAAAAATTTTTAAAGTTTTTTTTTTAAACAAGAGAGATTGGAAACATTATGTCAGTACTTGACCAGTTTATTTAATTGTTGTAATCTGTACCCCATCAAACCAAAGAGTTTTGGAAGGATTACAACAGAGAAATAAATGCATCTAAAACACATTCTGCAGCCATGTCCATTTTAATAGGTATGTGGTTCACTATATTCATGTTTAAATGAGAAAAGCTGAATATTAATTTAGAGACAAAGGCCATGATTTAGAGCGTCACATGCACATGAGTTTCTCACTGATGGATGTGGCAGATGAAGCTCTGAAAGTGCAGGAAACACTTCACTCTTTCATACCTGGAAAGAAGTAAGATCCTAGCTCTGTATAGGCATTATTCTGTGTTTTAACACTGCGTAGGGGATTTTGCACACCAGCCCCATCTTCAATGTCTGTGCATGTTCTGGTGAGACCCATGCCATCCACAAACTTCTCATGTTTCACAAGAAGGTTTGAAGGAGGGCTCACAGAATGCTCAGCTGAATGTGCTTAAAAGCCTGCTTGCGACCAGGAACCCTGATAACACTAGGATTCTGATTGTGGGGAAGCTTCTAAAAGCAGGTTTAGAAAACCTAAACTGACCTTTATGCTCAACATGGGATTAGGTAGGCATGGGGGGGCGGGGAGCTAGAGTGTGCAACTCCCCCCCCCCCCCCGCCGCTTACACAGGTTTTTCAGAATAATACCAAAAAAGGCCTCTGGTTCCAGCAGATTGCAAGTTATGCGTATTTACCATGACAATCTTAATTATGATTAACGGTTATATCTGCACCATGTTTAATGCTAACTGGAATTTGAAGGTGTGCAAACCCTGGTTAAGAGGGAACCTGATTCTCATTAACTAGGTTGAAACTGATAAATACAGCCCCTTGTCATGGTTAAGGTTATCAGAAATGTTTTGGGGAATTCATGCATGACAAGGGAGGAGCTGGGACAAAAAGCACACCATCTCACGGTTAGCTCCTAGTTTCTTAAGCATGGTTCAATGTGGTTCAGGGTGGTTCTTCAGCAAAACCATGACAGAGTTCCATAGCTCAACAATGACTTATGGTTTCAGGATGAACTTGAAGAAGATCAGCTGAACTCAAAGGCCAGTCTGCACCCACTGATAAAGCTCTGACAACAGTCAACTTAGTCTGTACAACGTGCCATTGGAGAAGCTGCTGAACTCGTGCATCCTCCTTTCTCCCATCTGCCATCTTCAGAACTCCTATCTTAGGTTATGTCACCTGCCTCCAGTCCTTTGTGTTCTGGTCTGCCTGAACCAGAGCCAAAACACAAAGATTTGCATGCCATGGGTAAGACCCAATCCTGCATTAAGCTAAATTAAGTTGTACCCAAATAATAGAAATGTGAAGAAACAGTAACACTATGCACAAATTTTAATGTGAGCATGTTGTTCTGTTATAAAGACTGCTTCGTTTGTAAACAGATCACTGAATGAAAGGGGGGAAAGTGGTATTTTATTTTTAACTGAGACCAGTGAGATAAAATGCATATTCTTTTGTCAGCAGTCTGCTATTAGTAGCACTAATAGTGTTACTGGAGAGGTTAAAATTGGAATAATACGTGCATGAAAGATTAAGCTGCATAGATTATTTTATTAGTTAGCTTAAGCACCTATGAAATACTTCTGACTAGCAAAGGTTAATGGGAGCCACACTATGACAAATACCAGATTTGAAGCATCATGGATAAATAAGAGGCCACTCTCTGAAGCTGAAGCTAACCACTTGCCATGTGCTGACAATTCCAGGAAACCCCGTCCAAACTGTTTGCTTGGTGTCGTCTTCTCTGCAAATATGATTGGCTGGTCTTTCCAGGTTATCTGTGAATTGAACAGGTAACATTACATAGCAGATGTGATTGTGGTAGTATTCAAGAATCCTCATGTAAAATAGCTAAGAAAACAAAAGAAAATAAGAGGATGGACAATTTTTAAGACTTAAGACAGGGCTATGTTAAATCTTTATGGGGACTGCTGTTTGTAGTAGGCTTTACTGCCAACCCTACATGTAGTTCTCTTGGGCAGAAACCAAGTCGCTTCTGTATTTCATACAACTCACCAGTACTAAATGTAAAGCAGAAATTGGAGCTGCTCTCCAGGACGTTACAGTCTTGCTGGCCCCGTAAAGTTCTTGTGAGTACAAGGTTTCCTAGATGCTCAGTGTCAACCCAATAGACCCCACTACAGCTCTTGGCTTTGCAAACAGAGCCTTGGAAGCATGGCAGGAAATCTCCTATCTACTATGCGAATGCCAATCAGGGACTGAGACTGCCAGGCCCTGGCATGTGCCAGTGATGTCATCAGTGCTTGGAATTAAATAGATTGATTTAATGAAATTTCCTAAATTAGTTAAAGAAATCTCTGAACTATGCCTGAAAGTATTTCCCGTAATTGGCAGGTGAACTGAATGAGAATTAAATTCATTTTGATGCAGGACGCTGAACAATTTCAAGTTCATCTTCAAGTTCATTCTCCCTTGATGCACAGCCTTAAGGTACTTCCAACTTGATTATTTTATACTTCACCACAGCAGCTTGCAACGTTCTGAATGTTGAGGAAAATTACTGAGGACCAACTGGATGAACTTGAACTGTGAAATCAACATGAAGGAACTACTTCATTTTGTATATGAAAGATCATGAACTGGAGCTAGTTCCTTTTTGGACATGTTATTAAACTTGGATCACTCCCTAGTGGTGAGCAAGATCCATCTCCAGCCAAAGAGATGGATAGCACAAAGAAGAAAGTGTGACCTCAAATCAACACTTCTACAACAGCCATACCTGAACTTTGTGAATGCTTCTCCGATACCGTTGAACAAGCACTGGCACTGAAGAAAGGTAGAACTACATCGAAGAGGCAACCTACAACACAGCTATGTCCTCTTTTAGCAAAAAAGCACAGCAGACTGGTTTGAGACCAGCATTAAGGACACAGAGATTGTTATTGGTGCAAAGCACGAGGCTCCTGTGAACTACAAGTGTGCATCCTGCAAGAAGATGGTAGATGCACTGAGAAAGCCACACATAGCTACTTATCTAGGATAAAGTGTCAGATTTGGAAAACTGGGGAGTGCATAAGGAAAATGGGAGTAGGAGTTAAATCCTCTTCCTACTGCTGTAGGGCCCAGATTGTTAGGCTCCAAGGCTGTGAATTCTAAGAGCTTAAAGAAATGGAAATGCAGTTAACAAATTTCACATCTAGGTTGACCACCTTAAGTCACCTGATTTATTGTGCAATAGGATCATACCTTTGACGTAAGATGGTATTTGCAGATGAAAGGTGCCTGGGTAGCATAGCCAAACACCGTGCTGTCCTTCCGCTTGACCACAGAACTTAGAGCATATTCTAGTTCATACCCACGGGTCTGAATGACACTTTCTTTCAACTGCCCTCTTTCATTGATACACTCATCATTTTCTACAGGAAAAAAAAAGATTCATAGTGGGATGGGGAAGAGAGAAAGACGTTACTTCCATGTCAGTAGTTATCTCTCACTAAAAATAATAATGTAAAAAGCACATGATAAGTGTTAAGTACATAGATCAGGCTCTCAATCAAATGTGTAGTTATAGCCTGAATCTCTAGAATATCTGTACAAAGGACTCATCCACACTTCTGTTTTCCCCTGCGAAAACCCCATTTACTGCTGAATTGGAACAAACATCAATCAGGCTTTCTCTGGATTGATGTTTGCTCCGATTTAACACTAAAAAGCTGGTTTTCTAGGGGAAAGTGGCAGGACAACAGCTAAACCACTCAGACCCGTGCCTAGAAAGCATGGGACAAAGAACAGCTGGGACCCATGTTTTCTTGGCACTTGACAAGCGGAAGTGTAGACAAGCCCAAAGTGTGCATCCTCACACTTCTCCCTATAAATGAGACACTATGGAGATAAGAAGCAAAGGCTTTCTCCATTTTCTTGCTTTTTGTTCCTGGTTCTACTATGCTAGATTCCCTTCATTCTCTGTGATTACCCTACACAGAGAGAAAGAATTAGAAGTGCCCACAACGAAATGTGCAGAGTGGTAGAGTACTCCTGCTTAGCCACATCCCTTCCCAGGATGTTCCATTCCATTCCCACCCTCCCAACTCCAGTTTTCTGTTCCCGCCTCCAGTTAGCCAGCATTTCATGATCACAGAATATTGCAAGTCCTGTTCTCCCTCCCCTCTTTAGAGTCCACCCCAAATAATGTTTGTACTGTTGTGAACCTTGGGGTTCTCATTAGTCTGCTAATACCCCCCCACCCCCGTGTGTAGATGGTCCATTTTGGCAAGGAAGGGCTCCACACCTGGAGAATGGGTTTCCAGTTAGCATATTTGATTTTTAAAAATGACTAATACAGGACACAACTATAGCAGAACTTCACACGGTATTTCATTTTTACCCAGAACAATCTTTGAAGGAAGATTAAATATCTCCACTCGTGCCCTTTTGATCTCCGGTGGACAAAGGAGTACAATCACTTCAGTTGAATTCTTTTCTATATCATAGACTGAAGTTATATCAAGAATCTCACTGGTCATTGCTAAAGTGAAGAGAAATCAGTATTTCAAGCAAGGTAGAGAATCACAATGATATATTCCTTCTATTGGCGTACAATATATTAGGAGCTCTGGGAAGGTAACACCAAGTAAAGAGGTAGGTAGACTAGCTTTTGAAATTAGGGCCTCTTTGTCTGTGACTATTTCTCTACAGGGAAAAACCTGAGAACATAAGGAAAGCCCTGCTGAATTAGGCGCAAGGCCCATCTATTCAGGCATCCTGTTCTTGCCATAGTCAATTGGATGCCTATGGGAAACCTGCAAGTAGGACCTTACTATAACAGCACACTTCCTACTTCTGATTCCCAGCAACATTGGAAGTAGAAGATAGTCAACTTTATATCACACATATACACATAAAAACCTAGTCCCAATTGAAGGCATTCTTAATCACTTGTAATTTGTTACACAACTTAAGCATATTGCAAACTGCAGCTTGGAAGGCGGACAAACCAGAATTAGAAAGCTGGTTTAAATCTTTCTTTGCCAGCACCATGACCCTGATCTGAACTGGGGACCTAACAAATGCATTCAGTCTTATAAAAGAATGTAGGAGTTCCGATAACAGTTCTTTTCACCACTTTATTATTAAAAACTCAAGGAAGCCCATTACAGCTCCTTTGTGCAAGGGTGTTATGCGTAAAGTTAGGCTTGCTCACCCCAAAAAGAAATCAGCATGATAGATACACCAGGTCACAATGAGTGGATATATATCAGTTCTATTATTAACCCATTAAAAAAATTGAGTTGGTCCTCAAAATTCCAATGAACAGAAAGAGCCTTTAGGAAACAGCCCCCCTCCCCCAATTACCTGCCATAGTGTTTTCAGATTTTCTTCTGTAGCTATAGAAGCTATGCAGACACTTATTTATTTTTAAGGAAACTAAAGCAAATATTCACAGGGTGCTAGCAAAAATCCAGTGTCAAGGAATTTCCTTTAAATGTGGATAGTATACAGGCCGGATGATATTCTCTTTCAGCCTTAAGACAAACTATTATTTTGAAGTAAAACCTTCAGTTTCTGCAGAGTATCATCTTCTTTAAAAATGCTCAGGAAATAATATCCATTACCATTTGCAAATATTGCAGCCAGCATATGCAGTCAACAAATATCCATGAATTTTGAACGTACTGCATTACCTACGTATCCAAGGACTTGAAATGATTCCATGGGCAGAGCATTTAAAATAAAGATATATCCATTTATTGTTGACGTTATGAGAAACTGACCACTTTGTTCATAGCTTGAGAGGGAAAAGGAACAAATATAGTACATCAAAAATTATTTATTAACTATCTTATTTCACTAAAAGTATACATTGCTTGATTGTTAAAAAAAACCCCTCAAAGCTGTTTACAAAAGATAAAACAGTAAATCAAGAAAAAAATATAACCCTACTTTAAAGCATACATAAGTTAACAGACTAAAGTTACTCCAATTTTCTAAGCATCTGAGTAGGTGTGTATAAACACAATAGCTTTTAGCAGGCACCCGAAATAGTAGTGTGACGGTGCCTACTTGATCTAAATAGGCAGAGTTCCAGAGGATGGGGGCTGCCATGCTTAATTAAGTATTGTTTTTGTCTTGAAATATGGCAACTGATATGGCAGGGAGATGGCGGCATCTGTCACTCCCTCCAGGGGCTGCTGGTGCCCGACCAGGGCCGGATTTAGGTTTGGGGGAGGGGAGGGGCTGGAGAGAGAGAGAGAGAGAGAGAGAGAGAGAGAGAGAAGCCGCCTCCACCGCACACGCGCAGTCCATCCCACCACTAGGTCTGGGGGAAGGTGAACTGGCCCCCTCCAAAAAGGGTTTGCTGACCCCTTTGTATCCGGTGGGCCCCCTGCTTGTGTTTGAGCCCAGGCAGTCTTTTTTGCTCTGCTTTCTCAATATACTTACTGCAAAAATTGAATAGGATGCTCAGATATGGAAACTCGGTGAACCACCCTAGGCGTTTCAATGGCAGTAAGATCTATAAAGTAAAGTTGGCCCTTTTTAGTTCCCGCTGTGACACATGAACATGAAAGGCTACAGGCCATTGCAGTGACCTATGGAAAGAACAAATGACAGTGAATTTCACCGTGACAGGATCTTAAGAAACATTTTATGGCAATGACAAGGATTCTTAGTTTTTCAAGTGCAAGTTACTTTTACGGGGTTTCGAAAAAGAATCCTATCAATCACGCATGGATCATTATTAGGCCATACTTAGTTAACATAATTCTTCTTGTTTTATTCTTGACACATTTGCATATGAAACAGCTTCATAAATGTTTTTAAAATTCCATAGAAGTTCAAAAGCATGCTTTGTAAAATAGCAAACAGTGAATCCATATATATAATATCATATTCTTTTTCATTTTTCTCATTAAGTACCATCAGAGTACTCTTGGTTTTTCTATACCAAAAGCTCTATTGGATAGACTGTTTTACTAGGAAAAATAATATTGGTCTCTCTCAAAACTCTAGTTCTCTGCTGGACCAAATGTATTGCTGGCTTGAATAAGACAACAGATAAAATGTCTCATTAATTACATACTCAGATTCTGTTTGTGCATACCAAGGTATGTAGACATAGCTTGCTGACAAAAGCACCATCTTCCAACTGCCAAACATGTACCTCTCCTGATCCTGCTACAGACTACAATATAAGAGGGGAAAACGCTGTAAGTAACAATTGAAAATAAATCAGGTTGGTGACTTGACATACTAGCTATGCACACCAGTGTGCTCTATTTGCACTGAACAAGTTTACTTAAGAGCCAACAGATGTAATGGCAGCAATTTTGTATGCTGGATCCAACTTTAAAAGCAAAAGCAAGTTTGCGAGTGAGAAATTCAGAGCTTCCGACCAGGCTCCTGGGATATCTTCCATCAGCACTACTCTCCAGGCACTTTGATCCTATCTGGGTCTCTGAAACCTGAAGCTGATGCTACTCTGGCTCTGAAGAGGGAGAAAGTATTTAGTGAGAAGGGCAAGGTGGTGCTAAGCCATAGGAGGAAAGAGGGTTCAGATCCTTGCTTCATGCAACCCATTTGCTTTTAATATCAGATCCTAAACCCCATTTCTATGTTACTAGAGCAGTTCCAAATTTAAACACAAAGATGCGCTATCCAATCTATCTGGTCTCCCCCCAGGACATTATTATAGACAAAACAAAACAGAGTTCCTAGAGAAAATAAGTAAGTTAGCAATCTGTTGACACTCAAGCTAACACACCTTGTGACTGAGGGCGTACTTGTGGCTACACTATTTCCAGATTTTAGTGAGCAGTTCTCCTTATTTGTTTACGGGGCAGTTATGCAACAATGGGCAATCATTTTGCATTCATCCTGATTTGCTTGTAGCATGTTTATATGGCTTCCTGTTGGTAATTCATTCGTCCCGCCATTTTTAATGCAGTTCCCTATTACTCGCTAAACCACATAAGGCCAGTTTCTTTTGATTTGCTGTGCTAGGATGGCAGAGACCTTTAATCTAGTTGAACTGCACAAACCTAACTTGAATACCTCTCACAAAACTGTGACTGTCTAGAAGCACCGATTTCAAAAGGGAGTCATGTGAGATTAACTGTAAGAGGCCTGACATCTAAAGGTGGTGCTTAAACTACCTACCACTGCAAAGGGATGCAACAACTTTGCACCAAGAGTTTCAGTATACAGAGAGATAGTGGACTTCAACTCCCATCATCCCTGACCACTTGCCATGCTGTCTGGGAACGACAGGAATTGGAGTCCAGCAAGGTCTGGAGAGCACAACCCTGCCTACTCCTATGTTTGGCTTACTAGTGAAATGCCTCATCCTCTTCCTTCTTTAGCAGTAGGACTAAAGCAAGGCTCATTAGCACAGCTCCCACTGCATGGCTTATATACATTGAAATAAAAATGCCAGTTAGTTACAGTGGAACCTTGGTTCTCGAACAGCTTAGTTGACGAACAAATCGGCTCCTGAATACCAAAAACCCAGAAGCGTTCTCATTTTTGAACATTTTTCGGAAGCCGAACGTCCGATGAGGCTGGCGGCTATTGTTTCCGGGGCACCTGCGCCAATTGCAAGCCGCACCTTGGTTTTCGAATATTTCAGGAGTCGAACGGACTTCCAGAATGGATTAAGTTCGACAACCAAGGTTCCACTGTATTTGTTTGTTACAGGTGGTGACCATTTTTGTGCAGGGGTTTTGTTCCCAGCCCCCACATACATTTGGCAGAGCATGCATAAACCCACCCTGCCCCATTATACGCCCATTCTGCCCTCTTCTGGGTCCAAAAGGACCCATGCATCAGTGATCGCATGTCAATTGGACAAGCCAAAAATGGTCACTGCCTGTATTTAGTTTTTATTTACAGCCTGCCTTATCCAGCTGCTTACAGTGCTTTGTAAAATGAATAGGATAAAAACATCAAAGTAGAACAATCAATATGGAAATAGGTTTTCGGATCTCATTTGGAATCTTGAATTGTAATAGCCTTCACAAGATGATGGTGCAGCCTTTTCCCAACTGGGCGGCCTCTAGCTATTTTGGAGCACAATTCCTACAGCTAATGGAAGTTGTAGTCCAAAACATCTGGAGGACTGCAAGCTGGCAAAGGTTGTGACAGCGCATTAAAAAACACTGGTTTCTCTCTTCTGTTATTTGGAAAATAAGAGTTCCTTACCACACAGTGCTTGTTTCCTGGAACAAGAAACTCAGCTCCTACAAAATGGCTTATACTGGCATCCATTAACTTGATAACATCTTCATTATCGTTAGGATTAAAAGCGAAGAGTGATCCCTGTTAAGTGGATATGATAATCTATTATGAGGACAGAAAAAGCATATCCTAAATTCTTTGAGAAAAATGCACCTATCTTTCTCAATTTTCTTTTTTAGATGTTGAGAAGTAGATTTGAGCTCAAATTGACGAATATCAGGTTATATGATTCAATTATTTTATGCATTTCCATAAAGGACTGAAAAACTGGCTGTCACACTAACAACTTGCTTTCTGTAGCAACCACATGCAATTTCATTGACATTTGACTACTTTTTTGATCCTGATTTACTGCTAATATGGCAGAGCACAATGAGGAAATGCTGGTAGCTATTTTCTAAGAAGAAGAAAGATAGGTGTAAAGTGCCCAGACTCTGAGATCTTTTTAAACAGCCCTTCTCCAGGTGCCCCTGCCAGGTGAAGTGTAAAAGGTAAAGGACCCCTGACAGTTAAGTCCAGTCTCAGAGGACTCTGGGGTTGCAGCGCTCATCTCGCTTTACAGGCTGAAGGAGCCGGCGTTTGTCCGCAGACAGTTTTCCCGGGTCATGCGGCCAGCATGATTAAGCCGCTTCTGGCGCAACGAAACACTGAAACCAGAGCAGCGCATGGAAACACCGTTTACCTTCCCGCCGGAGCGGTACCTATTTATCTACTTGCACTTTTTGCCGTGCTTTTGTACTGCTAGGTTGGCAGGAGCTGGTACCGAGCCACGGGAGCTCACCCCGTCACGGGGATTCGAACCACCGACCTTCTGATTGGCAAGCCCAAGAGGCTCAGTGGTTTAGACCACAGCGCCACCCACCTCCCCAGGTGAAGTGTAGTGGGTGGCTATTAAAGGAAGGGACTTTTCAGTGGTGGACTGCCAATATGGTTGTGGAATGCTCAGCCCAGAGAGGCTCAATGGGTGCCCATGATGTTATATTCTCAGTGCCAGGTAAAGACATCTTACCTTTCCAGGGCTTTAATACAGGCTAACCTAAGCATCACATTGAGGATTTGCCATCCTTCCAGGGGCCAAATGCCATGTGGATGTGACCAAAGTGAGCATAACCAACACATAAGCACACATACCCCATATATTAACCACAAATAAAGCACATGTATACACAAATAGACACACACACCCCGCCCACACCATAGATGCACACACGCTCACTCAGTGGGAGAACGACATATTAGCAGAAAAGCACAGATACATTCAAGCAGGCAGAGAAAGATATACAGAGGTGAGCAGATAGGCAAGCAGGCATGCACACATATTCAAGCAAGCAGAGACACACATATACACACACTCAACCATGGGTTTCCCCCCAGCATATATGACTTAATCTTCTGAATTTCATACCTCAATCCTCATTTGCATGTTTAGGCAAAGATTAAAATCAGATGCAAAATCAGTATCCAGCACTATTTGATTATTTCCTACATGAGCTGCACTACTGTTGCGTACGATAGATCCCAAATTGTACTGATTATAGGCTCATTTTTTAAAATATCCCAATTTAAGGTAGGAACCATTTATCAGCAACTTAGCAACTTTGCCTTTCACAATATACCTTTTCTGTTTCTACTAATAAGTAAAAGTAGTCAGGGGAGAAGATAAGATTTGTTATGGGCTCTTCCACTTCCAGACAGTCCTCCATCTGAAAACTGTTGCCTTTGATTTTATATAAACGCACAACGCCATCCTAGGCAAAAACAGACACACACCTTTAAAAGCATAATTAGCAAGACAGCATAGCAACCAACTAGGTGGAATTAAATAGGGACAGTGTTTTCCCAATCCTGTGTTTTCCCGATAATGTTTTCCTAATTTCCTAATTATTATCTAAATAATACCCTCCCAACACACTATTAGTGAAAATGTACATGTATTTGCCCCTTATGGGAAAACAGCAACTTAGAGAGGGGCAATTTAAACTGGGATCATGGTGCAGGGAGAAAGATTAACCTCCTCCCTCCGTCAGTACTCTAGCCCCAACCAAATTTGTTTGCCATCCTGTGGCTACTGAAAAAGGAAGTAATAATAATTAAGAGGTATTGGCCTGAATATAAGCCACACCCACAAATAAGCCACACCTTTAAAATTCAAGGTTTATTTGCGGATGTGGCCCACCTCCCAGCACTATCGACTCCCGGCACTACCTTCCCCACTGGTGCCAAGGGAGGCTTGGGAGCGGCAGGTGGGCTGCGAGCTCCCAGGCTACTTTCGGGGGGGGGGCACTTTGCGGGCGGCCTTCCCCTTCTTTACGGCAGCTCGCGCATCACTGCCCCACGCTCCCAGGCTGCTCTCTGGAGGAGGGAGCTGTGCTGCTTTGCCGGCGGCCTCTCCCCTTATTTCTGGCAGCTGGGGGAGGCTTGGGAGTGGCAGGTGGGCAGCGTGCCACTGCCCAGCACTCCTGGGCTGCTTCCTGGTATGTGGGTGGGGGGGAGCCATGCGGTAAGGTTGCAAATATAAGCCGCATTTTAACTTTTCACGGCCCAAATTTGAGAAAAAAGTGTGGCTTATATTTGGGCCAATACAGTATATCCACTCACCATCTCCAATGCCTTACATCTAGTTTGGCTCTTAGGACTTAGGTATAAGCAACAAGTTTCTGTGTTTACATTTGGTGCAACTCCAGGATGGCATATTATGGCAGCAGGTGGGGAATTAGCAGAAGGGTGTGGCTGATGCCTGTGAGTCGGTGTAGCATAGCAGCTAAGTGACTGAGCTACAGATCAAAGTCCCTGATTTGAATATCATCTCCACCTTAGGCAAATCTCTCTCTCTCTCACCCTATCACACATCCTTTGCTCTGGAATGCACATTTTTTCTTGCAGAAATAGCTATTTTTAGAGCTCCAAACAGGTCAGGACTAGGGGTGGCTGGGGGCTTTCACACTCTGACCCTCAATGTTGTTCCAGCCTGAATCCAGCCTGCACACCTGCAATTAGGTAAAGGTAAAGGGACCCCTGACCATTAGGTCCAGTCGTGACTGACTCTGGGGTTGCGCCGCTCATCTCGCTTTATTGGCTGAGGGAGCCGGCGTACAGCTTCCGGGTCATGTGGCCAGCATGACTAAGCCACTTCTGGCGAACCAGAGCAGTGCACGGAAACGCCGTTTACCTTCCCGCCGGAGTGGTACCTATTTATCTTCTTGCACTTGACGTGCTTTCGAACTGCTAGGTTGGCAGGAGCAGGGACAGAGCAACGGGAGCTCACCCCGTCGCAGGGATTCGAACCGCCAATCTTCTGATCGGCAAGTCCTAGGCTCTGTGGTTTAACCCACAGCGCCACCCGCACACCTGCAATTAGCATAGGACTAAAGCTAACATTGGAGTTTGGCTGGCTGGCACTCACAATGAGGCTACAGTCCTCTACCAAATGGTGCCTTACATACATTTCCAGCTGTATAGAGTCCATCTTTATGAAGTGCCATGGCAAGCAGTCTGACGTTCTGAGCTTCCTTCTTATCCTCAGCTACAAAAAGAATTAATAAAATAAAAGAGATTTTAAAAATTTATCACTTAAATTTCATAACTAATCTCCAAAGGCAGTATTGCCACTCAGTACTGTGGAATAATAAGGAACAGGGATGGATGGATTTTTCATCTGTTTCAGTTTTATATGTACTCACTCATAAGTCCATTCCAACCCATTTCTGCACCATTCTAAGGTTTTGTTTTAAGAACAATAATACAGTTTTTGGCTCAAAAAATGTATCAAAGGGCACATAAAATGTGTATCACAACATCTGAAGAAAGACAAAACCCCAAGCCTAACTGCAATCTGAGCTGCATATTAGTCTGGGAAGTGCGAATCAGGCTGATTCATTTACATATACAGACCTTTCAAAATTCCTACTAGTCAAAAATTTTATTTAATGCCAGGATACAGCCGCAAAGGCTTATTTATCTCCTTGTAGAGTGCCACTCTGTTGAAACAAGGATCACCACAAGTAAAGGATCCTGGATCATCACAAAATGAACCATGGTTATGTCACAGAGGCTATGAACCTTCTATAGCCACTTGGATTTGTACTTTTTGAAAATTGCACTGCCACATTTTTCCATAGAAAAATATGTTTAGGATTCCAAGGCCAAGGACCTGGTCTGCCTCAAAGGGATTATGGGCAATAATGAGCCCAGAGTAGAAAACATCACTGTGGCCTTCTTTTTGCAACTGGGGGTGAAGCCCTGAGTTAAGAAGATAAATAGGAGAAGGGCTGAAGCTTCTGCTCCCTTCAAAATAAAGCCAAAAATGCAGTTTCACTTTATCAAAAAACAACATAAAAAAGTAAAAGTTAACAGAGGGAGCAAAAGTGATTTAATCAAAGGTGATAATGCATCTCCCCTGTTGCACACCTGCCTGAAACCCGTCAGGATTTGGTCCCTTTGTGATTATTCAGCTTTATTCCTACTATTTTAATCCCTATTGTCCTTCTGATAAGACAAAAAAGTAAAAGGTAAAGGTACCCCTGCCCGTACAGGCCAGTCTTGCCAGACTCTAGGGTTGTGCGCTCATCTCACTCTATAGGCCGGGAGCCAGCGCTGTCCGTAGACACTTCCGGGTCACGTGGCCAGCGTGACAAGCTGCATCTGGCGAGCCAGCGCAGCACACGGAACGCCATTTACCTTCCCACTGGTAAGCGGTCCCTATTTATCTACTTGCACCCGGGGTGCTTTCGAACTAGGTTGGCAGGCGCTGGGACCGAACGACGGGAGCGCACCCCGCCGCGGGGATTCGAAACGCCGACCATGCGATCGGCAAGTCCTAGGCGCTCAGGTTTTACCCACAGCGCCACCCACAAACCAAAGGAGCAATGGAAGCATCAAAAGGCTCTAGTTCTTCCATCAGCATTTCCAATCCCTCCAAAACTATCTATCCCCCATCCTTCTTCTCTGGTAAAAGTGTGGCAAACACCCATTGTTATGGTGTAATCCTTGTTATGGTGTAATGCTTGTCTGCATGTACATATGCTTTCTTTATTACACAGAGTGAGAGAACCTCTTCTTCTTACAGTACTATTCTTTAGTATACCTGTTTTTCAGTGTACAAAATTTAGTACTTTGATAATGGATTATCATTCATAAAACTTTTGGAGGTGGAATTTGCATCTGGACAGCTCATTTTCGTGGCCATCCAATTCTACTGCTGACACTGGAGAGTTTTCTGATGAAGTCACCAAATAAAACACCACCCCCTCATTTCAAATATGCCACTCTGATTAGCTGTTTCCTACCAGACAGCAACATACAATCCCCTTTGCAGATGCTTCCTGCAAAGTCAATTAGCATTAAAAAGTAAATACCTTCTGTTTTCGTACTCTGTGATACCGATCGAAAAGTTGCCTTTTTTTTTGCTGGAAAGGAAACAAGGCTATGTCAGTTGCAGCCTACACAGTATATTGACAAGTGTGCTGGAGGACCAGACATGATATAGTTTAAAAGAAACAAAGGCTTCCTCATTACACCAACCTGCTTGTAGATTTTTATAGTGTAGAACCAGTATTTACTGGATTTGTGAAGCACCTACTGTAGTTTCAGAAGACTGCAATAATCACTTCTATGGGGTTTGGTTTGGGAACTGCATACCTTCATTCTAAGTAGTAATGTGTCGTCTAGGCATACACACACATGGATATATGGGCAATTGACCATGTTTTGGCTTTCCTTCTTTCCCTGAAGATGGAAGGCATTTATGTGCTCTCACAAGAAATGTCTGTATTGTAATAATGTCCACAGCAGAATGAAATAACTACTGGGGTTGTTTAACGTGATGACATTAATTAAAAATAATAAATATGAAGATGAGGGGAGTTCAATGTGGCAGAATATTAGGAGCACTGGTCAAATAGTTTTAAGATCACCAGCTGTGAAGCTAGTGGATTCAATAAATCTATTGCATTTCAGTGGCCATAGGAGACCCACACCATTCCAATCGAAGATGGCTTCCATATTTTTAAAGCATGAATTGTATGATAGGGTCTAAGTTCACAGCAACATTCAAAGGTCCACTCTTAAAACAGTTACCATTTAGAAGAAGAAATGGATTTTTTGTCTTTGGCACTAACATACTAATTTATAATAGTAGTTACAAAGTGGCTCAATTCTTGACGTGTGCAGACTCCTGGAGCAGAGATTGCTGCTGTTCTGCTCTTCCTTCCTGCTGCTGCTATGTTGCAGCAAGATGAAGACATGGTTTGTCTTGTCATATTGCCTGAATCCAGGAATAAGCCATGTCTCCTCCAGATAAACACAAGATGTAAATGAAGAACAAACCTTCATTACAGCTCCTGGTTTGTCTGTAGCCAGACATTTCAATAACCCAGACTGCGATGACACATTCAGCCAAACCACTGTTTAACTCACAGCAGCACAGCAGTACAATGACTGAAGAAGGAGCAAAGGGGCCATTGTCTCTTCTTTGGTACCTTGTACTCGTGCTAAGCTGTTATTTGGCTTAGCAGTACCAGATCAGTGTGTGTAACCAGTGAATTGTCCAGGTACAGGTGCAGGTGAAGAAGAATTACACATAGTCTAAAATGTGGGGAGGCAGTTGCCCCTCTCATTCTATGAAAGGGACCCTGGTCATCCTAATGAATCAGAAAAGGCTGGGGACAATCTTTGACTTGAAACTGCACTAACCTTTAGCATCTGGGGAAAGTTTTTGATGGATAACTGTAGCCTTGAATGTGTCTGCACCAATTTTCAAACAATATCCTTCTTCACAGCCCATATACAGATCAGAGATTTGAGTCCAGCAGTGGGAAGTAGGGTGAACATAAGGTTGAATGTCATCTTTAGGCTTCAATTAAAAAAAAAATTTCAATTACTAAAACAAATAGTACTAAAAAATAAATTACTCATTCAGTGCTGACTGGCATTGATTGCAGTTATCTACTTTCCACAGGGAAAATTGCTGAGTGTTTTGTAAAAAGTTGTGCTGTCCTATATCAATGATATTTCAATAGATATCTTGACCACAAGTAGTTATATCCATAGCAGAACTCACCTTAAATGTTTCTGCTTCATCTCCTACCAAGCCAGCAATGGCTGAATTGGGCAGAATAGGGCCAAAGTAAGGATCATTGTCCATGGGATGGGAGAAGAAGCTGTTTTGCTCATCTGCTAAAGTTCCATCTTCAGCAGGAAGCCTAACTGACCTGAAGCAATGAGAAAAATGGCACAGAAGAAGCATATTTGGAAAATTCAAGCAGGACTGCAACAAACTGTTGAAGTCATGCTCCCCAGGATACCCCATTCAGCTTTTTCTTCTCCACCTCCAACAGCAATCTGTAGTCACTGTGCATGCTTAGTTCTCATTAGGCTATTTCGAGTTTCTTAAGACTCCATTATTCCCCCCCCCCCATATATTTTTTGTACTTCTGGGTTTTCCCCCAAGCCTGTTGATTAAGCTGTCATCTGTTCTTGCACACTCATCTACTTCTGTGCAGCGGCTGTTAGGGTATGTGTTCACATTTCTGCTTACTCCACATCCAATTATCTAATCAGACTGAAGCTGATTTAAGGAACAAAAAAATAATAATACAGCAGTATTGGTCAAGAAACTACAAGACTAATATGCGGTGGTGGAGGGATCCTGTGGCCTCTGTACAGAGCTTGAGCAGTGCCATGCGTGCGCCGTCTGTACGGCGCACACGCCCCCGGGTGGTTTGCTGACAGCGCTGCTTGAGCGTTGTACGGACGGCTGTGGAGGGTGTAGCCGTGAGCAAAGGATCCTCCGCATGCGGCTGGGGCGGTGTGATGGTGGCAGGGCGAGCCCTCCACGGGGTGCCTTCTTGTCACCCCCTCAAAGGTGGCACCCAGGGTGCTCCGCCCTCCCCACTTCCTCCACCACTGCTAATATGGACTGTGGCTTATGTCATGTGAATGCAGCTTCAAAAATGAGTAGTAGGAGCACATTGGATACACAGTAAGCATAATGTGAACATATGCCTGAGGACTGGCACTCAATCTAAAGCATCACTAATAAAGTCCAGGGGCACAGTCTGAAGGCACATGAAGCTGCCACCTTGTGGAAGCAAAGCAAGTCTGGGTCACTTCAGGGCTTGGATCGGTGACCGACTGGGAACCACATGTACACTGTGTTGGGTTCCATGATGGAAGACTGGGAGAGCGGGGGCAGGATATAAATGTAAGAAAACAAACAGAAAATGAGTTAATAATTGGAAAATTTCCTTTTAAAGACAAAGAACCACGAGGGCTATTCCATATTTCTAAAATACGTTTTTCTAAAATGCAAAGGACAGAACATGTTTATTTTGCCCAAGAGACACGGATTAGGCACCTGATATACCGTATTTTTCGTCCCATAGGACGCTCCGTCCCATAGGACGCACCTAATTTTTTGGGGGGGGAAATAAAGGGAAAAAAATTTCCTTTGTTTCCCCCCCAAAACCAGGTCGGGGAACAGCGGGATGGCGGCGCTGCGCCTCCCCGCTGTCTCCCGAGCTTGTGGGGCTGGCCGATGTCTGCCCGGCGTGTGGGGCGCTCTGCTTCAGGGCACCCTGCGCGCCGGGTGGCAGGCTGCTATCCGCAGCCTAGGGAGCTCTGCGGGAACTCCCGCGGGCTTCCCAGGCTTGCTGATAGCTTCCTGAAGCCTGGAGAACAAGAGGGGTCGGTGCGCACCGACCCCTCTCGCTCTCCAAGCTTCAGCGAAAGCCTGTATTCGCCCCATAGGACGCACACAGATTTCACCTTCATTTTTGGAGGGGAAAAAGTGCATCCTATAGAGCGAAAAATACGGTACATAGCAACTCTTTAATCTGTAGACCCTCACCTGAAAGCATGCTTTACCATTCATCAGCTGCAAAAACGGTCTTTATCTAGCACAAAAATTAATCTTAGTGTAAAATAAAAGTACATTTGAAACATCTCTTTCTATTAACCTTACTTTGACTTCAAAATGTGCTCTTCATTATTCCGCTCAATGGTCCAAAGTGTAACAGAAGTCCCATTATATAAACACAATTGGTGCCAGCTCATGGGGTTAAAACTCATTGCGGTCACTTCTACTCCCATCTGTGACTGACTGCACAAAATAACTTTTTTGTTCCAGTCCCTAATCAAAAATGAAAGAGCGCAAAAATATTAATTTTATTTTTTTGAATTATTTTTTTTGTAAATTTATATTCGGCCTCTCTATAACAGAAAACATAAAATCACACCATAGAACAAGAACCATAGAATCAGATAGAATGCCAGCAAAAGAGGATTAAGTGAAAACAATTAACAGTGCAATTATATGCATGTCTATTAGGAAGTACAGTGGTACCTTGGTTCTTGAACAGCTTGGCTCCCAAACTCTGCAAACCCAGAAGTAAGTGCTCCGGTTTGAGAACGTTTTTCAGAAGTCAAACTTCCGATGCGGCTTCCGCTTGAGTGCAGGAAGCTCCTGAAGTCAATCGGAAGCCGCGCCTTGGTTTTTGAACTTCAGGAGCCGAACAGACTCCCGGAACAGATTAAGTTCGAGAAACAAGGTACCACTCTAAGTCCCAATGAGTTCAATGGGGCTTGCTCCCAAATAAGTATGGATAGAATTGTAGCCTAAAATGACAAGAAAGTGACTAACCAATCCCCCAAATGCTTGCTGAAACTAATGTGCTTTACATGTCTTTCTAAAACCTCAGGTGGCTGATATGCTACCTCAGACAACTTATTTCAGATGTAGGGGTGGTGGGGACTATGGAAGACTATGGAAACCAGCAGTATTTACTGATTGTGGAAAATGAGGCATCATTTGGAACTTTTTTCAAATGAATCTAACTTGTGCACAGTGAATTTAACTTGTGGTTTTCAACAAAAGCGTGGTCACTTGAACAAAGTGTTTTGAAAGTCAGAGTACTTTTTAAGGCCATAGGCTCACTGCCTGCATCTGTTTGCATGAATGGATGTTTGTGAGTTTGTCTGTACAGGCAACTCCCCATGTGCATGGGGGTTGCATTCCAAGGCACCACGCATGTCAGCGGGACACATATAAGTCCACGCTGCCCCCTTGAGGCGCTATAAATGGCACACATGTCAGCAGTTGCACACGTGCCAATCACGGGCAAATGGTGAGTTGCCTGTATTATGCAAAAATGAAGACATTTCTATTTCTGACAGGTGTTAAATTAGCTACAGACAGCAAAGGATCTATTAGTAAGTAATATGAATTATTAAGTAGCTAATATTATGATATAATATAATATAATATAATATAATACAATATAAACAATCTATCCATATTGTAAGCTTACCATATTGTAAGGGAAAAGTCTGGGATTGAGGAGTAACTGGCCAGGTAAGGACCTGTGTAACTGAATGCAAGCAAGGTGTAGTCCAGGCTGGCTTGTCCTAAAACATAAAATAGCATGGATTTAGTATCTCTGCAGCTTCATGCTGTCGTGCTAGTTCCTATCATACCATACCATATCATAGGGCTTTGTCTTGCCAACATAGGAGGGTCTAATTTTCTTTCACTAGAGTGTTATAGTAAACACTATGTACAAATCTGTACAACCCTGGCGGTTTTGCTTAATTCATTTGAATAGATTGATATTATGAGTTGTGTGTGTCTGTGCGTGCCAGACCCCTCTAATCCTTGGATGTATCAAGTGTTAAAAGCTAGTCATGCCAAAATAGCTACCTGTTGAGTTGATGGGGAGAAAGAGTCAGAGCATGGTGTTTGATTTCTGTTTGAATTGAAGGCTACAACTATGGGAGACACAAGATCATTTCGGGGTGCCGAAAACCACTCCATCGTAGACTAAAGTAGTATATACAGTATGTGTAAATAAACCACATATCATAAAGACACCCTAGTCTCCACTGTGCCTCATTTCCAAAAGGAAATCGGAAGCCTGGGTAAGCACCTGGAACCCCTGGAATCTCACCCTGCTTAGAGATTGGGGGCGGGGCATGAAACAATATGAATAATTTGAACTTTTCCAGCACTTAGTGTATTGAAAGTACCACCTTTCTTTGGGGCAAACTATTTACTGCAGGTGTAGAATCTCTAGAACAATATTATTTTTTATCAATCTTCAATAGTCAGGTTGCATATGTTCCTCTCTCTCCCTCTCTTTAATCAAATATAACTGGTCTCCAACTTGCTCCATTTTAAATGAAATTATACATCACAAAACTAGTCTCTGCAGATCTCATATTGACTAGATTCGTGGGCTTTTTTGTATTTTATCTTGATCCCACTGCATGAATACCATGCAATAACATTCCAAGGTCTCTTTTATGCAGCCTTTCTTTTTTTGAGAGGCTGCACTTATTAATGCTTTTAAAGCCCCATGAAAAGATTATTCTATGCAAGCTCAAGATCTGCACAATTTCTAAGGAATAAGGCAACACACAAATGTAAATATTCATGTGCTACTTGGTTGATCTCTGAACATTTTAATACTATAAAATTATAAGCATCAAGTATAATATCATAACAGTATATGTATAATTTGCTACCACAGTATGCAGTAGTAGTCTCCAAGTGGGATGAGAATGAGATAAATTCATGGAATATATCAATTGCTACTAGTCATATGACCTTCAGGTTCCCACGCTATTGCACTCATGTACAGCTTGCAGACTTCTCAGAGACATATCAATGGCCATTGTAATAAGAGAATGCTGGATTATATAGACCAGGGGTCAGCTTGGGCTGGATCGGTCCTGTGGAGATCCCTCCGTGGGCAGGATTGCATGTGTGCCTGTGATTTTTGGAGTCTGTGTGCACGCGCCCGTGGTTTTTGGCATCTGCACGCACGCAGACGTGGTTTCCAGCGCCGTCAAAGCGAGTCCCCACGTCGCACTGCGCTGGTTTAGTGCAGTGCGCAAGCAGGCAGCTCGGTTCAGGGGCGACTCATGGGCCAAATAACCTCCATGGCCTGCTTCCGGCCCATAGGCCTTAGGTTGCTGATCCCTGCTATAGACTGTTGGTCTGATCTAGCACAACTCTTATGCCTTCCCCTCACCAAATTCTAAAAACCATTTCAAGATGGTTTCGATTAACCATCAGACCCACCTTTTAATTTGGCCTGTCTCTTTAGTCCTGGATAACTGTGGATGTGAATCACAGGTTTCAGTTGCCTGTCAGAATAAGCAACGACATTCTGGTTTGGGTTCACTGCAAAAGCTTCTACCTTTCCACTGTGACACCGCAAGATGGATCTCTCCAGTGTTTCAAGGTTAACAAATATTATGTAATTCCCACAAGGATAGCAGACAGTTCTTTTGGTGACAAAGCCAACATTCCTGTTGGTGAATCCTTGTACCCATCTTGAAGGGGTGGAGAAAGAAAGAAAGTTAGGATTATATGACATTTTAAAAGAAACAAAGAGTTTTGTTTTTTGCTAAATGGATAATGTGGCGTAAAACAAAGCTTCCACTGAGGAAAACCACTGTTGTTTGTGTTCACTAATTACATACACAACCTGCAACTAGAAAAAGATGTAACAGCACTTCCCCTCAGTTTAAATTGAATGAATGCAAATATAATTTATTTATGGTTCACCTACTGCAAACAAAAAGCTGCAGAATGGAAAATGCATCACAATATTTAAAGCGAAGAAAAAGAGAAAACAGTAATAGATTGTACAATATTTATAAATTTTGCAACTTACTTAGTAACTAAAAAAAAAAATAGACCCCTCCAATAAGAACATAAACAAAGACTCTGAAAATAGTCCTGGAAAGGACTGTGAAATGAGGTGAATCAGAGTTTATCTAAATCTTCACTTTAAAAGAACATGGGACACAGAAACCACCTCTTTGTTATTACTCTGGCAATATCTTGTTATTTACAGGAGTGTTGCTATATCTGCCTTCATTCACTATACTGAATGAATGACAAGACAGATAGCTGGAATTACTTAGGACTTCAATAAATATATTTGCTTTGTTAGCATCATCATAATATCTTGAAGAATGAAAAGCAGATTACATACAGGGTGGAGGGAATGAAACCAGATTTCCTTTGTCGTTATCAATACTAACATTTAAAAATCACAGACTATATTTTCACCTCTGGATTCAGATAGGGTAATAAAAGACTATCACACATTTGTTGGTGTGTCCCCCCCCCCAAGGTCTAGCTAGCTTTCCTGCACCTACATTCCTGAAGAAAGGGACGTTAATGATGTGAAATCCAGAAGACTGACTAAAACTGAGGCACAAAGAAGTGTGAGCCATCCTGGGGGAAATAAAAGGCTTCGGGAAGGTGGGTGGGAAGCTTTGGGAGACAAGCTACGAGAGGGAAGGACGGGGTCTTACAGAGCAAATCCTCTGCATTATCGTCCGTTTAGGCATCAGCCCCATTGAGCTCAGCAGCACTCTCTTCCAAACAAGCGTGCATGGCGGCTTTCGCCAAGGTGGCGCCCGCAGACGCTTTGCACTACAACTCCCATCAGCCCCAGCCAGCGCGTGCAAGTCCAAGGCGTCCGGCGGGCGCCACTTTAGCGAAGGCGGCCGTACGAAGAGGGGAGAGGCTTCCTTGAGGATGGGGTTTTTCGGACACAAGAAACACCAGGCAAGTCCCCGTCCCCCGCTCGCTCCCCTTCGCACCTCACTTCGAGATCAGCTCTGTGAGCGGAGCCTGGGCGGCGGCCGCCCAACTTCCCGCCGTCCATGCTACCCTCAGCTTCGCCAGAGAGCTGCCCGGAGCAGTTTGTACCCGTCTCCTAGCAACACCTGGCCGCTCCTGCCGTTGGCTAAGATGGGCTTTCCGTCGCTGACTCGCCCCGCCCTGCTTGCCGTTTCAGTTCTCGTGTTCCGAGCGTGACTGACTCCTTCCGCGCACTGGAAGGGCGGGGTTATATCCAAAGCCAACCTCTAAGAAGTTGCATAGCTGGATGACGTAGCGCTCTCTCTCTTCCTGCCCCTCATGCTATGGGGGACCTATGGAGGTTGGCTCCCACGTTGTGGAATTTACTGCCCAGGAAACGTGCATGAGATGAGACGACGAAACCGGGAACGTTTTCTAAAAACAAATTATTTTCATCTTTAAAATATTCAGGCTGCCCTCCTATACACAACTGAGAACCAGTCCTATCGAAACTTAAGTGGGACTGACCTCTGAGTAAATATGTCTAGCTCTAATCGCGTTTTATTCAAATTGTGTTTATTGTCATGCTTGTATAATCAAACGACAATAAAAATGATAAATGTTCAGGTGCTTAAAAAACAACAACAACATTCTGGGGGCATTTTCACAAGTGAGGCTAATTATCTCAGTGAAGACCTTACTTGGAAAATAAATACAACCCAGGTGGTTAAGAAAGCCCAACAGAGACTCCCATCTCCTCAGAGTATTGCAGAAGAACCATGTCAATCAACATTTGATGATCTCCTTCTACCGGTCAACAATAGAATGTGACCTTTCATACTGCATCACGGTGTGGTACACTGGTTTGACATCATCTGATAGGAAGTGCCTACAGAGGGTGGCGAATACAGCACAAGATATTACGGGCTGTCCCGTGAATCCGCTGGATGAAATAGCGGAAGAACGTTGCCTCAGGAGAGAGAGGAAAATTCTCAGGGATGATTCACATCCTGGCTGGCACTTTCTTGATCTCCTGCCGTCAGGCAGAAGATATAGAAGCTTGGTTAGTCGCACCAACAGGGTAAAGAACAGCTATCCATGGGCTGTTAGGCTGCTGAATGAAAAGATAACAACAGGGCAACTGACTTTCGGGTGTGTGTCAGTAAACGAGAGGAATTAAGACTAAGAGAGCTGAGTGGGGGGTGCTCGTGTAATTTCGCTGTATACAGGTTGTACAAGTGACAATAAAGTATTTCCATTTCAATAATAATGTCTTTTAGTTTGGAATTTTAAACTTCTGAATGTTCTAACATTGAATAGATAAGGGAAGAGAGCATTTAAAAGCAAACACTAGAGACTAGGTCCCTTCCCCAAAACATGCTTAAATTGGTGGTGACATTATTTTCGTTGGTGTGCTAAATTAAGTTCAGTTGAAGGGTTGTTATTTTTTATTCCCAGAATCTAATTTTAGGTCACCATATACTTTTGGGAGAGGAAAGGACAAATAAATCAAGCTCCTTTGAGACCAAATGCTTTCCAGTTCTACTATTTTAAACCTTTGTAGTTATACACCATGGGTAGGCAAACTAAGGCCCAAGGGCTGGATCTGGCCCAATCGCCTTCTAAATCTGGCCTGCTGATGGTCCAGGGATCAGCATGTTTTTACATGAGGAAAATGTGTGCTTTTACTTAAAATGCATCTATGGGTTATTTGTGGGGCATAGGAATTCATTCATCTCCCCCCCCCCAATATAATCCGGTCCCCCACAAGGTCTGAGGGACAGTGGAACGGCCCCTTGCTAAAAAAGTTTGCTGACCCCTGTTATACACTCTTGATATTGTATTCCTTCATTGTGAAACTCTAGTACGTAGATACATGGCAGAGCTTTTTGTTCTCTTTCTCTTGTTATCATGGATTGTGCCAGGCACGCTAAGGCATGTGTTGCTGGGAGGAGCTGGAACGCCTTTTGTTTTATAAGGATACTGCAGAGGTCTCTCCAATTACCCTCCTTTTCATTTGCTGCTGTGACAGGCTATAGGATACATTTAAAATACATCCCCGACCCTAAGAATCCTGGGAAAGACAGTTTACCCTTTAAAGTGCTACAATTTCCAGAACACTTAACAAATACAATTCACATGAGGTGGAGTTGCTTTAAATGTACTTTAACCATATGGCGTGTATGCAGCCAAACCAACAGAGCTATAAGTAGCTCAGATAAGTCACACACTGGTAATAATGAGATTTAAAGTACATTTTAAGCACAAATTCATTCCCTCAAATAATTCTGGGCACTGTAGTTTATAAGGGTTTCTGGAACATGTAACCGAGGAGTAAACTACATTATCCAGAATTCCTTGAGGGCAAGAACGCGTTTTGAATGTGTTTTAAAGATATATTATTACTTTACACTTATTAGGACTGAGCCCTAGGATTTCATTATTAAATGTGCAGTAGTCTTGCAATACCAAGGAAGACTGTTTCTAAATTGTTAGAAACAGGTTAGATTTCCTTTGCAAGCTAATTCACAAATTGAAACAAGAAAAGCCACATTTTTAAAACTGCTGAAAATCACATGGAATGCTGGAAGATAAGATAGCAAAAAGCAAAACAAGAAAAATGCACAGCTAGGATGACTGTGCATAAAAATACAGTGGTACCTCGGGTTACATACGCTTCAGGTTACAGACTCTGCTAACCCAGAAATAGTACCATGGTTTAAGAACTTTGCTTCAGGATGAGAACAGAAATTGTGCTCCGGCAGCGCAGCAGCAGCAGGAAGCCCCATTAGCTAAAGTGGTACGTCAGGTTAAGAACAGTTTCAGGTTAAGAACGGACCTCTGGAACAAATTAAGTACTTAACCCGAGGTACCACTGTACAGAGTCACCATTGTTGTTGCCGATTTGGCCACAGTGTTACAAGACTGTTTCTCAACTCTGGGTTACTAACTTTATAGGCTGATATTACAACAGGTAAAATTATCCTTTACATCTGGCCTCCCTGGTGGCAATCCTTTGGACTACTACTTCTCAGGAGGTATTAAAAGAACATGGTGAGCCCGATGTGCATGATTCAGTGTTTGCCTTTGCTATGCATGTATCACATGCATCCTTAGTATGTCAGGGACCTGTGGGCCCAGGAAGTACTCTGAAAAACTTTGTTTTTGAACGAGTCACTCCATTTTTGTCCTTGTTTCAAACTCCTTGCAAGTCCAGCCTGCTCCTGCCGTGCTAGTTTTCTTCTTGTAGGGAGTTATTAAAAAACAACCAACACAAACCACATAAAGAGCAGTCTGTGGGAAGAACCATGTGGTAGGAACAGCCCTGATATCCTGAGGTGCAAATTATTATTACTCCCATTTGGTTGCAGTGTATATGTACTTTCAGGGTGGAATTGCTCTTTGCCCCAGTGCAGGGAACTTGAGTTGAGAATGTAAACCATTAGCTAAAGTGGTGTCTCAGGTTATGAACAGTTTCAGGTTAAGAATGGACCTCCGGAACGAATTAAGTACGTAACCAGAGGTACCACTGTACACATAATGTCTCTGTTTTCAGCTCAGAGTCCTTTCCACACGTCAGTTACATTTGGTATGAGACACGACTTGGGGTTTCAATGAATATTGGGGATGAGAATCAAGTACTCCACTTTGAGCGCCTTGGATAAACGGCGGGCTATGAATGCATAAATAAAAAATATTGATTTCAGTGTAAGTGGAGGTAGGACTTTAGCTGAAGCACCTTTAGGCTGGAAACCTAAAGCCCCACTGCTATTCATATCCACTCAGCGTTATGTCCAGGGCTGGATTTAGGTTTGATGAGGCCCTAAGGTACTGAAGGTAATGGGGCCCTTTATGTGTCCAGCTGTCCTTTGTCAACAACAAATTGTCCCCGTTTTTTGTGTTGAAGCTATATGGTAGTTTATAGACCTAATAGGTATCTAAAGCCATTTGCCACTGCTGCTGTATGTAGGTTTTATTTTATTTGTTTTTTTATCTTATATTTTGGAAATGTACATCCAGATTTTTTTCCCCCTTTAAATTTTTTTGGGGCCGACAAGAGAGTGTAGCCCTAAGCTATACATAGCTTGTTTAGCTTATGCGTGAATCCAACACTGGTATGCCCAGGCGCTTTCAAGTGGCCAAGTTCTGAGGCGGCTTCTATAACGGAATCGTGGCAGAATAACGAAGGGGGCGGAGTCGGTCGATCTTGGGATCAAGGGATGTGGGCGGAGACAGTCGGCCGACTCCGGGGAGGTTCCCTTTCTTCGGTGTCCATCACTTGCCTGCTGACTACACCAGGGAGAATGTCTGGGGAATTCGCTAGGAGCTTAGGAAAAGGTGAGAGGGTTTGCTTCTTTCCCAAAGCATTGCATGCTCTATGCTTGCCTGTGCCTGTCTTTGTGGGGAGGATCGGGCCGCCTCTTTTCCTTGTGGCGCCCCTCCGACGCCCAGCAAATACTAATTTTAGTGATTTTCCTCCATATTACGGCAAGGGAAAAAGGGGTGAAATTTCCCCCTTCTCTGAGCCCGCTCGTTACCACCCCACCCGCTGATGTGTTTTAAAATAAGAATAATAATACCAAGCTGCGTTTATTTAACGCCACGTGATTTGCTGCGGCGCATACGTTCAGAGGCACGTATACGAAGAGAGGGAGGGGAGGATTTCCTGGGACTATTTATGAAATTATAACGTTTCAAAATGGACTCTTTCCTTGAAACTCTGTGTAAAGCAAATCTCCGAAGCAGCTCGCCACGAACTTCACTAAAAGCGACGTGCATTTTAAAAAATAAACGCTCCCCAAAACAGTTTGCATGGCGGCGTGTCACTCCTCTAGTTTCCTCATTTAATTAAAAAAACACACACAACGATCGTGAGCTCGCGCTCTCCTCTGAGCTACGTCTGATGTGAGACGCGCGTTGCTGTTTGTGCACAGTACTGCATGTGAAAAATAGGATTGGCGTTGATGACTTTAATTTGCCTCAGGTCATCTTCTCCACCTGCACTCTGGACAATTTGCACTGATAATTGTATTGGTAACATGACTATTTAATTTGCACGCCTTTTAAAGGTCTGTTCAGGTGTTGGTGTAGCTTCCTAAACCTCTTGCCTAGCCGCTGCTGGTAATGAGCTAACTGAGGGTGCAGTGTAATACCAGAAGTGGGTTTTGTAGTAAGTAGCTACTTTCCCAGTTGGCAAATTCTCCAGATGCATATTTTGCTAGACCCAGAAGAGTCTGTTGTGATCTTCCGTGCTGTGGCCCTACACCAGACCCCAATTCATTCATGGGACACTTTTCAATTGGCACTGAAGGCAAGATGCTGATTAAATTGGTGAGGGCAGTGTTGTGCCACACACTTTTTCTCTTAATAAACCATGGGTCTTTATGGGGTAGCTGCAGCTTGTTCTTGTAAGAAATACAACTGCAGAACAACTTGCACATTGTAGGAGTCCTTCAATGAGTTTTGATGATTTGTAGACCTGTTACTCCTATAAAGAAAGAGCACCCTGTTAAAATCATGAGATGGGGTTGTAAGAGCTCATGAAACCTCAAAAAGCAGCACTCTTGTGTCCTAGAACATGATAATTTAAAGGATATCGTTATGGGGCATGCCCTGACTGGAAATAAATACATGTCCATCTGAAACTTTGGTAGATGCAAACAGTATTGAAAATGGGATGGCATATAACTGGCCTGATGTCATCATGGCCACAGATCATCCTGAGTGAGTTATAGTCTCTTTCCTTTAGCCCAAGTCCGTGAAGTACATCCTTGGTTTGGGGAAGAGCATAAACTTAAGTGTCTTTCCCACACAACCTTCCTTCCTGGCTTGTGACTTTGTGTCTGCCTACATGCCCAAGTCTAGCAAGGAAGTTATGTGTGTGTTTCTTTGCTGCATACACAGAGAGAGATGGATGTGTTGAGACATGTTGGGACGTTCATTTTGTTTCTTCCTGGCCCTGCAGTCATGCATGAATAGCGGTGAATGGGCCCCATAAGTCCATACCAGGTGGGGAAATGAGTACTGCAACGCTAAGCTTATGCTGCCAAATCTTTTGTTTTCGTTTTTTACAGCATATTCCTGCACATGTTTATTCAGTGATAAATCCCATTGAGTTCAATGGGGCTTACTCTCAGATAAGTGGATATAGGACTGCAGGCTTAAGCTCCAAAAAGTGCAGAACAATTACAATGTACAAGCTGCTTACTTTGCAGCAATTCAGCTGAGTTCTGTGGAATTATTCTCACATCGGTAGCTTGGCATCCTCACACTCCTGTCGCCATTTACTTTCCTCTGCTAATTCATCTGAATTAAGATGTGAATCACCAGTGTGAAAAAAGCCTTTGGAATGACTGCAGGGTTATGAAAATGGAGCATATCAAATACCAGAGGAATTTATTTTTTGGAAGGCTCCCCTTTTTTCTCTCTGCTTCTTTGTTCTCTCTGCTTATGGTTTCTGTTCAGAAAAGGCTATAATTTTGCTAGTTCTGACCAGAATGACCTGTGTAAGTCTCTTTGTATTCCAGGAAGTTCTGCTCCAGGGCCTGTGCCGGAGGGAGTGATCCGTCTGTACAGTATGCGCTACTGCCCTTTTGCACAGAGAACAAGGCTAGTCCTCAGAGCCAAAGGAATCAAGTAAGATAAGTCAATCAGTCATTTTACTTGTATGCCACCTTTCCAAAAACTAAAAACGTAACAAAAGTAGTTGTAAACAATAAATGAAACATCAAAAAGTACACAACCAAATAGAACAATTTCCACATAAATCATAAGATCAAAAATATACAGAAATTAACAGCAACGGCCACACCCAACAACTCCCCCAAACAATACTCCAGCCCCCAGATCAAATGAACCTTCTCTCTAATTTCACATAGTCCTAATTTTATTGTATTGTAATTGTTTTTAACCACCTTTGGGGCTGAAAACTGGCAGATGTTCACTGCATATCAAGCTTTATGGGAGTTGCCTTCCAATTGACACAGGGTGTGTTTCTACGCACCCATGCACTCCACCCAGAAAGTGTGCGCCACAGCATGAGGCAGTGGAATGTGGAGATTCCCATTTTGACCCCGTGATGTTTTTGCATCCAACAAGAGGAGGAGGTGGAGCTGCTGAAAGAACCCTTTGATGAGTGCTAGAATGGAGTCCATGGTCTGGAGCAGGCATCAGCAAACTTTTTCAGCAGGGGGCTGGTCCACTGTCCCTCAGACCTTGGGCGGGGGGCGGACTATATTTTGAAGGGGAAAAAATGAATCAATTCCTATGCCCCACAAATAACCCAGAGATGCATTTTAAATAAAAGGACACATTCTACTCATGTAAAAACACGCTGCTTCCCGGACCATCCGCGGGCCGGATTTAGAAGGTGATTTGGGCCGGATCCGGCCCCCAGGCCTTAGTTTGCCTACCCATGGTCTGGATCAATCCCAGAGGCCAGTGGTTCCCCATTCGTCATCTAGACCCCTTGCCTTCTAGTTCCTAATGGTTAGAGGGCTGGATCTGGAGTTCTGTAACCATGTAGCCTATATGAAACAACCTTAGGTGATTTCAATAACATAGCAGAAGTTGACTCTAACTGTAACAGGCAAGTTGGCAAAATAACCTTGCTGTGTTTTTCCATGTCATACGTTTTAGTCATGAAATTGTCAATATCAACTTGAAAAACAAGCCAGACTGGTTTTTTGAGAAAAGCCCATTCGGATTGGTACCTGTGCTAGAGACCAGCAAGGGCCAGTTGATCTATGAGTCTCCAATCACTTGTGAGTATTTGGATGAAGCGTATCCAGAGAAGAAGCTGTATCCTGCAGATCCTTATGAGAAAGCTTATCAGAAGATGCTCTTGGAACATTTCTCCAAGGTGTGTACAGAGGAGTAACGGGAAACTCATTTCAGTGTGTGGTATGAAAATAACACTTGATAAGGCATTGTTATGATTACAGGCAGTCTGCTAGGCAACACCACTGCCCTATTTTAAACATGTGCCTGAAAGCAAAAAGTGAGATCTGCAAACAAAACATTTGTGGAAGAAAGACAGTAGTTTTAAAGTTACTGGACAATGTGACCTAATGCTGGGTGTTACTAGGAACTGGTTGCTACGAAGAGTTTTAGTGTGTTGACATGCCACTTATGACATCCTGCACAGATCCTGGTACAAGATGACAGGACCAGGCTGGTATAACTGAGAAAGTGGGATTTTGTAGACTAGGGACAACAGAGGAAACACTGGTGAATGTGGAACATACAGACAGGGTAAGGTGGCTGCTATATGTTGTCCCAACATAGGACTAAAGTATAGAAGCAAAGCGGAACTGCTAATGTACTGTGTAGCTTTGCTTTTCCTTTGAGCTTACTTGGAATTCTACATTAAACCAGGGTTATTCTGGATGCTGAGTGGAAGGGGTGTGTGTTGATATCTGGTACGATCTTCTGGGTTGTTCCACATTCTCCTGCATTGAGAGATGCTTTCTGTGGGTTTATCTCCCTTGGTTTGTGTTTCCTCCTCTCCATCTTAAACCCATTCACTTCTATGACAACAAAATTCATTAGAATTTTTTAAATAAGGCGTCTGAGGAACACATCCAATCTCCTGTAGCATCACACAATGGAAAGTTGCCCTGTGTTAACTAAAATGGACATGTTTCTCTGTCTGTAGTATGCAATTAAATGTGTGAAAGAGAAAGGTGTGAATCTCAAGAGGTAACCAAATTGTTTAGAGGAGGAAAACAACTCGTTTAGGCATCTTTATAGCAGGGGTGGTGAGCTTGTGGCCCTCTTATTGGACTCTTAACACCCATCACATTGGCTGGAGCTGATAGGATTTGGAATCCAGTGACACCTGGAGGTCCACAGGTTCCTCATTCCTGCTTCATACTAATGGAAAGATGGTGTGGATGGATGTTCTACCAAGGTGAAAGGACTCCTCTACAGTTCAGAACAGTTGGCCAGCGGAAGCCATGCTGGGCTGCAACTTACACCCTCTTACTGACAGGGCTTTATGAGGACGAGCTGTCTACTGCTGTAAATTTAATCATGGTAGAATTACCTCTCGTTCTTAGCATGCATTTATGTTCCTTGAATTAAAATGCTAAGCACTTTTCTGCACCTTGGTAACATGGCAATCTCTGCTTTTGCTTAGCTAACTCCTCTGTGTCACAAGTATTTGCTGGCCGTCAGGAGTGGAGACAATGCCTCTGCAGTGAAGAATGAGCTCCGAGAAAGGCTTCTGAAACTTGAAGAGGTGAGAGTTGGGGGCATTGCTCCAAGGAAAGCTATACGTTAACTTGATTGTGGGGGAGAGAGGTTCTGCTTTTCCATTCCACACAAAAGGTCTCTTCTATTTTCCAACTAAATTCAAGCATTATGTCCTTGGGCAACTCTTCTACTCCATTACTAGGCTGAAGAGATATGTTGAACCTGTGCTAGGGAACATATTGCTCTGTTCTCTGTATCTTATTTCCATAGCTGTACTTCATGCAATGAAAGTCTAATATTTTGATCCTCCGCATCCCACACAAGGGCTCATTGAAACTTGTGACTCTTCCACATAATTTAGTTTTGGGATTACATACTCTGAGCAGACTCTAGTGCTGCCCACTAGAGGGAGCCATGTTCATATCTTTATTGATGGATTTGTTTCTGTCTGACAAGAGGGATTTTCAAACAAAAAACCAAGAGTGTTTCCAGACAGAGCTCCTAGGGCTTTCCAGTGGTTCCAGTTTTGCTTTCTGCGGAATCTGGAATTGCAGCCAAAAAGTTCTTAAAATCCAGCTGCACAACCCACTTTGGTCTGTGATCTATTGTGCAGTCTACAAGGGACCAGTACAGGTTAAAATCTCCACACAGGTCTGCAACATAGGGGTAGAAGTTCTGAAACTACTGAGCTCTGTGTAACAAGGGGCTGTCTGTTATATATGCAGCCCCTTTCCCCTTCCTCACTCTAGATTTCAGTTTCTGCACGTTCTCTTGGTATACTGTGCTTTTTATGTAGGAATGTCATGTGTCTCTTTCCCTTTTAGATTCTAGTAAACCGCAAGACTAAGTATTTCGGTGGGAACACTGTTTCCATGATCGACTATCTGATCTGGCCTTGGTTTGAGCGTATGGAGCCCTACGAGTTATATGAGTAAGCCCTTTGAATCATTTGTACCTCTCACATTTGAGTACCATTCTCCAGCTACATTCCTTCCCTTGTCCCTTCGCCAATGGGCACCATTGATAGAGGAGAGCTGCTGCCATTTGTTCTGGTTCATCTGTAATCTGCAAGGCAATGGGGTGTCTGGCAGAAGTGAAGTGGGTGTGGAAGAGGAGGAGAATCATTCTTCTCACTTGAAAATGCACATTTGACTCACTTGAATGTATGTTTCTGGAGTGATCCCTTCTGATCTATACTAGTATTTACTGGCAGATTCAGTTCTGTTCAATTTGAATTCGATCAAGACAATGGGTTTCTTTTCTCACTACAGATAATGGCCACACTTGGATGATCATTCCTCTGATTAATAAGTCCAATGTATGAACAGCCCCTTTGGCTGTATGCACAGCCTCTTTGTCTTCCCCATGCAAGCAAAGTCTTCTGTTAACCACAGCTTCCCAGTTCAGGGAGGAAAAAACTAGTTAAGAGCTTCAGAACAAGTTTGGATACTAAATGTACTTCAAACCATGGTTTAGAAACTTACCTTGCTCTAATGCTGTTAACTGTGGTTTCTCATTTTGTCCAAACTGAGAAACTGTAGTTAACAGAAAATTACCTGGTTGTGTTGGCTGTTGCTGCAAAGGGAAGAGTGAAGAAGCTAAATGCTTGGTCAAAAGGCTTGCTCATCTTTTGCCTTGTTAAGCTGAGATGTGATATATTTGGATCTCGTGAGTAATAACACCTGCATGTTTCACGAGGCTGATGAAGCTTCTACCACAATCGTGTCAGGCTCTAGTGGCACCTTAATGGAGTTTTTGTTGTTGTTGTTTTAACTGATGCAGCCGCTCCTGCACATATTTTTTTAAAAAACATTTTTTAATGTAACGTAACAGTTTAGGTAGTGCACAAGGAACTTGTGATTACTGTGGGAGGATTAAAATTCTCATTAGAAACATTGCCGAGGCTAAATGTTATCAAACTATGCCGCAAGGTGTCCAGAGGGTAATTAGAGGAGGATCAGACTCCTCTGATGATTTGCCTTTTCTCTGCTCTCCTTGAAGAGTCCAGGGTCAGGCTCGGTGCTCTGGGATTTCTGAGAAATTCCCTTTGTATTATACTTGTACAGTAAATGAGATAATAGGAGTTCAGGTTTTACTTTCTTTTCTTTGGTATAATGTCAGGTTTAGATCTGACTTCAAAGACATCTCAGGTGCACACAGTGTATAGGATTATCATCCTATGAAAGACATTTGTATACTTTTCCTTTAAAAAAATGGAATGATGAGTTGACTAGGGGCAGGATAGGAACATAGGGAGCTGACTTATACTGAGTCAGGCAGTTGGTCCATCTTAGTATTTCCTACACTTACTGGCAGTGGCTCTCAAATGATTTCAGACAGGGGTCTGTCACAGCCCTACCTGGAGGTGCCAGGAGTTGAAAACAGTGGTACCTCAGGTTACAGACGCTTCAGGTTACAGATGCTTCAGGTTAGACTCTGCTAACCCAGAAACAGTACCTTGGGTTAAGAACTTTGCTTCAAGATGAGAACAGAAATTGTGCAGTGGCACCAGCGGGAGGCCCCATTAGCTAAAGTGGTACCTCGGGTTAAGAATGGTTTCAAGTTAAGAACGGACCTCCAAAACGAATTAAGTTCTTAACCCGAGGTACCACTGTATTGGACCATCTGCATGCAGAACATCATGCGCTACCGCAGAGCTATGGCCCTTCTACAGTTAAGCTTGTGGAGCCACCTTCAGGTAGCAGGCTTTTTCCATTTCTAGGTTCTAGACAGCTGCACTATACATCCCATACCAGTTTGGCTCTGTAGCACACAACTAGGAAGGAGATGTGGGTGTTGTTTTTTTCTGAGCCACTCCGGAGAAGAAGACTATGAATAGTTTCTAGCTGTGCTGGCCAAATGGAACTTCCAGATGCTGGGAGTAAACAGGGGACCACTCCTTCATACCCTGCTTGTGGGTATCCAGAATCCTCTGGCTGGCAAATGGGAGTAGAAACTTAATGTAGCATGGCTCTTGGTCCAGCAGTATAGTTCTTGCCATGGAAAGTGTGCTATTTCAGGCTGCATTGCCTGTGGGCTGATCTCTCGGCCAAATAGCTTGGAAAAACCCCTCTAATTCAAACTGTTGGAATCGGGAAGTGCTGAAACGACACACCTGCTCTCCAAATCTAGAGCAGTGCAGCAGTGCCCCCTATCTATTTTGAAGCATCTCATCATTTCTAAGGAAGCCAAGCATAATGGATGTCAAAAACCTCTCTTCTTCCAACAGAGCTAAATGCAGACAGCTTAGTAGTTTGGAAGCTGCCTTATACAGAAGTAGACCAACGATGCATTGAGCTTAATATTGTATTCTACACTGTCTGGCAGCAGCTCTCTGGAGTTTCAGAAGTATGCCAGGGTTTGAATTTGGGACCTTCTGCATTCAAAACATGTGCTCTACCGGAGACCTTTTGCAGACAAACCACCATAGATGTAGGCTTCACAGTGACTTTTTTCATTTTCTCTGCAGCTGTTTGGACCACACACCAGAGCTAAAACACTGGGTTGAAGCCATGAGGCTGGATCCGGCTGTCAAGGCTACAGTAAACGACGCTCAGACATACAAAGGCTTCCTGGAGCTCTATCTGAAGAACAGCCACGAGGCCTGCGACTACGGCCTCTGAAAATTAGTGGAGGGAAGCCTTTTCAATAGTTGGAAAAGGAAGATGGAGCTACTGCCGGCACATGCAGAGCTGGTACCTGCACTGCACTGTCCACTATTGGTTTGGTTTCTGTGTTTGATGTACCACCTGCAAAAAATAAGGCTTTCTTTTCCAAAGGGTGATGTTCAGAATTTGCCTAACTTTGTTTGCCCACCAGAGTTGTAATGTCTTTTTCCTCAGGTAGGCATGTGTACTGGCTCTGCTGCTGTTCTGAAATAAACACACTTTATAAACATACAGGCGTTTCCTGTTACTTTTCCTTGCTGCTCCACAGGAGAGGCTAAGTCGCTGGAGATGTTAGTGTGCAAGTAAAATATACTGCTGTGCATTCTAGGCTGAGCTTTGCTGTGCCTTTGAAAAGTTCAGGATGCACCCTAGGAAGCAAGCTATGTTGCTGTTTTTATTTTAATTGTGGAAACAAAAAATTTATCATATAAAAAAATCCATACATATTTCCCCCATACGTAGGAAGCTGCTTATACAGTCAGACCTCTGGTCCGTCAAGCTCAGAAGTCTACACAGATTGGCAATGACTTTCTAGATGGATCTTTCCCAGCCCTGCCTGGAGATGTCAGGAATTGAACCTGGATCTTTTGGCATGCAAGGGATGTGCTCTACCACTGAGCGACAGCCCATCCTCTTTACTATTCAGATAACGTGGCATAAGTATAGAATTTGGGCAAGCTGGCAACCTTATGCAAAGCAGCACTTGTACTTGCCAACTTAAATAGATGAGGGGTCTTGTATGAACAGCTTTACATCATGTAGGGATATTATTCAACCAGCCCTGAAGGCAGCCCTGTTTAGGGAAGCTTTTAATGTTTAACAGGCCATTGTATTTTAATATTTTGTTGGAAGCTGCCCAGAGTGGCTGGGGAAACCCAGCCAGATGGGCGGGGTATAAATAAATTATTATTATTATTATTATTATTATTATTATTATTATTACTGCTGCCTTTCCATCTAGCAGAGGTACAGCTCTTGGCTATTTTTCAGCTGTTCTACATTGTCCACACTCTGCCCCAGTTACTTGCAATTTTCCATTTGCATGTAGAACCAGCCAACCTGGGCTTGAATCCAATTATTGGGTGAACAGAACAACTGCCAGTCATGTTAACAGAGCTTACCCTCTCTCCTCCTCCTCTCCCCTGTGACCCAATCTGCTCTGGGGATTCTCCTGACCCTCTAGAGAAGATTTAGGGGCAGTGCAGTAGTTGTTCCACAAACAATGACTTAGATTCAACCTCTGTGCTGTACATTGCAGCTTGGTTCCATGGCTGGTTCTAGCTGTAAGTAGCCAACCAAAAAAGTGTAACAATGCACAATTCTCAAGGCTGTTAAGGCAACAGCAGTGGGTGCTGCATCAGAAAAGGATATTACCCCAGAAGTCATGTCTTCATGGACAAATACCACATGTGGGCAGCTGCTGTTGTCATCTTAGAAGTTTTTGGCAGTTCCACAGTAAACAGTAAATAATTGGAACAAGTGGTATATACTACTTTGTCATTTACCAGTTAGTGTCAGCCATTATCCTGGGTCCTTTACAAGAGGCAAGGAATAGCAATGGTAGAAGATGAAATAAAAGATTTTTTGAATGATTGTATGTTGTGTGGACTCTGCTTAAATTAGAATCGGCATAAAACATGCCCAATTGCAGATTTACTTACTGAACAACGCACATTCTCTTATTCTTGGGAAGATAGTGAGCTATAGCCGAAAGGATGCAAAGTAAGAAAATGAGCAATTTCCCCTTTTTCTTTGGTTACACAACGCCTTTGCCACTGGTGGATTTCCATTAATAATACATAAAGCATAAATCTTATTCAGGTCACCTTGAGGATGAATGCATACATTACAGGCATACAATGGAGGCTGCTTGCTTTTTCTTTTTTTTTTTTAATGCTGGAATGGAAATATCACTTAACTCTTCCTGAGGCACCCCCAAGCACCTTTCTGTCAGGTTGACAGCTGCCATTTGAAATGACTTTAAACTAGTCTTTGCAGGTGGCAGCTGTCCTGTGTATTCAGCGTCAAAATCCAGTGCAAGCCGTACTGGATTCCTGCAAAGAGAGTCTCCCATTTCTGCCATGAGTTCCTCCTTCAATGGCAACCTAGGCATGTTCCAGAACATTCACAAGACTGGACATCCAGAAAGAAGCAAAGCCTATTAGCTGGTCTGAGTAGCACTGCTATGTACTGCTTTGTCAGAAAAGTCTGACTGCTTTCCATGAGGCTTACCAAGCAAGTATGCACTCAGTCGAAATGTTAGTATTACCCTTCCCCAAAATGTTTTTCTGCTCATGCAGAAGGTTTAGGAAGGTAAGTATAGTATGTATACTTCAAATTGTTTTAACCAGTCTGGTTTGCTTGCTGAGTAAGACATTTTTAATACCTTGCATTTTGGAGACTGAATGTAAATGTCTGTGTTTTTAAAGTCTTACTAAAGCATCAGTTTAATTAAACCCCTCACGAGTGCTTGATAACGACCTAGATAAGGATAGCAACTCTTGTGGAAACGCATAACCCCAAAAAGTGTCATACTATAAACATTCAGATTTTGTGTTTCCTCAGAGAGCTTTGTTTCAAGACCAGCAAAACTGGAAATACTGCTGACTGAGAAAGAAGAGAGAGATTTTTCCACTTCAACCATGTAATTACTTAAAATAAAATAACTGAAGTCGCAATGGGTTGTTTAATAGGCCTATTAACTGGAGCCACTATTTTACAAGGAGTCAATTATATAGCACGTTGACAAGAATGGAAGAAACATTAAAAATTTAAAAGTGCAGAAGCTGCCTAGAAAAAGAACGCTACAAGGAGGAAGGTATTGCAGTGAGGTGTCTGACACCTTTTTATGGCTTCCCTGGACTTGTCATTTTCAAAACCCATTTTCCAGACCTTTACTCTTTTTTTAAAAAAAGGTAGAGAGGTTTTAACCGTTTCTTCCATCTTCTGCTTAAGTTTTTTACATTATATAAATTGTTTTTTTCAGTCATGGATTTATGTCCTTATAGTGTGGGCCAAAAGGAGCACATTACACTTGGTTTGATATTTCAGCACTTCTACTAGGGACTGGAGTTGCTCAGCTTTCACTGTCCCTAAAGTCGGTCAGATAACAAATAAGCATTTGCAGAGAGTCAGTGAAATAACCATTGGGCTGATTTAAAAAGTGTGTGGGCAGGGCTTTTTTTTCCAGCCAGAACTTGTGTTCATGGTAAGTTCTGTTACCTCTTTCTAGAAAAATAGCACTGTGTGAGCAAGCTCTTTCCGGTAGAATGTGTAACTAGCCTACCTGCTGAAATGCACTTTTTTGGCCCATTATTATTATTATTATTATGATTATGATTAGCCCCATCTGCACTACACATTTAAAACAGTGCCATTCCAAAGAATCATGGGAACTGTAGCTTGTCAAGGTAATTGAGAGTTGTTAGAAGGCCCCTGTTCCCCTCATAGAGCTACAATTCCCCGAGTGGTTTAATAATCTTCCCAGGATAATCTTGAGAATTGTAGCTCCATGAAAGGAACTGGCGGAAGACAGAGTTTAATGAAAATACAGATGTCAGAAAGCTCTCTTTCCAGCTAGAATCATAAATGTGCATAAGAACTGCATAAACATACTGGTACTATATGCACCTATGGTTCCTTCCACCTGGAGACCCGCTTGCAAAGGCATTGCTGGTCCATGAACAAAACACAAATGGTATGTTGTTGTTTTCTGGGAGTGGGGCAGGGGCATAATTTTATCCCTATATTCTCCCTCCTAATAACTAATTAAACAGAGATTTGTGGTGGCAGGAACCATGTTCTCTGTGTGTCATTTGAGTGGACCTACACTGCTACATGGGCATGCAGGTAATGTCCAGGAGAGCAGTGCTTTATTATGTAAGATGAAAATTCTGCCTATCATCACGTTTGGTTCTTTTATGAACCTATACGGTGGTCGTACTTCTGTTTATCCAGCAATCAAGTTCTCCGTTCAGGAGACCATTCCTAAAACAAAAACAACAACCCCCCCCCCACTGCAGTACTGTTGGCATTTAACGATTGCTATTAGAACACAGCGTGTTCCGTCTAAGAAGTAGCAGCGTAGCAATGCAGCCTGGGCACTAGGGAATAGTAGCAGCAGCAGTAGTACTAGTAAAGTCTTACTTCCTAAGTGATAACTGCCATTTCCAAAGCCCTTTTCCAGAAAAGAACAAAACCTGGCACATGTTCAGAATCGCAGCAGATACAAATGCAAGGTGGAAAGCAGCAAAGGAAGACCCAATGGCTCATCTAATCCAGCACCCTGTTCTCTCAGTGGCTAATCGGATGCCTGCGGAAAACCCACAAGGAGGACCCAAGGCCAAGAGCACTCTCACCTCCAGTGGATCCCTGGTATTCAGAAGAATTGCTGTTTCCAAATGTGGAGCCAGAGCCCAGCCACTATAACTAGTAGCACCTTTGCCTTTCAAAAGGATCCTTTTTTTAAAAAACCCATACCTGAATTTTTGTCCTTTTCACCATTACACTAAACATATGGATACCAATCCAGGATGTCATCTTTGTAGAAGAACCTGAATTTCAGGAAATTTTAAAACATATGGTCATTCTTTCATTTTGTTGAGAACAGCAGTTTATTGCTGTGGTCTGCCTGTGACACTTAACATGTAAAAATAAACCAGAGTGTGTGCAACGCATCATAAACTCAGATCCCTGGCACCAGGGTAATGATCTGTTTAGGCCAGTGGTTAATCTAACAGTTCTGGAAAATATTCTTGCCAGTTAGGTCTGGTGCTATTGGAGAGAAATACGAAAAAGGTATTTTAGTGGTGTGTCAAGTCTTAAAAGTAATAGTAGCTGGAAATGTAGAAAAGGCATGCTCAAATACCCTGCATGATGCTTGCATCATTGGATGGCTTTTTGTAGGTATTCCCATTGGTTCATAGATATGAATATATTTCACTGGAGGTGGACAGAAATTCTAGATCCTCTCCAGGGGCTCAGGATGTGAAAGTATGTAGAGACTATCTAGATAGTTGCAGGAAGCTCTACTGAACTGGTATTTCTGCAACTTATTTCTGCATTTGCTTAATAGTTTAGGACAAAATAAAAGAATTCCCTTCACAGTGGGTGACTGATCATTTGTGAAGTACAGGGCTGTACATCTAACACCCATTTTCAAACTATGTTTTCTCTCCTACAAGGACTCCTTTTGCAGAGCTGTCACCATCTCCATCTTCACATAAACAAACCACACAGACTCTACCAAATCCCAAGGTCTGTAATGTCGATATAGGAATAAATTAGATACCTCTTTTGCTTAAACTATTTACAACAAACTTTATACACAACAGTTTAAACGTTAGAAGCTGCATAAATATCAGCCAACAACATTGGGAAGAAAATGAGAGAAGTATCTCCATTCTACCAATCTTTGGAGTTATGTGAGCATATAAAGCAGTTTGCTCCCAATGGGGGAGATCTGTTCATATTGTAATTCTCAGAGATTTGGCTACAGGGGTTCTTTATGTAGTGAGGTCACTCGTCCATTGGGAACATGCATGGCATATTCATTTATTAAAGCTGCTGTGTTCTTTAGCATCTCATGAAACGTGTCCATAGTCTTTCTGTAAGCGTCTCGTTGCAA